TTTTGAATTTATGAGCTAAAAATAGACATATTATCCTATTTTTTTGGATGTGCGTTCCTTCAGGAAGTAAGCCACTCTTCATTATCTGATAGCATGATAAGATTCAGGTCAACGAGCTCGGGAAGATGGCTCGTCGGGAAGATTTTCTAGATATCCCAACATCAACGTTTCTGATAAGCCTAAAAAGACATAAAAAGGCCCAGACAGAGACACAGAAAATACTCAGAGCTTCTCACAGAAATTCTTGATCTCTCCTGCACAGACAATATCCCTTTCATGGGGAAGAACACTTCGCTTGGTGTCAACGAGAAATTCAGCAAGGGACGAAGCATAGAGCAGGACCGAGAGATCATAGCAGAGGAGAGAAGCCAAGGACGCCGAGAGTACCCGCCAGAACTCGGAGCCGAGGACGAGCGAGAATCCCACTCAGAGGTAATCTATAAGAAGCATCCAGGGAGATTAGTGCCCTCTCAGTTTCCACGGTTCACGCATGAAAGTGCCGTCGCAGAAGCTTACAGATGAACGTTCGTCTCCCCCTGCAACGCTAGCTGTCCTGCGAGTGGTGGTAACTGGGGCATTTAAACGATGCTCGGGGCGGCCATGGAATCGTTTAAAATAAATAGCCGATTTAGGCGCTGTAGCCGGAAGGAATCCAGTTTTCGTCACGATTGTTCTCCGTCACAGTACTCTGCTCACCGACGCTAACCCATGCCGCCACCCTCCCTCCTCCGGTTAACCCACCTCTATGGCAAATTTTAATGTTGTAATCAGAATTGCGTCGGCCATGAGCGAGCTCGAGAAGTCAGCGGTGTTAGGCACGTGACTCATTCAGTGAGCACGTGACCAGTCATTCAGCTCATACGGTGACGGTTGGATATAAAGAAGATGAATCGTATTTAATGTGGCAGGGTCAACGGGAGAACTGAAACGCAACGGCTTATATGGGCGGACCGACTGACGAGGAGACGAAACGGTTCAAGTCGAGGATCATAGATTCATTCTTGGGGAGCGTTATTCTGTACTTCTTTCACATCTAGAGCGGCTTTCATCATCGTGAGTTGTTCGCTTCTATTTTCTTACTTCACTGTGCGTCGTCGAGCTCTCCAGCCGCTGCGTGGAGTATAAACGACTGCTGTGAAGAGCAGCCCCCGGCGTTGACTGCAATTGAAAATGGCGGTGAGGCGGGGTATTTCATACTAGTGACTTGGGAGTAAGATTGAAGACGGCCTACCATGAGGTTATCGCGGCCGACAGCGACGCCGTATAAACCCCCCGTCGCTCACTCGGGGGGCGGGGGGCAACGAAGAGAGTAACTGAGCGTCGCAATGCATGAAAGAGAGGGAACCTCCCGACCGGTTTGAGATCTCGACGCACGCGGACAGAGACAGGCAGCGTATCGCAGGCGCAGCGGTCAAACGGGGGAAACTCTAACGGAGAGTTTCCTGGATGTGAAATGGGAGGAAGGCGTATGTACGAAGATCTCGACGACGAGGAGTGCTGCCAGAGAGAGAGAGAGGCTGTGGGTCTCATCTACAAGAGAGTATTGAAGCAACATTGTCACTCAAACAACAAGCACCGATGATAAACAGGGTGCCTGCTGAGCTTCCTTCGGAACAGAGCAAATGCGAACCGACATCAACCAATAGGGTTCGACATAATCGACAACAAGGCTACGACAGACAATAGATCAACCAATGAGAACGGACTGAATCAAACAAAGGAAGAAAAGAAGATACATCAGCATTAACCGACAAGAAGATTAACTGCTCGATGAAATTACATCCTTCCGAAGAGCAGTTACTAAATGATACACAACGGTTATTTTTAAATCACTAACAGTATAAATAGACGATCATAGAAGTTGTAACTAATCAAGTTTTCTTTATAGAAGTTTCTTTTCTTTCTATCTTCTTCTCCTCCTCTTTCTCTCCTCTTACTATGTTCTATCCCTTTGTTCTTGATTTCTTTCATGATATCAGAGCCATAGGCCAATGGTACTTAAAGACCTGACGATGAGTCTTCTATGAGAAAGCACAGGTGATGAAACCAAAGGTGCTTCTAATGCTCAAATCATCCCTCACAGCATTGCTGCGATTCAACAAGGGATTCCAGCATTATCCATCTCTCTCAAGCTAAGGGGGAATTTCCTACTATAGAAGACACAACTACTTCTACTCTTGCCAACACATGATCTTATAGATGCTCTTGAAGATGATCCACTGCTCATATCTAAATTTGATGGACATGGGAAACATATTCCAAATCCGGAATATAAAACATGGTACAAAAAGGATCAAGTAGTTCTTACCCTGATTACTAACTCTTTATCTGAATCAATACTGCATGATGTCGTCAATAAAGAGACATCGAAAGATGCTTGGGAAGCACTCAAGAAAAATCATGCAAGCAAATCAAGATCCTATATCAATGAACTGCAGGCGAGACTCTACAACTCCAAGAAAGATAATCTTCCTATTGACACCTATATTAAGAACATTCGGAGTATTGGTGATGAATTGCAGGCTTGCGCGTATAAAATTGAAGATCAAGATCTTGCATATGCCCTTCTAAATGGATTGGGACCTTAGTACAATTCATTCTATGCAAGTATCAATTCACAGTTGGGCAGTCTGGAGCTCGATGACGTAATCTCCAATTTGAAATCATATGATCTGTATGTTTCTAAACAAATAGAAGAAAAGGCCATTGGAGATTTCCCACCAATAGCAAGTCTTGCAAATGTAGCAGGAAAACAATATCAAGGATAGAAAAACTCTGAAAATTTTCAAAACCATGGAAAAAATAATCGGCAAGGTCACAAATAGAAATGTCGTCTGCTTTAAATTCGGGTATAGAGAATTTGGTTGTAGGGAAAGATTCAATAGAAACTTTCAGCCTCCTCTATGGCAAAATAACAATCAGACATGGAATTCAAATCAACCTCAAGCGTTTACAGCCCATACAGCAGAAAATTGTAATTCAACAAACCGCTAGTATCCAGACAACAGTGTATCTCACCATGTCACTGCAAATCAAGGAAACATTCAAAACTCAACTATCTACAATGGGTCAGATCAGCTTTATATAGGTAATGGACAAGGTTTTTCCATCCATTCTCAAGTATGATCAACTATTAACACTAAATATCATCTATTACAACTTAAGGATATATTACATGTACCATAAATTAAAAAAAATCTTTTATCAGTTCAAAAATTTGCTCGAGACAACAATATATTTTTTGAATTTCATGTTGATTTTTGTGTTGTGAAGGACCAGGAAATGAAGCGAATTCTCCTCAAGAGAACAAGTGACGACATACTCTTTTGTTTATAATTTCTAGAAGCTATAATTGCATTCTTTAGAGAAAAATCATCTCCTTTGATATGGCATAATAGATTAGGACATCCTCATTTCTGAATTTTAAAATAAGTTATGGACAAATACGATTTTTCAGTCACTCATAGAACTCAGGATTTTGTTTGTGATGCATGTAAATTGGCAAGATTACATAAACTCCCTTTTGCACTTTCATTATATAAAACCACCAAACCTTTTGAATTCATACATTCTGATGTTTGGGGGCCTGCCTCTGTTCTTTCTCATTTTGGTTATCTGTATTATGTGATTTTTGTTGATGATTGCAGTAAGTATTCATGACTATTTCGTATGAAAAAGAAAAGTGATGTTCTCTCGATTTTTATTGAATTTTATTTTAAGGTAGAGAACTTGTTCTCCACAAAACTTGTCTCTCCAATCGGATTGGGGAGGAGAATTTCAAGCCTTGACCAACTATCTCAAAGGCAAAGGTATCAATCATCGACCTTCATGCCCTTACACACCTGAACAAAATGGAACAGTAGAAAGAAATCATAGACACCTTGTAGAAACAACCCTATCTCTTCTCCAAAATGCACATTTACCTCAAAAGTTCTGGGATGAAGTAGCAACTACTACTACCTATCTCATTAGTAAAATGCCTTCTCCAAATCTCAATCGTAAATCTCCTTATGAAATCCTCTTTCACCTCGAACTAGATTACTCATTTCTAAATTTTTTGAGTGTTTATACTGCCCAAATCTTAGACCATATATGCCCAATAAACTCAATACTAGGTCTGAATGATGTGTATTTTTAGTGTATACTTCATCTCACAGTGGTTATAGATGTCTCTTGCTCTAAAATGGAAAAATATTCATCTCTAAGGATGTTTTCTTTGACGAAGCCATCTTTAATTAATCACCTCCATCAGTAATTGTACTCCTGCTCAAAGGAATTCTCATATCCCTTGTCAGTAGTTAACAATCAATCAAGTCCCTCCTAATACTTTGAAAAATCTTGAAATAAATAATCAAGTGTCTACCATAATCTTGAAAAATCTTGGAAAAATAATCCCTTGTCGTTAGACTCCTTGTCGAAGTTCCCTTTAAATTACTACATTTGTCGGACAACCAGCGCTATCCTGCTGTATTTACGTCGATTTTGGTCAGACTCTTGAAATAAATTGCTCCATAGTTAGTCCTCGTAGCTGGCGCTGAATATCTAATCTATCATGCGCAGCGAAAGTCCCTTCCCCGCGGAAACCCGCGGGGCTCAATCGATCAGCTGCTCGTCGTAGTTCAGCATCCCGTTTGTAGGAAAGCGACTGCCGCATGACACTCCACTTCACCACACCGCGCGGCAATGGCTAACCACCCAGCGACTGCCGTATAGAGAATGCTCCTCTTACGGTGGACAAGATACGACCGTTTGGCTGAGCGCATCATGGGTGATTTTTATGGCCACTCAATGAGAATTCGCCCAAGGTTTAAGTTTTTACCTGTCTGGATGGCCCTGTAAAATGCCCGGACCTCTTCGGAACTGCATTGTATAGATGTCGGAGAGGAGAATTGGGTATTTATTTATTTCTTTATTGATGATGACGAGGAATTAGATAGGTAGGAAGCACATATATATATGCAGTCTGAGATCCGTACAGCCGTCGGCGCGTTACTAGACGACTACCGCCCGACGGTTGAAGCGCCGTCGGGCGACGACCTTAGCTGGAAGACCCGGTTGAACCAGACGGAATGGAGGATCATGTGGAAGAGGTCGTACCTGGTGGGCTGGTCGTGCCAGAGGAAGTGCTTCTGCACCTTCCTCACGCCGGTCTGCAGGGCCAGGTACCTGGGCCTGGAGATGGAGAGGAGGATCTCCTTCAGCCGGGGGACGTCCTTCTCCTCGATGATGACGGAGAAGGCCCCCCAGTCGAGCACCTCGAAGAAGGGCGGCACGAAGTTGTCGGAGATGATCACCGGCACGCACTCGTAGAAGATGGCCTCCACCACCCTCGGGCTGTTCACCTCGAACCCGCGCGGGCACACGCAGAACCTGCTGCTCTTCATGTACTGGGCGTAGTTCACCGCCTTCTTCCCCTTGCTGCCTCCGCCGCTGCCGCTGGGAGGCAACGGGCCGAGGATCACCATGTCGGGGTCGTCCCCCCAGTGCTGCAACAGGGCGGGGCGGAGGTAGCCGTGCATCTGACCCGCGAAGAAGGCCAGCAGGGTCCTCTTCCTCCCCGGCCTCCCGCCGAGGTTCCGCGCCGGGTCCTGCACGCTGCGCACGTTCGTCTCCGGCAGGGAGACGTCCTTCCCCACCACGAAGTCCTCCGTGGTGTCGGCGTTGCAGAGGGCCCTGACGGAGGTCCCCATCGCTCGCCATGTCTCGTGCGTCGCCTGCCAAGCCAGAAGAAGAAGAGGAAGAAGATGGATGGGTCAGAAGCGAGTTGATCCTTTCCCACCAATGGCACCGGCGTCGGCGACGGAGATGCTCACCCAGTCGTGGCAGGAAACCAGGAAGTGGTCCGCACCGTCGGTCCTGTTCCAGAAGGGGTATTTGGCTGCGATCGTCGAGACGTACTTCCGCAGAAACTCGATCAGGTTATCGTGGGAGTGGGAATCTGGTACGTACAGCTGCGTCTGGAGGAGGTGGGAGCCGAAGGGCATGTAGAAGAGGTGGGCCTGTCTGGGTTCCTCGACGAGGAACCGCCTGCTTCCTTCCATGTGCCTCATGAACCATCCCTCGGAAGAGTAGATCCCCGTGAGCTCCGGCTGGTGGAAGATGGGCTTCTCCCCCTCCTTGTAAATGTAGACCTTGAGGAGGCTCTCCATCAGGTCGTAGCTCCTGAGACGATGGCGAGCAGGCGTGGGATCCCAGATAGTCAGTAAGTCAGTCAGTCAGTCACCGTGGAATCCACGACTCTGTGGTGTTTGGAGCTCTGGAGGTTTACCTTCTGAACATGGAGAAGTTGCGGAAAATGGGTGGGTAGAGCTCCGGATCGCTCTTCACAGTGGGGGCGTTCATAATCTGCTTTCTGGCGTCTAGAATCTCTCGATCTCTCGGAGAAGACCATCTGGGTACCTGTGGAATGCACCAGGAGGATCAGACGGTTGATTGATTATATTTAAATAAAAAGAGGCAGAAGTTCAGTCAGCGACTTCCAGCTCTGTCGGACTCACCACTGAACACGATTCGCGGTTCTTGGACGCGAGCTGGTCCATGTCTGAGATCGACATCGCAGATTGTCTCAGCCTCGCCCGCTCCTGCCGGTCCTTGGCGAGTATACAGTCCTCAATAATTTCTCTACCTTCCAATGAAATAGTCTCCATGCCGTCCTGCCACCTCCGTTTCTTCTTCTTCTTCTTCTTCTTCTTCTCCTCCTCCCCGGGGGATGGATCCCCGTTTAGCTTTTCCTCTTTATGAAACTCCACGCTGGTGGCATTGGCGTTGCCGCCGCCGGTCGGCGGGAAGCCAGAGACGTTCTGTGCTTTCTCGGAGTTTTCTGTCGTCATGTAGCCGCCATCGGTATCCTGAAAGTCCCTCAGTCGCGTACCATTCCCAAGATCAACAGCGAAACCTCGTTCTTCTTCTCCATCCCCGCCTCTATCGACGTCGCCCAGGTCTCCATCTACTCCTCCCGCCCCACTGAGAGTCTCCCCGTTTTCTAATGACGGAAACGCCGCGCTCCCTGAATCATATGATGGAGGAGGGGACCCCTGGCTCGGCAAGGTCGTTTGCTCAAGAACAGTAAACAGAGTCATTGAACCATTTCCAGGGCTGACGGTCAGACTGTGAAAACCTAGAACAAGGATGCTCGTCAAGATCGCCACACAAAGAAGTAGTCTGGTTCTGGTCGGACATATCTTCTGAAGTAGAACAAGGTGGTCCTGCACCGCAAACATTACCCGACCCAGAAAATGATGAATCACCAAAGCTTTCTCCTTGACCTGGTACATTAGATGGGCCGCCATTATCGTCAGAGAGAATTGACTCGCTTTAATAACTAATCTTCAATAATCGCAAGAATTAGAAGGGAAATTTGTGAAATCTAGAAAAAAAATTGAGGAAGAGGCGAAATTGATGGAAAATCATAAGTAAAAAATATTTTGAAGAAAAAGCTTGAGTACTCAGCCTATTCAGCAGTCTTGGATTTATAAGCTAGAAAGAGACATATTATCCTAATTTTTTGGATTTGGGTTAATGAACTTTACGAATGTGAGAAATGGTGGGATGTGTATGACAATCCTCTCATAAGAGAACGACTACTCCAAAATTATCTGATATCACGAATGAGATTGATGTCAACGACTTGCAGAGGATGACTCGTTGGGAAGATTTTCTAGATATCCCAACACCAACGTTTCTGCTCAGCCTGAAGAGCAGCCCCGTCAGACGAGACGATGATAACATCCAGAAACAGCCACAAACAGGTACACAGAAAAGACTTTGAGCTTCTCGTAGAAGTTCTTGATCTCACCTGCACAGACAATATCCCTTTCTTGTCGACACATACTCCCAGTTCAGCGAAGAATACTTTGCTTGGTGTCAACGAGAAATTCAGCAAGGGACGAAGCATAGAACAGGGCAGAGAGAACATAACGGAGGAGAGAAGCCTCACCGGCGCAGACACCCGCAAGAACTCGGAGCCGAGGACGGGCAAGAATCCCACTCAGGGGTAATCTACAAGAAGTATCCGGGGAGACTAGTGCCCTCTCAATTTCCACGGTTCACGAGGATTCTGCAATCATGGGGGAAAGTGCCGTCGCAGAAGCTTACAGGTGTTCGTCTCCCTCTGCAACGCTAGCTACCCTGCGAGTGGTGGTACAAGGGGCATTTAAACGATGCTCGGAGTGGCCATGGAATCGCCCGTCGAGCAAACGCAAAAATAAATAGCCGATTTAGGCGCTGTAGCCGGAAGGAATCCAGTTTGCGTCATGATTGTTCTCCGTCTCGGTGCTCTGTTCGCCGACACTAACATGCCGCCACCCTCCCTCCGCCGGTTAGCCTGCCTCTACGGCAAAGAATTGCGCCGCCTGAGTTGGGGTAACCGGCGAAGAATAGACGTCTACCATGGTCGAGTCCGCGAAGTCAGCAGGGTATCTGCCTGCGTCATCGAGCTCTCAAGCCGCCGCGTGGAGTCTAAACGACTCCTGTGAAGAGCAGCTCCCCGGTTGACTGCGTTGAAAATGGCGGCGGCCGGGGGGGCTGCTGTTTTTTACCGTTTCCATAGGAGTGACTCGAGGGGAAGATTGAAGACGGCCTGCCGTGTCGCTGCCGCCGACAGCGACGCCGTACGAGCCCCCCCGCCGCTCGTCGGGGCAACGAAGAGAGTAAGTGAGCATGGCAAGGCCTCCGGTGGGCACGCGTCTTCCCCCTCTCTACGTACCTAAGATCACGGATGCCGGGCTTCCCAGGTTCCCGACGAGGAAAGGCAGTCAACTCCCGTGACTGCTCCCGAAAAGATTCCGCAACCAGCGGGGTCATGGGTCAACGAGAGCCGGAAGGCCGCATCTCTCCATCCTGGGCATAGACCCGATGACCTCATGTTCAGAAACTAGAAGGACGATCTTGGAGCCTTCGAGGAGAACCCGTTGACTAGACGGGCCCGGCTGGAGATCCTGAGCGATCACCGTGATGAACCAAACACATGATGATGGTGATATTATTAATATTATTGATATTATTGACGAACCACAGTCTGATTCCCACACAGCAAACAGACTATTTACACGACCGCCGCCACGCAAAAGTCAACGACGAAGAGAACCCGGGGAGATGCCCCCTCCTCCTTCCGCCAGATCATCCATCATCTGGGTCTGACGTTGAGAACCCTGTTGTACCAGATGGAGTGGAGAGTCATGTGGAAGAGATCATACTTGACGGGGACGCTGTGCCAGAGGAAGTGCTGCTGCACCCTCCTCACCCCGGCCTGCAATGCCCGGTACTTCTCCTCGGAGATGGCGGTGAGGATCTCCTTCAGCCGAGGGATATCCCGCTCGGGGACGAAGACGGCGAAGGCCTCCCAGTCGAGGACCTCGAAGAATGGCGGCACGTAGCCGTCGGAGATGATCACCGGGACGCACTCGTAGAAGAGGGCCTCCACGATTCTCGGGCTGTTGACCTCGTAGCCACGGGGGCAGACGCAGAATTTGCTGCTCTTCATGTGCTCGATGTAGGTCATCTTGCTCTGAACACCGCGGGGCATGGGGCCGAAGATCTTCATGTCGGGGTCTCGGTTCTCCCAGTGCTGCAGGAGGAATGGGCGGAGGTAGCCGTGCATGTTGCCGGCGTAGAAGGCCAGCGTGGGCCGCTGGTCGGCGGGGCGGCCACCGAGGTCCCTCTGCGGCTCCCGTGCCGAGCGGACGTAGGTCTCCGGGAGGGACACGTCCTTGCCCAGCTTGAAGGCGTTGGCCAGGTCCGCGTTGCAGAGGGCCCTAAAGGAGCGATCCATGACATGTCGCGTCTCGTACGGTGCCTGCGGTAAGTCAGCGCCTGGTTAAGGTTCGTGGTCAGAGATTTTGGGGCGGTGGTTCCGAGATCTCCGGAGGCGTACCCAGTCGTGGCAGGCGACAAGGAAATGGTCGGAGCCGTCGGTTCTGTTCCAGAAGGGGTACTTGGCCGCGATGGAGTCGACGTATTTCCTCAGGTAGGCCCTCAGGGTCGTCCTGTTGTGGGATCCCCTCACATATACTGCGAACTGCAGGTGGCGGGAGCTGAAGGGCATGTAGAAGAGGTGGGCCCTCCTGGGGTCCCTCACAACGAAGCGCTTGCTTCCCTCCATGAGCTTCATGAACCATCCCTCGGAAGAATAGATGCCCTTGAGTATGGGTTGATGGAAGACGGGTTTGTTCCCATCTCTGTACACAAAAACTTTGAGCGTTCGTTCCATTAGCTGGTAGCTCCTGCAAGAACAGATAAATAAGTTGCACGAAGAATAGTCCGATAAAATTTTGGCTTGGCACCAGTAAAGCGATCCAGGCAATTGATAGAGAAAATAAACGAAAGACCCCAAGAAGAGTTTGATATAAGACTATGAAAAAAACCATTTTCGGACAAAGATTCCAGGAAATCTGGAACTAAAACCCACGAGAGAGAGAGAGAGAGAAAGAGAGAGGGTTTTTGCCTCAGTCAGACGACGATTAGAGACTGAATATCCGATTAGGGTTTATGCCATTTTGAGCCAGGAACGTGGGTCTCCTTCATATGGACCATGAAAAAGACTTTCTGATAAAGGGCCACCGGCATGATACTCCGAGTCTAATGATCCTATAAGCTAAAATCCCCTAGAAAAGTTAACTTGCAAGTCCATTTATTCGTGAAATCAGATTCCATTTCTCGGTCGTTCACCATAACTAATGTTTCTCTGTCTTCCCACCGCAATCTTTGTCAAATTATTAAGCAGGAAAGCTTGCCATTGTGATCTATGATGGTGATCTCAACTATAAGAAAAATGCAGAAGTGTCAATGTTTCCATTAACCCAGAGAAAAACGCACCCAAGAAACACCAGACTAACATCCATCTGTTAGCTGCATACCTTTTAAACTTTGAAATGTTTCGAAATGCAGGCGCATGAAGCTGGTCATCATGCCTGACGATTGGTGCATTCTCAATCTGTGCTTTCACAGCTAAAAGCTCTCGATCACGTGGTGAAGACCAGCGAGGTCTCTGAAATCAACGGTGGCATTGAGCAGTCTCAATAGAAATAAAGCTTCGTATATATATATTTGCATACATATATTTACGTGAGCATTTCTTAAAACCAAAGAACATACCATTGAATGATATGCAGCATAGTTCCTTATCAATGAGTTTGTCATCTCTTGGACTGATGTTGGGGGAAATGCTCGCCTCTTCATTACTGGGATTTTGTGAAGAAGAGTGGCATTATGCGTTACAGTGGCCAAATCGCTGTCAGAGATCCCTGAACTAGCACTCTTGTTGTGTGTTTCTATGGCTGTTAGTTCTAAAAACGAAGGATCTGTCGAGTTGACGATGACAACATTTGCGGAATGTGCACCCTGCATTTCGGGCATTGGCAGACTCGTGCTATGGGAACCACTAGGAGGAGAGGTTTGTCGAGGGAACATAGAAAGAAAAGGAAAGTCTTCGCCCCCGTCTAGTATTGAGGTGCCTGCTTCACCGAGCTTCTCCTGTGAGCCTTGGCCTTCTTGGTCCCCGATCTTCTTTAACATGGCAGCATTTCCATCACTGAATGAGAACTCTTCATCAGGGCCATCATCATCAGCCACATCCAAATCTTCGTATGGCTCATCTCCACCACCTACATCTTCGCCAATGCCATCCGGTCGGCTTTCAACATCACTTCTGGATTTCACATCATAAAGAGTTGCCTCGACTAGTTCCTTGGCAACCACCAATGAAGCATTTCCAGGGTCACTTAGAAGGGAAAACTTGCCAACGGTCTTGTATTCAGAAGATGAGCGGTCACTTTGTTGGGCACTGAATGACTCGGCATTGGGCAGCACATGCGGCAGGGCCTTTCTCGAAGACAGTGTCAAAGTGTGGAACATAAGAACAAGTGATGCCAGCATGCCGCTCACCAAAAGTGCTCTAATGTTACTGGTTCGGCATAGCTTCTGAAAGTAGAAGACGAACTCTTCCATTTGAGAAAAGCGTTGTGACACTAAAGATGTGAACTGGTGTTCATCCTTTTCTTGACCCCGAACTCTTACCCCTGCTGTTCAGACAATAATCTGGAGAAAGATGATCTTCACGCGAGCAACAATTCCTACAAGGTGTTACAGAAGATGCTGATCCTCTGAGCACGCAAAGTGCGAAGGCGTCTCTTCTATTAACTTATAGTCTCTGAGCTTCGAGTGAGCTGAATACTAGCCACCGTTTACTACACTCGAACGGCGAAGAAGAAGTCTAAAAGAAAAGCCTGATCTGCTTCCGAGATTTCAGGGAAAGTGTCGTAATCTGGCAGAACGGAAGTATAAACTTTGACAGAAATAAAGATGACTGCGGTCTGTAGAACTTGACGCGTGCGGAACTATTTTTGGGGAATTCTCAATGACCTTGCTCCACTCCTTCCTCCAGTTCAGACACTAGGTTTTGTCTGCCTTCAGCCGCCTAAGAGGACCGATTTCCGAATCATTACCCTTTGAATTTCGCTCGACCTGAAATTTTTAGGGAATTTCAGGGATTAGACTTGCTGATCCGAAAAAATATCATCAGTCCTCTGCGTTTTGATAAACACCAAAACAGGCAGAGAGGCAGCCTCGAAAGAGAACGGTTCCATTCACAACTCACGACACAGATGTACGCACATCTCCGCATCTTGAGAGAAACGCCCAATTTAGCTTACCATGAGAAGACTATCCCAGGCCACTGCCTGGAATTTACAAAACATTGCGCCAGCTACAACGACGACATCCGAGGCAACTGAACAGATCAAGCTCTATAATTCATTAAAAAGCGGTTTTAAGATCGAATGCAGCCAGGAATGCATGAAACCTCAGGAGCCCCAGACCACTCCCCACAGATAAAAAGCCGGTATAAATTCTCAGAGAAGCAGGAGCTCCGGAAAACCACAAAAACAGAGAAAGCGAGAGAGAGAGAGAGAGAGAGAGAGAGAGAGAGAGAAGCTTGCGGAGCGTGAGCGGCGCAGTACCTGCCAGAGATCGAGCTTTCTTCGGACTCGGAATGCTCGAGTTCACTGGTAGCAGTGCATTGGCACTGAACTGGGCTCGCCAATCATCGGCGAGGGTAAGAAAGAGGTAGTACGTCCCTCTCTCTCTCTCTCTATCTCTTTGCGGCCGACGGTCCGATCACGTGACGTAAGATAAATTTGTCCGATGGCCAACATAATAAGAAAATTATTCGAAAGCTTGAACGATGCAGGCGCTACAGGGTTAGGAAATAAAACGACCCATAATTACTGGGTTTATTAGTTAAACATAATTAAGAAAACCCCATTATTAATTATTTAATAGGAACTGTACGCGATTTTACGACCTCCAAGGATATCTTCAATAGTCCTCTTCAGGGCACGTGCAATATCTTCGGACCGGCGCAAATTAGCCCCCGCCGAGCCTGCGATGGACCCGAACCGGACCGACTCATCTGCTTATGGGCCTTCTTACGTGGGCCTCGGTGAAGAGACAGCCCAACTCCAAGAAACGGTCCGGATCCAATGGGCCATGAGCTGGTTGTCACATTTTCCCCCCTTCTGAAATACTTTTATTTACGTACTTCTTATTTCGATAAAAGTTATACTTTATTTGGGTTTTTTCATAAAAAAGATCTTCTTCGTGAAGCCCTTTTCCTTTGAACAGTAGTTTTCTTCTTCCACACTTTGGGGACGGCGCTACAAGCCTCTCGCCACTCTTGCTTGCTTTCACTCCGGCCCCGTTTCCCACCGGCGCCGAAGAAGCTACCGGCGCCGTCTCCGAAAACTGTTAGGCCTCCGACGCTTTCGTTCCTCCGCTACGGTGACTGCCGCAGCCTGACCGTCGGCGAGAGGGGCTACAATAGCACTGTTCCCCCCCCCGTCTTCTCGTTTGCTGTCCTGGATCGTCTTCTTGTTGATTCTGTCAGGTTCCTTACTTCCCACCTGTCCTTATTATCCTCCCCGAACCATCGGTGACGCTAGGCTTCAAGGCAGTCTCGCATTCGATAATTTCTTTTGCTCTTCGAGGATAGACTGGAATTTTTTTTTCTTTCCACCGCCGTATATTCAGCTGATATTCCAATGGAAAAGTATCAAAAATTAAACTGAAGTGAGAAAATAGATTGGATATCTATGGGAACCATGGAGGAGGTCAGGGCGGATGGTCGCAATGGTCAACAACTAAGACCACTGGTTTGTACACGAAACCTGCTCCACCGGGCTCACGGCTCTGCTCAGTGGTGTCAAGGTCAGAAATCTGCCTCCTTTCCCTTTCCCCATCCTTTTGTCATCCTGTGGAGTTGGATGGTAATATTTTATGCGTTGGTTCATATCTTCCGCCATGTTAGCCTACATTCTCGTGTATTTCATTCAGGGGACACCATAGTGTTGGCTGCTGTGTATGGCCCAAAAGCTGGAACAAAGAAAGGGGAGAACCCTGAGAAAGCATCAATTGAAGTTATTTGGAAGCCAAAAACTGGACAGATTGGTAATTAGCAGTTCCTGACGATTTATCTGCTTCACTGTGAGAGTAAAGCTCATTGCGTACACCTGTGCTTGATTTTCTTACTATTTAGTGTACAATTGGGTGTGAAAATAATTAAAGCATTCAGGGTGTTTTATCCTTGTTATAAGCTTCCCTATGACATAGATAAACGGAATGAGTTAGTGTATGGCATCCAGGGAGTTGCTAACATGTTTCACCTTTGCTCTATCGTTTTTTGGAAATGAAGTAAACTTAGGTGACGTAATTAATTGTATGACGTCTTCAACAACTATAAACATTAAGAAGCGTCGTCCTAAAACTGGCAAAAGACTTGATTATTATTTTTAGTGTATGTAATTTATTTTATGAATATTCCATTGGACTTTGTGATCATATTCATCCAATAAGTTGAGTTTCTGGTTTATTAATTGCTACTTGTTTTCTAGGTAAAACAGAAAAACAGTATGAAATGATCTTGAGAAGAACTCTCCAGAGCATATGCATTTTAACGATTCATCCAAACACCACAACCTCTGTCATACTTCAGGTGAAGTGGTTTCCTGTGATCTTTTTGGTGCAGTTCTATTTCTTGCGTTGCGAACATTTTTTTTCCTCAACAGATTCTGTCTTCACCATTTAGGATCTCTATTTTCACGTTATTTTTAACACATTGAAAAAAACCAGTATTATATTTTAATCTGGAACATCACGATTCATCCCTCTGTGCTTTGATAAACCTGTCCTAGGTGAATGCACCAGACATTTCTTTCAATGCTATCCTCTGTGTTGAATATGCTGCATTATATTTCAGTCTAAATCATCCTATTTAGAAATTATTCTTTCTTGGATTTTCAATCTATTGGTTGCAATCCATGTGTTCAGCACCGATCTGTATTTCGGGAAGCAAAGTACCATGTTCATAAATGAAACATGTCAGTTAAGTTGATGGTTATCTTTCATCTAAGGGTTATATTACCGTAACCATTGAAAACTTTGGAAAAAGAGATTTCATCGCAGGAAGTAAACGATACTGAAAAAAAATCCAATTAGTGCATCGTAGAAGACAATTTAATGATGTCTGGTTTGTTATCAGATCCAAGATGGGCGGCCAATTTGATTTTTGATGCCTTCATTTTAGTTTGGAGTCTCTGCTTGTTGAATTGGGTGACTAGTATAGTTGTGTTGTACCCTCAAAAGATGTCTCAATATTTAAGTTTTATACATGATGTGGAAGTTTACTAGCCTTTCATATGTTGATATGATGGAGATATTGTCACCTGACCATGAACTGTTTTTGGCCTGTGTAGGTTGTCAGTGATAGTGGAGCTGTATCCTTTTGGATTTTATTTTGTTTTGGCGATGATAATATTCCTGTGCTGTACATTTGAATTTCTTTGTTTGGCGCATTATTTTAGGTATCTGCCTCAAATGTCGTGTTCGTGTCAATAAATTTCCTTCATGAAAACCAATAGCTTCTCCCATGTGCTATAAACGCATCATGCGCTGCACTTGTAGATGCTGGTATACCTTTAAAACATCTTGCAGGTATGTCAAGTGTGGTGCGTTCATTTATTTTCATTTCACTTCCTTATCTCATTACATTTTTCTTGTGAACTTCTGTAGTTTCAGTATCTTGTGGTTTGACACAAAATGGGTCTCTCATTCTCGACCCCTCAAAAGTTGAAGAACAGGTAATCGGATTTTTTTCGGTCTAGAAATAGCATTAAGATGAACGGATTATGCTGACATTGTGGTACCTTGAGTATTGCTTCGTCTTTGGGACAATGCCAGGAACTGTACTACATTGATGCCATGAAGTCAATCTAAACCCAATACTGATATATATGTATATACGCATATATACATATACATATATATATGTAAATGTATATATATATATATATATATACGTTGGCAGGACAAATGATCCATTGGGTGAAATCCCACGTATGATTACTGGTAGTTACAAACAATCTGAGAGCATAAACCCAGGAATCTTGTGCCAGAGCCGTGTTCCTGTTCATGTCCAGTGTCTTGTGAGGACAGGACTCCGTTGAAGTGAATCTCCGTCAGTTTATACACGATTCAGGGAAAATTATATTGATTTCATGTGTCTAGATTTTGCCGTGGCTTATTTTATGTATCCCTAACGTTGGTTCTTGCTGCAAGGCAGGAGTTACAGGCCTTTGTGTGCATGGCTTTTCCCAACTCTCCTGTAACGGTCCTCCCTGAGGCATCGTCGTCCAAGGAGGGTGAGCCCATGGAACACGGAATAATTACTTCCACTTCTTATGGTTCGATGTCAGGTAAATCTTTCTCTGGAATTTGTTGAGTATGTGGAAATTTGGTGATGGGACATATTTTTAATGGGCAATGTTCATAACTTAGATTTTTCATTTTCTGTGTTCTCTTCTCTTCTCTTCCCCTGCATTTCAGTTAATGACTACCTTTGCTGCATCGAGTATGGCCGAGCTGCCAGTGCAAAAATATCCGAGTTTCTCAGGAGAAGCTTGGAGACGGAGCACAACCCGTGACCACCATCCTCATACGATCGAGGCCATAGTTTTGATATGGTATCGAAAAGGTCAGCGGGCATTCAGATCTAACATGTTTGAAGAGGACATTTTCTTGATTTATGTACTAGGACGGCGCTATAGACTTGCAGTCAGCCAGATGTTTTGAGAGGAAAATGAATAATTTCTAGTTTCAATGCCCTGGCAATCCAAATATCTGGTGGATATGGATAAGCTGTAGGTGCTGAGTGCTCCATTCAGGTCAACTCTTTGAAGGGCAGTGATTGTTCGTTGTGGACTGTTGGATCTATCGATTTGCAGGTCACATCTATGGAAGGAGGGAGAGAAGACAGAGATAGAGAGAGGGAGATCTATTGTGGAGCTGGCTTGTTCGGCGGCGGAGGCTTCTCGTCGCCGCCATCAGAGAGCACGATCCGCTTCCAGAACCAGTGGTCCTCCCAGAGGTGGAACATCTCCTCGATGGGGACTTGCTTCGTCTCCGGCAGGAGGAAGAAGATGAAGAGGCTCATGATGACGATCAGTGAGGCGAAGAGTAGGAAGACCCCCCACCGGAGGTGGCAGAGCGAGGCGAGGAAACACTGGGCGATGGCGGCGGTGAAGAAGAGGTTGACGCAGACCACCATGCTCTGCCCTGCCGATCTCGTCTCCAGGGGGAAGATCTCGCTGGGAACCAGCCACCCCAGCGGTCCCCACGACCACCCGTAGGCTACCACGAAGGCACAGATCGCCACCACGAGTAGCGCTGCTAGGCCTTTCGATAGGCTCTCGCCGTGGCCGAATTTCAGCGCCAGAGTCACTGCGACGACCACCTGCGAGAACCCACCAAAGAAATCTCCTCAGTCAGTCAGTCGTTCCCAAGACCCCGGTGGCAGCGGTGGAGAGGCCTTTTGGGCGGTACTCACCATGGACAGGATCATCTGTATGCCAGCTTCCATGAACAGCGCTCTCCTTCCCACTCGATCGACGGTGGCCATGGAAACCAGCGCGCCGAGGACGAGCATGGAGCCGGTGATGATGGAGGAGTAGAGGGCGGCGCCGGAGCCGAACCCCAAGCTCTGGAAGATCACCGGCGCATAGAAGAGGATCGAGTTCATGCCGGAGAGCTGCTGGAACGCCGGGATGCCCAGTGCTCCAATGACTAGCTGGGGGCGGTTCTTCCGCCGGAGGAGGTTCCTGAACGGATGCTTCACCGCCCGCGCCGCCTCGCTGGCCTCCTTCAGGTCCTGGAACTCGACGTCCACCTTCTGGGTTCCCCTCACCTTCTCCAGAATTCGCCTGGCTTCCTCCAGCCTTCCCTGCTCAACAAGGCTGTTCGGGGTCTCCGGGAGGAAGACGCCTCCGACGAACATGACCGTCGCCGGCACGCAGGCCAGGCCCAGCGACAGCCGCCACCCCCAGGGGTGGATCCGCTCCGTGAAGTAGTTTATGATGTAGGCTACTAGGATTCCCAAGCAAGTCGTCAGCTGGAAGAGCTGGTTGACGGCGCCTCTGATCTTGGGCGGGGAGATCTCGGAGAGGTAAAGAGGGACCGCCTGGTTGCCGAAACCGATCCCAACGCCGAGAAGAATCCGGCCGAGGATGAGCATGGCGATATTCACCGCCGCCGCGTTGACGGCGCCGCCGCAGAAGAAGCTGACGGCGCCGACCATGATGCTGACTCTTCTCCCGTACTTTCTGGTCACCGGCGAGGCCCCGAAGGTGGACAGGAGACCGGCGAAGTAGAGGGCGGATGTGAAGAGGGTGAGTAGCTGGTTGTCGTACTTGCAGTAGTCCGTCTCGTGCAGGTGGGCCTGCTTCCTCCGGTACACCGTCGGGAAGAACTCCTTGAGGAAGTCGTCCATGGACGTCACGCCGCCTGCATCGATGCAGAATCCCCGTAAGAAGAATTTCTCCTTCATCCACCCAAGAGACCAGATTCGATCCAAAAAGGAGAAGAAGAAGAAGAAGCTAACCAGAAACTCCGAGATCGTATCCGAAGAGGGACCCGCCGAGGGATCCCACCAGACAAGCCAAGATAAAGTAGCTGGTGATGCGCCCATTGTAGAGCTTCGCCCTCTTGCCCAGATCGCTGCTTGCGAAGCCCCCGGCCATGGCCGCCGCGGAAACTTCGACTGTTCTGCGTATCCCTTAAAACCTCTCTCAGCCTCCCCCCGTCTTATCCTCAAGCACTGGAGTGATCGCCAACAACGCAAGGGGAGAAAGGGGAGCGCGAAAACTCCACCACAGTCAAGATCTCCAGTCAGGATTCCGACAGAAACTCAAGCATCAGGTCAGACTAGAGGGACGATAATCGATTAAAATAAACAGAAGATGCATTCCCACGAGGCGACGGCATTTGACCAATCTGCCGACCCCCGGCTGCAGCACATGGGACTGTTGAAGGGCGCTGGCGACAGCTGAAGACCGCCGATTGGGGGGTCCTTATAAAGTGTGTTGTGCGGTTTTCACCGGACTCCTCTCTCTCTCTCTCTCTCTGTGGCCTAACTACAGGTAAAAGTTCGCTCCTTTTCGGGTGTAATCTATTGTACCATAGGACTCTCATTTGATCGAGACCGTCTGAAGAGCTGGAGACAGATTGCATAAGGGGGGGATCGGTTGAGCGGTTGTGGCGGGGCGCTGTGACGAGGCGACCGGCCATGCATGGCGAGGGAGACCCGGTCCTCACCGCGGCCGAGTTCCTCGCCGTCATTTCCGGGGACTTTCTCGCCTCAGCAGCAGCAGCCGCCGTCACAGCCTTGAGATCCGGCGGGGGAGGATATCACGCCCGGACAATAACTAAGCGACAAGGGAAGGTTGACAAATCTTAACATCATTGACCGATTATTACTGCATGCAGATCAATACGAATATCAGCGAGGACGTCGTTTGAACACACAATCTGCCGCCAATCTCTTTCATTGAAGGCGATTGGTAAGATGGATTACTTCGTCTGGTCCAGACTTTTCTTCAGTGTCCATCAGTTCCCTTTGCTTGACTCTCTCTTTCTCTCTCTCTCTCTTCTCTTGCTCTCTCCCATGGACATCCCCTAAATTGGTTTAGCTTAGGTTTAGAATGGCTAAAATTATTCGACTAGGAAAAAATATGTATTTATTGGACTCGAAATAATCTCAGACAAAACTAACTTGAGAGAGAGAGAGAGAAAGAGAGAGAGAGAAAGAGAGAGAGAGAGAGAGAGAGGACAATGGGTCTGGAAGCTAGATTTATGGTTTTAGAAGAATATGACAGAACTTAAACGGAAATCCCTCAAATGGGTCATCGGCAACAAGATTTGGATATAATACGGGTTATTTTCAAATTAAACAGACAAAAAAAAATGAAAGCGAAATAATCTGAAAATTGTGCCCATTGACTTTCATTCAATTTCTAATATACAACAATCTCGATGTCCTCGACTGAATAGATCATTTGCCCACGTCTCTTCTGACTAGAATAGACTTGATTTCTCTGTGACTCGCGACGAACTGATTCAATAAGAAATACCATTATTCCAAAAGAATACGGATGCTAGACAGTGTTACCCTTTTAGTCCTACAGCTTGGAGCTGCCTTCAGATATACAATCCCTTCCGAGTTTCAGACGAGTCTCTTCTGATTACGCGCAGCTGAGACATGATCCTGAAAAAAACAAAAAAAAAATAATAATTATACACAATATTACTTCTCCAGCGAAGGACAGTTTCTGAAATGAGTTGATATCTTGACATAAAAACGAAATAAATGACATCAACATGAACAATGCCCCCCCGCAGCTCCTCGACCGGCGCGCCAGCTTAGGAGTGACAGTCGGCATGATAAATTTCTATAACCAATAAAAACTTAGCATGCCACCGACTGCATGAAGAACTTGGTATCAAATTCTGCAGTGACTCGGGAACTAAATACATTCATTGATGGAATGGTGTTCTTACCGAGATAAAATCGAAGGCCCTCGTGTCCTCCTTTGGGGTGCTGATCACTGTAGGGTGAGCCTGCGCTGGATTGTTTGAGAGGTGAAAGATATCCGGGAGAGCCGAAGCTGAGGGATCCACAGAAGCATGTGAGATGCCGGCGTTGAGGTGACCAAAGTTCTGAAAAAGCAGCTGCTGCTGAGGGACGAAACCACCCATTGGAGCATAATTGACTGGCTGTGGAGGAAAATGTTGATTCAGCATGATGCCTTGCGGCATGCCATATGGCATGGAACCGAAAGGAAACATTGCATTCTGATTCATGCCGATCATCTGCGAGACAAAAGGACCGCTCAAGGCTTCATTCGCTTGGGGCAGATTTGGTTGGCTGCTTACACCCCCCAAGTTGGTCCCCCCGAACACGTCCCCTCCCAGGGCAATGCCAGGTAGATTGTTACCTGGGTGGGACTCCTTCACACTCAAACCAGCCATTAGATCATGCACATCATTCTTCCTCGTCTCCAGGATACTGGGGAGGACGGTGTCTGTACCAAAAATATCAATGAACTCCGACTGTTGTGAACTGTTAGATCTATCATTGCCCTCAATAGGCTGCTTCTCATCGACTGCCAAACCAGAAAATAGGTCATCTGAATGTCCTCCATCTTCTGCCACATGGAAAGATACGTCGGCAAATGGATCTTCCTTTTCGTTTTTGCTGGTGCTTGCATTGGAAATAGACTCGGCTCCAAATAGATCATCAACCAATGAACCACTTGGCATCACATTCGTAGTACCTTGATGAGTTGGATGCTGAGCATTATCATCATTTCCAAAATCATCGGATTCCCCAGTGTCTATTAAGTCGGGCAAAGAAACAACAGGAGCCTTTGCACTAGACTGCCCGTCTGATTGTTGTTTTACCCCGTAACCGCTCTCACCATCTAAAAGGCTCAGGACCTGCGGGAGAAAAAATAAAAAAATAATGCAACTCGTGACATCAGGCACAAATGTTGTAAACATATGTGAAATGCCAAGATTAAGCGTATGCGACTCCTGCTCAGGAATTAGACACGAAGAAAGGAATATGGTCAAGCTTAACCAAACACCTAGGCCTGAGAGAAACTTCTTACTTCGAAAGTAATTCAACAAATTATCAAGTTTCAAAAAATAATGAGAAAAATTTGTAATCGGACGAGATAGAAGTCGTTTTTTTTTTTAGTTGAAGACAAATTAACAACCAAGAGATGCTATAAACTAAAAATAATTATATCACAAACACAGGAGCATATGATCAGTCAAAGATGAATATATGGATATAAAAGCACTGCATCCGGACGGAATCTGCAGGTAACATTGCATGATTTCCTAGCATTCATCGTATGTTGACAACTCACAGCCAATGACACATAACAAAGGGTTAGTAAGAAAAGGGCATTTGAAATACAGAAATTGTCAGGTTGAGGGATCAAAAAGTTTCAACAGTCCTTTTCAAAGTGGAAGGTCATTGAACACCTACGGATGCTTAAGACGAAGGGAGGTGGATATGCAGGGAACATACAAGCACCTCAAATTGTATGTATTGAGTCTCTTGCTGAGAAAATTAATTAAGTAATTTTTACGGTAATTTTCATGCAAATCCACGTTAAATGTATGTCACTGGTGTATTCCAGCTAATGAATATGTAAAATAAAAATAAAAAATGCCAACTCATCAAGACATAAGCGAGTAGAGAATCAATTTAAACAGGCGTGGAGCTAAAGAAAAGGTGATGTAAAACATTAAAACGTGCTATCGGTTTTATCTAGGAAAGCAACCAAAATATAGAGATTGGAGAAATAATTTAGAGAACAGCTACCATCATGGGCACTAAAGAAATTTTACGCAAAAAATTGAAGAAAAAAAATGATAAAGCCAAACCTTATTAGCCTTATCCCTAAGGGAAGCCTGGGGAGACTCGGAGCATTTGACCACACAATCTCCATGCTCAACAAAATAAGATCGTATGGAAGATAAGTCTGCATCATCCTTGCTTCTCAGTATTGATTCCAGCACACATATAGCCTTCATCCGTACCTGCCACAGCCGACACATATTTAAGCAAAGGCTTTGAATAACAATACTGAAAACAGAGAACTATTCCAGTCAATGTCAACAACTGACTTTTTCTAAAAGACGTTCAAAGGAACCACCAATTCATTCAAAATATGGCGAGACAAAATACAGATGTAGCGGGGCAAATTTAAAGTTGCTACAATACATTTAGTGACATCAGGGATCATATTAAAAAGAGTTATAAAATAAAGAACATGCTGAAAATAAAGACTTATCGTAATGGATGAAAAAGACGCAGGTAAATAAATTTCAAAAGCATGAACTCTCCAAATAGCATTAAGTTAAAACGTTAACATAAAAATGATCATCCTTGTAAATTTGAGTTAACTACACAAAATCATCGTATAACCACATTAGGAGAAAAAGATCAAACAGACCAAAAGAATCAAACAGGACCCTTTCTAAGACACTTGCTAAGGAATACAAGGGCATTTAGTCGTATTACACTTCTAGAGAGCATAGAAGCAGCATACTTTGTACTTAAATAAGTTTAATCAAAAGCATTGTTACTTATCTGAACCGTAGATGTATCTACTGTCAAAAAACACGACTTTCATATGATTTTAGTTCTGTAAAAGTGTAAAATTGGCGCCAATATGGTGTCTCAACCTGAGGAAAGTAACCGTGGAGCATTGTATTATACATTAATCATGGCACAGGTCTTATGTCATTATAAGAAAAACGGCCTTCTAATGTATCCTGTACAGTAAGGAGGCACTGTGAATGCTTTGAGAAATCTCCCTCTGCCATGCTAGAACACTTGCTCATCGAGCCATCATGATGGCGAATGACATTTTCCGTGTATTGTTGTAATACAAGCTCAAGCACTGCTGCTTTTTACATCATTTCAGTTGTTATTATACAACTAATAAATGAGGACTCAGAAGCATTTTCAAGAGGTTCCATGATTGTTTCTTTGAACTAGGCTAGGGTTCAAAGCCAATTTGCCAATTTTCCCTCGGTTATATCTCGTCTTCATTTAGAAAGATAGCATATTGCCCCAAAAAAAAATGCAATAGTTTATCTACCTCGATGAGATTAAGCAATCCAACGATCAATTAAGAACTAGGAAATCCTAATTCCTAAAAGCCAGGAACCATAAGGAACTAGAAGAGAGTACAAAGCACGTCCAAAATTTGCTGAGCCCCACTCAATGTGAGAGCATCACTTGTCGTCACTGGATTCCACTATCAAGTGTAGAGAGTTACAAGGCTCTGCACAACCAGAAAAATTCCTCCTAAGCCATTGCCTAAGGGTAATTAGCATATCTTGTCTCACATGCCTCCCTTCAAATGATGCAGATCTGAAACCATTTCAGGCTTCTTCTGAGATCCATCACCATGTGCCTCCAATCTAGTTCATTCATCTAATTCAACTCATGATTGATATGATAGACACAATAGAGCCTTCTATAGCTCAACTCATCTGTGAGATTCATGCTTTCTCCGAGAGAAATTTAGACATCCAAAAGAAGGCAACAGTGCGAGAATCAGGGATTTCTAGAAGTACACTGAACATAGTTTTTTTATTCAATCATAACACCGAGGAATTTTGTAGCATTTGCAACAGATGGAATTACTTCTCAAGGGGCAATTTCTTTATCAAACATAAAACTACCGTACACCAAGATGTATGAATTCAGGGCTGTATCTCCATTAACTCAAACTTGTTTTTTTCTCGTTTCTCTCCAGGTCCTCATTCCTCACTCCTGTACCAGGTGTTGAAAGATGTCGTTCGGAAAAGAAATTACCAAGTGATTATATCACTAAAAAGAGAAATGCCATCCTCATTCATGTTAACAAATGAAATGATGAACTGGAGATAAAGTATGAAACTACACATGAAAGGCTCTCTCCTTCTTTCAACAGTACAGCATTACCACACATCCCATTAATTCTGCCCACCCAGTTGTAGTTCTAGTAAAAAAATGTTAATTGAAGTCGCCATAGGACCTCTTCTCGGACATGCTTCTCATTTTACTTCTCAAGAACAAACAAGGTTTTTTTAATAAAATAAATGGTGTTATTTTGAAGGAAAACACAGAAGGAATCTCGATCATATAATCCTTCCACAAACTGGTTCCAAATACATGTCACATTCCATGAGGATACTTCATTTTATGGTTCTATGATTATTGATGGCCGACACTTTCTGATGTTGCATAATAAATCTGCCACAGTTCCTCCACGCTACAATATTGCCCAAAGTCCTTTCCTTCCATACTGTCATCAAATTCGCACTACTTTGTCACCGCATCTGGCCCACTACATGGCACCCTAGATAACTGATGGAACCTATCCCATGGTCAAGTTCACACTGGTAGCGTCTTGGCATTACACTGACCACACACTCCAACCAATGATCATCCTGTTTTCAAACTTCATTCTCCTAATTGGTTTTTATTTTTTGTCCATTTCATCTAGCAAAAGTTTTCCTATTGAAGTTTTATTCCCTTCGCGATGACTCCAGTATTACCACATGGAAATTGAATGCCTTCAACAATAAAAAGAAGTACCAGATGACCTCAGGCCCTCCACGCGTCAGTATCCATCTACTTAGATCATAGAAGTATGAAACGCAAAGCAGATCATCATTAGCAAGCTAACAAGAAAAAAATATACGGAATAAAAAGCAACTCTGTTCACACAGAATCTGTCTTAACTAGTTCGAAGTTTGGGCAACACATTCTATTTGAACTAAAAATGTATCGACCAAAAAGTTCAAATAAATTGCATTCACAGTATCGATGGCAATGGCATTCGATAGAGACAACTTATCTGCTTCATATATTGCTTTCACAAGCAGATGCTCATGAAACAATTATTGGAAATAACCATTAGTTGAAAAACATGTTTAGAGAAAATCACTAAAGAAATGCCTTCCAAGATATTTGCGAAACTGATCACGAATGAATAGTTCCATCAACTAAATGGAGGAGAATGAATGAGGAGCACATGCCTGCCACAAGTGAGATTGCAGCTTCGACTCAAGTGCATGACTCATCGCTATGGGATTCAATTTGGCAGCTTCCGTGAGAAAAATCTGAATAGCATCACGCGTAGGTTGTAAACGCACACCACTGGATGTGACGATGGTCTCTAATAGCCTCTCCTCACGACTCTTATCACTACTGGTACTTCCATTAGAAGGTACTGCATCAATGCTAGTGCTAGAATCTTGGGTCCATGATGCAGAAGCTACATTCTTTGGGTTTACAGGGGACGTCCAACGTTCCCTATGATCATCTCCTTCATATCTGTCACGAGTATCTGCCTCATTAGTCAGAGACCTGTGCAAATGGGGACTCCTGTAACTCCCATTATCGTTTTTCCTAAACGAGTGTGCTGCAGCAATAGTGCTCAATCCTTGTTTTATAGAAGCACTACTCAGACCTACAACCTCACTGAGGAAGGACTTCTTATCTTCTGCTGGAATATCAAAGTTTGTACTTCCGAAACCCTCCATCCGTTTCCTCGTTGTTTCCACTGGTGCCTTGCTGTCATCAGAAGAAAATATAGCAGAGACAGCCTCGTGAGCCGTGTCACGGACAGCTTTGTTTAGGGCATCTCCTTTCAATGGATCAGGATAGCCTTTAAAATGAAACAACTGGCGAACAACAGTCGAATGTCGTTGCATTTCCCTCCTAAATTCTGCACCAGATTTCACAACTGCATACTTGATCAGCCGTAAAGCCTGCAAAACAGACGGGAAAACTGAGACAAGCTCTGATAGGGTAACAGAATAACGAGATAAATGTCCAAAAAAAAAATTAAGTTCTTCTTTTGTTTGGCTGAGAATAATCTAATATAACAATCCTTATAAAATTGAACCGCAGAAGCCATGGGGACTACGTATGCTATGAATTTTACTTGGCCAAAGGCAGAAGATGTAAAAAGAAGAATCGTGTGCTCGTTTTTCCTGGATTTCTGGAAGGAAAAAGCTTGCTGGCTCCACCATCCGAATTCTGAGGTTGAACTCTTTGAAATCTAAATTGGCTACACCGGTCATTGCATTGAAAGTAGAACCGAAGCAATCTGCAAAGGAATTCATACCTTCTGCTTGACAATAGGGCTCTTGTGGTCGAGCCTCTTGAGAATGTAGTCCGAGACCTCCTTCACGATGCCAGCGTGAGTGGTACGGAGAAGTTCGCAGACCTCATCCAGTTTGTAGACGGGGGCGACCTTGTCCTCGTCAGACGTTACCCCATCGATTAGGCGCGATCTCCAGTAAGCCTCAACAGCTCTTCGGCTCGAATCCATGATAACCCCAAAGTGATGGTGATTTCAGCCGCAACAGCAAATAGTAGATTAAATTACTTCCTTCCTAGTCCCACTTCAATTACACGGCGGTGTGCCCTGGAAAACCAAGGTGCGAGCCCAATACACGGCGAGCGGCAAGAAACACGACTCCTCAGCGTCGAATTGCCGAGAAGCGCACCGCAAATCCAATCGCGCGACCCAGAAGCCCGGGATTTTCCAAACGCACACCTGAAATAGGGGCCTAGGTAGTCCGCGCTGCGTCGATCCGAGCTCCCCAAATTGGGAGACCTCGAAACTCCTCGCCGTCCCCGCAGACACGAGAAGAGAAGGAAAACCGCCGCCGGATCGGGACGCAGCTCCTCCCCCAACAACACAACACGACCCCTCGGCGACCAGCGCGGCAGCCAGACGGAGGAAGGAAGACGACGAGAAGGAAAGAGGGATCGATCGACACCTCTACATGCGGCAGGGGAGGAGGTCCCCGGAGACGAGCTCGCCCCGGCGTCCGCGTGCCGTTCGACTGCGCGTTCTCCCCCCTGTTTTTCCCGTGCAATCGCAGCTTCGAGACGTCGAACAAGTGACCGCCACCCCCCCTCTTTGTCGTGGTGCGATGCGCATCGGACGGCAGAGGCCCGTCTCTGTGGGCCCCACTTTCATCGCGTAATAATTAAGTGAGAAACGTTTTGCGCTTGTCTAATCGACTTCCACCGACGCGTCACCGATTTAGACATTGGATCTCATCAGAGGCGGATCGAACGGCCGGAGATGGCTCGACCGTTGCCCGCCCCGCTTCCGAGGACTCCCCCACACCGGTCTCGTTTAAGTCGTAACGAAAAATATGATACGCCAATCATACCGTTTTATGACGTCGATTTTTGTAATCTCATTTTAATATAAATACCCAATATTCACGATATATATTGGAAGTGGGCCCTTTCTGACGCGGCTACTTTGGTATCCTGGTCAACAGAGTTTTCGTTGACCCATTTTTTATATATAAGAAATTCCGGAAAATAGCCATGAATCAGATAAATAAAAATAAAAATCGTAGAATTAATTGGCTGCAGCGACGAGGGCCTCTTCTGACTCATCGAGGGCCATCTCGTTCTTGAAGAGCAGCCTGATGTAAGGGAGGACCCTTGGGAGCACGGACAAGTCAGCCACGTTGACACTCATCATGTCAAAGCCGATGCACGTGTTCTTCATGTGCTTCTCGTCGAAGACAGGGATCTTCGGGTACCTCTGGCTGAAGTGAGTGAGGATGATGCGGTAGGCGCCTGCCGAGGTGCCCACGTTGACGGCTTCCATGGTCGTGCTGTGGTTCCTCGCCAAGGCTTCTTCTTCCAGCCCGTCCTCGAAGGTCGCCTGAGAGAGCAGAGAACAACAAGAATGCCTCAGTTTCATGGCCAAGGACTGTTCCACATCATAAAGCTTCCATTTTTCGACTCCACAGTGGTTGAAACAGAGACCCAGAAAGACCCAGAAAAAAGATCACGGATTTATCGAAAGCTAGGGACGGAGAGACCCAGAAGATTGTACCAAGGAAGAAGGTCGAGACTTAATGAAGCTGAGTACCTCGTGAATCAAGACTGTTGCATCCCGAGAGGCGTCCACGATTGCTTGGCATGGCCTTGTGTCGCCTGAATACACCATCTTCCATCCGGGTATGGTCTTTCCAACGCGGTTGGTCCTCTCAGCGGCCTTCACGACGACGCCAAATGCCTGTGGGCAGTGCACCACTGGGACACTGAACAGAGCATCCAAGCCTGCCCGATGCAGCACCCGTTTCAGCTTTGCTAAAAGAGGGACCATGGTGGCAGTGTCAACTGGGCTCGCCGGCCGCTTCCAGCAGCTCTCCATCCTGCTCCCCTTTGAGAACAAGGTGTTCTCCACACGGCCAGCCCCATCAAGCTTGTTATTATTCTTCCCTAGCTCGGGGGTGTTCCCCCCCAGTCCAAGGGAACCTGCGACAGCATCAAATGATGCGGCCGTGGTGTACCTGCAGTCCAAGAACTGCATGTCAAGGTCTTCCAGCCTGGAATACGCATCAAGAAATCTCTTCAGCAGTCTTGGCCCAATCACGAGCACAGGCTCGTGTGGGACTCCCTTCAACAATTCAGCACGTAGTGCGAGGATCCTTGCCAGGCCGGTGTGATGATCAGCGTGAATATGAGATATCCAGATAAAGTTCAAGGCTTTCACAGCATCATCGGCGTCTTTCATGCCAAATCTGAGCGCCCAGCATCAGAAAAGTAAGATCATAGGAAAATTAATGAAGATAAGCAAGTATATTTGTGCAGTATGAGCAAAGTAATGACCTTCTCTTCAGTTGTCCCAATGTGCCTTCACCGCAGTCTAAGAGCAAGCTTCCTCTTGAGAAAAGATTAACGTACACAGAGCTTACATTCCGGTATTTTGATGGCTGTGAAGAACCTGTTCCCAAGAGAACAATTTCCATGTCCTCCCGTGTGATATCTTCCAGGCAGCTTGGTACATCAGAGTCATGATCGACATGAATGCCTTCAGATATAACTCTCTGCTGACTCATCTTACAGCTATCCGACATCACTGCATTCTCAGTCATCCATGGTTCTTCAATCATGTTATCGTTTGCAGATGATCTGTGCATGGAATCACCTGAGCCACACCACAGCTGACTAACAATCCTTGAAGCATCAGTGATCTCAGGAATTTCTGAGATGAGTTCGTCGACTATTCCTTCGGCTGTCAATGAGCTTGGGATGACGGATCTATCCAGGCCCAGCTGGGAATACGGGCGAAGATGAAACTGAAAGGAAGTCAGGGTAAAAAGGTATTAATTACAGGGCCAAAAAAAAAAAAAAAGGAGGCACCATGTCACAAACGCTCCAGACAGAAGACGGAGAGATAGATGCTGTACAAATACGTGTATCTATATATTAGGTTCAATAGTGAGGAATTCAGCATGCCCGGGTAACTTTAGCGACCTACTTCTTCACAACACTGATTCTCACTGATTCAGCTGGTGATGCTGTTGAGGAGCAGCAGCAAAGCTTACCAACTCCAGGACTGAAGTCTAACCTATACGAAAATAGAGGCTACTAATCATTAAATAATACTCTTTGAATTAAACCACTTTATATTACATTATAAAAAAAGTAAGATCCTGAATACTAACATGATCTTGAATTTTCTTTCTTATACTGGTTTGGTCTCAATCCTCTCCTGAACCAGCCGCATGGATTTCAAATATGGATAGCTAGGACTCAAAACTCATTACATAATCTACAAGAAATAATAACGCGTCTCACCAAATAAACATTCCACAAATAGCACATATGCGCATAAGCATGCCAAATATATCTAAGGCATAATAGGGAAATTCCTGCCTCAGAGCTGCAGATAAACTATCACATGCCGATGCTAACTTCAAATACACTAATGAAGTCAATGTGCAGAACACATACTCGAAAGTCTAAAAGAACTTGATATATCCTGTATGGTTGATTCTACAGGCAAAGGTAAAAACAAAAAAAATCCTCACTTGCAAAACTGCAAGCAAGTAATCTCTAAGACTTAATGTGACAACCCTCTCATTAAGAGAGGTGCACCATGTTCATACCTTCAAAAGATTTTCTGCAGATATGGTTTCACAAACAATGGGAGATGAATCCTGAAAAGATAAAAAATGCTAAATTATCAGGACACCAGCATGGCACATCAATCCTGATCAATTTAAATAGTACAATAGTGGAAATTATAAAAGGAAAAACCTCTGTGGAAGCATTGGAGTCTTGAAGGAAGCTACTAGGGTGCTGAACAGACCAAAATCCTTGCGTTGGAAAGAGACGGGGACAAAGGTAATTAAGCCTTGATGTGATTCTTGCACTGGATCTAAGAATCGGGATCTGAATATTTTTTCTGTATTATAATCAGGAATAATACACATTAGAAGCTGAAATAGAAACCTTCAAACCTAAACAATATAAAGTAGAGTCTAAACCCCCTGTAGATATATGGTTTAAGTGATGTTGATAAATCGGGCGAGGGAAACCTTAAATGGATTTCCAGTAACTTCAAAGAAGCAAATAAAGAAAACTTTCGTTCTTTAGAGAAGCAAAAGAAGATTTAGTTCTGCCAGGACGAAAAGGAAAAAGAATTAGTTCTTAAAAGAATGTTAACTCCCCCAATCAAAGAGAAGACAAAAACGTCTGAAATTGAGCATAAAACAGAGATACCACTCCACGTTATTCAAAAAAAGAAAAAAATTAGTCCAAGTATGCACTCAGAAAAAGAAAGAATGATTACGTGTAGCCAAACAAGACGATAACTTTATTACGTTATCCAAAGAAAACTTACTCAAGAATTTCCAAAGAAAAATTGGAAGCAAACGAGCAGTCATGATTCCCCAGCTTCTCACAAGCGACATGCATCACTCCTTAGTCTTGCCACATTCCTTTCCGAAGTCTACACTCAATGGGCCTACTAGTTACCAAGTCATTATTCCTACCTCCATATGTTCGCAGCCGAATGGTCACACAGAAAACATACCTATCATGCATTCTGTCTGATCCGATTTCTAGAAAAAGTTGGTCAAAGAAGTGCAGTAGCATAACATCTGATTCAAATTAAAAAAAATATGGCTGTTCCCAGACCTCGGTTTATATTTGTTTCAATTTGTTACATTGAGGTGTTGAGCATACTGTCACTGACAGTGAGCTAGGCTCCTCTTCCCTTAAGCTGAGAAACAAGTCAAGATTGCTAAGGAATTTCAGATATGAGAATGTCATTTTAATATGAAAAAGATAATAAACAGCTATAGGAAGCCAATTGAGTCTTTCAAAAAAATTGAGGCATTTTTTTGAATGTCATTCAAAAAAAATTCTAGGTTTAAACTAATTATCACAGAAGACTTCAGTAGAACTTTTTTTATTATTTGATTAGGTCGGATTATCCTCTAACTAAAAAAAAATGACGAAAAGGCATTTTCAAATAAGTAATCTGTGATAAACTTATTATATATTTACTAGACTTGACCTCGAATTTTTTTGGTGGATTTGATTCATGAGTGATTTTGGAAATGATGGATAAGTTTATGTGAGAACAGATTTTTTTTGCTATGTTTGCCTATACACACTCTCCTAAATCTTTTCAAGGACCTGAAAAGAGAGTATTTTTTCACCAATGGATACTTCCAAAAGGAACAAAAAGATTACATTAGCACTTAGTGCCAAAAATACTGATCATTGACACTAAAACCGTGTTGTAGCTAGTGTCCTTAATTGTTTTTGATTATTGATGGCAACTCTGGATAACTAGCACTGATTAGTGGCTCTGAGCGAGGACCGAAAGACAAGGAATGGATGTTACATGTAAAATTTATAATTTCATGAATCATCAAAATTATTTGATCACCCGTGATAATACAGATTTTATGGACATCATTAGCAAAGTTCACAAATGTTGTAATGCTAGACAAACTATTTTTGAAACCCTAGCTCTTCCCTACAACAAAAAAACTTTCTACAAAAGACTGTCACTACCAGCTTATAAACTAAGTAGAGTTCAACATAATTTACTGAGGATCCACAACACTTTAACAGAGACTAAAATCAGAACATTATAAAGCATGATTTTCAAGGAAACTCCATATGTATAATTTATAACAAGTAAAATATTATTTCTCCTTTTATTTTCGCAGAAAGCACATATTGAGGATACAATCCCAAGAGTCAATGCCTGAAAGAAAGTTAGTATATTTTTCTTTAACAATGGTTATCAATGGTTGTCAAAAGAATATTATCTTAATACCGTTGATGCCTCATTTCTAAGTGTAATCTTAGTACAGAACGGGATGCTTTAATTTTAGGCATTTCTAACTTGCACAGACCCTATAGACTGAGGGATGGAGTGAGACATCTTCATGTGACTAGTGTTTTCAATCACAAATTTTAAAAAAACCCGGTGGATTGCCAGATATTTTCTTCATTGGATTACATGACTGTCACTTTGAATTGTGGACAAAATACATAGTTTAATCACATTCTGTGAGGATAAGGGAGGGGATAGATTGAAACTGGCTGAAATAAGTCTACACCAACATTGGCTAAGCACGGACACGGGAAAATTCACGTTTGAACAGACTGGATCCAGGGACCAGGGTTGCAATCTTAGACCAAAAGAAACTACATCGAACAAGAAATGTTTGCAAGCATAGCCTTATAGCTGGTTGTGAGCAACATTAAAGTAAATAGCGGAATGTAGGAGAAATGACACCGTAGGTGGACCCAATGAGGACATTTTCAGTTGTCTGTGAAAGATTATGAAAAGAGAGGGGGGCTGTAAAGTCGGACAGGAGATTTCCATCAGGAACAGCAAGTTTCCCATCTCAAAGAGCAAGTTTGGTGCAAAATCCAAAAGTAGCCAATCAAGCAATGCATAAGTCCGCTGAATCTTCCTCCACCAGCTAGTAAGAAAGAACAGGGGCAGCAAGTACCAGATAATTCTTCCTTTGATAGATGCTTTGATACTCACAGCCAATCTATCTACTACTAGAACCGCCACTACAAGGTAACATTTCACTCATTCAGTGAACGAAGGCCATAGTGCCCATGAAAAATGGTACGCTGAACGAGCACAAATATAACGTCATTTTACACACAAAGATTAGAGTACATTGACCATACAAGTGTTACATGTATGTACAGACCATCCGCACTGATAGCATATCATTGATATCTAAGAGAACGATATGAAAGAAAGTGTTACGGAACACCAAAAGAAATTACTGAGTTTTTGCAAGACGCATGACTTACATTTCATGCCCAGCCATAATATGCTGTGCACCAGCAAATCTTTTCATCCAGCTCCGGTATTGTGCAGTCTTGGTAACAGATGCAGGGCCCAAGTGGATCACACAGTTCACAGACTTGGATTCCTCATTTGACTGGTCCATGAAATTTGTGTAGTACGGATTGAGAGATTGTAAAGACAACAGCTCTTGTAAATAAGCTTCTGAGGGGCAGTCAACCAGAAGTACAATTGGGCCAGGGATTGATGGATCAAGAACGTCACTTGGATGAATCTGCAAGCAGAATGTGCAACCAGAACTCAGAAGCAGCTCATGTGAAAATTCCATTACATCTCTTTTGCCCTTTTACATTTGGTTTTAGAAGGTTGATTTGGGCTTGGGTTCGGGAGAGAGGGCATACGTGCAGAAGTGCAGAAAAAATCATATGAGCTAAAAGTAGTAGATATTGGCTTACCATGATGTCAAGACGATCAGACTTGACTGACTTGCCAAGTTGCAGTTCACGATATTTTGGTCCAGGTTTCAACCCAAGTGCCTGAGCTTTAAGAGGGTCAAACTTTCCCTTGATTTCAGACAACTCACATGCATAAATCACGGCAATATCTCCAGGTTTCAGTGAAGATCTAGCTTTACTTTGCAAATCCAAGTTATCTGAGTTTGCAATATTAGCAACATCCATTTTATCAGCACATTCTCCAGAAAAGGAGGGATGAAGGAGAATAGCAGATATCTTGACAACCTCATCATCAATGAGAACAATTGGGTTTGTCAGCGACCTAACAGCCCCAGAATTTGACGAGTCTGCCCTGTTGTCATCAGTTGTACCACCAAAGCTATGAGTGTGAACCATAGCAGCATTTGGAATGAATGAGCGCATTGCTTCCACAAAGTACTTAAAATCAGATGGTCCCCATATATTGACCTTGAAACAGCAAAGCCACAATAAAATCAATATATTCAACTGGTAGAGGTAAATGTGCAATGCTTGACAGCAAAATTGGAAGGTAAATAGCAATCAGCACAGTTTATGACTGTTTAATTACACGTGTTTTTAAGGCGGTAAGGAAACACTATCCTATTAATGCAAATATAGAATACTATTGGAGGGCAGAGACCCATTTGATAGATGGTGCGAAAACATCCTGCGAGAGTACAAATGAAAGAGACAGAGCACTTGGCCAGGGGCTTAAAATCATACTAAATTAGAAACATAATGCCAATGTTGAGCTCTTTGAAAAAAACTGTAACCCAGATACCACATATTTGCTGCGACTATTTTCGGTTCTGGTCATTTTCCCATTCTGCCAGGATGTGAGAGAAGGAAAACTGGAATTTTCTTGTTGTGGTCTGCCATTTGGATCTACAATAGGATTTTTCAATTTGGAGCAAGCTGTCAAACACTGGTTTCAAGCAAATTCTATATGGAATACAGTGTTACCGCTCCATCCACTGCTTTTCTATAACTGGCCACTCCCGGTACAGATCGGCCAGTACTCATAGATTTCTTCCAATATGCAATCAGTGTACCCAGGCCACCCTTGAATCCAACTACAGTTTTGCACAGACGTTCTGCATCTCTTACCTGCACCTCTGATTAAGTGGTTAATCGTAACCGACCACAGCTCCTCCATCCCTCAGAAAATGTCCTCAACAAACAAGGTGGTCATAGTTTTTTTTCCAACATTTCTGTATTCTTCTTTATGTTGTCCAGCCTACTTCATTTGGATGCCTCAGTCATTCAGTTTTCAAGATCTTCAAGCCTCCCAACCTCACTCTGGTAAAACCTTTCTATGAGACACCGCCCTCTAATCTAGCAGTTCTCCAGGTACCTACACAGTTTCTCTTCCCTTGCGTCATCCACCCTTATCTTCAGTCTAAGCCATTGCTCTCCAAACCCATACAGAAATTCCTAGTCAATGTCTACTATTTTAAAGCATCCCCTCTTTCAACAATTATCAATTATTGGCCAACTGGGAACATGCCAGAAACTAAAACCGGGAATCAAAAATCCCACCTGAATATATGGTCCAGTGATCTCCATGATGTTTAGAGATTCTAGCCCATTTCTTCTACAGGTTCTAACATCGTCGTTCTTCTATTAAACCATTAGAAATCTGATTGCTTTTCAGGTCCACTTCTGCTTCCCATTCAAAAGCATCCTTCGTAGTACCACATTTGGCCCAAGGTCTGCATGAACTATTTTGCTTGAAGAACAAGTGGGATGGCCCATTGAGAATCTGTTATAATAACAAATCTGAAATGATCATTGCTCACAACCTAGTACAATATGATTGAACAAAACACGTCAAGAATGACAGACACTTCCTCAAGGAGAAGTTGGATGGCAGATTGTTTTGCACACCTCATGCATCAGCACATGGCCAACTTGAAGATGTACTTACGAGAGGACTAAGTAGTCCAGTATTTCAGAGTATTGTATTCAAGCTGGGAATGGAAGATGGCTGTTCAGCAGCTTGAGGGTAAGTATGGGAAAAATATGTAATTAGGAGTTAGTGTCTTTTGGCCAGTTTCTTAGTCTGTTAGTAGTTACCTAGTAGGTCAGTTCCTTAACCTAGGTAGTTACCTTTTTTGTGGTCAGGGTAATTACGTATGATTTGGGGAAAATGTGCAATTGTTCTATGATTTGAGTATAGAAGAGATTTTTTCCCAACTGTTCATCCTTGTATAGTTTGCGTCAGTTACTATTCATGCATCTCCTCCTATAGCCAGGACACCAATTGGCCATCAATTCTGTTCTAGATCCACAGTTTTTCTGCTTCTAAAGGCAAAAGACATTAAGAACAAAAATCCCTTTCACACTCAAGTCCTTAAAAATGATTATTTATGGCACCCGTATGAAGGGGACTTCAGAAAAATGAGAATCAGACCCTCAGGTAAGCTAGTGAGCCACATTTGTTTGAAAGATTTGCATAAAAGCTGTACAAAACTACGCCATAGACATTCTTCTCTTTTTCTTTTGGCAAGCCATTGTTAAGTGGTCGAAATCCTGTATAAAAGAACAACGGTGAAAACACATCTGGAAAATTAGATTGTATGAGGTACAGAAAAAAAATTAGTGTTTTTATCCTGGCTCCCCTGAGAAGAAACAGGATTTGGCTGAAAAACTTTCATATTAAACTAAAAGCCCAGCCAACGTGTGATTCAGAATGACTATAATGACAAACATATTAAACTAAAACAGATAGATAGCTATCCAGTAAGAAATTATGTCACTTACAGACATCCCTTCCTCACCAATACCAGCCAAGGTTAATAGAAGACCTGCAGGTAAATAAAAACCCTTAACCTAGTTGGAATTTTTTGTCATCAAATTAGTTGGGCAGATAATTCTTCAATATTTAAAAGATAAGGATAAATGGCACCGGAGATCAATTTACATACGTACCTGGAAGACCACCAGCAGTTTCTGAGCAAACACGGGTCAGAAACATATGATCAATCTGAAGGATCAACAGAGAAGAGGCACGCATTAGACTATGCATTTGGCATAACAAAACAGAAAAAAAATATTGGCACAACACCGATCACATACCTTTGATAATTTAATCTTGTGTTCAGTGCAGAACCGTTGTAAGCCCTGAATTTTAAAAAGTGGATATAACAGGTAAAAGGTTGAAGAAAATCATTCGAAAACAAATTATGTAGACAGTTTGATTGAAGGTCTAGAGTATGATTTACAATAGTACTTGGTTTCCTAATGAGAAACTGGATGGTAAATTTTTCGTTGACCATCAACAATAATAGTCAAACTTTAGAAGGGATACCAAACCCACCAAAGAAAATTACATCTCTTCAGCGATGAAAAAGGAGACCAAAATATCCATATATGCAGAAAGCGTGATTCTAAAAAAAAAAGCATTATGCATACTGGTTTGCAACATTTTCACAATTCACCAAAGAATTCTAAGCCTATTATGATTATAAAGAAACAGGATGACTGTTGAAAACTAAGTGTACAGTTTCCAGATTACAGAGGCAGCTTCTCAACAAGTAGGGCCGGAAAAATAGTAATACCACACTCTTTTTCAAGGTACCAATTTCCTTTGCGTTAAGTAGCACCAGTTTTTTTACTCCTCTCTGTCGCTAAATTAATCCCTAATCCATTTCTAATTAGCCATATTAATCAACAGCATATTATCTTCCTAGAAGGAGAAGCAGAAAAATGGATTCATGAAAGGAAAATTCATCTGAAGCGAACCACTGAGAAATCAAACTAAAGGCACCCCACTAAAAGGCCCTGTAGTTCAAAGAAAGAAAAGAGACGATGCCAGAAATAGTCAAAGGCCAACCTGGCTTCACTGGGCATCTGGTAAAACAGTGCTAGCATATCTATATTCCCTGCTTTCCTCTACGTCATATTACAGGAATACGTGGGGCAAGATGCAAGTAGTGATTCAAATTAACGAGATACATACCACTGTTTATACAAGATAATTTTGATCACTCGATAGGGTGAATTCTGTGCAAATGTGCTTTCTCTGAGTTCACTAGGAGATGCCTTGGTCATAAATATGTTAGAATTGTAGGTGGCTATCTTTATGACAACCAATTTCAAGTGTTCTAGAAAGAACCTTAATTTTATTTTTTTATCAACAAAAATTCCCTATATAACACTGTTTACAAGAAATTCATCTCCCGTTCTTCATTACATGCTTAAGACAGAATGTCTATCCATAGGATACAGCATATACAAAGCTTATTGAGATCAGTTCATTGAGTGTAGCATGAATAAGTATTTAAACTCCCATTTGAAGTAATCAAACGAAGTTTGCTTCCAATTCGAAGAACGCGGAAAAGTTCAAAGTCAAATTTTTATCAGCGGCTGAGCTTTGAAATTATAATCGTGTAGCATGCCAGAAGGCAAACAAAACTCACATGTTCTTACTGACCTCACCAGCATTGAAAATGAATCTCTGCTTGTCAAAGAAGAGCAGTACCGAGGGTGAAGTATCCTGCGTATCCATGCCAGTCCCCAGAATCTAATGGGCACGATGAAAATGAGAGAGAAAATAAGCTAAAAATACTTTTGAGTGGAAAAATATAAGATAATAAATGAGAGAAAATAAATGGAGAAAAGTTTGAAGTGCAAGAACCCGGGTCAGAAAAATCTTACTAAATAGAAACCGAGTCAAGAGTAAATTTTATTTTCAGAATTGAGAACTCCCTGTTCCCAACTAGTAAATCAGCCTCAAAAACTTTGTGGTTACCAATTTTTCCAAATGCTGAAAGTTGAAAATAAGTAAACAGTAGCTCCCGTCTCACGACTGAATCACCTTTACCTGGGCATAGCAGATGGTGCTGACAGGGTTCAGCTTCCGGACCTTGAGCTGCAGGTTTCTCGGTTTGGCGCTCCGATCCCTTCCCTCGGCTCTCTTCCTGTTAAAAGTCGCACCCTCGAGTTCCATTTCCGTCGATCCCTTACTCTCCCGCCTCTCCCTTGCGAGGTCGCCGTCGCTGCTGCTCCTCCTCCTCTGAGGAAGGAAGTTGCCGGGTCTCCTCCCTCTCCAATCAAAAGACGAAGACGACGAGAATATGGACAGAGATTGGCGAGGTCTCTGGGTGGCGAGTGAGAATCTACACCCAAGGGACGAGGCGAAGGAGAACCTGAAGAGATTTGCGGAGGCCGATAGAGGTCTTGCCGGAGAACAGGAAGGGAGGAGCAGTCTGATACCAGTGATCTGTGGCATCGTCTTATATGCTTTTTAAGGGCGAGAGTTTTCAGGGGTTTAGACGAGGAGTCGTGCAACCCCGCCGCAGCCGGACAGGGGAAGCACGCCGAAGGAAAAGGAAACACCCAGCGGATAGGAATTCCCCATCCAACGGTCTCCCGCAACGTCTTAAGTCCTCTCTCTCTCTCTCTCTCTCTCTCTCTCTCTCTCTCTCTCTCTTTCTCTCTCTCTCTCTCTCTCTCTAACTAAACCTTAGTCATCAAGGGCTCCATTGCATGTACTCTCCATTAAAACTGTACCCCAAATCACTCAGTCAATGGGCTAGAAACGTCCCTCTCAATTCCTTGCATGCCATAAATAAATAAATAAATAAATGTACAGATATATATACCCGTAAAATATACTCCTGATTAATACTTCGATTTCAGTCAAAGATAAAGCAAAAGCTTACAATATCCAAACGACTATCTTTCAAATCCACAAACTCATTTTTTTCATAAACGACAAGTTGTTGCACCATATTCCATTCACACATAGTGACGTTTACTAATATTTAGATCTCTATAATTTTACAATTTTGGGAGCCAATAATTGCTTTATTAATTTAACATTAACTATTTTCTAATAGATTGTGAGACTCATTAATTGAGTTGGTCATTTGATGGTTATGTTTTTGCAAGACCTGCATATTATTTTTAAATAAAATTGCTTAAAACATGTTCTAACTCGAGCAACTATGAAACCCAAGTGGAACTTGCAGAGTCACATGATACAGGGAAGGAACAGGCTCCTTGAGGAGCTTGTCTCGGATAGCTACTACATGCTGGGGAAAAAGGGGAGAAGGGGACGGAGGGAGGGAGATCAATATATCTATGAATCAATATGCATATTTGGAGAGAGAGAGAGAGATTGAATGGGGAATAAGAGAAGAATATGCAAATTTAATAGGGATGGAGATGGGAAAGAGGGATGGGGGATGAGAGGAGGATCAAGCAAATAAGAGGATTGAATGAGAAGAAGCGGGAGGTGAATTTAATAGGATGGCGAAAGGAAGGAAAATACGAGACCACAATTAATTAAGGAAGAAGGTGAAAGAAAATGTCACATTGAAAGGAATGGGAGGGTGTGAGATTTAAATATTGGGCACCTCATCAAGGTTGAGACTGAAATGTGCATGGGCCTCAGTAGCCTAGGGTCTCAGGTGAGTTGAAGCTGAAGTTTATGAGATTGGATTGGGTTGTGCTGAACTTATTTTGTATACTAAAAAGGACTTTAAAAAAGTGGAATAGAAAAACGTTATCTTCTTTAATATTAACTTTGCTTTTTCTGGTTAGGGTTCTTCATCACTTAAATTCCTCTACCTTACCAATTGGTTACCCCATATAAAAGTATTTAGAGTTCACATTATTTCTCCATCTTTATTTCTAAATAAGCATTTATTTTCATTTGTAATTCCTCGTTAGTGATACAATTTGTATGACCCTCAAGGAAATTTCTAAAGCTGATTAAGAAAATATAATTATAAACTTAGCTATTATTGCAGATTTTAATCCAAGATTAGCTTTTTGTGTTAAAAGTATTGGTGACCACTCCACCAAGAAGCCACCAAGTTGTCATAACAACCAAAGTCTAATCAATTTTGAACTATCTCCAATTAATGTAGTTCTTATGTATATAATTAAGGAATTTAACTCTTGTACAAAATCATATGAATTATGTCCATTTAATTTTATACAAGTAAAGTTTTTTAAATAGTAGGTTTTCTAGTATGTGCTTCATTCAAGAAATAGTTCAAAATCTCTTTTAGTTAAATTGAGATTGCCCTCAAAAAGCATCCATGAGAAATTCAAGCGGTAGTGTACCTCAGATTGTCACTTGAGCAAACATTCCATCATGAAATCTAATATTAGGTTCAATATTCATTGGTAGAACCATTTATTAACTTAGTTAAACTTATTTTTAACAACTCATATAATTTACTTGGCCAACTTTGTTTTGGCTGGTCACTGCAAAGTCTTTTTTTTTCATGTAGCTTATTACTTGGTCTCAAAAATTGTGTCGTTGATTTTCTTCTTTTAAATTAATTTTAATATTAACAATGTTAACAATAAAAACTTAAAATTTCATTATTTCTGGGTAAAATAAAACATCAACTTTTCACCTTGTTGATTTATGCCACTCAAAATCACCTTTGCTTTGTTGGGATGTCTTCAAATGATTTAATTTTATAAATCACTTCACAATCATTGAAGAATCTTCATGATCAAGTTTTTGAAAGGTGGCTGCATCAGGTAGGTGGTCAATCGTTCTTGTTAGGCACCATCAATGGTTTATAGAACTACTAGTTATGATCGTTAGATATTTTCCTTCCTTTTATTATTGTATTAGTTAAATACTGAAAAATGAAGAAAATGAATTATAATTACCACATGAAGAAAAACATATCACTCAACTTAGATTTTGATGTGTCAAACGTATGTGATGAATAAACATATGTGATGGTCATATGAACATCATAATTAAATTTCCATATTGGGCTCACAATATCTAAAAGAGAAATCACGAGATGGTCAACTATGCACCACGTGTGATACATTAACTCATTTCCAGCATTGACTTTATGAGCCTCACATGTTCCGACAAATGTTGACTTATCTCATTAAGGGTGATGCTTCCTACCATGAAGTCGGCGTGGGATAATAGGCATGGTCCGGCATCTCTGTTTCGGCCGGAAGCACGGGGAAGCGACTTTTTTCTCGCTTCCTTGGCGAGGCTGAATTCCTCGTGGACAGTGAACGTTGAGAGCGAAAGTCGTCCTCGTGACGAAGTAAGGTAGCGGATGAAACCCAGTCGATACCCTTAGTCATCGTGCTGACTAGTTCTTCCTTAATATTGATAAAATTGGAAAAAAAAACTCGAAAAGGATTTATTTTTTTTGATATTTGTCGTCGTTGTCGCGATGTACAATCTTCGGAAGAAAACATATATGCCTTACGCCACCGGACGCAGAAGGCCAAGACAGTCAGCAACTTGGAGGCGCAACCAATCCACGGCTCTACCACCACCTTTAAAAGCCCTAGTCCTCTTTACTAGCCAGGCCTTTCTGCATCCGAAACCAAATCGATCGACTTCGGCTGGCAGAGCTCTGCTCGACCGATGAATTTACTTCGTCTCCTCGTCTTCCTCTTCTTCCTGTTGAGCTCCTCCTCCTGCAGCGTGGCTCAACCACAGTCCGAAGATTCCCAGCAGGAAGTCGCTTTAGCGTTCAAGCCGAGCGTGGCGATCGTGATCGGCGTCTTCTCCATCGTTTTCTCCCTCACCTTCCTCCTCCTTGTGTACGCCAAATTCTGCCACACGGTCGACGCCGCCCCCATCGGCGGCGACTCGGAGAACCAGTTTCAGAGCCAGTTCAACGGGCTGCTCTCGCCGGGGTCTCGCTTCTCCGGCATCGACAAGAGCGTGATCGAGTCGCTGCCTTTCTTTAGGTTCTCGTCGCTGAGGGGGCCGAAGGAGGGGCTCGAATGCTCCGTCTGCCTGTCGAGGTTCGAGGACGCCGAGATTTTGAGGCTGCTGCCCAAGTGCAAGCACGCATTCCACATCGGCTGTGTTGACAGATGGCTGGAGAGCCACTCGAGCTGTCCTCTTTGCCGGTGCAAGGTAGAGATCGAGGACGCCACCCTCTTCAAGTACTCAACCAGCTCCCGGTTTTTGTTCGGAAACCCGCCTGACCGCGGGGGGCATCTGGAGGAAGGGGATGAAAACGGGCTGTATGTGGAGAGAGTGCCCGGGGAACAGGCGGGGGCCTCCTCGGGGTTCACTTGCGGGGGGAGCTTCAGGAAGACGGGAAAGGACGAGCCTCTTCTACCGGAGGTGGACAAATTGCTGCACAAGCACATGCATAAGATCATCCTGTCGGACGTCGTCTTCAAGAACCGATGGAGCGATCTGCAGTCCTCAGACCTCATCTCCCTCAAATCGGAGATGCTTGGCGTGCTATCCAGCAAGCGATTCACGGAGGGAAGCTCCAACGGCGGGGTGCATCAGACAAAAGATAGAGGGGAGGAGAGTAGTTCGTCGGAGAGCAAATCCACTGGAATAGATTTCAGCCGCCCATTTCCGGCGCCGGGGATCTTCCCTTCTAGCTCAGGCTCCGACGGAAATTCCAATGGCTTCACCTCATCATCAAAGTCAATGATTCCCTCCGGCGACAGATCCATGTCTGAGATTATCAACATCTCAAGGTTTGGTGATGCAACGAGAAGGAGAACAGGGTCCGAAGATAATTCTGATACAACCCACAACTCGAGAGATGAGAAGATGAGGCGGCTTTGGGTGCCGATCGCGAGGCGGACGGTCCAGTTGTTTGCCGGAAGATAAAAGAGACCGGAGACACACCAGATAAGACCATAATCCATTGTCTGAGGCATCGTGGTAGGTCTCTCCTCTCGCCGTGTTCCTGATCCCCGAGCATAGGTAAAGATCAACGCGATGCTTGCAACGATTCGTAGGCACCATTAAGCAGGCAAAAAACACACTATTCATTACAATTCAATTATTTTTACCATTATCAGATGAAAATATTTCTTTTATCCCATACGCCTTTCTTTTCTTGCATGCATTCCCCCATAGTCGTATGCCGTATCTTCTCCTCCCATTCAAGCTACGATTGCCCGTACCCGAAATCCACGTCACAACGCTCCTATCCTCTCCTCTGAGTTTTGGGTGATGAATACAAAAGGACGATTATTCCACACAGCGGTTTCCCTTCCCCGACATACCCCTACTGTGCCTTTCAAGGCTTCGTCCCGATAATCCTCGAAGATGGTTGCGATCCTTCGTATTCTTCCCCTTCGCGCCGTGAGATACAGTAGAACGCAGCTCCTGCTCGCCATCCCCTCGTTCTTCGCTGTCTCGACAAGCCTCGCGGCCACCCAGACCGTGCTTGCTTCTTGCCATGAAATTATGGCGCTTATCTTACTTTTAATTCAGACGGGAACACGGTGAAGGTGCCATCTGGTTGAACGGATCCCAGGGGTCATCGGCTTCGGCGATGGCTTATATATAATAGAATACGCCGTTGCATCACACCCCACCCCCCTCCCCTCCTCTTCAGATCGTCAAATGTCTGGCCTTCTCCCCTTCTTCCTCCGGTTTGTTTTCTAGTGAACTTGACCTACTGTTGGCATTTATTCTACGTTACTTATTCGTCACAGTTCATATATTGTTGCATCACATCAGAGCACTAACGACTGGATTCGTCTTCCTTCTGAGGCGAGGATCTTGTGTGGTGGGTCTCACAGTATAGGCTATCTGTCTTGCTGATTAGCCCGTTTTCTTTACTGTGTCTCATCTGCACTCAGCGCCTATTATATTTGACCGTATTAAAAAAACTGAGCCATCTAATTTAAAACAGTTGTTGCATGTGCAAGAAGCTTTCATTCATTTATTTACGAAATTTATATAACTTTTTTATTTAACCGTTTATTTGTGAGGCTGTCATCGTTAATCCTTTGACTTAGTCTTGCCGCCTGGACGACTGATACGTACGTTCTTACGTAGGATTAAGGGGGAATGAGGGTATGAGGATGGAAAGCAAATCGAATTTGCAATGTTTCTTCCATCGGATTGTTCAATTGCATCACGGAAAGTATCTTTAAAATACCCTAAAAATATATAGGGAGTTGTATTCAGGGTACGAAACTGGGAGTTTCAAAGTGTGGGTACAAAGAATACGCTCATAATTTGCTTGAAAACATTAATCCTATGTAATTACATTTTCAACTTATTTTACCTTCTTAGTAAATGGATAACGTGATTTACGAGATTCATAGAAAAAAGTCATCATTTAACAAATGACAATGTTTAGGTCAACTGTAAGCATCATGCTTGAACCAGCAAGCACATTTGCCCTGAGGCCGCCCAAGCCTGGGCCTAGCCCGTCTGTCCATCGGGTCAACGCGGGGGCTTCCGGTCTAGATCAGCCCATCGACACCACTATTACTTAATTTAATTAATTAATAGATGGCATGGTTGGTCAGTGCCACGTCGAAATGCCATCTATACCCGTGGGAATGGGTATGACGCGGACACGTCAGGGGCGGGTTTTGGCGCGTCCGTCCCCTTCGCAAGTGGGTCTTGCTTTGGTACCCCAGGCCGCTCGTTTTGTCACGGATATAATTGGGTCGCAGCTCTTTATGGTCACGAATTAACGTCAGCGCCATTTGGATGGGCTCGTTGACCTACTGAGCATCACTCCTTACGTAATTGTTTGTCTTCTTAGAAGCTCACGAGAAGACGGCCGGGGGCGCCGGGGGGGTGGGACTACCGTCGCTCTCTCTCTCTCTCCCCCTCTCTCTCTCCTCCCTCTCTCCCTCTCTCTCTCTCTCTCTCTCTCCCGCTCTCCCTCTCTCTCTCTCTCTCTCTCCCCTTCTCTCTCTCCCTTTCTCTCTCCTCTCTCCTCTCTCCCTCTCTCTCTCTCTCCTCTCTCTCCCTCTCTCTCTCTCTCTCTCTCTCCCCTCTCTCTCCCCTCTCTCTCTCTCTCTCCTCTCTCTCTCCCTCTCCTCTCTCTCTCTCTCTCTCTCTCTCTCTCTCTCTCTCTCTCTCTCTCTCTCTCTCTCTCTCTCTCTCTCTCTCTCTCTCTCCCCCCTCCTCCTCCCATAGTTTCCACCCATCAGGGCCCTATGATGCGATTTGAGTTTTCTCAGGTTCCGCGGTCATGACCAGAAAACGTCCTCTTCAAGAAAGCTCTAAGAGGTAGATAATTGAATGCCAATTGGAAAACCTTGAATGGGTATCTCGAATGAGACAAAATCCTACGAGCTAGACAAGAAAGTCCTGACAAATAATATAACTTCGCCGGAAGATTTGATTAATCGGAAAAACTAAATGGATTATATATATTTATTTAGAGAGAGAGAGAGAGAGAGAGAGAGAACCACGTTCACACAAGGTCATTTGTATATTAGTATATCTAAAATTAAATATTTAATCAAACGAGGCGACTATCACACCCTTTACTAATTGCTGATTGATTGATTTTGAGTCGTATGATATTAAAAGTATAATAATAGTTAAGCTGTATCTCCCCTCATTTATGTTGGAATTCCATATGAAAAAGCATACTAAAAAAGTCGTCGATTATTTACTGTAAAATTAATTATATGATTAGAAGATAAGACCATTACTCTAGTCGATAATTAATTTTAAATTGAATATTATGCACGGATGATACGTTATCAATCAATGTGGAAATTCCCAGGTGAATGGATTATCGACTAGAGGTGAATGGATTGATAACGTTTCTTCCGTGCATAATATTCAATTTAAAATTAATTATCGACTAGAGTAATGGTCTTATCTTCTAATCATATAATTAATTTTACAGTAAATAATCGACGACTTTTTTAGTATGCCTTTTCATATGGAATTCCAACATAAATGAGGGGCGATGCAGCTTAACTATTATCAGACGTTGGTCAGCTTATAACATCATACGACTCAAAATCAATCTGCAATTAGTCAAGGGTGTGAGAGTCGCCTCATTATAATTAAATATTTACTTTTAGATATACTAATATACAAAAGACCTTTCGTTGGTTTTTTTCTTAGTTTTTGAAGAAATTGTAAATGGCCATAGGACTAGATATTAAGCCAGAGTTGGGATCAACATTGCATCCCCTAAATGGAAGCAATGCTGCTAATTTTGGGAAAGGCAGCTGTGGCATGGTGCAAACCCTCAGTAGAGGAAAATTGAAGAATTCTACGACACGGCCTGTGGAGAAATTCATGTAGGAATATCCAATCTTCCAAGCCTCAGTATGTATGGTATCCTGACTTCTCTGAGCTCCAAATGTCGGAGTTACTGGACGTCGAGCTTGACCTGCGCCTAGCGCGCAACTCCTCTTCTACTCGGCTGATGCTACTGGTCGGGGTCTCCTTCTTCCCGCCTCTGTTCCTCCGCCACTCCCACTTCCTGACGAGTTGCCCGACCAGCATCACTCCGAGACCCACGAAAACCGAGACGATGGAGCCGACCCCAATGGTCAGCATGGCCACGAGCATCCACCTTGTCCCCCTGGCGGGCGGCAGTATCACCCATGTTCCCGCGATGAAGGCCGCCACCATGAAGGTTATCGAGACCCACATGATCCTATGCGTCACCCGCAGGAGACGCATCAACGACTTCCGTCGGAAGGGGATGATGCTGACGAGAACGATGACGATGGCTATTGCGGTGAAGAAGGCGACGTTGTTGCCGACAGTGAAAACCTTGAAAGTCGTCAATCTTCCCATGATTGACTTCCCGATCATTACTCCATCCTGATGGACCCCTCCCGGGGGATTGAGGCCGGCGGAGAAGGTGACCGTGGCGATCAGCACAGCCACCAAGGTTATCGTGTTGCGGGCATTCCGGAGGCCCTCGATTTGGAGTTCCTTCTGCTTCTCCCCCCGTCTGCTTTGGCCGTGGTGGCGCCTGGCGTGGTTCGAGTTCGTGGATTTCCTTTTTGAAGAAGAAATCCGGGGGACATCCGCCGGAAACGGTCCCTTGATCGGCTGTTCAATGATTATTCCTATCTTCGACGACGAGCCGGGCAAGTCGTCGCTGCGTTTGCCGCCGGCGTCCAGTAATGTGGCTGCGAGTTGCAGCACTCCAGAACTGTTTGTTTCGCTTGGCACGACGTCAAGAGCTGTGAATCCCCTGTGGTTGACTGCATTTACTTCAACACCGCTTTTGTTGACCAGGTACCTAACCATCTATTCTCACCGAGAAGAACAAACCCGTAAGAGTTACTGAAAAGGAATAGGAGGTGGGGCATAACAGAGAATAAAAGAATACAATATTGAATCAAAGATTAAGTAATCTTGTGAACTCACTAGCGTCGGCTACGTTCTTACATTGGACAGCTTCGCTGCTGTTGCAAGATGTAGAACAGTGTTCCCATTCTGATCGGGGAGATCGATGATATCCGAGACGTCCAGCCTTTCGACCAGATACTTGACGGCCTCGTACTGGTTGTACTTGACACCGAGATGGAGGACGCTCTCCCCTTGCTTAGTCAATTCCTGCAGGGAGTCGCGGCTCGAGGAAATGATCTCATCGATGACGTTGACTCGCCCTCTGACGACGGCCGAATGGAGGGGAGTCCTTCCGTCTTCGTCTTTTGCCAAGCAAAGATCAGAGTCGTTTCGGAGTAGTTCCCTGGTTATCTCCAGGAACCCTTTACTGGCGGCTAGATGGAGGGGAGTATGACCTTGGGCGTCCTTCCTCCACACAAAATCCGGGCGAGCTCCCAATAATGTGCGAACGATTTCTGGTCCATCATGAAGACGTTGTGATGCCCATCGTCAATCATTCACTTCTCATCATGTTCATGCTAAATTAAAGCCGAAAACTAAAATAGTGATTGTTGTTGAAGTAGATGGGATATTAATACTGCATAAACCACCATACTAAACAATTTTATTCATTTCTTGCAGCCACCGTGGAACTAAGACGGCCTCTGAAGTTCTCTAAGTCAGCTCACCTGTGCTTCCTCCGCAGGCCGCAGCATGGAGACACGTGGAAGTGCCGTCTTCCTCGGACGCCATCTGCCACGGCCAATCAAGAAGCCTCTTCACAACGTTTAGATGCCCGTGGATGCAGGCCACAGCTAGCGCACTCCGGTCCTCGGCGTTACGCCTGTAGCCCACCCAAGGATCCGCCGCCATCAACACGTCCACGACCTCCACGCTCCCCTCGCGGCACGCTTCGTGAACCGGCGCCTCCATCCGGGTATTCTCCGATGCCACCAATTTCGGTTCCATCTTCACGATCTCTGACACCAGCTCATCGTGACCAAGCCTGGCCGCAAGGAAAAGAGCTTTGGTCAGCGCCAGGGTGCTCGTCTGCTCTGCGTCTCCCTGTTTATCCTCCCTGACGAACTCCACGAAGGCGGCGACATCGCCGCTCTGGACAACTGAACGGAGCCTGTTGTTCATGTCTCCAGTAATAAGCTTTTGAGTCTCTGGAGACGCCAGAAATGGAACTACGATGTGTGGGAAAGTGAGGATCGGGGGGTTACGAGAAGGAGCTCTTTGTTCCGATCAAATAAGGAAGACGGGAGCGAGTGAACAGGTAAATGAAGCCTCTCCCCTCTACTGAACAAAGAAATTCGGAAGAAGCTTCTCCCGGGAGGCTCCTCCACAGCGGAACCCCCCCCCGAAATTTCACGGCTTCTAGAGCACAGCGTGATTGTCAACCAACCGCGTCGGCCGTGGTCCCAGACACAGTCGCGTTGAAACTAGAGAGCTTGCCCCTTTTTCCTTGTTTCACACCGGTGTGAGAAAAAAAGGATCCCTGAGGGAATGTCGTCCAATACCTGATCTGGGAATAACCAAGAATATGATCATGATTTTGTTACCAAAAACATATGGTTTGATCGATTTCTCTACGCCAAAATGAGTTACTCAAAATTTTATTGTTATATCGTCAAAGATGCACCCATGAAACACATTCACCAGCTGCAGCTCCTTTTATGTATAGTCCACTAACTCTTATTCTCTCGCTTGTCAAAACGAATTCATGAGTTTGTGCCGAGAAATAATGCTTTTTGAAAATAAACTAACTTTGTATGCAACAATTTTCGCGACCTTTTCGTCGAACTGTAATTAGGGTTCATCGAACCATATGAAGTGAAAGAAGTGATGTGGATAAGTAGATGAACTTACTTGGTCCTGATTTTGATACTACTCACCACTATACAGTGTCGCCACTACGGGGACGCGTGGACGGATGTGGGCAAGTGCGCAAGAAATGAAGTGGGGGATGGGGTCTACAGTCACCCGCAACCAGACAGCGTGGAGCTTATCAACCCCATTCCTGGTTCACGTGAGAACCTTGTCTTCGGACGCGGTTGATTTAGACTGGAATGGACCATTGCACATTAAAGTCCAGGGTTAGGATGGGCTCCTATGGTTCAATGCACTCGGACCGATTCCGTCTTGGAGGCCCCCGGGACTCACAGTGAAGGAAGCCGAGGGCACCACACCTTCCACCTTAAATTATCTGAGTCGCGGGGTGATCGCAACAGTAGATAGGTAGGAGAAATTCAAACCCAGTGACTGCGCCACGGTCTCTCATGAATGATACAGAAGGTGCACGACCATAAGAAAGCAAATGCAGACAGAGACCTTTACAACGAAACACTAAGGCTCGGAAAAGATTATTCCGACAACAAGAAGCACGAGCTTGGAAACATTTCAGCTCCTCACCCTTTCAATCCGCAGATTTTTTCATCAAGGTCTTGAATCTAGAAGTCGCTCGCGAGTGGTGCATGCTCCGAGGACAGGTAGGCGTAGGTGTAGACGAGGCCAGCCAAGCCGCCGCCGATAAGAGGGCCCACCCAGTAGATCCAGTGCCCTGAAAAGTCGCCGCTGACGACGGCGGGTCCGAAAGAGCGAGCGGGGTTCATGGATCCACCGGAGAAGGGCCCGGCGGCGAGGATGTTAGCACCGACGATGAAACCGATGGCGATGGGGGCGATGGTGCCCACTGAACCCTTCTTGGGATCCACTGCGGTGGCGTAGACGGTGTACACGAGACCGAAGGTGATGACGATCTCGAGCACGACACCCTCCAGGGCTCCTACTCCGGACCCCAGCGAGTGGGTCGGGATAGCCTGCACGAGCGAGCAGTGAGACGAAGCGCTATGGTGCTGGAACTGGCCGAGACTGTGTTCGATGGTTTCTCGCTTACCAGGCCGCCGGTGACCAGCTTCAGGAGCAGCGAGGCAACGATGGCGCCAACGAGCTGTGCAACCCAGTAGAAGATACCGGTAAGGATGGTGATTTGCCCGCCGAGGGCCAGGCCGAAGGTGACGGCGGGGTTGACGTGACCACCGGAAATGTTGGCGCCGACTGCAACAGCGACGAACAGAGCGAACCCATGGGTAACCGCCACGGCCACTAGTCCGGCGGGGTCGAGGGCCGCGTCCGAAGTCAACTTCCCTGCACATGGTCAACGTCTTCAGCCAGAATCACCACCCAAGAAACAAAAGTCAGACCGCTCCACGAGTGCAACGCGGGAACCCAACCGTAGGCTATGGCCGATCCTACTCCGGCGAAGACGAAGAGAAGCGTGGAGATGAACTCCGCGATGTAAGCCTTGATAGAGGCGCCGCTGAAGGAGTCATCGAAGCGGCCGAAGGCGATTCCAGCCATGGCGAGGCTCGCTCTTGGTCCCAACCGGCGCTAAATTCACTGAGGGAAGAAGATGAAGCTAAGAATCGTGAGAGACCTCCGCAGAGGGAGGGGGCGTTATATACCAGCTCAGCTCGCCGGCGATGGAGCGGATGAGGCGAACGACGCAGGCGAGCCATATCCAATATCCATCCGCCAGCTGTCCTATCATGGTCTCCTGCATCCGTCGGGAAGCCCATTAATAATCCCTCCCGCCATCCCATGTGGCTTCTAAATCTCGGCCCGCTGGCCCACTCCTTCAATCATCGCTGTTGTGGTGGGCTCGTCCTAGCCCCAGAACGGGCCGTCCGTCTCGTGAGGTCATTGGGCGGCGGCCCGTATCCCTTGGTCCACCGGGCGCCGCTATTCGGCCAGCATCCAATATCCTGTTGCCGCGTCACCCCCTTCAACTTCCCGCCCAGCTGGTCGGTTTGGCATCACCCCCCGCCCCCCTCCTTTCATGTTATTTTCACCCCTTGTATTAATTGGTTTCCAGCCGACCAGGGAAAGAGACAGATCCAAGAAGAAGGGGTGTAGTATCATATCTTTTTCCATTCCACGTAGATTCTATTTTTGTAATTTCTGACTGCGGCGCTGGAATATCTGGTCCCCGATTGCGCCAATTGAGTAGCTGACAGCCGGCCGTCGCGAGTCGGCCGCGGTCGCAAGGGGCCACGCTCCCACGTGGCGAAGATCTCCAGAGATATTACCGTCCCGGCTGGACGTTATTCTTTTGGTAGGTGAGACACGTCAGCACTCTGATCATGCCGGCCCGCGTGCTCCCCGCCACAGGCCACGCCGACCAACCTTATCATCTCATGCCTTGGAGGTTAATAAAAAAATCTTTTCTGGCGGTGAGATATTTACTCTTTCATATCAAGGATGAGGTGAAGACAAGGGGGTCGCCGTATCCAACTCGGTTGGTCCAGGGTTGATGAGGATAGGAGACAGCCTGGTAGATGCCGAACGATTCGGCGCTTCTGAGGCAACCCCGGGGGTCAGCGGACTCATGGCTACGTTGGAAGACCGCGGTGACTGTTGACCGTTGCGGGGAGACTGAGAGTGGGCTTGACTCTCGTTCGTCTCGCTGTTGACTAACGGGTTGGTTTAGAGGAGAGAGACTTTGGGAGCCCCCCAAGACCACAGGGTGGGCGTTCTCCTCTGATGCGGACATTTGCGGACGGAGATAGATTTCGTCTTTGAAGGACGCAGGTGGAAGAGTTTAGGGACGCGGGGGGAGAGAGGGCGCACGGCCAGGCTCGGGGAAACCTGGAAAGCGAGAAGCTGCCGGATTTCACTTGAGGGAACGAGTGGTGGAGGAGAGGCGGCAGCGGCGTTGTCGTAGAGTGAGGCCTGACGGAGTAGTTTCACCGGGTCGGACAGGTTGGGGTGGGTGCCCTCTCTTTGGCGCATGCGCAGGAAGGAATCAGTGCTAGGCCGACCTCCTTACCCTCTCTCTCTCTCACACCCCAGATCTTCTCGTCTTCGGTCACTGAATTACGTGGACCTCCCCTGACGTCTTGTGAGTGTACGGCCCCGACATGGAGGCCCATGCACAGCCGGGAGGGTGGAGCTGGTGCGGGGGATGCTCGATGAAAGGGGGGGGGAGGGAGAGAGCGAGAGAGTGTGAGATTGAGACTGAGTGAGAGTGAATGCCTTTTTGTGTGGGCATGAGGCTACGCAGAAAAAGGTCTTTTGCAGACAACTTTTTTATTGGGAATGTGACCTATGAGAGCCCTTCTAGCATCTATCCTAGGGCCGTATAATCATTCACCAGTTTGACGAGTTAATATTTTTATAAAAAGTAGAGCATGGAAAAAAAATCAATTATTATCTTATTTTTAACGGTGTTAATCTCATTTGAGAATAATTATCATAGCAATAATCTCCTAAATTACTTGAGCGTTGTCAAATGACCCAAATGGCCGTCAGCACCTGCAGAGAACCAGCTTTTACGGCTGGCTCTAGAGAGGCGCAGACGTAAGACAATCTTCTGTGTTAGGTTTTGATGATCGGCATGGAGTCAGTTTCCTTCAGATCCGAATTATTCTTTTCGCTCCAGGCATTCATTAAAGAAACCTTGGGAGGATCTCCACTCCAACAGAGGCAAAGAGCTTGGGCTCCAACCCTCCTGCTACACGTATCCTCTCACGACATATCTCCACTAGAATTCAAGCTCTCTTTGCCGAGGAGGAGATGCCCAGATGAATGAATATCAGCATGGAGAAGTATCTACGCCCATTAACTCGCACACGTCCTATCCTTCTTACAAGGAAACCCCATGCTTCCTCACGCAGACGCTCGTCATTTCATGATATGTTCCAACGCGAAGAAGGATATGGCACCGGCGAGTGGGCTCCTTATGCCTCTTTGAGTACAGTAGAAACGTCTGTTCTAGGTGCTAATACGTCCATCATTTGGGCATCTCCTGGTAGCGAAAGTGTAAACGTTGGCGAGGGGATGATTCCCTTCACTTGAAGCTACCAGACGTGATTTTCATGAACAGATGTAAACCATTTCAGGGTCAAACTCCGAGCACACTGATTGCGGATAATTTAGTCCTCTCTAGAATCGAATTACGACGATACCCTATAATTGAGAATAGGATCAACGTGATATTGATGAACGATTGATATCGGTGTTGGTGGGGCCAGTGAGGCCCCTAAGGAGGCCGTGCTGTCTATGGGCTCGGGCCTTACATTAAGTGGATAATAATTGCTGTTGGTCAAGGCTGATCTGGGCCAGGCCTGATGAAATTCTCACTGTCTGCCGTGTGACTGGCCTTCTCCCTGAGTGAAATGGGAAGCACTCGCTCGAGTGCTGAAATTTTTCACTGCTCTCACGCTTAATTTCCCCCGTTGATACGCTCAATAACTTCTCTCTTTTAAAATTGTATTTAATTCAAACTTTTCTCTATTTTCTAGCTAATGGATGCTATATAAGCCAATGAATTCCCAGCTACCAACAATTGCCATGATTTATTAATTTTAAGGTTTAGGGTATGTTGCGTGTTACACGCATGGATACGACAGCGAGCGTCGAAATATGTTGCTGGAAGGGAAATACGTGGCAGATTAAACCACGACAACAGCCACAGCTTAGCAAATGAGATCGGGAGATAAGCCTGGCCCCAAGGCAAGGAAAGCTCTTCAGTATCCTTCCTCCCCCGTTGGGAGGGGATCATGGGTACTTTCGATGATGAAGAAGTTGTCGTAGACCAGGCCGGCGAGGGCGCCACCGATGAGGGGGCCGACCCAGTAAACCCAGTGATCTGTCCAGTCCCAGATCGCTAGAGCAGGCCCGAAGGACCTGGCAGGGTTCATGGACGCGCCAGAGAAGGGTCCGCCGGCGAGGATGTTGGCACCCACCACCAGCCCCACCAGTAGCGGACCTAGCCCAGGGGGGACGATCTTCTTAGGATCTACTATCGTGCCGTAGACGGTGAACAGTAGGGAGAACGTGAGGACAATCTCCATGATCAGCCCCTGGATAGCGTCCATCCCGGCGGCGAGGGTGTGAACCGGAGTGTCCTGCGGCAGCTCCCGTTGACGCTCCGGCATCAGGAGTTTGAAGAAAAGGGATCAAGCGTAGAGGTCTGAGTGAAGAATTGTGCTCACCAGGCCTCCTGTGAGGTACTTCAAGAGGAGGCATGCCAGGGAAGAACCCAGAAGCTGGGCGACCACGTAGATGATGGAACGGATGATGGAGATGTGGCCACCGACGAGAAGACCCAGTGTGACGGCGGGGTTGAGGTGCCCACCAGAGATGTGAAGGCCCGCCGAGATCATCACAGCCACCACTAAAGCGTGAGCAACGGCCACGGCTGTCAGGCCTGCGATCCCTCCTCCTCCCACCATCTTCGCTGTTACAGTGAAGCCAAGAAAAGAAGGGGAAGACGTTGGCGTTCGGAAACTTAGGGTGAATGGAAAGGAAAGGCCTGCGGGAGAGGGTACCGGCGGCCATGGCAGCCCCGACGCCAGCGAAGACGAAGAGGAACGTGAGGATCAGCTCGGCAACCGCCGCACGGATGCAGTCTGGCTGCACGGGCTCGTCGCTACTCCCAATCGCAATCTTCGCCATTCTGGTCACCTCACCTACTCCTCTCTGCTTCCTCCGTCCCTCCTACCGCATCTTCATCCCTCTGCTTGCTGAGTATGTATAGATAGAGCCATCACTAGGTGACAGTGAGCCTTCGTCATCCACGCCTAGCTCACATAGGCTGGGAGTGACATGACTAGCCTCTTGACTGTGTCGGAGTTGGCCTCAGCGCAATAAACAGGAACTAAGACCAGGAGCCCAGAGTCCTATCGAGCTCTCTGTGCTGTCGAAGATCACGCCAGGCTGGTGACAGTAACGGCCCTTGACCCCAAACCAAATCATTTGTCAAGATGTCATTACATAATTCCTAGTTCTACAACATTTTCCACATTCTAATATATACGGTGAGGACGTTCTAAAATCGTTGCGATCCCCTCAATTGATGACGATCCTGCCACCAAGCTGATCCGAGGGGAAAAGATGCCAAGTCGCACTTTCCTTTGGATACCAAAACAACTACGTAGTTTCCACGTGCATAATGCGTTCTTGTGATGAGGACGTTGATCTTACATATTATTTCTATTTATGGAAAGGTAGATGGATGGATAGATAGAGAGAGAGAGAGAGAGAGAGATTCACCTCCTTTCCAGGGAGAGCTAATGATTGTTGGTTATTTTGGTTTGAGCTAAGCTTAGATATGGAAGTCTTCTTTCGTTTCCGATTGATGGGTTTCTTTAATAGAACGTCGCGAAATGATAGAGATCTCGGATTTCTTAATAAACGCGGCCAAGTGACGGATCTCGTCTGCTAGCCCTCAATTATTGTTTCCAGCCCAATGTCTTGTCTCTATCTTATCACCCTTTCCAACATGTGCAAATAATGTAGTGAAAGAGGAGGGAGAGAGAGAGAGAGAGAGAACGACGGTGGAGGTTCTGAAGGACAGAGCAGATTTCCCTGAGCAGCTCCGACCTCGTAGTCGCTGTCTTGCGAAGTTCAGATTGAAAGGAGAGCGTCCCCAAGCCGACCGTCGATCTCGGAGCCTTGTCGTCATTGATCATCGTCACTATCGATCCCGGAGCCATCGACGAACAGATTACCTTTCGCGTCTGTATGACTGCCGCCTTTCACGAGACTGATCGTCGCCGCCATGGATTTCTGAGCCTGCACTCTCTGCAAGCCGGACGGGCAGCGAAGCCACGCGTGTCATCCTGCATCTCTCGGGGAATATGCCATCGTGTCCGACGTCTCAAATGGGTTTCTTCCGCCTGATTAGACTATTCCACAGCTCCTTCTCAAGAGAGCTCCACAAGCCGTGTACGGCAGAGATGGAAAATTAGTGACTGCTCTCCTCGTTGTCCGAGTGACAGTTTGGACGGAAGATCCCATACAAGATTTTGCATCCGATAGAGACATTGAAAACGATTGACAAGAAAACAGGACGCAGAACATTAAGATTCTGCTCAGTGCTTCGTATTTACGAAGCCTTTTCGATGATTAACCGCAGAGATAATATATAACTTGGGGCGCATTTATTGCTCCATGAATATCTGCGGTCGTTTAGGTGTAAATGAATCGGCATAGAATGTGACCTGACTTTAATTTTTTGTTAGGATTCGACCCAAGCAGTCAACTTCCTCGCCTCTCTCTCTCTCTCTCTCTCTCTCTCTCTCACACACACACACACACACACGCATTGAAGTCTGACCCCAAAGCCCGCAAAGTCGGACCAGGAGTCTGTTTCCAGGGTTTTCTGACCCCGAGCTGAGGTCAGGCCCTGTAAGAGATGCTCGGGTTGGGGGCCCGGGGCCAGGCTGCTGACACCCCCACCGATGGTACACAACTTCTTACACTAGAAAACAAAAATCATGAAGAAATGAAAGCCGAGAGAGATTGAAAGAACCCATATGATCGGTGCTTTATAATAGGAAACTTGCAAAATATGAAGCCAGGAAGTGCACGAGGGATCATGGGTCCAGTGATAAATCATCCACGAATAACGCATTTATTACATGGAAGGAATTTCCTCCGTTAACAGGTTGGTTCCACACGAACATTTTCTACGAGAGATTTCCTCTCCATACAAAATTCCACGTGAAAGATTTTCACACGAACCCCCCTTCCACACACACACATCATATCATATAGAAAAACCGAAGCCGAAAACTCCGATCCCGTCTTCAAGGGCAGCTGGCCGTCCCGTTTAGGAGCATCACCATGATCGCGAACGCGATAAAGCTGCTGCTTTGAGAGCTTCAGCAACCTCGACAGAGCTCCCAATGGCTTTCACGAGATCCTCTTGGAAGCCTCACCAATCTTCGAGCCACTGCGGCGCGCCCGCCTCATCTGCCTCTGGAGATGGAGAAGAAATAGTCGGAGTTTTGGCGCCCTCTGCGCGGTTTTCCAGGTAGTAGTCTATCCTGGAAGTGATCTCTTGGGGGACAGGAACAGTGCAGTCTGCAAATCCCTTCCAATCGAGGCCACTAAACCACGGATGCTTCTTTACGGACTCGGCGCCATCGCTGCCCAGTCTCCTCGTCTCGTCGACCTCCAGCAGCTGGCAACGACCACGGTAAGTAGGTGACTACTTATCTCAGATTCGTTAAGTTATATCCGAGTATCAGAGAAGAAACTCCCATCAGAGTTGTACGCAAGATCGAGGGAGAAATCAATGGGTAGATATGCAAGTGCGTTTAAAAAAAAATAAAAAATCACACCTTGGTGATGAGGTCGATCACTTCCCTGCTGAAAGTTTCTGGAAGAGACAGACGCCCCTTGGCGATCTTTGAGAACGTCTCTAGTTCACTCTCCCTCCATGAGCCAAATGGCATTTCAGCTTGAAGCATGAAGTGAATCAGCACCCCCAATGCCCACCTGTATAAACGAGAGGATTTTCACCAATCAGACGAACACCATTAGAGTTAATCCAGAAGATCACAAAGCTTGAGGAAACTGGGAAGAACCATAAAAATCCAATTGCATTTTTAGTCGACAAAAACAAAAACAAAAATTAAAACAGATCAGAAACCATCCCAATGATACGATTGGAAGATGAGCCCAATAGAAAAAATAAATTAAAAAAACTAATTTTGTTGATCCAATACGCCATCAACGGTCTTTCTTGGGACATACTGCATCATACTAACGCACATGAAACCCTAAAAGAGAGTCAGAACTCTGTTTTAAGCACACTCACCAGTCAGCAGCGAGACCGTGCCCTTTCCCTTGAAGTATCTCTGGAGACAAGGAATCAGCGGTCCCACAGATGGTGAATGTCCTTTCACCAGCCAACTTTTTCGCAAATCGAAAGTCTACCAGCTACACGTTTTGAGAATACAAGGTGATATTGTATCGGTAGCGCCAATAAATATAGAAAGCAACTAAAAATTTAAATAAAAAGTCAAAAATCTAACCTGCAGATGCCCACGACGGTCAAGCATTAGAATCTCAGGTGAGACACCTCTATAAAGGGTAGAGGTCTGCATTCAAATAGGATGTGTGTTAGAATGACACACAGTACGCAAACTATATATGGAGGAGAAGAGCAAGAAAAAGAAGCTGACTTCGTGAAGTTCCTCCAAAGCAACTACCACGGACGCAGCACAGAATCGTGCTGTTGGTTCATCCAGGGGCTTGTACAGTATCGAAGATAGTGAACAAGACAGACACGCACTAAGCAGTATTGCAAGATACGATTGGTCAGCAAGTGTGCAAAGGACACGAGGCACATGAGCTGAATGACTCAGGCTCTTCAATAGATCTCTCTCCTTGAGAACGTGATTTTCTTTTCCAAGCTGCCTGATCTTCTTCTTTGAAAATCTTTTCAAAGTCAGAAACTCTTCTGAAATCCATCCAAAGAACAGAGGAAATAGCTTTTTACAAAGAGGTAGTAAAGCATATAAACCTTTTGGGGAAGGTATGCAGCCTCATTCACAAATGAAAAAATCAATCATTTTGTCAAACCTACTTGAATCTTTCCAAAGGACAATGCCCAGATCACTGTAGTCAGTTGCATGTATGGCCTTTCTCCATTCCTGGATTGAAATCAATATTAGATTAAAAGTCTCCTGGAAGACCATTGGCAATGAGAACGCAAAAGCGATCCAAAGAAAAAGACTCAAGCAACTAACCACGTACCAGATCAGAAAGTCGAATTTTAGACAGCCTTGTGGCATCATCTGTGATGGCACCTTTCAAGGAAACCAGAGAATTTTTCAACCTGAGTCACGCTATAAAATATCAGTATTGTAACTCAGAGAGGGAAAACACTGTAGGAGCAGTCTACACTTCAAGTATCACAGCCATGGTTCATCTCTCAGTAATTATGGCTCACATTAAAGACAAAAGATGTAAAATCAACCCTTTATAAATCTACGTACTTTTGATCATCTGGTGGAAGGTTTGGTAAAGGTTCGATGGCTGAATCAAACTTCTCCTTTGTAATGACTGCACAAACAACTTCACCAACAGCAATAGCACTCAATGAGCCAATCTTCTCTCCAAGAAGTGTCCAGTCGCCAAAGTGGCTTCCTTCCGAGAACAGAACCTCATGCACACTGTTTCTGTGGGCATGATCTTCCTGTGTAATATTAGGAGACGGAAGGCTGCGAACATTTGGGCTCCGCAAAGTTTGATCATCATATGTCATTCTCACCTGACCTTTCAGAATAATATGCAGCGCAGACAGATACTGACTCTGCAAAAGACACAAATAGACGAAACTCAGTAAGGGAACGAGGGCCTTTAATAAAATACAGAGCCATGCGCAAGGAATTGAGCTGTCCCTGCTTATCCATTACCTCTATCTACATGCAGAATGAGCAACAGCACATGAGCTTTAGAATAATCTCTCAAAGGGAATTTATCTTGATTTACATTCAAAACACTAAAAAATAATATTCACTAGGAACCTATCATATTTCTCACATGGTTTGGACGTATAAATAGCACAAAGACAAAAACCCTGCCAACTTTCTGGCATAGGACGTTATAATGAAATCTGTCCTTAGACCATAAGACTATTAATCGCGATGATGACTACACCGTTTTGTTACCTTCTCAACTATCGGATGCCCATCAGAGAAGGATACTTCTTCAAGTATATCAGAAATATTTTTCAGCTGCAATACTGTGAATCTTGAAAAAAGATCTATAGATCGAAGTAATTTCAGTGACGATAAGTTGGAAAACTTGGACGTGAGAATTCCTCGAAAATCTTCTCTCTTCAAAGCCCAAAGAGTACCACTCGTCACTGCACGAACAGATGCCTGGAGTGGCTTATTGTACCTGTCCGAAAATGATAAACAAATGAATACTTGCAAATTAAGACAGATGCCCAACAGGCAAAAATGCTCTTAATGAAGACAACTTGGTGACTTCATTGTTAATGCATTAAGGCTTCTTTTAATAGTAAATTGAAGAAATGTACAACTGGATTCTTTTCTTTGATGAATAAAATGCAAAAATTCTCTGATGGTTAATCCTAAATCTCATGAGAATACCAGAAAGTAGAGGTTATGTGTAGTTTGTAGCAATTCTAAGGATCCTTTTAACATTTTTATCTAGATTTTGTAGACCTTTTTTTGCTGATACTTGAACCTAAAGTCTCAGCTACACATACCTCCGCACATCGCGAGGCGTTCGCTTCTTATATTCCCTTTAATTTATTAACATACACAAACCACCCGTTTAACAGACTTACATCAATGCTAATTCCCCAAACGATGACAACTTCTCAGAAGTGTACTTATGAAGAACCCTGATCACCTCTTTTCCACCTTCCTCCTCCTGAAATTTAAAAAATCAGTGTAGCCAATGAGACACTTGCATTCTTTTATGAAACAAATAGCTTCAGGAAATCATCTATGTTCCGAAGGAATTGGCTACGAAAGCAATATGGCATATGGTCACTATTCCGGAAATTGTTTTTGTTCAGATGAAGATTACTTTGGAGGATCCCTCGAAACAGGAATCAGGAATAGGATTTTCAAGAAAATATCCTCGAGATCTTAATCAGAAGAGATCCTAACAGATTTGGACAGAAAAGTTTTAGAGAGAAAATAGATCATTTAAGAATCCTCAGATTTACACGTCTGAAAATACAAAGAAAATTACACTGAGATTACTTTCACCAAAAAATACCACCCATGACATTAAAAAGGAAAAGATAAATCATGAAGATTACTGGTATATTATAGAAAACAACACGGATGATGTCATTCATATGCCATTTCAGCTTTGATCCGACATCAATTTCAAGTGAGGTGGACTTCGGTGGGATTAAGCTTAATAGCTATTGAAAATGGAGAGTAAAAAATATAAAGGAGCTGTCTGTACAATTAAAGGGTTTGAGCTCACCTGAGTAGCTAAGACTTCAAATTCTCCGCTTCCAACTACATAGAAGCAGTCACCCTCTCCACCCTGAAATTCGCATCTATCACAGTAAGTTAACATGAGAAAGATAAATCCCCTCTGCAGCGTCTAAATATACAGCATCACCAGTACAGACCTCAGAGTGGGTTTATTCATGAATAATGAGACTAACCTGTTGAACAACTATATCGCCAGGTTTGACCTCAATCCGTTGCATGCAGTCCAGCAACACACGAGATTGAGAGTCAGTGAGTTTTCTGAATAAGAAATGATCATGCAGAACTCGTTCGATGTGTGCCTGACATTAGGACAAGTTCGAACAGACAAATACACGGAAATAATGTCAACCGATTAAGGAAATTTAACAATCGATGATGAGAAAGGGACAGTGATAGGGGATGTCTCACTTCTTCTTCCCAAGTTTTTCTATGCGATGGAGAAGGGGGGGCCCACCCGAGTCCCTTGTCAAGGGAACTTTCAATGGCCCTCAGTCGTGCCCGTGACAAATCTTGCCTCACACGCTGGTTTGACGAGTTCCAGTTAAGTGTGGAGGGAGACTCAGACCCTGTCACTTCAATGACTTGTGGCAGAGTTCTTAAACTGTTGGATGGACCTTGCACAGAAGCTGTCTGAAAAAAATATGCGAGGACCTCGATCTTAATAAGTAAATAAAAAAATGGACAAAAGAAATATAAGAACAAAAAATCATGAATAGATGAGAAAATCATAGGAGAAAAATCCTCATACGCCAATTAGTCCATTTATGTGCACGACAATGATGGTAATATCATCTGTACGAGTTTCATACTGCAGCCAAAGTCGATATGATTCAGCAACAATTGCAGCACATGCATCCCGGGGGTCTTTAAATTTCGAAACCTGCAGATTCAATCAGAAAATCACAATCCAATAGTATGCAGGGGGTGCAGCAGTGTGAATTTCTAAGTGGTTACAGAATAATTTACGACATACCATGCTGATGATTGTAAATAAGAAATATTTGAGACTTTAATGAAAATGATTGTAATTAGAGGAAACAAAAAAAAAAAAAAGCGGGTGCAGAGATTGATGAGGCAGCCCTGTGAAAGTGCGAAAAACAGTCCTGTATATATAATAGGTCAGTCTTATGAATACAAATTAAGAAAATAAGCACATAACTTAAGTGCTCTAATCATGTTTTCTCATTTGCTGTTGTAGGCTACTAAATCATCATTTTTTCAACAGTAGAAACAGACGCTGAATAATAGAAACAGACGGTTCCTTCTATGTGATGAAAATGCGTTTGTTCTTGTCTGGCTCTTGTGGACTCCCATGAGCCCATTCTACTAGAAAGAAAGCAGAGATTTGAAAGAGTCCAGAACAAAGAACCAAAAGGTGTAAAGGGACTTAAAGAGATACCTACCATGTCAACCACAGTTTCGCTGGAGAGAAACTCGAAGACACCATCACTTGCAATCACAAAGAACGGATGATTCTGTGTAAGCTCTAAGACAACGATCTCTGGCATTGCAACAACACCGATAGACTCAGCAATTGAATCTCCAATACTCCTGGTGAAAGCTGTTCCGGGATACATCCCATTCTGAACCCAGACTCTGGGAGGATCACCGTCATCACCTTCTTCTGTACCCCAACATTGAACATCTGGGTTCTTCAGTCCCTCTATCTGGTCCAACGTAAGAACCCTAGCTCCACAATTCTTGACCCTTTCAAGCTCATCAGTTCGAAAAGGAGTCTGATCAACCGACAGGTCCACAGCCACAATGTCCTTCCCTCTCGTTTCTGCAATGACAGCCCTGGAATCACCACAATTTGCAACATAAATCGTCCTACCCCGAACCAGAACCGTGACTGCCGTTGTCCCACTCATACTATCATCCAAGCCATCTGTATGCAATTGTGAGTTTGTTGCCAAGAAGGCAGCGTGGCAGGCCTCCACAGGATCCGTGCGGAATCGACTATTCCTTAGTAGATTTTCGCAGAGCTTTCTCTTCGCAAATTGTGAACACTGAGCTCCGAATTCTCCATGCCCATCAAATACTCCAAAGAAATGGTCATCAGGGCTTGTTCCGAAGGGTGTATGTATGCAGAAGCTATCCTGATTTGCCTTGTCCAGAGCCTCAGGATAATACCCTCTCTGAGATAAGTAAGAGTACTGCAGATCAAAGTTTCCAGCCGGAACCTTCACTGTGCGTGAACCATCAGGAGGAAGAAACTGCGAAGAGACCCTTGACAGCCGATTGATTCCAATGCTAGAATCCCTAGGGAAGTTTGATCGCTGAAACTGCTCTTCGGGGTCTCCCTGCTCAGAAGAAGAAACAGGAGAAACAGAGGCACCTGAAGTCGCTCTCGCATTTTCTGATTCCTTCAGTTTGGTATCTCTGGGTGAATCGGGCGCTTGCCCAGCGCAACACCTTGAACACGAACTCCCCATCACATGGAATGCTCGAAAGAAGCACGAACGAAACCCCAGAAGTATGTTACCACTCACCGGTTTTACTCCAACCGTCTCGACGGGATTGAAAGTTTTCTACACTGATACTCAAAGGAAGATAGCTCGAGCGCGTGAACTCCAGCATTACTTCGAATTCCGAAGCTAAATGCAGTCTCGGTGAATACCCGAGGGGAAAAAAAAATAGCATAAATCAAAAAACCGCAAGAGAATTCATCAAATCCACTCGAATTTCCGAACGACCGATTCCTTGTGCAGAATATCGCGTTCGAATTTCCTATTTTCTGTCGAAGATCGACGTCACAGGTTCCTTTTCTCCTTCTTCCTCTTCCTCTTCTTCTTCTTCTTCTTTTATCTGCTATTAAGGAGAATCGAAGCTCGAGTTCACCGTCTCCAAAAACCTCCGATCACTCCCGCGTTCCTCGTGAAGAGTGGGCTCCTCACGGAACGGCGACGATACCGAACGTATCCCCCCTCCTTCCCCGAAGAAATGCCAGGGAAACGGAGGCACCCAAGAGATAAGAACAAACACAGACAGACAGAATATTCAAAGCCGGAGGAGCATCTAGCCAGCAAAAAAGCTGTCTAAACCAATCAAGGAAACGGATAAGAGTGACTGGATAACAGTGATTTGCGGACTAAAGCGCCGAATCATAGGATTCCCGTAGAACCCAGATGGCAAAGCCGCCGCCGGCGGCGGCACCAGCAGTTGCCACTGCTGATCTCACTCCTCTCCCCTTTCCCTCAGGGCTACGTGAACATTGCGATGCTCCGACACCGCATAGGGAGGAGACCTCAGCGGGATTCTCATGAAAAGAAGCTACGGCTCCGCATCCGCCGCATCTTCCAAGAGACATTCATCAATCTGAAGATCAGACGAGAAGGAAGAACCCCCGCGCGCGCCGAAGGATCGAGGCCCGATCCCGACGAGCACGCATCGGAATTCGCCTTTATCCGTCTCCTCCCTCCCCAACAGATTGATTCACAAGTAGGTGAGGGCTGTTGGCTCGAATGGTGCTCTGCCCTTTTGGAGATCAGGTCCCACCCTCCTCCGGGCACATATTCGTGGAGGAGCAGCGCTCCCCTGTTGTTCTCTCTCTACCTGTCTCTTTCCAATGCCGTGGGGTTGACCCCACATCCCGCACTGTTCCCACCCCGCTCCGCCTTCCAATCCCCCTGCCGATCCATTCAGAGATTGAAGGGCGGTCCACGCGAGACCGGCGCCGACCGCCGTCGCCGTCGCCGGCGCCGTCTAGGAAAGGGATAAAAGCGGAGCATAAAATGAGGAGATTTTCCATGGAGTCTGTGCTTATCAGTAGAACAGGGACTCTGGAACGTTACGTGGCAGATTGCTGTCGGGACCCTGTGTGGACAAGAGTTACGGGCCCCACACCACCACTGTAACACCGTTTATCTCTCTCTCTCTCTCTCTCTCTCTCTCTCTCTCTCTCTCTCTCTCTCTACCTGTTCAAGAAGAATCAGCTGGTTGTGGGGTCAGCGGGGACGGGAAGGGGAGGGAGCCGCAGCAGTGGTAGTAGCCGCTCTCGCCGAAGAGGAACCTCTGAGAGAGATGGGCCTCCTTGACGAGGTACTCTCCCCAGTCCTCGGACCCGTACCTCCTGAAGATGCCCCGCGCGTCGAAGGACTCCTCCCGCCGCCCTCTCGTCTTGTTCCTGCAGAGTTACTCTCTCAGTCAGCATTCCGAAGGGATCCCATTCATCTGGGTGAGTCGAGATCGAGAGCCGCAGTGGGTCACCTCTTCCTATGCCTCACATTCATCAGGGTGGCGTGAAGCTGCAATGAAACAATATCAACTGATGATGATGATGGTTGAGAAAGTTGGGTGATCCGATGTGACCTTCAACGTCTGCCGAGCGTCCTTCTCGAGAACGAGGCCTGCTTGGATGTAAGCCTCGATGATGACCTCTGAGAGAGTTTTGAGTCAAGCAGAGCAGCTATATTGAAAAAGTCATGCTATATTTAGGAACATACGAAGCTTGTGTGCATTGCATACCACATGCACGCATCAAGCGTCCCTCTCCTCCGAGTTCCTCAATCGGAGCGTAAAGAACCCGAGCCCTTGCCGGAGACCCTTTCATGCACTCCTGCCACACCAGAGAGAGCTTCAGTTCATTACATGGCCATCCCATGCAGATGTGCAGGTATTGTCCATGGTGAGGGGTAGTATTATCTATCATCTAGACAAAGAAAACAAAGCTAAATACGGGGCCAGCAGAAGATCAGAAAGGCTGAGTTCCCAACATTTAGGAGAAACAGCAGCAAAATTCAGAGCGAAAGACAGGTTTTTCTTTCATCCTGGCTCTGAGATGAAGTCCGGTCAGCTCGCACCACGTTTGGTCAACAAAATAGTCAGCACATGCCGATGGGCCATTCTCAGAAACCCAGAACTACTTACCAAACGCAATTCTGAAGAAAATTAGGCTGACAATGTGAGGATCCCACCGCGCAGTCAACGATTTCTCCGATTCCTTCAGGCTTCAGGAAGGGAATGAAGCCTAAATATATGCATATGCAAAACGTGTGTATAGAGCAGGATGACTGCATGGTAAGACCAGGGAGACAACCCAATCGCCAAGCACCATGACTGCATAAGCATGAGTACATGAAACAAGTAGCATCGGGACCACAGAAACTTGAAACGAATTATGAGGTAAGAGTAGTCCTCAAACACTGTTATGCAGGAAGGTAAGCCCGGGGTAGATGGGCCAATGTCTATCTCGTCATATGGTCTTGAATTGGACGGCCCACTAAAGTACATTACCACAGTACAATAATGCAGAAAAACCATATGCTTCCCATCGACTCACATTACAAAATACAAAGCAAATGGTGCAGTTGAGGCATAAGACGATATTTACAACGCAAAATCAACAGTTTCACAACTAGAAAAATAATGGGGAATCGCGTAAATATTAGATATATGTGAACTTAATACTGAAACGAGATCACATCCGATTGGAAACCAGTGAAGAACATTGTAAATTCTGAAAGAGGCTTACCAGCCCTTTAAGCCTAATAGAAAGTGGCCGGTTGTCCAAGGCCTCCAGCACTTTTGGGGAGATTTTCTTCACGATAGGACCAAGGCAAAACTCAGTACCCTCAGATTATGCAGATGAATATAAATCACTGTCTCAAAAGGTACTTGCCTGCAGTACATCAGCAGCTGCGGCAACAAGCTCTTTGTTCCATAACTTCAACATGAGGACAGTTAAGTGAAATGTTTTCGGTTTTATGAAGATGGATCTGTCAATGCCCAAATCTGCATTTGAAGAAGGTAAATTGGACAACGACTGTATATAGAAAGCATCCAAATTTGCATGAGAAAAAAATAACTTTGCATTTGAAAGGCATTTACAGATCTTCAGGCATCTGTGCATCCAGTGAACAAGTTATAACGTCTGTCTATAATTAAAGTATTTTCAGGACATGAAAAGCATCGTACATGTTGCGAAGTAACCTCTTACGAGTCTACAAATATGAGTGGTAACAAAGTTATTTGATACGTATGTGATACCAATCAGGGTGAGTATTGGACTAGAACACACTACTTCGCAGTCTCAATCAGGTGGCTTTCGATCTGTCTCCACACCTGGAGTTTCTGTTAAAGGACATGGAATTCCAAACCGATCAGAACTGTCTTAGTTATTATATTTAATAACATTAATTACGTTTTCTCATCAATATGGAAGCTTACTCTAATTTCCAACAATTCATAAAGTTCATACCCTTGGCTTTACTCATGTCTAATTTAGCTGTTGGGGAACATTATTTCAGCAACTATTGACATCAAATGAGGTATTGCATCAGGAATTCACTGAACTCCTAACGCAATAAAGGCAGAAGTATCTCTGTTACAAAATGAATGGATATCACTCGTAGATGATACTTGATAGCTGCCAGGCAACCTCAGAATATGGCTAATGGTTCTCCTATCTGAAATGGCATTGGCTCGGAACATAAGTTTAAAACCTGACTTCTGAACCTAAACAGGTACAGACCAGTTATCATCCCATGTTCTATTGAGGTTCCTGTTACGTAACTAGAAAGTCCCTACATAAATACAAAGGGAGAGAACCCTGGGAGAAGAGGAACAAAAAAAAAAGAGAGAGAAAACCAGAGAAAATAAAGCACATCTGAGATTAATGGCCTTCCGGCAGAAGCAAAAAAAGGTGGAGAGCGGACAAGAGCAATAGGTAAATGGGGAGTATGAGTGTTAGGCGGTCGACCTGTCAATCAAACCAAGGGAATAACAAACAAGTAAAAGTAGTGAGTGTAGATAGGTGTCAGTGGCAAAGGATGGTAGCTACAGTCTCTGGAAAACTAAATCCACAAAGTAAATGAAAAATGGGTTGCAAAGTTGTGTTCACTATATTCAACACTAAATCAAGAACCCCACATTTATTTAGGGCCAACGAAATATGTTCAAATCGCTGATCGGCTCAAGGCTAAAACAGCACAAGAGTAGCCAATCAGGTTCCAATACCCCTCTGCACAGGAATACCCCTCTTGCCAGACCGGAGGGGGGTATGGCAGTTCCAATCAGGTTCATTGTTCCCCACCAAACAGGGCAGCTTTCATAACTATGCAAGGAACCTTGCACCACTATTAGCAGAGTTGATGTCAACCAGAATAGATAATCAAAATACATCTCCACACCCATTCATCGCAGGACAAGGAAATATGAGATAAGGATTGTGACAACGATGACGAAGAGGATGACAATGGTGGCAACTAAGAAAAAAGGTAATAAATATGATCATCAGCTTTTTCTTTGAAGGTAACACGCGCTCATCTTTTGTTTTGTGGCTTCTAATTGATCTGGCAGTCCAATGGAATAGAGAATATTAGCATAGTGTTATAATATTTTAAAAAAAGGATCCTGATAGACTCAAACTTAATGGTGAACAATGAAAAGTTACAATACCAGACAACACAGAAGAATTCGATCTTGTTGAGGTTTTCTTGATAGCTCCAGAATCTCTTTCCACTTTTACATGTTCCTCGTCACGATCAATCGCCAAAGTAAGTTCAACATCTTCAAACAGGGTTTCATTGTCATTTCCATCAGCTGAAGCATAATTCTCTGGATCAACTTCCATATTCCTATCTTTTCCAGGGCCAGAAGCCCCGACAATAGAATTCTGGAAGTCGTTTAACTTCTCCACCAATTGTGGGTGGATAGCCAATGGAAGGGAAACAAAGTGGGAGTAATCAAGCAATGGGCTTCTAATTCCCTGTAAAGCAAAGTAAAAAAAGAATGATCAGAGAATGAAGTTCAACGAAGAAAGCAGAAGACTCTTATGTGGAGAATGTGAGATCCTGCAAAGACCGCTCGTTAATTCATACAAAGGTAGTTTCGGTAAGGTATATTCAACAATAAGTATCGTGATCACGTTCTTCTGTCATTTCAATGCAAAAAAAATAATTCCAAACACCAAACACTGGATTTTCCAGACAGGACTTCAAAAGTAAGCCTACTGTAAAAACCCACAAGCTAATGGAAGAATGGTAGGTTTGTCCTACCAGTTTTAGCATTATTCAAACCCAAATACCGATTTGGATGACAATTTTAAAAAGTAGTTATCGTGATCTTTAGATATGCATCCACATTAGCATGCAAAACTAACTACTGATCTAAACGACGCTCAATGCCACGTTGTCTAACAGAGTAGGAGTTACGCATCAATGATAGGATGACTTATCTTGGCCAAATATGTTTTTGCATCCATGAAGATCTAAATAATAATTCCTTGATAGTAATAACTTTGATCCTCTATTTTTATACCAGTTCTCCTATGTTCTATGTGGAACTAAATACTTTCATGCGTCGAAAAACTGTGCAACAGTCATAACATGTTATAGATACAGAAACCACTAGTATCCCGACTGAAATTTTTAGGAAAGGTAATTACAGTGTGGTCGTTTTGGTCCAATCGATTATAGAATACACACAAAGGTAATACCGATCACCGACAGGTGATGAAACACAAGATGGATATATAGAAGGCAGAAAGCCACCTAAGCGGTCAAGCCTGAAAGGATAAGATAATGCTGACCAGAATATCAATTGGAACATGTTTTGTTGATACTTCATTAAGGTAGTTTTCTTTAAGTTAACCCCTGCAAGACTGCACTCCCCAGTTCACCTCCTTTCATCCTCTCCGACGAATTTTTATTGAAAGCGAATTGCATGCTCCCACGTTATTCCGTAAATCATCTTTAAAAAAAATTCTTCCAAACCGTCTTACTTTATTCCAGATTTTATTTTTCTTTGATTTCACATCTGTAAAGTAATTGTAGCAATCTACTGGAACTTGTTGTGGATAAGGTCAGCAAAGAGGGTTTCCAAAATATGCTATTGAACACAGCAACTGGATGGAGATCTTGTCAAGCAGCAGAAAGGAATATAAGAAAATTTTCTACACCGTGCAAAAGACCAGGATCTCGGGGGGAAAGTTACTACACAATGAGAGTTGGAGAGGATAAAAGAAAACTAGTACAGCGTCATCATTGAGGGAATAAAGCATTGGATTGGTGGTTGAATCGAATCTGGTCAATCAGCCAAATTTGCACCAGGTTTGTAGAGCAAAAGATACCTAGAGAGCGTTTAACATAACAGTAATAGCTATATTCACACCACCAAGTTTTTGTGCTTTACTCACTTGATATTTTAACGATGTTTCACATTCTAGAAAGAGAATAATTATGTTCATCCAGAATAGCAATATAAAATGAGAGATTTGAGAGATTTACCAAGACCATCAAATCTAAAGGAGGTCAGAGAACCAATTAGAGATGGAAAGTCCAATGAAAGCCATTCCCAACAGTCATAGTAAATTTATAAAAACCGAACAAGGGAAATTAAGTACTATATAACAGAAAATATGATGATGAATTAAAATTTTCAACAAGGCTCATTTCAAGTCCACTACAACTCCAGATCTTGTAGCTCTGTATTCAGACGATAGCTTTTTTAGGGAATATGGATACCAAGGACACATCACCCAGAATCCGATTGAGGACATGCATTGGCCACGTCCATTCTGATCCAGTTCTGGATCAAAATGGACGAATCAACGCTGAGGTAAGAGCCTTTTTCCGTTTAAATGCATGTCTACTATTTTATAAATTATTTTTAAACTTTATCAAACAAACGGTATAATTGCAACAGAAAGCAGGAGTGCTTTCACATAAACATCAAAAATTAATGAACAACCAAAAATTAGACATTATTTTCCTCTTCTTTAAATGCATGTCTACTATTAGGATTGCAAGCCGGAAATGGGTGGGATCCAGTGGTCCATGGTGACTAGAATGTCCCTTTCCTTCATTTTTCCTTTCTTTCTCGGTTTTCCTCTGCCCTCTGCTGATGAGTTGAGCTTACATATTCTTTCCCTAATAGCAGCATTGCCAACAGAAAGTGAATTATTTTCCAAGTTTAGCCACATCAACCGTATCTCGACCATTACTTGTTTTCTGGTCCTCGCAGAAACTGTTTGGCAATTCTCCAACTTTATGGCTTTTGTTAATATTTTCACAGGATGCTGATCAAATCAAATATCATAAAAAAATGAAAAAAAATGGAGCTGTACTGCCCAACTGTCTATTATGGATACCGTGACTCAAAGACTGCAACCTTTTATTTTTGACTTTCTTTCCTGATAACAGACTAAGGGTCAGTACTGTGTTTTAGGTAAGAGATCAAGGGTAGGTATAGATCAGGTTTTATCCAGCAGTTACAGAAAATTTTAACAAGTAAATTAGAGGTAGAAAATGGTACTACACACATTCACAAGGAACTCGATCAACAATGTGAACTCCACTCGAAGAAAACATTTCATAGCACTGTTGCAGATAAGGTGACCCTTTGTCTGCTTGTTTTGCGGAAAACACCATCAGAACCAAATATGCAAAAAAAATCCATGAAAGTTCAAGGATATATCTTATTTTGAAGAAGGAAAAATGTACAATTATATTTCTTAAAATATTATTTTTTTAATTCAAGTTCTAAGATATTATAAATTAACACATAACAATCGAGTCGACAGGAAAAAGTTGGGAATTAGAAGAAAAAACACTTTTAAGTTCCTAATATATTTTCGACTGTTGAGATAAATTAGACAAGCTCTTCAATAGAGACCATAGATACCAAGTTCTCCAGACAGGTAAAAACCTACCTCCTCCACTGCCCCATTGATTTTGGTGGCAGCTTTTTTGACATTTTCAATAGAAGGACCTTCAATCACTGCAAAGGGAAAGCACCCAATTTGCATCAGTATAAGAACTAAAAATAAAGCATACCATATTAAGCGATATATTGTTCTATATTTAAGAAAGAACACAGTGAAGTATGCAAAAACAGAATGGCCTGTAGTACAGCATTATGAGTAATCAAACAGTGAGAATCTGTTGATCCATTACACAAACTTTACAGAAAAAGAATTTGCGATTGGGAGGAAATGAGCTGCTTGAAGATAAAAATGGACGACTAATAGCATAATGTCTCTTTTTTTCGTCGAGGTTCCAAAATGTAAACACTTTTCTTCAAGCATCATAACACTGACAGATCCCCAAGCACAACCCTTGAAACTTCACTTTCATTAGGCTGCCTATTCTGATAAACATTATTTTGTCAGGACAATAAGTATTACATTTCTTTCAAAGAAGATAATGTTTTCTGCATTGTAGAGATTGACCAGTCTTCTAAGAGTTTGATCATCCTTATGATATCATAGAGCAGCAATTCCCACTGAACAGTGTTTTTTTTCTTCCCATAGTGTCTGGTAGGAAAAGGTCCTAGTTTTAACTAGTTACCAACCTAGACAGCAAATGATCAAAACCTGCTTGTTTCCATTAATAAGCAGGCATTCCTACTATGCTATTTCTCTTGAAATAATACATAATATCCCTGCATATGTTAGGAGTCTGTTAAAAATCACCTTCGAGTGAACCATATATATCCCTACCTGCTCTCCATATATCAACCACTGTTTAAAGTAGGAAATCACTTAAACGTTCCTCCGTGTGATATATTACCAAGGTCTTTGATCATATCCTGAGGATCCATTGTGCACAGTGTGCTGTATCCAATTCATCCGGTAATAGTTCAAGGTTTTCAGGCTTGGAGCATGAGCTATTGTGTACATAATCGCAGTACTACATTACCACAGGTTCATCAATCTTTGCTCGTGGATAGCAAGGGAGGGGAGCCACGAATGCATATAAAACGTTCTCACTGTGAAACCTCCGTCAACTTCTTTTTCCGTGTAGATAGCATGAACCCTGCCTATAATGGTCTGGTTTGGCCTTGGATGGACAGAAAATATACCTGTATCATTTGGAATTGTGCATGTACATGGGATGTTGCATGTGAAATATTGAAAACAGGTTCAACAGGACAATGTGACGGTTTAAGTTGAATGACCAGATGCTGGGACTCTATCGCCCACCAGTATTCCTTAAGAAAAAGGAAGAGAAGATGAAGACAGTGTCACAGGGTGGTAGGGGTGTCACAGATGAGCTAAGGAAAAGGATGCAGCATCAGACTTCCATAAGTCTGCACAGCCCCGCTAAAAGATTTATGTTTTATAGGCCCTCTCAAAATTTTATGCATTAAGGCAGAAAAGAGTGACAACAAAAATATCCCTATTTAGGTAAAAATCCTCAGATGATGCAAACAATAAATGGACTTCTACGTCCACTAGTGATTCAAGAAGCAAACATGTATTTAGCCAGCAGAATGTGCAGTCAATATTCCAAGGTTTAATAAACAAAAACAGCTCAATTTCAGATTCAGACACTACCAATAAAAAGGAGAATCATAAGAAAAACTGACCAACAGTTGTCCTCCCCCTAGAGGACGGCAAAATTATTTTTACTCCCGTCTCTTCTTCAATTCGTCGTTGTGTGGCACCCCTACAAAAGAAGACTTGAAAATACATAAGAGAAAGAGACTTCAAAGCATCCTAAAAGAAGGATAGAAATTACTACATTAATTCTACCCAGCATCACAGAATGATAAAGATACAACATGGTCGTAAAATTCTCGAAATAAGTGACTACCCTTTTCCTTTAATGAAGCGAAGCAAAGAGGCATCCACCTGCAGAATCGTGGCAAGGAGTTTAAGGCATAGATCATATTTTGCTTAAAGAATTAAATTTGTAACAAGAAAATATCAAACATACAATGGCAATGGTGCAAATATACTTTTACTTTTTGAGTATATCACATACTGAGAGGACATAAAATTCAGTTCCTTAGCACATGAGTTGGACCACATTATTAAAATTTAGGAACACATGGATATGTAACACTTCATCATCGGGCCTAACGGGCTACTCAATAAGAACATAGAGAATCCTAACCTATCTGCACATTGTGTTAGCATGGTGATATATTTCTATACTTATATTATTTTGGCAGATTGGCAGAACAGCATGGACAATTAACTAAGGAACTAAAAGCCCGCTTCTAGAAGTTGATTTTATGTCTCAATAATTTATCATCTCACAAGGGACTCCTGATGAGCATAACATCCTTCTACATTTTGCACTGTTGTAGCCTCAGGATTGATCCTGCCTATTCCAAGTTGGAGGCATCAGAAAAAACTATTTGTTCAGTAGAATGCATGTCATGATTGACAGAGCCTGATTCACAACAGTAGAATTTTCAAGACTCTTAAGTTTAATTGAAGAAAAAAATGGAATAATTCCGATGCAGGTTCTAAGAGATAAAACCTAAACATATACAAAAAATCGTTTACATAAAAGAAGCGAACAGAAGGGTCATCTAGAAACCTCAATGGAGGCTGCATGTCTTTCAACCTCCACGGAACTACTTTCGTATCTGAAAGCTGCGCCAGTCTCATTTGAAGAAGAAAATGACACTTTTGTATCTGAAACTTCACACTGAAAATCGTTGCCTACAAAGTGAAATGAAGAAACTGATGAACCAGCTGAATTTCCTGTTGTTACTGGGTCCTTATTTGGATCCCTTGCATCATACGTCGAAGATGATTGATTATGCACTGACGAGACTTGACATCGAACAGCAGTTAATTTTACATCACCCTTCATTATTTTAGATGTGTTCCCACGATCTGTCGTCAGTTCCCTTGTCAAGTATCCTGCATGCATACACAGTCATGTCTGAGTAGAATGAAAAATTGACTATGATAATACGGATTAAAAATACATGAATCAGAAAGCTCTATTACTTGATAGTTGTCTGACATCAACGGATCATGATCTACTGCTAACAGGTAATTTTCATAAGATACTGTATACTATTCTGTATATCAATTGTGCAAATAAAGGCTGGACCAGAAAAAAGGCCTAAAATTCAAGTTTTCGAGTCTACCTCACAGAAAGGGAGAATGGCTAACGTATTCATTTGCATAGCTCGGCTGGGTTAGATAAAATTTCCACAGAAAGGGAGTATGGTTAAATGTTTAAACCATTTGCATTTGCGAATGGGTTAAACATGCACAGGCACACGTCTCAAAAGTGTTGATAAAGTACTCTTTGATAAAAATTAAACGTACAGATAACCCGATATTGATATCAATACCGATAAAAATTACAAAAATGATATTGCCATTGATTTAAAAAATCCCTGCCAATTAAAAAAAATGGATATGTATGACAGTAAGGCCTAATTTAGACACCACAAGGACTTAAGGGAGAAAAAGCACACATTGAACATCACCACTATCAAATTGGAGTCAGGGGTACAAATTTTATCTTTATGTTCTATTAGGAATCATATTGACGCTCAATGTCCAAATTTTCATATTTCTTATATCTGGCTCCATCTAAATCATTTTTGGTGTTTTTCTCCTGAATATGAGCATGTAGTCCTTTTTTTTGGCAAAGTGATTGGTGCTAAAAAATTTAAAGAAATGTCCAGAATAATTTCCTGGTCAATTGCTGGTTACAGCCATAAAACAGTGTTGTAGAACATGATTACTGTCAGCTCCAATCAGGTCCATCCAGACATACCAGAACAAGCAAATTATCCTAGAGAAGCTAATCAAACGGCCTCTTCCTTGTTATATTTATTAAATATCATGGATCTCGAAAATAACATGCTACGAATTTTACCTCTATGAACTTCACACACAGATCCTTCAATAGTAAACCATATTATCTGTGCCCATAATTACAGGAAATCACCATAAATAGAACAAGAAAATAAATATGATTCATGTACCATTTTCTGTTTTAGAAATTTAGGCTCCAGTGATAACTGAATACTTCATTAGAGACATGATGGAAATAGAGCATCAAAGCCAATCAGTAAACGACAAGCCGAATGGTGTCTATGCTTTGCAGCTCAAATAGAAATCCAAATTGAAATCCAGGTCACCCAGGGGATGTAATCTTGGCCAATACATCAAACACTGATACAATTAAGAAAAGAGCAATTTCATTCCAATCCATCATAAAAGTGATAATGACAGAAAGGCAAAAATGCAACCAGATGATGATATACTACGACAACTAAGATGTTCAATATTCTGTTAGATTTATAGAAACATAAGTGAGTTTTGAATATAACCCCAAAACCCCGGACCATGAGCATTTTCAAGTTGAAATTTCGTCAGGAAAATTCTTTAAAAAGATACAATAATACACATAGTGGAAACGAAGTCAAAAATGATTCTAGTCATTTTGAGGGAGAGAAACAGTTTATACGACCAGAAAATGGTGCCAACAAAGAAAAGGCATTGGCTCAGATGTCAAACCTTCATTTGCACTAGATTGGAAGGACTTAGGTACCCATGAAGAAGTCACTGATTTCTGCTTCTTTTGCTGTTCAATCACATCTGAACTATCCCTGTCCATCTTCCTAAAATGACTCAAATACCGATGTTGGGCATTAACCTACCATAAAATAAAACTGGGAGTATCAAGAGAAAAGTATCATAGAATGCAATAGACTATCACATATGAGACATATCGACGAAAATTCTTGTCTATGGTTTCCTTTCAAATATAAGAAATTTTGCAATAGTAGAAGAAAGATAGAGAAAACAGTCCGAATATTATTCTTAACTCCCACCAGCTAACTTGTGGGAAATATAGATGAAGAGAAATAATTTAAAATTATAAAATAAACATCCATGAGCAAGACAATGACCAGCATAGAGATTTTACATTTTCGGAAGAAGTCTAGAGAAATAGAAATGGGAGGTGGCCATCAAACTCGCTGGATGAGCAGCGCGCTCAAGAACAGGAATAACTTGCTTTTCGAAGTTTCTCTTTCCTTTCCTAGCTCCATTCTACCGACTTGACAGATTTTATTCGTCATTTTTACCTAATAATCATTGTTTTTACTGTTGTTTTATTTTCTCCCTCACTTTATCTTCATTCTGTTTAATACAGTATGAACTCCTTCTGAAAAGAAATGTTTTTCACACCAGAGTAAAGACAACTACTTCCTCAAACCGAAAATCCTAAATTAGTTAACATGTGACGAAGATAACATGAATACTAATTGATTAGAATACTTGCACTCTTTTCCTCAAGAAAGTGTCGTGCCATGAGATATTATAGACACCTTGTGAGGCATGAAGTAATGGCCCAGTGCCTTGCCACAAAAGGTCAAATCGGCATTTTCTGAGACTTCTTTTCAATCTAATACAGCTACTACAATCACAAAGCATCCTCGAAGATAAATGTCCCATAGGGCACGTTCATGTTAACATCACATCCGTTTCAAGTAACAAGATTCATGATAGAAATAATACTCTCCTGATGTAAGTTCCGACTCCCTAATTAAATAGAATATCAATTCGTCCATATTATACCGTAAATTATATCATATGATTTCATCTTAGTCCTACTGGTCCTGAAATTCTTAAATTCAAAAGCATCCTTCCATAGTCCCAACTCGAAATTAAATCCAATGATAGTTATCGCCTGTGTCAACTCCATAAAGACACTAAGAAAAAAAATCTCGAATATCCAGAGACAAATCCATCTCAAGGATAGCAAGATACAAACTTAAATCATGCGCAATAAAAAGCAGCTGCAATGAAAAAATAATCTTCTTCCAGCATTCATCTTCACATTATTTATGCCCAATATGTCTACATTTTCTATGTATGTATAATACTTTGTGGAGTACTTACTTTTCTAATATTTACCAAAAAACATACATGACAATCTACCATCAGACTAAAAAAATAGATAAAACCATGAAAAAGTCCTTTTCGTGGGCCTTACAATTTATTTTAGTCCAAAAAGACCAAAAGGAAGAGAATATGAGGCATTCTTGTCAGACAAAGATATCTCTCACTGCACATTAAAGAGTGATATTGGTGACAGTATTGCAATATAACCCGAGGAAAAGATTCAGCAAACAGAACCTTGTAGCCTTAGTGAATCCTTACTCTTAGGCCGTCTGAACGGACATATGTATTATGCATACATGCATACAGATAATACCACAAGGAATGTTTTGTCCAGATCTCCGGGAAAAACTTAACAAGGATCTGGTAAAACATGGATCGAAGATTGAACTTAGCATAAACATGGAGCACAGTCGCCGCTGAGTTTTTAGGACAAAGTGGAAATCAATATTTGAACCTCATGTTTCTGAGGCATAATACGAAAAAGTGAACTTCGTTTCAACATGCGATGTTTCGAGAAAAAACGATGGCTGTAGGATATAGATACATAAATTTCAAGAAAAAATAACGCCTATGCAGTTTCTACGCCTAAGACGAAGTTATATTAACTGAAATTTTATGGTTCACCATCGGAACAAGATAGACGGCAAAAACAACGTAACGACAGCATACTTGAAGACGAAACCCCGAATGAGGCGAGCACAACGTAACTGAAACTTCATGACTTAATTGAACACTGGCAGGCAGTCTGTACGAATCTCTACGCGCTACATGTCCTATTATTTTATGAGGCGAGTGCTCTCCAGAACACTTTATTATTTGATTATTATAAGAAGGTCAGAGCAGCACGCATACAAGACGAAGAACAGATCAAAATAAGGAATTCGCCGATTAATGCATCGAATGAGGCCTTGAAACATACCGGTGTCCCGAGCAAGACATTTGTGATGCTCGAGACCCTCCCCTCGAGATGAACCCTGAGAGAAATACGCTCACGATGAGAACGAAACCGGTGAATTCAGCAGAGAAAAGAGCACGCACTCGCCATGGAAGAGCTCGGAATCGCGATCGGAGGAAGCCACGATTCAGAACACAGCTCGTCTGGAGGATCAAATGAAAAGCAGGAGGCAGAATCGGCGAAAAAGCAGAAGAGAAAAGAGGTCGGCAGGGGCAGTGGGCATCACCCTGAGAGGGAAGATCTGCATGCAATCATCAGCGTCCAGCCCCAGGGGCTCCGACCGACCCACAGCAGCCAGTAAGCGGGAGTCCTTTCGAAGCCGTTGCTCACGGTAGTTCTTGAACCTTCCTCCCTGTCTCACGACAATTCTTTTCGAGTTGCTGGGTGAGTTGGATCATACCGAACACTACCGAGTGGAATGGGCCAGCTGCGGGGATCCTAGCCCGGGCCGTATCCCAGCCTGGCCAGTCCGATAAGAAAATCTAGCTAAAATAATCATGGTACGCACTACGGTGTTTCCGCTTCGCTCCTTGACAAGTGGCCTAGTCTTAGGCGTTCTAGAATTAATTTTATTTATTTATTTATGTTTTTTATTTAAACTTTTTCTCTAGTTTGGCAACCACGTTATAAAATACTGTTCTCGAGCCTTAGTATTTTCCATTTATTTGAATTTTGATGTCAAATTTTAGCTGAAATGAGTCTCCATATTTTCATAATATGATTTTATTGATATCATCTTCTCAGCATTTAATGAGCTTTCTAGTCACCCAACAATGGTTTAATGAATAATTCTCAACTTTTTTGTCATATATAGGGTCGAGTATATATATATATATATAAATAAATAAAATCTCCTGAAATAATCGACAAAATAATTGGAGGACTTATTACTCAATTATTATTATTGTTATAAAATATTATTTTAATACTTAATGTTCTATTTGGGTTGCTCCAATATAAAATTAGTTGGGGCATTTAATGCATAGTATTTTGATGGTGAAAAACACTCATAAAAGCAATTGAAACATCAGATTTTGCTTAATGATCAGGAATTTATTTATAAAAAAATATTTTAGATACGAGCTTGAAGTTAGTTGACCATAAATTTAAGATGAATTTAAAATTAAAAAAGAAATAAATCAAAGAATACATATGAATCATTATGTTGAATTACAAAAAAAAAAATACTGCTCCAGATTATTACCTTGTATATTATTTTTGACATTATCACAAAAATTATTACGGAAAAATAATGATTAGCCTTTCAGAATCAACAAGAATTTATGAGATAAAATATAAATATGAAAGGTAAATTAGTGTACTAGATACCCATGATAATAAATTACTATGTTCAATTGCCATTGGTATCAAATTGATTAATTTAATTCAACCTATATCTTCTAACACGCATTATTTTTAAAATTTTAATAAATATTATTTATAAAAACAATTATAAATATTTATATCACTAAAGTTATGATTTTATGTATACCACTTATGATTCAATGTGTCCACCCTTAAAATTGATTTTTCTAAGAAGATTTAGATAAATTTTGATTATTAAATCATTATTGTATTTTAAAAAATACATTTTTCAAAACTTTTTTGAAGTAATAGATTCTGAATATATAAATTATGATTAACACTAACACATATAAATTTCTCATAGATAATATCTGAGTTTCTAAAAGTCATGTTGTATTGTTGAGCGACCTCAGAAAATATATGATATTTTGAAAAAAACATTATTTATAAATTTAGCACCTTTCTAATGGCTAATGTGCTCAAAATGATCACTTTTAACTCCTTCAGTATCTTGATGATATTTCATGTAAATAATTGTATGCGAATTTCAGTAGTTTTTCTCATTGGTCGAACTAGTCTTATAACATAAAGGTACATAGAATCTTCCTCAACCAGATCAAAGTGTCAAAAAAATTTTATACCACTCCAACTTTTGTATGAAAAGTGGTTGAAAAAAATCACATCATTATAGATATCCTCTTCATCTAGTTTTAGAATGCACTTTAAATTAATGTCTTCATTGAAAAACAAACTACATGAAATCCTTCATAATCTTTGTAGAATTTTTTGCTATTAATCTCTGCTAATCACTCAAGAGAGTTGAACCCTGTAAATAGTTATTGGCCTCCTATATTTATGAATTTAGAGAGTGAATATAAGTAGGAGTAAAACCTCTTCTACAAATTTAGAGTCTTTTAGATTTAGAACCCAATCTTATTATCTTAATAATATTTGACCCTAATCGAATAATTAAAATTCAATCAATTCAACATGACATTATTAATCTAAATACAACCTAAAAATTGGCATGGAGAATTTGTTATTCAATTCTCATTATTTATGTTAAAATATAATGTTATTATGCTTACTTTTCAAAAAAATGTGATTAACAAGATATACCACAATTACCCAGATTCTAAACTATGATCCAAACATGACATCTATTTAATGCCACGATTTTATGATTATGATAAAAAGCATGCTTATTATCTTCATATAATTGGTGTAACTATATTATTGCACTCTAGAGAATGAGATTGCACTTGTATGGAAAAATAAATAATTTGGATCAACCCTATTAATAGTTTGACATCATTCGATTTAATGTTAAGATATCACGAATGTATGACACGAGAAGATAGTTGATGTGGTAGATTTTGACAAGATAAAAGTAACGTTGGTTTGATCCCATGTCGCCCTCTTAACATTTCCCTCTCAATTGCTTCCACAAATATTGAAATTATTCATATAATGTGAACTTTGAAGTATTTTTCTTTTCTCTCTAGTAATGAATGAAGTGGCCAATCTCTTGAATGAACAAAAATGTTTTTTCAAAAAATTATAACAACATCTTATTTTTTTGTGTGCCTTCCGTTGTGCTTGATGAAGAGCGGAAGGGAGGGAGGAACAATGGGGATGACTATACGGAGGAAGGAGGACCCCCACTACTGCTGGATGTGAACCCACGCGGCCTTGCTCGGGACGCCTTGGTGCACCACGAACAGCATGTAGTATCCCGGAGGCGCGATCACCGCCGACGGCGGCGCCACCGTGGTTACCTTGTAGGTTCCGGCTCCGGAGATCTCCACGTCGGTGATCTTCAAAATGAGCAGCCGCTGGATCATCGAGTACCCGTGGGTGGTAAATGGTGGAGCGTACATGGTGACCTTGAGCTCTGCTCTGTCCAGTTCCACGCCGGCCATCCCGAAGTCGGCCGTGAAGCTAACACCGTACTTGAGATTGCCGGAGACGCCGTGCGCAGAGATCTCCGGCCGGCTGGTCTGAAGGAGAGGGTCCAAGTACGGTGGGGAGAACTTCTCCACCCTCAGTTCGGTGGGAAACAGCACGCCGGTGTAGTAGTACCCGTCGTTCGTGTTGCTTCCGGCGACCAGAATCCGGCCGTCGGGCAGCAGGGCGCTGGTGGAGTGGTAAACGCGGGGGATGGTGGTGGGGTTTAGGGTTCTGAATCTCTGCTCGCGCGGCTTCTTCGGCGAGTACAGCACCGGGCTGAGCGCCGGCTCGCGGGCGAATCCCCACCCAGCGGAGCCCTTGGAGGCGCCGTTGAGCATGAGGACCTCGCCGTTGGGCAGCAGGAGCATGTCGCCCATGACACGAGGGATGGGCATGATCTCCATCCTCCACACGGCCTTAGCTTTGGTGATGACGAGCCTCCCGCAGGTGCTCAGGGCTGGAAGAAACGTCCCTCTCCCGGCCAATTTGGCCGACAGCGGTGGGGAGCCGCCGCAGACCAGAACCTCTGCGGGGATCTTCTTGCCGCTGGGCCGCTGGAGGTTGATCGGCAGGAGGACCGACATGGCCGAGGCGGGGTAGTTGCGAGAACCGCCCACGAGTGAGGGGAATTCCCGGATGACCTTATTGGCCTTGTAGTCGAGGAGGATGGAGCGATTGTTGGCGAAGACGAAGAGGTTGCCGTCTGTGGAGAGATGGACGAAAGGGTAGAGGTTGTCCTCTACCTCGTCGGTGGTCTGCCGGAGGAGGGGGAGCCAGTAGGCGGCCTTATTGGATTTCCCCTCCTTCGGCACGAACTCGTACCCGAACTGCCGGCGCCCACCGATCAGGATGAAGCTGCCGTCGGGGAGGATCTGCTGCGTGGCGTACCTGCACCGCCGCGAGAGCATTAGCCATTGCCACGTCGATCCCACGAGAACGAGTGGCCCCTCGGAAGGAAAAAGCAGCCATACTAACCATCGTTGCCCAGAAAGAGCAGCTGGATATTCCTTCCAGTCACAGGTGTCACAAATTTGGAGATATCTCACCGCTTTGCCGCCGTCGTTCCATCCGCCAGTCTGCACCAGCGTCCCGTCCGGCGCAAACCCGCCCGACGAGCACCAGGGATTGGTCGAGACCTGGGAAGAGGGGGGAAGAACCCTCTGAGTACATGACCATTACTTACAAGCAAGGAAAGATCCATCCGACTGTGACGACGAGCGGGACCTTGAGCGGCCGGATCTTCCCAGTTTCGATGTCGTATTCCACGGCGTGGGCTGTGCAGTCCAGCTTCTGCGTTTTCGTGTCCGTCCGGCAGTTGTTCGCCACGAGGGGGACCTTGGTCTTGCCGAAGTTGGTGGCGTCGAACATGATGGCTTTGTTGGTGTGGGTGATCACCATGTGCATTGCAGAGACGCCGGAGCTGGTGGAGACCAGTTCCCACTCGCCGGCGTAGCCCTCTGCGACGCCGGCGATCATCCCCGTGAAGCCGGGTATTCCGAGGGGGTTGCTGGATGGGTCGTCGAAGAAGGAGGGGCGGACGGCTCGCGCCGCGAGGAAGAAAGGGAGGAAGAAGAGGGTCGCTCGGAGGAGGTGATGCGTCTCCATTGAAGCTTACCGTCCAATGGAGGGTCGCCTCCCCGCCCTTATCCCTCCCTCTCCCCCATCTGCGCCCCCCCGTTATTATTTTGCCCCCTCTCGACCCTCTCGACCTGCAGACCGTCGGTTGTTCTCCGTGGGGAGGAGCTAATATTGGTGGACCGTCTCCAACGGAACTTCCAAACTTGGTCGGCCCTTCCATGGCCGCGGAGATTGGGTCGTCTTCAACCTCTGGTTTCCGACATGGGAACCCTTTTTAGGGCAGCGTATCTCAGCTTCGGAGTACTTCCGATCGATTCTCCAGCACACGACTGGCCAAGTCAGCGTACGTAGAGCCTCTCGGATTTTCAAAAGGAGGACACGTCAAATTTTGAGGTCAACTCTTCAGGGGACCACCGGTTTTATTGGAATATACGGGGTCAACTAATAGGTCTTTTGGGTAAACCTAATGTGGGCTTACTTCTGGCGCAGGGGCCTATTAACCGAACATGCACCTCAGTCGGCGTCTCCGCGAGTCGAAGAGGTACTGGTTGGCCTCTGCCTTCTCCCTCGAGCTTCCCTTCTTCCGTGTCAGAAAACTGTCGCTGTCTGGGAACTTGCGTTCTGTCTGATTTGTTCTGTGTTTTCTTAAAACCCTAGGGAGTAGTGTTTTAATTGGTTCTTCGCATCCGAGCAGACGCTCGGCTGCCGTTTCTCGGTGTAAGTTTCTGGTGGAAGTTGAGAGTCGGGGAAGAAAAACCAGAGCTTGGATCACAATATCAACTCAGTTTCCATGGTGTGTTCATTTCTTAGGGTTCCTCAAGAGTCCTTCACGGCGATGTAACTCCTAGCGACAAGAGTCAACATGTTTGGTGTATGGAGGCCGTTGCAGCAGAGGCTGAGTATCTGCAGACCCTCGCTTCCTGGTAGACGAGGCCTGGCTTGCAACGGTAGCCATGGCGGGGATTGCAGTGCCTGTCTTCGGAGCAGATGCAGAGCCCTTCCATGGCGCATCCGTCTTCCTTGTCGGCCGCCTCCTTCCCCAAGAGAATCTCGTCCGACCACTCGCTGGAAAACATCCCCGCAGGATCAAGCATCATCTTAACCGCTTGGAACTCACTGAAATTGGGGTACTTCTGCGGAACTCCATGAAAGGCCACCCTCCTGTTCTTGCCCCAGTGAGGCCTAGCCCTGTGCTTGAAGAACGCCATCTGCTCCACCTCTTCCCACACGTCCTGGTTGAGCCTCGGCGTGGAGGGCTCGTCCGCCCGGAAGTAATTGAAGTCCACCGCCACGGAATCCTCCGGCTGGCCGAGGTACGCCAGCGAAGCTTTGATGAAGCGTATCAGGAGCCCGTTGTAGACGTCTACCCCGCAGAAGTCCTCTGGGCGCAGGTCCCTCAGCTTCTTTACGTCGGTAACGAAGCCTCTGAACGTCGAAGCTGGGAAAATGGCCGTCGTCTCGAAGAAGAAGAGGCCTCTGATGCTGGGATCCCAAGCGCAGGCGTTGAGTACGTCGGAGGCCGGCGAGTTAACGCAGGAGCCCGAAGTCTGCATCCTTCCCTGGTGGCCGACGACCGGGTAGCCGAGGAAGAGGTTGCCGTCGCTCTTCAGCCCGTTGGCCATCAACCTCTTGAAGGCCAGCTCCACCGCCGCCATGGCACAGACTCCTGATCTGCTCCTCGCTGCCTCGTTCGCCTTCTCTGTGGGAAGGAAGGAGTGCGCCCTGTTCAGGCAGTTCCTGGCCGGGGGCAAGAAGGGCCAGCGAGGGGAGGATACCTAGAAATCGCACCGCCTTGGAGGACAGGATAGGGAGGTTCTGAAACCCCAGGAAGTCGTTCTTCCCGTCGCCGGAGCTGTTCCTGGGGACCCTGTCGTCGAGCCTGTACACGGCCGAGTGCTGTGAGGGATACCAGGTGATGTCGGCGAACTCGTGTGCTCCGGCGAGCTCCATGAACTCGTCCTGCAACCGTCCGTCGTCTCGGAAGGAAAGACTGATGCTCCTCTTGAACGCCGGCTCCAGCGAGAAAGTCACCTGCAGGGAAGAAGACGAAGATGAGGAGAAAATGGAGGACCAACAAACCAACCAACGAACCCACCTTGGAGATCACGTCCAGCAGGCCAAGGGAGATCTTTGCCGCGTTGAAGGCCTCGTCTCCGCCGTCGAGCTCGATGATCTCCGCGAAACCCCGAGCTCTCGCGGCCGGAACAACTAGCCGGAGCGCCACCAGATGGTCGTGGACGGCGCCACCTCTTCCCCACCACGAACTGCCGTGCGACCCGGTGCTGACCATCCCGCCGATGCTGACCCCTTCCCAGTACGGCGCAGCCACCAGACTGAGACCCACCGCCTCCACCTTGTCGATCAGAGCTCGGAGGCCTACTCCGGAGTCTGCGGTCACCCGCCGGTTCTCGACGTCGACCTCGATGTGGCTGTTGAGCTTGGCGGTGCTGATAACGATCGATTCCCCCACAGACGAGGGGCAGACCAGCTTCGGGATGGTGTGGGAGAACCCGCTGACGACCTTTACCTTCTGGCAGCTCTGCTGGGCCCTCGCGACGGCAGCTCTGATCTCCTCCTCCGTCGTCGGGTACACGACGGCGGAGGCCCAGCATTCCATCCTGTCCCCCCACGCCCCATAGGCGTTACTCACCGCGCACCGGGCGGCGCTGCCGCAGTGCACCGGCGGAGCCGGCTGCCGCGCTACCGCGCTGGTCGCTGCCCATCCGGCGACGAGGATCAGGATCAGGGCGAGGCGGCGGAGGAACCGCCGGGAGACAGCCATAGGGAAAACAAGCTCCCTCATGATGGCGAGAACTCAGATTAAATGCCCACAGATAACCTGGGTTTGCGTGGATTATGAGCCAAGCTTCTTAGATTTAGTACCGGCCGACGAATCATCAGTGATTACTACCGGAGATAGCATTCTATCCTCCATATTAATAATATAATACGAACAGCCAGAGATGAACAGACCCTACCCAGATCTAATCCAAGCTCGTGGTTGCAAAGGTGCCGACTTTCAGCCACTGGTAGCACGGTAGGCTGGCAAAATGATTACAGATCCGCCATCAAGTCAAGTCTCCGAGGGAGAACATCTGCGAGTGGAGATGGCAGCCGGAAACAAGCTCCGGTTCAAAAATCTTCACAAGTTGTGCTTTGCCTAGTTGAGACAGAGACGATGAGGACTGGCGACTGCGCGCGCAGGGAGGGTGACAGCGACGGGATCGGCGGGTCAGAAGAGCGATCGATATCGTCTTTGAGGAGCGAGAAAGCAACGGCGGGGGAGAGGCGGAGAATGGGGACAGGGGCAACGGTGATAACCCGGGGGATTCCTGAGGGGCGACAGGAGTAAAATAAGAGGGGCGGCGACGCTGACCTCGCTGCCAGGCATGGAGGAGGTGAGGGGCTCCGGATCTCGAGCCGACCGCGCCTGCCGCGAGGTACGCCCACCTGACGCCGGCCTACGCCGCCCAGCTCCGCCAGACTGCGGCGTAAACAGTGCGCAGAGCCCGCTGTCTCCTCCGTATCCTGCGGCAGGCTCCGCTCGCCTCCCTCTCACCAACCAGTCACGCCGCCAGCAACAGTCACCTCCCGAACTGGCGGTAGAGCGGAGCCCTCGGCGGCGGAGGCGGCGGCGGCGGCGGCGGCGGCGGCAGCTATGGCCGTCAGCATCCGTCGTCGGGGAGATCCAGCCGTCCGGCTTCCTTGAGCGCCTTAAGCAGCTTCGCCCCCTTCCGCCGGCCCCTCGGGGTGCAGTCGCCTTGCAAGGCCATCACCACCGTCCGGCCCACCTCCGGCGGTGCGGCACCAGCCCATTGGCCGGCGTAGATCGCCGACAGAACCCCGATGGCGGACTCCCTCCCTCTGCCGACCATCTTCTCCACCGCGGCCACCAGTGACCCCGCCGCGGTGGGGTTTCTCCTCACCTCCACCGCTCCCTCTGGGACCGTGCATATGAGCTCCAGCGCGGCCAGCGCCCGCTCCGCCGTCGCCGCCCCGGCTGCTCCCGACGTCGAAGCGGCTGCGACGGCCTCCACCGCCGCCGGCGCGGCCTTCGCCTCCACGGCCAGTCTCCGGTTACTCTCCGACAGGAGCAGCGCCAGCAGGACCTTCGCTGCGGGTCTGGCCGCGGCCGGATCCAGTATCGAAGCTACGACTCCGGCCATGACGGGCAGCGGGCAGGGAACGGCGGCGGCGCCCGGATCTAGCGCGAGACATCTCTCGATGAGTCGCAGCGCAGGGATGCGATTGCCGGAGGGGAGGTGGAGCTCTGCGACATGGAAGGCCCCGGAAAGGTCGTCGGTCGAGGTGGCGAAGTCGGATTCCTGGTGCAGGCGGTGATCGGAGGACTCTGATGGCGGGTGGGTGAGCGGGAACCGCCACTGGGTGAAGCTCTGGGAGGTTGAGGACGATGACGAAGATGAGGACAACGGATGCCGTCCTTCGGGTTCGGCCGCCGTCGCTGTAGGGACTGAACTCTGCGCGTGTTCCTTCTCCAATTGTGTCGGCAGAGGAAGAGGAGGGGGAGGAGATGAAGAAGGCGGGGGCAAGCCAGAAGACGGTGGCGGGGTCGTCATCGTCGTCGTCGTTGCTGCAGGCGGCGGCGGGGCCGTCTTCGTCGGGCTCAGCACTGTTTGAGTGCAGTTCCGGAACATCCCGCAGGAGAAGAGGGCACGCGTCGGCGCCTTCAGCTTCGGGTGGTGCTGGGAATGACCGCTTCTGCTGGTCATGTTGCCTCTGCAAATTCAGCCCCCTCCCCCCCACCTCCTCCCCCGGCGAGACCAGCTACGAGCGATTCGTATAAATCTTCAACTAGTGTACGAATCTGGGCGGCGGCGGGGTTGAGGGAAGGACGACGACCTTCGAGAGAGAGAGAGAGAGAGAGAGAGCAGTAGGGAGGTCGGTAGAGCAAATGGCGGCGGCTACGCCTGCCTATGAGGGCTCCTCGGCCTAGGAAGCTTCGCAGGCGGCGAAGGATTCATCTGGGTTGGGGGGTGGGGGGCAGGATCGGGCCCCCGGTCATTAATCATGCCGAAGCTGTCCGGCCGGCGGGCCTTTTAAACGCCACCCACTGCCGCTGGCACACGGCGCGGGCAGCGTCGTCAGTCCCTGCCGGCGCCAGCGGCCCCCCTCTCTTCGATCTGGCTATCCCGCCAGGGTCCACCAACGCCACCACGGCGGCGGCGCCGCCGCGAGCCCCACCCACCCTCCCTTCTTGACCTCTCTCTCCTCCGCAGCATTCCACGTGCATGGACCTGCCAAGCGCTCCGCCACGTCTGGATGCATGCGCCAGCCATTTAATTTCCAACATTAGCAACATTTCCTTCTCTGTCTCTCTCTTTAAATAAATAAATGTCAAGGAATGTAGCAGTCACTTCCCAGCAACTACTCTGGGAAACAAGAGACGAGCCTTTTGACTCTCATTTCTTGGTCAATGGGAAGAGACAGCGGGGGAGGTGGGCCAGGGGCCCAGCGACGGCCCAGTTTAGCTAGTCCACATGAGTCTTGGCTTGGCGGCAACCTCTGGCACGTGGCCCAGGATCTCCTTTAGGCCGTGTTGGCATGTGACGTAGCCCTCACTTAGCCTGTGGCCTAGATGGGGACACCCGCTTTGCTATAACAAGTAGTTCGAATAACTAGAAAAAATTGTAAATGGTAATTTCCGGGGCTTTAATTACAAATGGGCTGAGCTTGAATCCGATGGCCCAAAACTGGACCAACACAGCCCACGTAGGCAGATTCAGTCAACCGAGCATTCGGAGGGTCAATGGGCCCTGCTGGGCTTTTACTCTGTCCAATCCTGTTCAATCAACCCCCCTCAGGGAAAGAGAGAGAGAGAGAGAGAGAGAGAGAGAGAGAGAGAGAGGCTACAGAACCATTACTCCTCTGAAGATGATCCAAGGGCGGCAGGGCTGCTGCCCCATTCATTGCGGCACCCGCAAGCTTTCACGCAGAAGGCGCCTCCCCTGGTGGAAACCCTAAAACTGGGGCCGGATATCTTCGACCAGTGGGGCTTCGGGGGGGGGGGGAGGAGGGAGACGCCCTGCATGGCCTAGAATGGAAGGAAAACACCCACACAGACAGCGCGGCACCGCCGGAATCCACCCACCGCCACCTCGAAGTCGACCCATTCAATGAACTCGCCGGACTCGGGCCCCGACCGGTTCAGAGACCTCGGAGAGGGCTGAGAACATCCCCAGCTTCGATCGACGATAAGGGATTTAATAAGCTTAATGTAGCTGAGAATCACGACGAATAAGCGGCTGATGTTTCGAACATGAATAGGAGCAGAAGATCCAGACAGAGGAGTCGCAAGCAGCAAGTCAAAACCCAACATATACATAATAGATAAGAATGACAGGTAGCACACCGGGATACAGAAAGACACGCGAGAGCCAGCAGGACGAGGATCATCTTCTCTAGGGCATATCCAGCAGACCACGGACGATCGATAGGGCTGGGCGGATTTTCCCCCCACGGGCTCCGAAAATTTTCAGACTTTAGAGGTCCCCTTGAGCCAGTTCACGGTTCTTGTTCTCAGACTAGACCGCAGCTCCCAGGTTCTTGTTCTTCTCCATGGCCCTGGGAGCTGCAGACAGTGGTCGGATGAGAGGAATCAAGAGGAAGCATAACGAGCCATCATCTCTGAACAACTAGACTAGAGAAACAAAATAATAAATAATAAATAATAAATAATAAATAAATACTAAATAATAATAATAATAATAAATACTAAATAATAAAAAATAATAAATAAATCATAATAATATTAATAATAATAAATAAAAATAAAAATAATAAAAATAATAAATAATAAATAAAAAAATAAAAAATAAAAAATAAAAAATAAAAAATAAAAAATAAAAAATAAAAAATAAAAAATAAAATAAATAAAAAATAAAAAATAAAAAAATAAAAAATAAAAAATAAAAAATAAAAAATAAAAAATAAAAAATAAAAAAAATAAAAATCATGATTTCGGCCTCGGTCCGGTACAAGAGCCCGGGGGTTTTGATTTTTCTTCTAACGTTGTTGTCTTGGGGACCCTCCATCTGGCCCTTTCTCCGGGCTGGGTCCGGGCCTTGTCGGTCTGGTCTGAGGGCAACCCTGGCCCTAAGGGCGGATAAGGTTTTAAAAAAAAAAAGACAATGCAGGTTAATTCGTGCCACATGTACCTAATCCGATGGCTTCTGACCCCTTCATGATCCTCAGCCTCTTGCAGGACGCAGTGAACATGCTGGCGATTCCAAAACATAAAAAAGGACAGATTTTACGGTTATGCTCAATTATATAGGTTAAAGCAGTTCTAAACACAGATGGGTATCAGTAAAAGATGCTTTGATCGGATTTTTTATTTTTTATAAAACAAATCCAGTTTGTCCGCTGTAAATCTCCACAGAAGGATGAGTTCGAGGTGCTTACTCCCATGGAACGTCGCCGACGAGCATCCAATCTCCATCCTTGTCCTCGTACGTGAGCACATACTCGGACCCGTGAAGAAGATCGATCAAACAGCTCTCGCTGAGCTCATCCTGGTCGGGGGCTCCATGCGGTCCACATTGGCCTGAGAAATAGGTCAAGAAGATGTCATGTCTTCAGTGATGCTGAGCAGGTGGGTCTTTCCGACCAAGTGAAAAGCGTCAAGAACATTAACAAGGTGATGATCCTGTCGGGTCGATTGATCCTGCTGGTGCAGCAGAGCTCACCGATGGTGAAGCAGCTGAACATCTTCTCCAAAGCAGAAGAAAGCTCCTCGTAGTTGCAGTAGGTCTTGAGATCAACTTTCCTCAGATATGGGGCCCCGTCCATGCTGACCTTCACGTAGAGGCAGCCCAGCTCCTGTTTTCCTGCGGGGTCATTGCTATTTTTGGGTGGGTTTGCAGACAATGTGTTCTTGCGGTAGCTCCGAATTGGAGGCCACCCTACCACCTGCGCCCTGCAAAAAATATGCGATTCGAACACAGAATTTGAATCCTGCGGTTGGGGAAAGGGACATATTTCCAGAAGAAATGCGTCCACTATGGAGTGAATGATCATGAACGGGGGGCTGCTCCCATGGAGCACCATGTAGAGAATACAATACATCTGCTGAAATTGATACCCTTAATAAACTTCATGAACAGACAACGAACTGGTTTTTTTTACATTTTATTTTTGTGAAGATTGACAGGAAAATGACGAGAAAGATGTAGCTAGAATCCTCCCTGCCTCATGGTCATTCAAGGAACAAACAATGGAAATCACTATTTATATGACCTTTCAAAAGAGAAAAACTAGGGCAATGAAACATCAATGGACGAAATCATTCGTTTCGATTTGATCCATGCATTTCCCTGTTGTCGGAGCCTATTGGTCAGTATTTATCGTCAAAATCTAAAGTATGTGAAGATAATTCCAAGGTTTTCTTCACCCGAGAGAAGGGGATTTCTGTCAATCTGAAGGCAAAGAGGGAAGGAAAAGTTCGGAAATCATCGCAGAAAACGCAGGAGAATCTTCCAGGCTCAACTCACTTTGCGGCATGGCTGGCCCTGCGATCAGAATCGGTAGAAGGAGCCGCTCCGTTCTTCTCAAACCCGGCGGCCTTGGACGCCGAGCCGGCATCCTTGCCCCCGTTCACAGCGCCAGACAGTTGCCCGCCGATGGGATCCCCCTTCGGCGCGAACAGACTTCCTTTTCCTGGTTCGACCTCAGATCCAAGTCCGCCGGGGAAAAACCACTGGTTGGAGCCGTCGATGGCGTCGGAGAAGCCCCTCTTCGCCCCCGAGACGACGGCCTTTGGGGGGCCAAGCATCAGGACTGCCTGATCCCAGCCCTTCCGGTCGGGGGACTCCAAGCCTGGGAGCCCCAGTCTCAGCTCTGTCTCCTTGAGGTCGCCGCAGAGCCGGTCCTCCGCCGCGGGAGCGGCGGCCGGAGGGCAGAGCTTCTCAGAGAAATCCATGGAGGGAGCCTCCGACAGCCCTATGTAATCATGCTCCAAGGGTGGGGTCATTAATCCGCCGACACCTGCGGGAGGATACCAGTGAGCCTGCAGCGCCGGAGGCGAAGAGAAATGGAAGCCAACAAGCCAACAAGAGAAGAGAGAAGAGAGATGGATGGAAGGATACGCACACCAACAGAAGAGCACAGAGAAGAGAGAGAGAGAGAGAGAGAGAGAGAGAGAGAAGCACCGCGAGTCTACAGTGGCCACCCCCGAGGGGCTTTGACGTTGGCGAAGCTAACTGTAAACTGTGGTTTATGTTTCTGCGGAACGTGTGCCCGACTCGTGCGCCAGCCACAGAGAGAGAGAGAGAGAGAGAGAAAGAGCAAACCAATCAGACGCCTTGGCAGTGCCATGGTATATAAAAGACAACAGAAAAGAAGGCAGAGACAGAAACCTTAACATGACAGAGAGAGAGAGAGGAGAGAGAAAGTGGTGTGCGTTTCCAGAGAGACTGGAACGACGTTTTTTGTTTAAGATTAACTTGCTGGAATGAAAGTTTCGTGTAGAAGGAAGACGGTGACCCGGAAGAGGCCGTCTACCCAAATCGGGCAAAAGTAATTCCATCGGGGGCACCATGTTTTCCGCAGCAGATCTGAACCAGTTCCTCCGGCGACAGATGCCTTTCCGTCGCATCGTCGCCGGCGAACCTTCTGCTGTGTCTTCCCCTAGCTCGAGTAAATTCCAGTCACTCGGCTCCGAAGCCGGCGCTAGAGCTCGCCTTTTTTTCCCTTTATTAGAAGCAAGAAAGCCCCTCCGGCCACCCCGACGGAGACCCCTTCCTCTCCGGCAGGCCCTCCGGCGAGGTCGGAAGGGGCTTCGCTCTCCACTCGATTCGACCCTGTAAGTTTTTAGTTCTGAGTGAGGTGGGAGCATCTTCCCCAGCCGTCGGAGGATTTTGTGGGTAAAGAATCTCGCCTGCTGTCTGCCTGTCGCCATTTAATTATGTACACGGCCGGCCGGTCGCCGGTCGCCGGTCGCCGGCGAGCTCTTCTTCGTCTTTTTTTTTTCTCGACTCCTCGCAGAAGCGTGCGACGCCTTCTCCGCGCGCGTGCGCCGGCCGTCATTATTAGCGCGGACTGGTTCCGCGGCGGCGACCACGGCGGCGGCGGTGGCGGCAACCCTGCTCCCGAGAGAGGGGCCGAGCCCGATGTCGGTGACGAGGACGACTCGACAGCGGGAGCGTTGACCGCCCGGCGCCGGCTGGCGGCATCTGATCGCCGGCGACCGACAGATGTGAAGCCCCCCACTCGCCCCCCCTCCCCCCCCAAAGATACGGAGGAAGCTCGTAGAGAAAGGATCATCATCCGTCCGGCGGCGGCCCCCACTGCGGGTGATCGCAGAGGGGCGGAATCCTAGCGGAAGAGGGAGCGAGCAGGGCCAGGCAAGGTGCCCCCCCCCCCCCGCGTCCGTTCCCCCATCCCATCAGAGCATCCACGTCGACGGCTGGCAGCAGAAAGAGCCCCCCTTTCGCTTTTGTCCCCTTCCCTCCTCCGTCGACGGCCATTATCGGCTGCATCAGCCGGGAGGAGGAGGAAGACGACGGTGGTCGTGGTGGTGGCGCTTGGGATGATGCACGGGGCTGTGTCGCCGAGTGGATTTTCCCAGCGAGGCCATCCCCGACGGCGGGCCCCGGCGGGGGGCCGCCGTGATACCACATGTCGGCCGGCAACCGGGACGCTGCACATTTAAAAATTTCCGCTTGCAAGTACGGCAGCTTATTCAATGACGCTTAAATTCCGCCAAGCGCGCAGCCCAGAAGACAGAGAAAGAGAGAGAGAGCGAGAGAGAGAGAGAGAGAGAGAGAGAGAGAGAGAGAGAGGAAACCCCGGCGGGGGATACGCTGGCTGGACCTTGGCAGAATACTGACGCGGCCTGCCGAATGAGCGGAAGCAGATGCTAATAATAGGCCCAACCCAGGAACGAACGCCGGCGAGGCCCTCCGTTTCTCCGGCCACTTTTCCTTCCTCGCCGGCGGGTTTCTCGACGGAGAGGACGGCGGTGGGGAGCGGAACACTAGGCGCCCTGGGGGACATTTTCGGTCGGCCGGGGGATTACCGAGGGAGGAAGAAGGGCTAGAAAGTGAGCGCCACCAAGGCGCCGCTGGCTAATCCTCCGGCGGGACATTGCAGACGTAGACGGTAAGATAGTAACGGTAGCGGTCCTGCGTAATGCCTCTGGAGCCATGGCGGAGCTCGGGCGGGGGCTGGAGAGGACAGACGATAGGGTTGATCAATGGCGATGAGAGAGCGACGTGAAGGTGGGGAAGAGGGTGGGGGTGTCGTCATTCCACACGGCCCTTGGACCACTCCAGGTGGGGAACAGCCGGCGACGGCGGCGCCGCCGTGGCTGAAGATGGTAAGAGGCCCGATGATTGTAAACCTGGACGAGGCCGAGCCCACCTACCTCAAAGTGGTAAAAAGCAGGTCAAGCGCCCAACAGGCTTAAGTGGTAGGAACCACCAACCCACCACCACCACTATCCGCTCGCCGCCGCCCCGGCTTAATTACTTACCGTCGTCGGCTATGGCCCTCCATTACTGAGCTCTAAAGGTGCCGCTTTTAGTCCTCCCCGCCCCTACTTAGGTCGAGCCGCTGCCCGCAGAGTATGCGCTCCTTCGCCTTCGAGATGGGACGGAAATTCAGCAGCAGATGGGACGGAAAGAAAGGGATATCCACGTCAACCTCTACCACCCAAAACTGCGTCAGCCCTGCTAGACAAGACGCCAAAGCTGCCGAGAACAAGAGAACGAAGAACGGAGACGTGGGTCTGCCAGCCACGGCTGTCTCCATGCAGAAAAGACGCTAGAGAGATAGAGATAGACAGAAAGCGAGCGAGAGAGAGAGAGAGAGAGAGAGAGAGAGAGAGAGAGAGAGAGGGGAGAGGTTACGAAAAGAACCCCTGAGAAACCGAGATTTTCCATTGCCGGGAAAAAGAATTAGAAGAGTCGCGGCAGGGCGGATGGGTGGAGGCCACCAAAGTTAGCAAGAATAGTTCAAAAATAAAGAGAGTAGTAGTGACGAGGGGGAGAAGAAAGGTGGGCAAGAGGGGGTCACCTCCATTTCTCCTCCAGTTCTTTCTTCTCTGATAGAGCCCACGTCACGAAGATGGACGCCACCAGGACGACTATGGTGATGAGCAGGAGGGCATAGCTGAAGTCTTCCGTCAGAGAGTCGTAGGTCCTCGAAGGGGCGACCCGGGTGAAGAAGAGGTCCACGCCGTAGGCGAAAACGAGGGAGGTAGACTCCAACTTGGCCGGCATTGTTGCTATCCCCCGCAGGCCTTCCACTTGGAGAGAATGGGTCACGTAGGACTGCAAGCACAAAGGAGGGTCGCTGCATTTATTTTTTTGTTCCATTGATATATTTAGATGCAGACTAGCTATACATCTCTTCAGCTTTCTTTATGATCAAACCTTTAATCACATGATCAGTTGATACTATATTCTTCTCTCTGCTAACCCATGCTACTCGCCGCATAATTCAAGTCTAAGATGTGAAGCCCATATCCTAAAGCCAGATCTATCACAGATATATACTTTTATTATGACCAAAAAAAAAAAAAAAAAAGAGCACCCGGCAGATGCATGCTTGGGTTTTGATTTGGTCATGCAGAGTTTCCTTATTTTCCATGGAATTCATTCGCTTGATTACTTTTTAAGACAATGGGATTAAGAGCTAAGAAGCCTAGTTTATAAATCAGCCATATCCATATTGAGAATTACAACACTAAGCCGATAAAATCAATCTAAGATAATTCGAATCGTTGCCATTACAGATTAAGATATTTTATCCTATTTTACTGTTTATGGAGACCTCAGGACCGATATAATTTGGAGGTAATGGAAATCTTGACGGTGATTTGATAATGCACAAAATCTCGTATTTAAGAAAAAAAAAAAGAACCTCATCAAGGCGTGTTTTTATAAATTTATGGGCCTTGAAAAGGAATTAAATTTAATATGCATTGTATTACCATTCACGGTGGTGAAAAGACAGGAATTTATTCAAAACTGAATCATAAAAAAGGAAAATCCCAAGTAGCAGGTAAGACATACCTGAGGAATTATTGGCAGTGAATCAGTAAGTGGTATTATCCCCTCCTCCCTCTCTGATGGGGATGGGTCTGGAGTGCGACGAGGATCAAGGTAGCGCTTATCTAGTGCCAAAACCTGTACCGGAATATTCAATTGAACTTCATTAGTCTACAAACAAATGTAATTGTAGAAATAAAAAAAGGTCACATTTTGCTCGCAAAAGAAACCAGAACTCATTGACGTTTGTTGTTGAGTGTCGGTTCTGACTGGAATCCGCCTAAGTCACTAGGAGAAAAGTATCCAATAGAGCCTAATGCTGGAAAGCAAAACGTAGTTCAGTGTACTGAACATTCAAAAGATCAAGCACTGGGCCACTTCTCTGACACCTATCCTCTAGAGTGTATCGTTTTTGTTTCCTGGACACGTATTCTGAATGGGCATTGCAGCTAGTAAAGTGACACGTTAGGGTGTTGCACCAATGGCTGTGCGCATGCTGGATGCACGCATGTGGTCACACCCGCTCCCACTTCACCATCACTCCAAGATCAATGTGTCCACCGACATGCAGCTACCGCTGCAGCTGCGGAAGAGGCAGATGCGGGATGACCAGCAACACAATTAAACAGCAGCGGGAGTCGGATTGGGGTGCATAGAATTCGGTGTCCATGCCTGCTACTGCTGCAGTGGGGCGGTGGACAGCATGCGGGCCTGCCCGGCATGTGTCCAGATCCGTGCGTCAAAATTTAGTTCTGGGTTTGGGAGGGCACGGAAAGGCTTGGCCTTGCCCGATGACAGTCCAATCACTTACCTGAAGCTTAGTATTGAAATTTTGAGGAAAATAAAAGGAATATTTCGAAAGCTAACCTGGTCACCAATGGTACCAATGAGAAGCTGCTTAGAAGTGATTCCCTTGGCCGTTGAAGTGACTGCCATTGTTTTCACTGAATGTGTAAAGAAGTAACTTTGAGATTTCACTGTAACCTCCGGTTGAGAAAATGCAGAAACTGGTGAGGTGAGGTTGTGTTTTCCAAGTAGCAATTTCCATATGCTTTTATTGTCCTGCAGGTCACAGATGAGTGTCATGGTGCAAAATGCAATAAATTCAAAAGGAAATTATTATGAGACATTCACCTGTCGAGATTGATCATTTACTTCAACAACGGACATCTCATACTTATGTGCTCTGAGATTGAAGTAGTGATAGACAACCCAGTTCTCACTGACAACCTTTAAAGAATATAAGAATGTGGGCGATTCCTCAGTATAGCTGATAATGTGCTATCAAAGCCTGTTTAACATCTATGGCAAATAGAAACACTACTTACAGCATGAATGGGTCCCTGTGCACCAAGGTGGGTTACGCGATGGATTATGCGCCCAGTCACAGCATCGATAAGATAAACAACCAAATAAGCTTCTTCTGGAGTTGCTGAACCAATGTTTCCAGCAGCTCTTGGAGAAACTGTAGCAACAAAAAGCATATTTTTGGATATGTACTTATACATTACATCCTGATTCCCGATTGTCTTTGCTTGGGTATGAACGACCTGAAAATGATTAGGATATCATTAGATCCTTTATACACGATAACAAATAAGATATGAGTAATGTAATAGAAGGGAGAAAGGTGTCAAACACAAATGACCTTTGAAAAAATAATGCATGAACAATGAAGCAGAGGGAGGTTTGGGGGGGGGGGATTTTGTTTTCTTTTTTGACTGATTCTTTGGAAAGGGTCAAGGCTTAGAAATACTAAATATTTCATAGAGAAGGCTTGATCCAGAAAAAAATGAAGAGTAATTACAAACAATCTCATCAAAATGAAAGACAAACCAATCAAACCTTCCAGTTAGTGAAGATAAATTGAAATTTTATGAAACTTTGAAGCTTCAATTTTTTTAAAAACGAAAACAGCCTTGACCAATAATAAATCTAACCTCATTATGTTTCCTTGTTGTAGCGCCAGTGATCTTCTCAGAATCTGAGGGGAAGATGATTGACCACAACTCTCTCGTATCAAAGCAATAATCATCTTCATCAGTGTCAATGCAATTTCCACGAAATGAATACCCTTTAATAGCGCCTTTTACAGCTTCAACCGAGTACCAGTAAGTGTTTGGAAGTTCCGGACGGAAAATGTTGATTGATTCAGGAGTTCTTGGATACAAGTGTGCCTTTTTATTATCATCTATAATAATATGAAGACGCTGCTCTGTTGAATCGGTAAGAGGAAGTGGCATGACTTGAAGAACGGAATGCGAGAGCTTTGAGGAGCTAACCACTTTTCCACTGTAAGAATCAACTATGAGAATGACACCTGGTGCGTCAGAATGAAGGCCACATCTACTGATTACAAGAACTGATGGGTTCTCGTCCATTGCATGATGATGAGGTACTTGCCATTGGTATATATCAACAGGAATAAGATGTTGGCAGGAATCAGAGCTATGCAAGGGAGACAACAGTAGAGACCATACAATTCTTCCATCGCCCGTGTGCAGGGCCAAGACTTTTCCTGCTCTAGTCAATACAACCAACAGCTTCCGAAAACCATTATGATCCCTAGTCATCTTAGTTTTTTCGAAGCTTTTTAACCTCATCCTTTGAATTGCAGCTAGATCCTCAGCGTTGGCAAGCATCAGAGTTCCTTTGACCTTCAGCAAGTGGCCCTTTTAAAATGAAATAGTGAATAGGACGTCAGAATGAATGCTGCATATGACATTAGACAGACAAAGCATTTAACTATAATGCATTTAAGAAGAGAATACAGAAGAGAGATATGGATGGAGTGCGTCCATTTCATTAACCATTATCTCATGTGATAAAACAACAGAGGATCTTTTATCCATTTACATCTTGCATCTAGATGAATTCATGGCAACATTCGCATGAATAAAGTGCTCTATAAAACGGGAGCAATGAGCTATCCTAACTGCAAACACACGAACACACATCAAGCTGTGATGTGCAGATTGGCTTCAAAATTTAAACTTCAACAAATAAAGAACCCTAAGTCATGATTTCACCCTGCTCTATTCTCTCATTGCTCCCCTCATGAAAATCCGAGAAAAAAGTTAGCTCCAACAGTGGATCTTGCATTCAACAAATGTAACTTGAATTCCAATTCTAACTTGTGACATAGATAGTTTGCATAGAACAAGTCCAAAGCCATCTCAGTCTAGCCTATCATATCTCCAATTCCATTTAACATTTATTATCTAAAACTCAAAATAATTACTATTAATCAGATATTTAAAATTTCTCTTCTCAGCACGCAATTTGCATCTCAACGTACTCATATGAAGATAATAGTATGCCTTCATTCAATGATAGGCAAGGACAATTTTAATAACATAACGATGAAATCAATTGATCAGATATATAACCTTTTCCTTGAAACGGAGCATAAAACATTTTCGTTTGCAATACTTCGCAAATCATTCATAAGAAGTATTTATTCTGATCAGTTTGTGACATTAAGCATATGAGTTTTATACCGATAAGCAATGCCAAGTCTGTCATTCTTGCAACAAGTATAGGGCCCCAATTACTCAAGTCTATATTGACAAGTGACACAGTGGTAACATGCGCCAAACAGAGGAAGTCATGCTCTCTGCAACGCATGGTCGCAAGATGCGTCAGATGTTCGGTTCTCATGTCAACAAAAAAAATAAATGAAATAATGACGAGTTTCCTGGTAGTCAATATGCGATCACGAAATCAACAAGTTCGAAGTGAAATGTAAACACAAACTGCAGTTAAAAAGTTAACATATCTAAAATGCAGAGCAGAATCTACTACTCCACTTTTCGCCCATTTCATTGTTTCTCATCAAGAACTCTGTTTGGAGGGGGGTTGTTAAACAACGTAAAACGAAGGAATAGTACCTTAATCCATTCGAAAATACTATGTTCCACTTTGGCAACCGAAACTCCTTTCTCTACAGGTAGTTCAGATGTTGTAGAAGCAATAATTGAAGCAAGCCCATCTTCTCTGCTCCATACAATTTCACCTTGCTGCACTAAAAGAAGTGAATGGTCTTCCATGACAACCAAGGCCCTGAATCCATGAGACTTATCTGTTTTCACATAATTATTTAAGAAAACTTTCTGCACGGATCCTCTTTGACTGTCTAGATTGATGCTTTCTTTTAGTATATTACTTTTCAAGTCAGTATCAAGCTTTACTGTGAGATGAACCTTAGTCTCCTCATGCTTCACCATCGCGAAAGCCTGTTGCCCATTGGCAAGGAGGAGACTATCGCTAATGGAAGCTGGGTGAGGGATTTTCTCGATTATCTCCAAATCTCTCCCACTTTCCACTTTCATTAACATTATTAATGAATCAAGCTCTAGAGCAAACATGCCAGTAAACTTCTGAGGTAAAATAGCTGCTGTCCCAGAGTACCCTTCAGCAAGATCAGAAATATGTGTCTGATGAAAGCGGATCTCTCCTCCATTAAGATTAACTAGAACTAAGATAGATCTAGTAGCATCTAATGTCACAAACACGTCACCAGAAACAAATGATGCTTCCCTAGAAAAGCCACCAGGAAAGGATGCACTCTTGTGGACAAGGATATCACCATTTTTAGCACTAAGTTGATAAATATCAATCTGTGAGGAACTGGAAAATCCTATAGCGGTTATATCACCATCAGGGGTTTGAAAAAGCTTCTGTATCTCTAAGCTGCAAACAAAACCAGAAAAGTGATACATATTTGTACACCGTAAAGGCAAACGGAAATTTAAAACAGAAACTCATGACCGATTGAAACACCTGTCTGTAAATTCTCTCTTCCAGATAACTTCACCATCTATGCTAGATACAGCATGAAGGCACCCTCCAGCAGAAACAAATATTTGCTGATCTGTTCCCACCTCAATGCTTGCCTGCAATTTGGATGTTTCAACAAAATGAGAACCAATAGTAAAAACTATTCAGCAGAAAATGAAGCCATAAAGTACATAATATATTCTGCAAAAATATTTCATAAGAAAAGCTATCATTGATCTATTACTTCAGCATTTTTTCGAACAACAGCGTGCAAACGGGCCAGAAAGTCCGAGCTGCCCCAAACAAGTGGTAACATCACGCAGATACATTTGATATTTGCTAATAATCTCCTAGTGCCAAACGATGGAGGCGAGATAAAGAAAAAACCGTTCATCGTATGTACAGATGAATTAGGATGTGATGGATTGTCCACGTCTCCCCAACAAAATTCATGGGAAATGTAATCATCTAATCACGATGTCCACAGTTTCAAGTACAGGAAATGGAATACCCCATTTGCAATAATCCTTCTGTTTTGATAATGCCTTGCTTTACAAGTGTAATATTTATTTTGTGTATAAGAGATGGCAATCCTCTAAGACGTTTTTGTCCTCAGTAATACACGGACTATACTGTAGACGATTATATTAAGGTACTTTCTTTAATCAATGAACTGTTCTATGCTTCAAGAAATCGATTTCTCAACAAGAAAAACGTACTAGTGATTAAAAATTAAAGCACAAGCATTTTTAATTAATTTCCATCTCAGATTTAAGAGTTAAAACACTATTACAAAAAGATCAGTTAATTCAGAACATAATGAAACAATGATGAGATATGCTTTGCTGCTTACTGGAACATAGAACAATGACATGGAGGATGCTGAAACTTGCAGAAAAGACTCCCACACCATCTGCCCGTCAGGAAGGTTCCATGTTCTCAAGATGCTCCCTGATGAGAGTGTGATGACATCTGCGCATAGCAAAAGATACAGTCAATTGTCATTCCAACACATCCGTCAGGATTGACGATAACCGAAATCTAAAGACAAAATATTGCTCTAAATCGAGAAAAAAAATGAACAGATATATAACGATGAATACAAAGAGTTTGACAATTAGCAAAGAAAATGAAAAATAAAACCATCTTCCTTTTGGATTAACTAGTACTTGATTCATCATTAGTTTCTGCTTCAATTGATTATACTTGTGCTGATGATAATCAATCAACATCAGGGAATTACAGAGTATGGAAAAGGAAAAGTAAACACTGGCTATAATGTTGATAGTAGGCAAAGAAAGAGGTCAAAACATCCTGGAAAACATCACGTTTAGGTCTTCGTCATAATAGTTTAATGCAATTTAACCTAGTCTGAACTTCTATGGAAGTTAAATGCTGGACTGCACTTCCAGAGGCGAGCTCATTTAGCTGTCCGTAAGATTCAACAGCTTAACATATCCTTTCCATCATCATCCTCTGGGAAAGAAAACATGCTATACAACATTTAGACTCCCTCATATCATCTAGAACAAAAAAAAAAGGGAGAGCAAATTAGTAGGCCTTGTTTGCATGTCTCCTGGTAGGATATTGGTGGTCCCAAGTGGACAAGTACCTCTCTATGGGATACACTCAATAGCAACCAACACATGACGAGCCACAACAGAAATGAAGGGGAGAAAATCACATCAGATTTATGTATAAACCTCAATATGGGGAAAAACCACAGGAGAAGGAAGCAATGGCTTTTGAAAACGAGATCTCCAAGTATGATTGCTCTATAACTCTTCTTCCTATGTACACATAGGCGCGTGAATGTCTGTGTTAGGACCCTCAATAGATGTAAATTACTACAGGAGTAGTGTGGCTTATGGGTCAAGTGAGAGGTCAAGTGAGGGTTAAGTGGAGGGTATTTAGGTAAATTTCAGACAGGGAAAAGGGGACTATCAGGGTTAGGACGGGATGAGAGAGGGGGAGGAGGTGATTTGGGCAGGCTGCAGGTTGTGAAGGAGATCGAGACCCTCTCGAAAGGTCTCAAAGGATTCAGGGGTCAGGGTTCCGGCTGGGGCCCAATCCTGGTTTGATTTGGGCAGGCTGTGGCTCGTTTGTTTGATTTCAAGTCTTATTTTTCTTCAATCTCTTCTCGTGGACCTGGGCTCCTATCAGTCTGAGAGCAGTGTCATTCCTTATCCCCCTATCCTAATCAAGATAAGAGTTTAAATAATTTGTCTAGAGACAAAAGAGAACCCCCCAACAATTAGCTTTACCCATGACTACCTCGCAGTGACATCATCTTGACTTCACACATCAATATGAAAATTTGAGGCACAATAATTATATCTCTGTCAGAAAATAATGACGCCAATGCTAACAGAAACATTGATATGCCTTTCATTCATTCCCCTAAGAATAGTATTTCATTAAAATCATGCAAAGCATCAGTTTCGAGATTCAATAAAAACTTAGAGGCATCAAGTATAATGTTGACAGCATAGCCATCGTAATGTGCACATCGTCTAAGCATAAAACATGAACAAGAATTGTTAATAAAAGCTTGCTCAACAATAATGGGACTCATCACAGCATTTCATGCAAGTTTTGGCCATTTCTGAACAGCAATGTACTGGAATCAACACAAGACAGATCAGATTTGGTATCCACATAAGACCAGACAGGCAGTTTTAGTACACATTCAATACATTCGATTTTGAACTTTTTTTCTCTTGCTTTTGAGGAAGTGGTGGAATATCCTGACACAATTAAAGAAAGAATGATGAATAATAGACATTCTTATTGTTGAAACAATGAATATGCAGAAACGATTGCTTTAAACTAGCAAAGTGGCAGATATTTGCGATGCTGAACCTGTTCCAACAAAAAAATGACTATTTTGAAAACTGAAAGTACTCGTCAGATTTAGAGATTAAAATTAATTAGCCCATGATACTATGGTAACCCCAGAACAAGAAAAGGACGACTGTATTTAAATCAAGGTGAAGAGTAACGAGATTACATTTTCCAAGGGCAATATCAATCTGATCCACAGAATCATTTTCCCCAAGGACGTGTCTCCAAACTGCATTAAACGTAGTGAGTTGCAAAATTCGTGAAAGAGAGAAAATAAACCAATTAGAAGTAAAATTGAAAACTGGCAGGTTGAAAACATTCCTCCAAAAATACAGGGGAAATATAAATAATTTACTTCCAAGGTTTGAATGAATACTAACACAATTCTCCCCTCCTAAGATCAAGAGAAGCAATGACATTTTCTTCTGTAGCGACCACAACACGTCTCCTACCAGCCTTTTGGGCATGAAAAATAGCATGCTTCACCTTTCCAATATATTGTTGGTACCTGTATGCGACAAGAAGTTGAACACGAATCATCTACGCATACAATAACCAATCATTTCAATTGAGAACCTCTAGGAAGAGCATGGAACTATCAATTTGATTCTCGATGACTAGGGCAACAAAACAAACAAAGCCATTGAAAAAATAACTCACATGAGCTAAAAACTCCAACGTAGAATGCCTACACATACTCCAATAAGATTTCTGAAAATATGGCCGAACAAGTGGAATCCCCAGAATGAACCATAGTTGATAAATGATCTTATTTTTAAAATTAGTGGAAATAACTCCTGAAAATAGATCCCTTAGAAGCCATGATGCCAGCAGTACATGTCTACATATCCTATTAAGTCTAGTATTACCTCAGCAATTCACACATCAACCCGGTTATATGCTTTGATCTTCATTAATGATATTTCATATCCTTACCCTCTCAAAGTGAAAATCTGAAACATACTGCCCAGAAGTAGTGTTGATAAAGCACATAGTAAATCCATAGAGTACGCAACTATGTCTAGCCTTCACGAGCAATTTTTCCTTCTAGCATTATCCCGGTCTTGAAATTGGCATTAAATAAAATGAAATCATATCCCACGCTTACGTTCACATGGAGTATCACGGCATTAGGAAGGATGCTGAATTCTTGACAAGTGAGATACACGCGATTGCTGAAGGATTACTAGAATATCCGTGAAGAAACTGAAAGATAAATGAAGCTTGCAACAAATCATCTAATGGAAACCAGCTGAACATACGTGGCAAGTGAAAAACCGACACTGAGGTGCTAAAAAAATGTAACTTTGTTTTGAACTTCCTAAAGGCTTCTAAATCACGACACCAAAATCTTGACGGATGCTTATTGTACACTGATGATTTTCCAGTATATATCATTCAGTCGCGTTTATAAGCATATATATCATTGAGATCTTAGCTTAAATTATCAAAAAAAATCAGTGAAGGATGGTAACGAGAGTCACTTACCAATCTACCACTCCCACTTGATCCTCGTACAGCGCTGTGGAAACGTTCGAGCAGAAAACGAGGGCAATTATAAGCCCAATGATAGGCTTAACAAACATTGCCATGGGGATCAGCTCCTCGACAAGGAGTAGGCCGGGAGAGGATGCGGGATGGAGCACCCCACAGGGGATCTAGCAAGAGTTTCGCATGAACCAGGGCCCCACGACGCCGTCAGACCCTCCTCGCTCGTAATCGAAGATAGCTCCCGCTCCAAGGAACCCAAACTCCACGGCTCTTGCGACGTCCGGCGGAGGTGGGCAACTTCCTCTCCGGCTCCCCCTTCTTCTCTCCGCTGCCCTAGATGGTCGCCCCCGCCGTATGGCGCAGCCGTGGACCGATCTAGACGGGGCTGAAAGAACGACCCTCCGCAGGCACAATCCACCCCCAAGAAAGTGAAAAATAGCGTGTAATGGCTTTTTACACTTTCCCCCTCAATAAACCTCAATATCAAAATAGTTCCTTAACTTTCACTGTTATTGTAACGTTGATGTGTTACTTTCCTCTTATGTAGAACCCTCTTCCTGGTGAATTTCAGGGGAGCCATGACGGCGAACTGGCCCCGCCTGGAGTGACGGATGCACGAAGCCAGGTATCCCGAGGCGGACATGGCAGCGATGATTCGGGTGAAGAACATCACCGACATGGGGGGCGTACGTGCCCCCCTGCTTGAGTACGACCGCACTGAGGGTATGATTCCTTTCTCCGAGCTATCACCCAGCAGGATACGGAGTGTCAGCAGCTTCATCAAGGTGGTCCGGCGAGAGCCGGTCATTGTTCTTCGAGTTGACCGCGAGAAGGGGTACATCGAACTCAGCAAGCGCAAGGTGCGGGGAGCGCTTCAGCGAGAGCAAGCTTGTCCACTCCATCGTGCGTCACGTCGCCGAGACCGTGCGGCTAGATCTTGAGGTGGGTCCGAAAATTCTCCATCGAATCGAAAGTCTGTCTCGCGGTTCGCCAGCGTTTTGAAAGTCTCCATTGATATGTTCCTCCAATTGGTTTGACGGGATGCTTCTGTTTTGTTTTCTTGTTTCATCACCTTTAATACAATACTACGTTCAGATTTTTCTATTGGTCTTGTATCGTCCGTTCTTCTTGCCAACCTGCTATGGTATTGGATACCAACCGTTGCTCAGTGTTTGTCATTAATTGCAACGCATCAGAAATGCATCACATACGAGGAAGTCACGCGTCTTTGATATCTTTTTAGATTTTATCTTAACGGGGGGTGACAGTGAAACTCGCCGTTTTTTTGTTACTGACGCGCATTAACTGGTTTTGCTATCGTTATTATGATTCTTTTCTAAAAGACATGCTTCTCATGACCTCTTAAACCAGTAATTCATTTTTGGCGGTTTAAAATACTCTAATTCTTCACCGTTTCAATGGAAAAAAGTTCTCTTTGCTTAATAATTTTAGACGGTTGACCTATCGGTTGCTCCACAAGATCAGCACTACCCAATACGATTCAAAGGGATTCTTAGCCCGCATTTGAGTTCTTAAAATGATACAAAATCAGGCCCGATTTGGCTTTTTTCTGCCTGATCTTATTCATTCCTACTCGGAATGTCCAATTTCTGGGAGTATTGAACTGGTTGGTTCAATTAACGGAGGCAGAGGAAGAATAGTTGAGCTGCCACTGATTGCCGCTGCTAGCCGCCAGTTGCTGCGTGGCTTACCTGCTGCCTGCATGTTCATTCCTCTGCCCCCCCCCCCCCTTCCATGTCACAGAATGAGTTGTGGTTTTGTGCTGGGCTATTACTAATATTATGTTTTTTAAACTTCATTTATTTTCCCTTCGATTTACGCTTAGTCTTTTTCCATCAATCGATTGATCTGATACTCGATCCTGCTCAAATTGGGCGAAGCTGATTAAGCCACCTGATTTGACCTTGGGTTCCATGATTCAAGCTCCTGGCCCTGATGGTTTCTCCTGAGGTCTCTATCAACCCTGTTGGGACATGATCAAGAGGGACCTCGGGTCTAAAATCAATAAATTCCTGGAATTACCACTATTCGTTAAAAAAAACTTCGATCTTGCACTCTTTATTCTCATTTGCGAGGAGGGTGCTGATGATGTTTCAGGATATAAACTCAGCTCTTGAGCCTTCTTTACAAGGTGATCTGAAATGTCGATTCACAGTGGGACTGGGCAAAGTCTTCATGTTCTAACTGCTTATGTTGACTTAAAAAAGGAAAGTCTTCATGTTCTAGGATAATAAAGGCAGGGTTAGTCACCTTATTGCTTAGCAACAAGTGAGGCATATTTTGAGTAAAGTTGTCAGCCTTTCATGCTGGCAGCGGTGACAATGTAAGCCTGAAAGAAGCTTTCTGTTGCCATCATTGGCGCATGATGGAAAACATTATACCCTTTAAATTGGCAAGACGCTCTTTCAGTACTTAATCCATCTTTTACACTCGAATGTCTTTTGGAAAATCAAAAAAGAAAGGGAAAAGGGTTCTTCTTTAGTTGTTGGTTGGCTTAAGAAGTTAATCGAAATCGTAGCTGGCACTCATGTTTGTCATGAAAATTCCATCCAACGCTCCACTCTTGTATCAAATCGGAAGCTTCATTCCCATGCTCAACATCAATGATACTATCTTAAGCTGACCTATTTAATTATTACCTAGCTGACCTAGTTTCAAGCCTGCCAACATCCAATTCTCAAGTAGATCTGATCCCACTAACAGGAGAAAACACATGTTGCATTTTAATCTGTAGGCTACTTGTTTTCAATACCGCATCAATACATGTAGATCACAGTATTACACACGTTTAGCATTAGTGGGACAAGTTGTCCATTTGCTTCTAACTGGTTCCGTTTTGTTCTGCCTCCTTATTGACGGGAAGCCTGATACCCGATCAAAAACTCCCATTGCAACAATGATTCCTCCACCTAATAATGCTGATATAGCTTTCTCTTAGTCGGAAGTAAACTTTCTGTCCCTCAGCAAATGCGAATTGCAATTGACAGCAGCATTGTTCGTTGTTGATTCTCTTACCAAAACTTCATCTATCTTATCATACTTTGATCATAATTCCTATTCAATCAGTGGTCAGGCTGAACATGCTCAAATCTTCGTAGTTGTGCTCTGTATCTTCAAGTAATCTAAGCCTATGCATCTCTTCCATATATGGTCTCACTATCAAGGCTTTGGTCCTTTGAATTTTGGATTCCTTGACCAGTGGGATTGTCTTCAATTTATTTCCAAATATTGTGTGATGTCACCTCCAATGGCTGGAAAACCTTGACCATCTTGTGAGGGCTCAAAATTCTCGTCGCTTGCGGCAGCTGAACCTGGAACCTTGTGAGAATCTCTCAATTCGTTGTGTTACACTTTCAGTGTGAACATACTCGGCTTCTGGGATCTGTGGGGCATTTGGTGCTTCATTGCTTTCTGTGGGCTTAACATATCCGTGAATAGATATGCAGGGCAATCTTATCAGAGGTCTCTATGCCTCTGCAACCTTAAGTCCGAGCCGTCTTGCTGTGTTTTCAACTTGTGCTTTAAAAAATAATTTCAGAATTCACTAAATATGCCGACTAACCAAATTCTTTTGTTGCTTGCTACTAAGCATTTATTTTTCTATTTATTTGTGGTCTGCTGTGTTCTTGACAGGAACAAGTGATATTTCTTCCTGAAGAGGTAGATCAGCATGAGGGGAAAGTCACAGTGGAGGAGTGACCAAGAGCTGTATGTTTCGTCATCTCAAAGTATATAATTCCTATTTATTCATCGAAGCAGTGATGCGTCATATATCTCTGAAATGTTACATCAGCCCTTGCTGAGGCATTAGTTTTTATTTGAGGTTTGAAAATACCTACACAGGATATTCTATTTCTAACTGCGGACTTACTGCTATTTTGGAAATGCATGAGAAGATAATCTTTATATTCATATAAGTCAACCACTATTCTAAGATCTTGGGCACGCGTTGGTTATTCATAATATATTTTTTTTATGTAAATTGATTTTATTTTTTCTTGTACACAATATAAGCACAACTTATGTAATAGCGTTGGACATTGCTTGAGTATGCATTGACATAATTTTTTTGGTAAAAATAGTTTTATTATTAATAATACTCGGAGCAGTTTAATCGATTCTATTTTGTGAATGAATGTATATACGTTTATATATATGCTTCTCTTATCCTTGTATTTTGTTTTTTAAAATATTTACTGTTTGAGATATCGATATTCATACTTGACACCCATGGCCATATTACAAACAGGATTTCCTTTACTGACATAATTTCTTAGCTTATCTTCTAGTTCATTTGACTTTCGGCCTTTTCCTAGATGCTCTTTCCCAGGATATCTGATTTCTTCTGGTGTTTTTCTCACTTTGCATCACATATTCACGTTACCCTGGAGGTTCCGGTTCAGAGTGTTTTCGAATTTTCTGATCAGGAACTCCTTTCTTGGGAAATTCTACATGACTGTTGTGAAATTCCCTGCAGCACAGACGGTGGCCGAGCTGTCCTGCTCTTGATCTGCATGTTGATTTTCCTTTTTCTGGTGAATAATTTAGCCGTTGGCTGATCCAGTTAACCGAGCGGGATGACAAGCTTCTTGCAGAGCGCATGGCGAAGCTGCACGCTGTCGACAAGGAGGAAGAGATGGAAATGGGAGAGATTAACCTTGACGGTTCGGCAGTGGGTATAACTGAGTAGAGCTTCCCAACCTGACCCCTGAGCCTGCTACCCATTTATGGAAAGTTTGTGCAGCTCAACAGGGTCTGCTGGCTTGGAAGGGCCGAATACCACAATTTATTTTATTTCATTATTTTTTTTTCTATTGCTATGAAATATTCATGAATCTTCTTGTCCAAACTTAGAAGTTGCCCATTTCTCCTGCCCGGTAATTTCTGGTTTTCTTGGTTATCAAACTCCTGTACCTTCCAAATTATTTGGATTTTTTTATTAAATCCCATATTTAGAAACTCATGCTTATGAACATACTAACGATGAAAGTATGAAATGATAGAAGGGATCATTTCCCCCATCCTATCTCAATTGTTCTTGAAGAGTTCGTAATGGGTACTGTGAATCCTAATTTTTTGTATCCGGGATGAGCCTCTGACGTTTCTTTTCATAGAACTGTGGTGTGATATCAGGGCTCCAGGCTTCCATTTTCTTTTTAAGGTAATGGGTGACGTGGGTTTTTTTTCCTTTTTTTTGTCCTAAAATCGAATTTATCTGGGCAAATGCCAATAATCTTTTTTTAAAATTATGTGGACGTATATATATTAATTTATACCCAAGGGAGTATGTTTTCCTTGTAATTTTTTTGTGTTCTAGCTCTGAGATGGGAGTAAATCCTCTCACTTTATTACGAAAATTATGATATCTTATTAAGAATTTATAACTTTATTTTCCCATTCTATTTACGAATATAATTCTGCTGGAAATAAATTTAACACGACTTGGGTTCATGAATATATAAAAATAGTAAATCATATGCCACCTCCCACCTCTTGGGAGGGCGGGCCAAAAAAAAAAAAAACAAAAAAAAAAGGAATCTCTGAAAGAACAGAAATTAACGCCGATCTTCGGACGGGATTCCGGCCGAATCTGCAATTGACCGAATTATCCCGTAAATGAGATGAAATAACTGCTCTTTCGTGCTTCGGTGGACTCTTCCACTCCGATTCCCAGCTTCCCGACTGGCCTCGTTCTCTCTCTCTATCGGGCGCGCTGGCACACACAAGTCACAGCTTTCTAGGAGGAAGCGTGGGATGACGAAGAAAGAAACCCTAGCCTCTTTCTCCTCGTCTTCTTGATCCTGTTGCTTGTTCTGCATATGGATCCTCCAGCGCAAGACGCATGGCTCCAGTCGTATCGCAATTTTTCTCTTCGACGGCAGCCCATCGACGAATCGGCTCAGGTCCTTCCTCTCTCCACACTCCGGCGGATTTTTATGCTACAGGGTTCCGTTAATTTTCTTCGCCAATTTTCCCCTGATATCTTTCTAAATTCAGCTCGTCGCGGCGAATTTTGCTTCACCTATGAAAACTCTTTTCCCCTGTGTCTTCGAAAATGGACAGATGCTTGAATTCAAATCTTCTTTTCCCAATTTTCTTCTCAAATATATCGCGCCTTGCCGGTCCCTTTCTTATCATCCCTGATGTCTTAACAATTTACTAGTCACCGTGTGCAAACCGCCAATGTTTTTGGAGCGATAGTATCTGATTATTATTCTTTGCTGTAAACAGGTCCCAGTACTAGTCACGATATCTAGAGTTAACCAATTCGACGCGGCAAGATTGGACGTAGAAATGTCGGGCATGCTGAAAGAACAGCTGGTCAAGGTCTTCTCGTTGATGAAGGTCTATAACTCTCTATGCTATTCTTGAATTCCCATCATTGTTCGTCATATTTGTTACTTTACCTGTTTCATCTATTTCTCTGGGATTAGCCAGGGTTCTTGTTTCAATATGAGCCAGAACTTGATGCCTTTCTCGAGTTCCTCATTTGGAGGTTCTCAATTTGGGTGGACAAGCCGACTCCAGGGAATGCTCTGATGAATCTAAGGTATAGAGATGAGCGCGTTGCAACCGCGCAGGGGAAGGAAGGTTAGTGAAGTTTGGCATACTTCAATGCCTTTTATCTTTGTGAAATTCTTGACTTCTTGTGTTGGTTGACTTCTTGAGGTTTAAAAGTCACTATCCTCAGCTTGGGCATCACAAGATGCTGGGTTATTATGTTTAACTTTCTGAAGGTGTATTTCATTTAAGAATTATAGTGGAGATATTGTATCCGAGAAAAGTAGGGTTTAGTATTTTGGAGACTTAAACTAGTGTAACCCTTGACAGCCCAAATGCAAATAATATTTTGATTCAAATCCTATCATCCTATGAACACATTATTTTAAAATTTGAAGCTTGGCAATCGTATGAAGATAGTATTAACTATCTGGGGTGATTCCATTAAGGTCTTTCTGATGAATTGCAGCTTTCACTAAGTTTTGTAAAGTTGCTATTGCAATAGGTGGCTTTTACTTCATTCCATCTCCTGATGGTGCATTTATGCAACCTGCTCTTGCATGCAACTGCTAGGGAAGTGTATGAAGTATGGATAATCGAACTAATTAAGCATTTATCCCTCCCGTTTTATTTCAAATGCTTTTATGATACAAAGAACAATTTATAAATTGGACCTTCGATTACATGACGATAATTGCATTACATTTGTGGGACGATCCTATCAAGATCGGCCTGGTGAATAGTGTATTTCATTATCTTCAATAAAGTTATAGTCATGATAGAAGGCTAACACTTCCTCTCCACCTGTTAATGATTTGTTTATGTTACGTACTCTTGTATGTGGTATAATGGAGCATATGAATTTTGGAACACTAAAACATGTGCTCGATAATGTGTTTTTTAATCCCATTTTGACTTTAAATGCTTCACTGTTACAAAGAAAATTTCGTAGACAAAAGACGATTGCAATACTTACATAGGAGGATGCCATCAAGGTCGTCCTGATGAATAGGGGCTTTCACAAACTTTAATATGGTTAGCTTATAATGCAATGTTAAGTTTCGCACTCCCCTTATAGCTTTATATGTGCATAATGATCGAAGCCTGTTTTCAAAGGCATTTTAATTGTGTCAGTATCACTGTGCAGTGGAAGATAAATCATGGAATAGGATACTTTGCGAGATGTTGCCTTTTATAATCTGATTTTCCTGTGCAAATAGGCATATATGAAAAAATGGAATCTGTAAAACACTCTGGTGAGACAACCTGTCATGTTGGTGGCTTTCGTCTGTGCGTCATCAACCTGGAATCTTATAAGAGGAAGAAGAAAAAGGACAAGGCTAGTTTCAGGTTATTGGGAAGTATAGTATTAAATAGGTGTGTTATGGTGGAAAAAACCAGTACTCCTGACGTTATCAGTATGTGTAAAACTCTAGATTGTGCGAGATGCCTGTTAGATTGTGTAGTCCTTCGTTATGGTCAGAGTATCAATCTTTAACCGGAAAAGCTGCAATCTTGTCTTCTCTAATGCTGGATTGCCATACATCTTGAATTCGGAAGCTTATGTATGGCATGTCTGGAGAAGATATATTCCAGATATATTCCAGAAGTATTCAAAGTTTCTGTTTGGAATCATTCCGTGTGTGGTTGACTCATTGTAAAACTTGTCGTATTTCAGTAAGAACGGGTCTCGAAGGACCTGGCCTTTCTATTTCTCAGAAAATTTGGTATTGCCTTGCAACGGTCGGCGGCCAGTACATATGGGCCCGGTTACAGTCATTTTCTGCTTTTCGGAGATGGGGCGATCTGGATCAGGCAAGTGTATGGTTTATGAAAAATTATAGAGTATCCGATTTCTATCTTTAAGTGGGAGACTTATGTTGTTGTCTGATGATGTAGAGATCTTCGGCGAGACGAGTTTGGGTTTTAACACAACGCTTGGAAGGGTTCTATCGAGCAGCTGCATTTAGTAACCTGCTGGTATTCCTCTTTACTGGAAGGTGACTTACTATCCTTTATAATTCTGCGGGAAGCTCATTTTTAGATTTTTATTGCAAGCTTTGAAATTCACGCTGCATAAATTATAAATAATTCATTTTTTTGTTGGAAAGATTGATTACGTTAATTGATATATTGGAAATCCTTTGACGAACAGCCTAATTGGATTTCGAGAGATCATTTCATCTGTCTCAGACTCTACATGGCACAGATGGCAATTTCATTTCTAGTTCCCCGTCATTTTCTTGGCCTATTCTTGCTTTGGCGATGGCAGAATTAGATATCGTAGGATGGATATCTGCTCTTTCGGATTCACCTTCTTTGCTGACGTAAAATTTCTTGGTTTTTGATGCAGGTATCGCAGCATCATAGAGAGAGTTCTAAGAGCACGGCTTGTGTACGGAAGCCCCCACATGAACCGAGCTGTTAGCTTTGAGTATATGAATCGGCAATTAGTTTGGAATGAATTCTCGGTATGTCTTCTTACCGTGACATGCTCCAAATTAGTTTCTTACTGAACTGCTGAAAAATTGATCTCGGATAAAGGGGCCTAATGGTTCCAGGTTTATAAATTGCGATCTTTTGGTCATCCCCCTTTTTTGAGTATACTTCGCTCGCGATTGCTTATTGAACGTCTATTTCAATGCATGCTTTGAGAAGTAGTCACTCCAATCGAACCTAACTCTATCCTTTTTGAATAAATTTGCAGGAAATGTTGCTTTTGCTGCTTCCTCTTCTCAACTCTTCTTCAATCAGGAAGTTTCTTCTTCCATTTTCTAAAGATAAATCATCCAGTTCATCTGATGATGATTTGGCATGCCCCATTTGCCAGTTAAATCCTACAATCCCTTTTCTGGCTCTCCCATGTCAGCACAGGTATGATCTCTCTACGTCAATTCCTGTCTCCATCTCTCTCTCTCACTGTATGTACGCTATCACTTAGTTGATTTGTCTTTTGCATTTTCCGAAGGAACATTAGTTTCAAATTCCTGAAAAATTTATACGAAATGATTGCATTGTTTTCTGTCAAAGTTCTCTGTATTTATCTCGACTTATAGTGGTTAATTTAATTAAGGGATTAACCATAAATGTTTGACGAAAAAATGTCGTACAGACCATTTCAGAGTATGTGTATATATACCGTGGTTGGACCGTAAGAAGCTGATTATCTTAAATTTAGGAAGGTGTTTGGTTTCCATTTTAGTCCCTAAACGACTGAAATATCATATGACCAAATGCTCAGATATCTTCAACTGCATGAGATTATGGCAAAATAAAAATAACATGGCCACCTATGTTTTCTACATATGGATACTGCTTCATTCAACAACACAAGCCCCAATGTTCTAAATAATCTTCCGTGAATCTGGTGACAGTAATGTGCCTGCTAGTAACTCGAAACAAGTTTTTTTAATGCATTTTCAAAATTAATCTTTTCTAGTTCTTAGCGACCTCCATAATTATAGTTTACATACATGAGCATAAAACATCTTGGAGCAAGGAATCAAATATACCAGTACAGTTTCTGGGCGATGGAGATTATCTGGAGGGAAAAGAAGGATCTTGGCCATCACTGGCCCAGTATGTCACTGAGGGGCTATGGAGATTCAGATGCTATTCTTATTTATAACCCGCCAATGATAAGACTCGGCAGTTTGGTTTAGCCTGTGGACAGACCGCTCTTAGCTATGCAGGATGTCTCATGCTTTTGCTTTGATCTCAGTAAATTTCGTTATTCGTGTGAACATGATATGATCTAGGAAAAGTAGTGACATAAATTGTTCAGTTTGGTGTGAGATGGTTTAAACTAAAAAGTCAATCTTGTTTCCCAGGTTCTGCTACTACTGCCTTAGGACCAGATGTGCGGCCTCTTCTGTGTTTAGATGCCCTCGATGCAATGAACCTGTTCTTGCCATGCAACGCCAGGCATCTGCAGACCCCGGCACTGGTTCAAGTGAAGGACAGCATGGATGAAGGAGATATCACGAGCCATGTAGGATGCAATTTATGAAGCAACGCCACATACAAACATTTCATTGATTGAATGGGGAACACCAAGAATTAATTAGAGAGAAAAAAGAAAAATCGACGCGTAATTTTTCAGTCGATAAATTGTCAACCCTTGATGACTCTTCCCGTCTGGGGTTTCTGGGTTTGTTTCCCAATTTGTAATATCTTCTTGTTGTAATCCGCTTCCCTCATTAGAATAAAAACATAAGATTTATCTCTATAATAACAGTAGGAGACGTTACCCCCTGCCCGGCTGCTGCATAATCTACCTGGCGGCCTCGCTTTTGGGTTTATTGAGATCATCAGTTGTCCTTTCTCCGCCGAATAAGACTTTCAATGCGATCAGATGAGAGCGAGTCTCTTGTCACCTACTGGAGATGTTAGGCCGTCAGATGATGCGTCCGTGTGAAGCATCATGACGAGGAAGAAGAAGGGGGTTCTGGGCTATGGGCGGCGCTCTCGGTGGGGACCGGCCGCTGCACTGTCGCTGTCGCTGTCGCAGACCAGACGGTCGCGGCCGCCATCATCACACCCTACTGTGGACGGATCAAAAGTAAGTCAACACCCGTTTGGACATGGCGTACTCCTTCCGGGTCTTCTATTATTCCGGGTCTTCCAATTCTGGGAAACAAAGCTGCGGTTTTTTTCTTTCAGCCCGTCTCCTTAAGACACAGTCACACTGGTAGAACTTGATTAGGTTTCCTGAAGAGATCGTTTCGGTACTTTTTGAGTTCACTCAGTTCAGATATTGCTTGGTCCTGAAGCCTGTATCAACGTGACTCTCTCTCTCTCTCTCTCTCTCTCTCCTTCTTCTTCCCCTTCCTCTCTGAGGACATGGGCTTCATGAGAGCTCCGGGTCCTGTCAAGGATCCTTGAGCTTGACAAAGACAGGGCACAGCCGGTCCGGTCGTGAAACCTAGAGATGAACTGATGTGGCTGTCTTCCGAGGAATAACCAACCGCATCGCTGAGATTTTCGTCCCACAATCTGGAGGCGACGTTGATCTGAAGAGAAGATCTGGTTCGATTAATGCTAAACGAAAGGTGGATGATGCTAGCCGGATTCTGATCCGGGAAGTGAATTAGACAGGACTCCCCTCCTGCCAGAGAATATAGGAGAAGGATTCGTGGAAGAGTTCCATACTACCCACAATCAGACGAAAACAAATAGCGATCCTTCTCACTCCAAACGAATACTAGTGACTTTAAAAACTATAGTTTTAGTATCCCCTGAAGGAATCTGGTTCACATTTTTGTATTATTGCTGATAACATGCTCAAATGTGATACGTATACGTTAAAATAAGAGTTAAGAGCCAGCACAATCAGATAAACCGTCCTGCTAAAAAATTGGTCTGATTGACGGTGAGCTGGTTTTAAGTTCACTTCGGCCCCAGCGAGAGAGAGAGAGAGAGAGAGAGAGAGTCAACTTCAAAGGTCGATGGGCGAAAGTCGAAATCTCGCGGTGCGTCCCCCACTCCCTACGGGTAGGGGAATTCTGGCTTGGCGTGGAAAGGAAAGACAATTTTGGTAGGGGTGGTGCAGATCTCTTGCACTCCCAATGGACCACGCTCTCTTGGAAGCAATGGTCCCTTATAAAGGGGACGGATCACCGGTGGCATTTCCTTTGTCAAGCAGCTGCTTCACATGCTCATTCTGGGAATAAAGTAATATCGCCATAAACAGTACGCCCGAATTTCCTATAACAAAGAAGTAAACCAATCATAATAGTTAACATCTCCATAAAGAGTACACCCATATTTCCTATAATAAAGCAATAAACCAGTCATAATTTCCTTTTCATGCTTATTTAAGAAATTTTCCTTTGTAACAATACAGGTTGAGTGTAAATTTCTCATAGATATGTAATAAACGTGTTAAACGTTTGAAAATCTGCCCCGTTTGGCCCTCCTATCTACCATTATAATGTCAAATCAACGGCTGAAGGAGGGGGAGAGAGAGAGAGGAGGGGATGATCTATGAATGAATTCTGCGCCATTGCCTCAGGATTGTAGTCTGAGAAGATAGAGGTGGTATCACATCTTTTCAGGCCTCGGAGGGGCATAGAGGAATCGCCAAGCACATGCTCTTGAAGGAACGAGAGCAAGGCTGTATCTCTACCTCAACCTGGTCTTCTCTTGACTTTAAGAAGACTCCTTGAGCGAGAGGAATCGAATTGGAATGCCACATACTCTCTGCTTGTTGTTCATTCGGACACGTCCCATGGCGTGTCATGAATTCAACTAAACATCCGATAAGGGAGACGTTTGAAGCGTCAAGCTGTTGATAATACAACCTAATTCATGAAACCAGCTATCACCTTTCCTTGGGATAAAAAATGTGACCTACACGAACAGTGGTGAGTCTCTCGTTCTTACAGTGAACATTTTTTTTTTATCTCAAATATATTATGATTGAATATTATTTTCGCTCCTCGCGGCTTCGACTCCGAGAACTGAATTCTTAATACTAGGACCTTTTCCACTGTTGACTAGTCGAACACTTACGAGATGACAGTCGTAGGATCTACAGAGTAGGTAATTCGAGCTCTTTTTGACGTGGATTTACGGTTTAATTTCTACGCAACCTGATTCTTATCCAGAATTTACTTGTACATAACGTAGGTACGCTGGATGGGTGGAGGGAGAAGGACAGATGACTAAATACTGACGCATGAATGACATCATAATCGTGTAAATTCAATGTAGAAATTAAAGCGCTGTTGAATAATTTAGGCCCCCCTGCCGGGTTCACAGGGAGGGAGGGGGGGAGAGAGAGAGGGAGAAGAGTGGGGGAATTGGAGGGGGTCATGGACCGTGGGGGATCGCTGCCCATAACACTTTACCCATTCCTACTTTCCACCAGACGATCAGGGCACGCGCGGACCCACCCATTGGGCCGTCTCCGCTGCTTTGTCCGATTCCCGCCGTCCTTTTCTCTTTTCGGAACGGCCGCTTTGTTCATGTTCGCAAGAAACCCCCGAAGCCCCGGCCGAATGCGCCTGCCCAGCTCATCAATCCAGCGCGCGAGGGGGATGCTGACCGTGCGTGTCTGACCCGTCTTCTTGCGACGGACCCCCTCTACGATGCGCCGAGGCGCCTGCGCAGCGGCGCCCTTTGATGGTGACCCGAACTCCCTCGGTGCAATCTCTCGTGCTCTGGTAGAGTTCCGTCGGGTAGTCTGTATCTTCACTGTGTTCCTCGTGACTTCATACGCCCTAGATTACCTCCTCGGTTTCTACTTGACAAGATGATCACAAGAGGTGCGGAGTGAATGAACATCGGTCTGTGGTTATTTACAGTTTTTTTGGCCTAATCGATTGATTTGATTCAGGACCAAGGTGAAGGCGTGCACAGGATTGACTTGGTTCACATTTTATGGACTCCATTTTTTTAGATGATCAGCCCCCTTGGGCTTGTATCCTGCTGTAAGAAAAAGAGCTCACGTCATATCATTATTCTTCAAGAGTAGACGTGAAAAGGAAATGATACCAGTTAGTGTCTGGCGAACTCTCTCTGGTAACTCCGAGTTAGTGTCGTAAGAAATTCACAAGAATTTCTGAAGATATAACTTATTCATATAACTTAATATACCTTTCAGTTTATCTTTGTTTATTGGATCAGAGAGAGAGAGAGAGAGAGAACAGAACGTTATTATATCTGATCACACGTAAAAACCTAAAGCATCATATTATGCATAGCTTTTCCCATAAATCCTATTGTTTTGCATTAATGTAGTCCAAAAGAACACTTTACATCGCTATGCAATCAAGGCCCTCGAAGATTAGAAATCACCCAGACAGAAAAAATCATCACATGCGGATGGGACTACAACTAGCTGGAACCCAGAAGAGTACCGAGAGATATCAAATCCCCATATCTAGAGGGCATGATGCCGTTAACTTTCTGATCTATAATTGTACGGCGTAAATGTTCTATATTATTAACGCAATATCTCACTTCTACGGGCTATCTAAACCCTCCAACCTTAGCGAGCCATTTGTTATATAGTGGCCTAAGGGTTGATTCCAGTGGCCACGAGAAATCGGAGGAAATAGTTCTCAATAAACCATGACTATATTCCAGAAATGTGCATTCCTGATGACCTATGTTTTCTTTTAGCGACTATTTTCAGCTTACAGGAGTCAAAGATGGCCGTATTGTTTTGTTCAAAATCTTATGTCCTCCAAGAATAGTTAAGATGAGGAAACTATTTGGCCATTTTGAACTTAATTCGGCTATCATATATTGAAACAAGGGAACAGACAGTTCACTAAGAGGTTTGATCAGCCAACAAACTACCATACAAAAAGGTCAATAGATGTTTCATCAATGGAAATATCGGATAGAACAGAGGTTTATGGAGAGAATATTATAGTTGGCTATGAAAAAAATAAAAAGGGATTACTTTTATTGCATAAATGTTTATCAACCATTCTTATCCAATAGTCTTGAAATACGGGCACCCAAACGGTACAGTCTTCGTTTCATGTTCAGAAGAAAGAGAAACAGGAAACTGACAGGAGATTGCGACTAGGACCAATCCTTAATTCTCTAAAACAAGAGGGTCAATACAGTGACGCCGAAGGTCAGTGGAACTTTTTCAACGACATTATTCAGCGAATCCAAGGGTGATGTATCTTCAGTGTCCACGTGTGATTCGGTACAAGAATCATAGGGACAATGACGGGCGTTAGAAAGGGCTGGGAAGTTAACATTGCATGGTTGGGTCCTGAGTACGTATTATAAGAGCCGAGGCCACGATTCCCCTCGTGCGACGGAAGATTGGGGTGTTTAACTGAATGAGGAATGTTAGGTGGGGGGGCTGGGGAAGCGCCGAGACCGCATACGAGCTGCTGTATATTGGGAGGATTTAGGTATATGTGTCCACTCACAGAGCACGACGAGATTTAGCTGAGTCTGTCCTCAACGATCAAGATCACCGTAGTAGCGACAAAACATCTCGTTAGGATAATGCAGAGATCTCTGATGGACAAGTGAAAGAAGAGAGGAGAATATAGAATAGGGAGGAGCAAAGAGACCAATGAAAGAACTAAAGTCGGATGTAACAGGGTGAAACATAACGCTCAGTTTAATCCCGGCAGCAATTACATTCAAATCCTCCTTTCACCAGATATGTTTTTGTCGAAATATATTCTGATTTCAAGACGTAGAATAGACGGACTAAGCTCAAGTAGAGGTTGGGGGCGGTCCAGAAGAACGAACACCGTATTAAATTAAAGACCAAAATATGATATGGAGTGAGATCATATATACAGAAGAGTAAACTATGAGACGCCGTAGAGTACGAGGATCTGATTACATGCATCTATTGTCACGATGTGGTTAGTCTTTTATCTGGGCTTCGGGAAAACAGATGTACAGTATTTATTAGCACATGTTTAGTTTAAAGGTTTCACTTTCTACGTAATCAATGAGATATCCTAAGCTTAATGCCTATTCTCTCTACTCTCTCTCTCTCTCGTTCTACCCTTTGTATATCCGCATGTATATGATGGCAATAGTGGATAGTCGTTCATTCAACCGAGCGCTTTATCAGATGATATCGTTCTCTAGCTGGAGTTTAACAGTCGTACCATGTATGTTGCATGAAAATTATTTTGCAATTTTCAACCAAGCAACCAGCCATGACCTCTTTTCCACTGGTTTCACCTTCTAGTACAAAGGAGAAGAGACAGTTCCTGAAAAAGGTCGACCACACAACCTTCCAGTGATCCGGAGGAAGATAGATAGGAAAAGATCAAAGGTGAACGCGAGGAAAGAAAGAAGGAAAGGCAAATAAAGGAGAAGGAAAGAGTGGAGGAGACAAAGCAAAGGCGAGGAAATCGGTCTCAGATAAGCACCATACAAATAATTTACATGCGCCTTATTCTGCCTGAATCTGAATCTTGAACCCGTAATTGTGATTACTATAGCGGAGAGAAACAAGGATATCTTACATCCGAAGAAACGAAGAGGGAACCGGAAGAAACAAGCAGGGCTAAGGGAAGCCTTTCTTTGTGTGCAAACATGCCGGTTCTGAGGGCAGTCAATTTTTATCACTTCGCGCAGGCGCAGCTAGAAAGTATTAGACAACTTAATCTTTCCAGATGACCTTTCCTTTTCGTTAGAGAAACGAATTGGTGGGATGGGTTTGCTCTCCGAATTGGAAAATGGCTTAACCGAGAGTGCATCGAAATAAACCAGGTCAAATTGTGGTTTGAGTAAGCGATGTACAAAGAAAACAGGAAGGGGAGTGCTTCATGAACCCTGCTTAGATTTTATCCCCTTCAAAGGTAAAATCTAGGGCCTACACAGATAATTGCCTACAATAATTCCAGGAGCTTGTGATGCTTCCATCACCAACTGACACTCGTTCTGTCGACAGATTACTGCCAATATCGTACTGTAAACATGTAAAATCGACATCTTCTCAGGTTACTTCTCTTCTCTCTCCATCTCTATCAACTTCTTCGGATGAGAGGGGCAGCCAGGAGAGACCTGAGCAGTAGTCACCGCCAACGTGTTGCACAATCGGAGCCGTGCAGGAGAGGAGGATGGGGTTTCAAAAAACAACAAGTAACCCGGAAAGGAATATGGCTAGGGCGGAAGCAGACAACCGAGTGGGATGGTTCTTCGTTGGAAGGGGTTAAAGGGAAAGAGAGTAAACTAAGGGAAAGGAGCTCTCAGAAAGGACAACAGCCTCCGACAAAGATTTTTAACAAGAGTACGGACTCGAGTATGTGAGAGTGTGTGCGACGAAGAACCCAAAATCCCAAATAATTCTCTATCATCCTTTCTCGTCTGCCTCAAGGCCTTCCCCAAAACACGCCCCTGAGGAAGCGGAGGGCTCGTTACCCGACATATTTCATATTATTTGAACACAATAACACTTGTATATGAATATTATTTGATGAATAAACAGGTCCACGATCGGGAATGTCCGGGGATGCTAAACTGATTGGGACACAAAAACTTGATTTGTTATTGTTATGGATCCTCTCTTCGTCGAAATCACCAATAGCTTTTTACTCGAGGTTTCTTGAACATCGGGGGTGTTCCTTGTATCTTTCCTTCCTTCCTAAGAAATAGTTTCCTTTTCCTCCCTGTTTCGACTTTTGTAGTTCTGTAGCCTCGAAGACGATATATCCTTACAGAAATTATGCTCCCTTCTCTCAGTCTCCGGGAAAATATCGATATCAACAGTAACATCCCCAAGACTTCATAGTCTCATTAGAAAAAATAATGTAGTGAAGAAAATCATACTAACCTTATAGGCAGAAACTAATTTGAGTTGGCACAAACCACCAAGTTCCCCATGAGATGAAAGCTTATCTACGTCTACCTATGTTGATGTTATAGTATATTTTATCCCTATTTGGATTATGACGCTGGCTATTCTCGTCTTTGCTCCATCATCTGATGCTATGATGCCCAGGGATGATCAATCTTGCGAGGAAATCCTGTCTTTAGGTGCTTGTCATATTTGGGTTGCATCGAGGCATATATGGATGCGCGACTTTGTTATTCGTGCGATGTTATGAAGTATTCAGCCAATTGTTCCCGCATCAGCGAAGCAGGAACAGAAGTATCGTAAGAAAAGCATGCTCCCAGTAACCCTAACCCTAACTCTAGGGACGAGCCTCATTTAAGATCAATTCGTTCCCCCAATGCCACTACTTTTGGCTAGTAAACACTGCCCTCAACTTTCCTTCATCACTTTGTGATAAAGCAAAAGCAGAAAAAAGCGAGTAAAAGGAGAAAACAAAAAAAAAAGGGTGCGAAGGGGAAAGTAATGAAGCCGAGGAGAGAGAGAGAGAGAGTAAGAGAGGACTATGGCAATAATAAAATACTGTGAAGGACTGAATAAACAATACGAAAAATTCCCAACACCATGTAATCGAGTCTCCGTGGAACCTGTGATCTGCTCAGCTTCTCAGTCCCATAAAAAGAGGCAGAGGAGCCGACATATCATAGATTGACCTGAGAGTTGCAGGAAAGAGGTGTGTTGAGAAGAAAAACTGGGGGCGATAAAGGCCGAGAGACCGAGAGGGTGGAGAAGATAGAAGGTCCTGGATCATGAATAGAGTGTTTCAGAGCTCCACTGCACAGCAGATAATGGGAGGAAGTCCCGGATGGTGGAACAGCATGAGGCCGCCGCCACAACAAGCCTCCCCATTCTTGACGTCTTCTTCTTCGACATCTGCTGTTTTTTCTCAGTACTCTCAGCAAACAGCGTGGCATGAAGACCAAGACCTACCGGAGTCATGGAGTCAAATGCTAATGTTAGTCACTGTTTATCTATACCTGTTCTCCCAATTATCTTATCAGCAGAGGAACAATTCATGATGTTTGCCATTTTATCTTTCCCATAGAGATTCATTGATTAATTTTAGACGGTAGTTTCATTCATCCGAAGACGAAAATCCCACTTGGCTGTTAATTTAGAGGAAAGACAATACACGAAAACTCTGCGGTTGAAGGTACGAATTATTGGGAGACTCTTCTTTCAAAGGAACCGCTTCTACCAAATTCTGCAGCTTCCTCTTCCTGATTTTTATGTCTCCCTCTTCTTCTTCAAGAAACTAAATTGGCATCTATAATTCTCCCTCCCTTTCTCTCCCTTCCTTTCTACTCTCTCTCTCTCTCTCTCTCTCTCTATATATATATATATATATATATATATATATACACATATAAATACATATATACGTCTTGATAATACACGTTATTTTTTCTCTCCTCACCAACCCCTATTTCCCCTTTCGTTCCTCCCTCATGTAGTCAGCAGTACGCCAGCTTACCATAGTATCTTTAATCTTGGATACGAAGTGGGAGGTGTCTTTGGGGTGGAGGAACAATTATCTCTTTATGCCCCATTTTCCTTGCCTTCACTCCATTTGGTTCTACGATCTAGAGGTTAGACTCTGATTCTTGTTTCACAACATATACCATGAGATCCTCATCAATCTTTTTCATCATCAACATCTTTTTATTTTTGTGAGTTGTAGAGGGGCATCATTTGCTTGATTTTTTTCTGTATTGCGTTTAGAAAATGATTATCTTTTCTTTTTTTCCTCCTGTCCCGTGCGACCCGGTCGTCCTTACAGGGGTGGATTGGTCGGAGACGAGGACAGGTGCAACTATTCACCGTTCCAAGCCAAGAAGATTGATAGTTTAGAAGATCAAGCACTGTATCACTCAATGGGAACCCACCTTTCTGATGTGAAGCAAGAGCCATCAGAGAACGGATATCTCTATGGGTATGGGAACGAAGAAATTCCGACGATAAGATCCACCTGGAGTCATGTTCTGCAAGTTTCGTCCCCGAGATCCTGCGTCACTAGTCTAAGCAGCAACGTGCTAGACTTTTCAGGTAGCCAGCTTGAAGGAAGGCCCCAGCAAATAGATCACTCCGAGGTAAGAGATTACCGGGTGAGATTGTACGGAAGTGGTTTTTTCCCATCTTGCTCACAGTCTTTTCTACTTCACTGTTCTTTCTTTTACTTTACCGAAGAAGGTCTCTGGACATCATGAATATCATAATATTCTACATTCCTACCACACGAGTAGGATATCCTAGACGTCACGTTAATCGGATATCCTACCAAACGAGTTCTCAAATTCAATGATTTTCAGGGTTAGAAGATGGAATGTGTTATTCTCAAAGATATAAATCTGTGTCCCATGGGAATGTTTTAGTCATACTAAGAAGAACCCTAATTTCTTGTTGTCTATTTTCACTAGTGCAACAGCACATCTAATGGCACAGCTGTCAAGAAAGCGAGAATCCAACCTTCCCCGTCAACTCATTCCACATTCAAGGTTTGCCATAGATAACAAATTCGTCCAGGTCCTTTCTTTCCAGACGCTTCACCGACGTCAACCATTTTCGTTTCAGGTGCGGAAGGAGAAACTAGGAGATAGAATTACGGCCCTTCACCAGCTAGTTTCCCCGTTCGGAAAGGTGGATAACATAGCATCCTTTGATTCTCTATTGATTATCGTTCTCCTATGAGTTACCGAGAGAAAGAAAGTTTCTTCTACCCTGAAGCGGTTTCCCAGCTTCGTTTTTTTTTTTCTTGGTGTTCATTAATTAAAGGACTGACGCCGAAGGCTCCTTTTGCAGACTGACACTGCGTCTGTACTATTAGAAGCTATTGGCTACATCAGATTCCTTCAGAGTCAAATTGAGGTGATGCTGACTCTCCCTGCAACTCAATGAATGCACTTTGGCAGTAAAAATATGCAACCACCCCCGTTTTAAGATTTATAGAAAATAGAGATAGCTCTTTCCGTAGCTCTAACCAGAACTTATAGGCTGTGTTGCTCAGAGTTTGGGCGAATCGCCTTTCTCATACACTCTGAACACAGAGGCAGATGGCTCCCCGCCGTCTCTGCCACTTCATAGGGGTGCGCGTAGGCGTGCATGTGTTTCTGTGACGGTGTACATTTGGGTGTCTCTCTCGCGAGTGTGTGGGGATGTGTGTCAGAGATAGATAGATAGATAGAGAGAGAGAGAGAGAGAGCAACAAGGAGCCGCAGGGGCATGCAGCTAAAGTTGCGCTCGTTACTTCGAGTTGTATAAGTATCTTCTGGTTATTAGAGTCGTCTGCCCTCATATGTTTCTGCACAACATATTTCACATTTTCTGCACACTCACTACACATCCCTTTACTTCTTCGCAGGCTCTCTGCTCTCCGTACTTGGACAATAGATCTGGAGACATGAGGCAGCAGCAGTCAGTAAGTATTCACAGCACGTGAAAATCTCTCTCTGGAGCTCTCTCACACCCACATCCCGATACCGTCTACCTATGCTGACCATCGGGTCACTGACACGTGATACGCTCTTTCCCCGCGCATGCGTCGACGAGCATACTGGCACGTGTGACTTTGAGACGCATATAAAATCTGCATGTGTCGGGCGTGCGAACCCTGGAAGGCAGCCCCTTATCCCCTCCCACGTATAGGGAGAGTATCTCCGACGTCATCTATGTGCTGTGCTCCGCTCAATGACTCAGCAAACCCGCTGCTTACACACGTCCTTGAAAACCACACGCGCTGGCTTCCTAAATGAGCGTACCAATCACACGATTTAAACTGACTGAAGAATGCCCTCTCTCTCTCTCTCTCTCTCTCTCTCTCTCGCTCATTTCTTTTATTCTCAGGTACATGAGGAAAGTAGCTGCATATTCCCCGAAGACCCTGGTCAGGTACGCTTTATTCGTTCCAGCTCACACACCTTCCTCCTTTCATTCAAAAGAACTAAATAAGCGCTACACATGTCGTAATTAACTTCGGATCTCCAGCTTAATTAAGACGTAACAGAGTTTGGAGCTTTACAGCCTCTAATCACACTTAAAAGCTTGATCATCAGATCATCTAACCACTAGAGGACAAGTCACATGCTGACAACCTTGGTTTCTCTCCCGCTTGACAGTTGCTGAACGACGCCGGCGTCAAGAAGCGAGGATCAACTGAGAAGGTAGTTTCTCATTTACAGTGGATAAATGTTACCTCACTGCATGGTGGAAGTACTACATAAATGTTCATAAGTCACGAGTAGGTCTTATGGCAGGAGGTCGAGGACGGGGCGGACTTGAAGAGCAGAGGGCTCTGCCTTGTTCCTGTCTCCTGCACCCTCCACGTCGGCAATGATAATGGCGCCGACTACTGGGCACCGAGTTTAGGTGGCGGGTTCCGATAGACAGCGGGCGAGTAACTGAGGCACCTGGGCTTCGGAAGAACGATATAACATCATGAGCAGTCACTCTGCATAGAAAAAAACGAAAAGGTTGATTGCTCATGATGCTATGCATGTGTTCCGGAGTCAGGAGCGAGTTCAGCGCCTTAGGCCGCCATCAATTCAGGGGAGACCTCCCTCTCCGACATAAATCAGTTTTAACCATTTTATTTTGATTGATTTTCTGTTGGAACACTTGTGCTGTATATGGAATTAAGACTCTTATTAGTAGTAATAGTGACTGGTTTAACGCGCTATCAGAGGTTTTCGGTCTGACTTATCTCTTGATTGGTGAAGAACACGCTTCCGAATGGATATGGATGATTTTAGCATTGTCAGATTTATGTGTTAGTCTGCTTCGCCAGGTGTTCTAAGCATAGTTTTATCGGCCAGCACTTGATGTGTATCCGATCACAGTTTTCAGATACGACAGAGGAAACAAGATTAAGTATGTAAAGTGATAAATTATAACAGTGTTACGATCAAAGACATAAATACAGATAGTGGTGGGCTGTGCAGTTCGACCCACTAAGTTTTGTCTTAACCTTGTGTTTTATGTTGTAAAGTGATAGACAGCTTGTAAACATCGATTTGAATTTCATTAAACTCCTGTTAGTCTGTTTGGCATTCTCCTGACTTCCATACTCTAGTTGACTCAGTACGTTCGCGTCTCGCAGCTTCGTCATTAGTTCCTCAATACCTTTGGGCGTTAGTTTTCTGGGTATACAATGGGCTACGTCTGAGATGAGTTATTTAGGGAATAATGATTTTCATAGGATAAAATCTTGGGATGTAGCATACTCCAACTTTAGATACATCGGTGGTATGTTTGTAAAAACTTGAGATAGACAAAACAATACAAAGCTGAGCATGGATAATGATGTTAACTGTTCAAAGCGTCTAGATATCCTTTCTGGGAGGGATGCAGGTTTTCAATATAAGCAGAATAAAAAACCTGGAATATTTTTCGGAGAAATACCTTTATATATCAGAAGCTACTAGATCATAAATCAAAAATAAAATACTATGGTCATAAAATAAACAGAAATTTCTTTCTCAAATAATTTTGTGTCAGAAAATTGAATGATTCAGCATGGTATTACAGCTGATTATTTCTCCTTGTGAGCGAGAGATGTTCTAAAACTAGTCTAATATTACAAATAACAGTTTCTAGTGTTGATATTGTCTACATCATGATTTTATCCAGGACCCTACACTTACAGCTTAATCCTTGTCATTGAATCCCTCACTAGACATTGGAAAAAAATTCTTATAATATTCTACGTCACAAAATCTATCGTATACAATATTCGTCCACCCTCCGATCTAGGGAAGAATTGAAGGTTGTGGTGGCGGAAGTGGAATGCAATGACAATGAGGAGGGAGGGATGGCAATGCGCCAGAGCCCTGAAAAAAATACTGCCTATCGTGGGCTCCCATAGATGCAATCCAGGCCATGGATGCCTTACCCGCGATAGCAAGTGGTCACCCTCCTGCTCGTCCACGCTCCTTATTCCACCTTGAGAAGACCCTCATCCTCAACATTGCCTTCCCTAGGTTCCTCTCGCTGTCCTACGCTCTTTTACGGGCAACCGTGGTTTGATACATCCTTCTCCCATAGATACATCCTGTTTGTCGTAAGACCTGCATTTTGTTTCCAAGTAAGCTTCCCCTTAAAGCATACGTTATTATCCATTTACCTCCTGAATTTTTTCATACTGCTATAAGCTTAGATTATCAGCTTTTAACCTTATTTCTGTAAGCTACCTAATATTTATCTCAAATGCTTAATTGGCCAAGTTTAAGTTATTTTTCCCAAATATTATTTACATATATTTTCAGGTTAAGTTATTTACATCTAGAGCTTATTTACATATGCTTAGATTATTTTATCTCAGAATTTATCTCCATACCCGTATAAACTTGAGTCTTGTAACCGTAAGGATTCCAAAAATATTTCACGATTGTAGATAAGAAGTATTTATTTCGTTATAGAATAAAATATATGCTTAAAGTTGGCTTTTGCAAGTCCTCATAAGCTTTCCTTGGTATAAGACTGAAATGTTGAAGCTTGGAGCAGAAGCTTTATTAAATGAATCCTGTAGAAAATCTAATTTTCACTTCAAGAGAGTTGAGAAATTAATGCCCAACATAACCATTTATATGAGTTTACTATATCTTCTTGATTGTATCTAGTTGTGTATCTTTAGATGAGATGAATTAACTCGCAATGTAAAAAATTTATCCATAAGTATGAAAAACATTGAAATTAATATCATTTGATCTCATATTTTCGTCACTAAGATACCAAAATATCCTAATTATAAGAATAATAATTATATACTCACCTCTATGTTTGCAACAAAAAAATGGCCAACTTGAATAGCTGTTTTTAAAAATCACTCCGCCCTTAGGAAATCATGAACCATTTTATATTACTATAAATATATGTAAACACAACCGTCTACTTGTAAGCTACCAAAAAGTTATAAAAGTGATAATTCTACTATAGTTTGCATACTCATGTGAACGAGACTGTCCTTAAGGATATAACTATAGAAATCTTCATCCCATGGTTTATCAACTTGGTAGCATGATGGCATTTGTTTTTTGTTAAAAACATGGACATACAACACATATATATAGCTATGCTAGCCTTCTTACATTCCATGGGTTCTAAAAGTGTTTGTTTGACCAAGTAGGCCTTCAACGATTTATAACCTATTTGGCATGAAATCATTGATTTATTACTAAATAACTTTAGTTGACCATGGACAATGAGAATTTTTGTCTTAAATGATATTTTATCGATTGCCACATGTTTTGAATGTCATCCCCCATGTTACTAGTGATCATCACCAAGCAGTCCTTGACATTGGTTTTTAGAATACTCACCTTGTAGGTTACATCAAAGATATTATGAGGAGAAATGGGAAGAGATAATATATATTACTCTGAATCTAGTATAACTCATTGATGAATTGGAGGGGGAAAGTAGCATTACTAGAGTGAGACGTATGATTCTACTCATGGCAGATTTTTCTTTAATACTTCCAACATGCACACTACCAAAAACATGAGTACCTTATAGGCAAGACATTAGTAGGACAAAATGACAAGATTATTCTAACCTCATCATGTAATATATATTTAATGTGTAAATTTATAAGATAATTTCTAGGAAAATATTAATTTTAGATGATATCAATAAGGAAAAAATCAATTGAAATATTACATTATCAATGTATGGCAATTATGAGTATTTACAAGAAACATCTCAATAAGAAATGGAGTGATTGAGACAATCAAATCAATGATATTTCATAAAGAAAAATATAAGTATGAAAACTCATTAAGTCTATTATACACCTATATATTCATATCAACATATCTAATTGGAAGTAATATTGATTTAATTGATTGAATTTGTAGACTTCATTCTGTCGCACAGAATTATGAAAATTAAATATTATATATTAGGAAGTTATTTTATTATTATGAACCACAAAAGCTATAATTCTATATATTGAGATCATGAATCAAGATGCATTTTAAATGATCATATTTTATTTATGGTGATTCAAATCAGTTTAAAGTGCTGAATTGCATAGTTAATAGGACCTGAATTATTCATTTGGAGTTCATGCTATAAGATCTTCAATGGAATAATTTTAACTAAACCGATACAATTAAGATAAGAACTTTCTTAACAAAAAAATATATTACTTTCATGCGAATATATCTGAATTAATTATTGAGCATCTTGTGTCGGTCTCTCTCAACAGTTTGAATTTATGTTTACCCCAAGACATATAAACATTAGAAGATTGTGAAAATCTAAGAAAATTTTTGTATGTGATTTACCAATAAATATTATAGATTTTGATAGAAATAACATAGAGAATGATTATCCTTATCTTGTTCACGACCTCAAGTTTTGTATGAAGTTCTTCAACAGAAAACTAATTGAGAATTCAACAGGTCTATGTTGGGTGGTCAAAGTATGTGAAACCTTTGAGTCAAGGAACATTCAATAGAATTTAACAATCTTCCTGACCAGGTTCAAATTGCAACCTAGTCAAAGAAGACGAGAATAGAAAACAAGCTATGAGCATCATCCTCTTTGTTAGATCTACGAACATATCATAGTCTGCATCATCATCTAGATATATGCCCATGGTGATACCTTTTATACTTCTTGTGAAATATTTTTGTGATCAAACCTACATTTAATTACTCAAGGGAGTTAACTCATTAATTAATTGGTGGCATATTATAACTATGAATCTATTATAATTTTTTTTGGTGAAATGATTAAGGAATTAAGCCTAATAATTAATGGTTATGATCAAACAATCAACCTTGTCTATAAAAAAAAGTAGAACCTAAGAACAAGAACTATTCTTAGAAAGTAAACATAGGTACTTGAGCCGAATGACTATAAAACTATTTAGTTCTATAACCATGATCTAGAAATATCATAGGATTTTAGAAGTTGATGAAAAGATCGACTCACTAAAAAGAAATACTATCCAAATGAAGAAATTAGATTAGATTAATCTAACCCTTCTTTTTTAAAAAAGTGTTCCCCAAAACCTAACACCTATGATACAATCAAACTTTTTTTATAAGCATCAAATAGTTTAAATTATTAAATTTTCACATTGTCCATATTCATTGAGCCAATGCGAGGGCTGAATGCAGCTGCCAGGCACGTATCGTGTTCTCGTCTCAGTCACGGAGTTCCTGCTCCACAGAATCAATCCTTCTGCTTTCTGGCCACTGCTTTCTCTTTCTTTCTTCGCCGGGAGAAATCTCATAGATCATACTATCCCTCAAAATCCCTGGCGACATCACTTCTGCGGGCCATTCTTGACGAACTTGACCACTTTTTCTTCTTTTTTTTCCTGATATGGCTTTTTTTTAAAATCCACTTTTTTTTTTTCAAAAAATCAGTGCGTAATCTTCGCAGCTAACCTTCGGACTGATTTTGTGGGAGCTCTTTGCAGGTTGTTCATCCATCCACAGATGCAAGAGTGAAGAAGTACCAGGATGCCAAGTACCAGATCTTCCGATCTCTTTACGAGCAGCAGCGTTCGTACCGATCCATCATGAACCAGGTAGAGTGAACTCGGTTCTTCAGAGAATTCCACGGTGGGTTTCATGGTGTCGACTGATTGATGTTCGATCTGCCTGTCAGAGTCTGAGGTTCAGAGTACGGCCATTTTTGTTATTAAAAAAAGAACATATTTGCAATTAGTTTGGAGACAAATGGGCCGGTGAGGCCATCCCGGCCCATCTATGTGCTTGGGCTACAAATTTTGCTATACTGTAGAAAATGGCCCGGTTTAGACAACCGGGTCAAATGGTTTGATACACAGAGGTTGACTAAATAGCAACTATCATCAATAGGGTCAAAGAAGGTCAAAGTGGCTCATAAATAACCCCCCCCCTATTTCCTCTTAAGGCAAACTTCGTAAACAACGGGTTTGGCATCGTACCGGGAGGCTATAGAATAAGCTGGGTTAGTTGAATATTGGACACAATTGCCAATAAGCTGGGTTAGTGGGGCAGAAAAAAATTCTTGGCACAGCCCCCAATCTTATTTTCCAACAGTTAGTTTATTATCGACGTGATTTCTTATGTTCATTACGTTTGTCGAAGCTGCCCTACCTTCCTGATCGCCGGAGGACGCGTCGTCGCCAGAGAGAACGGTTCCCCTCGAGAGCTGATGAGAGAGAAAAGGGGGCGAAAAATGACTTAGTTAATTCGAAGCAAAACGGGTACATATATTTTTCTAAGGGACCCCGATCAAATGGGTCGGCTCCGGTTAATCAGGCTTCACTACTGCCGAACCGAATCCAATCATGCGAGAACAGAAGGACAAAAGTACAGCTATTTAAAAATCAAGGAAAAAAAAATAATCCGATACATTATCTTCAGACCTTGTTTTTCTCAAAAAGATTATATCCATGTAACAGTTGTCTTAATTCAATAAAATATTATTTCTTTGACATCTCGATTGTATGAGGGAGGTAGCCTGCAGGACAAACCTGACTCTCATCATTCATTCAGCAGCGGGCAATGGCGGAAGGAATTTATGCGCTCTGCGTGGTGCTCCTGGCGGTCGCGACGTTGGGAACCCAAGTGACGTACGGCGATGTCCCCACGGAGCTGCAGAAGAAGATCAACTCTATCAACCAAAATGGGACATACCTTGGCGTGGTGATACCCAACACCTTTGAGTTGAACCCCCTGCTACAGTCTCCAAGTTATTCACCAGACAAGGGCCTGCCGTATGTCGATTTCGCCGGTGAATCTCCACTACCTCGTCCGCCGTTAAGCGGGGGCAATTGATCCATAAATCTAGTTTTCGAAACATGACAATAGTCGGCTCATAAAATCTTTTTATTTTCCTCTTGGATCAGGGAGGAGGTTTCGCTTCGGCTCTTTAGAGGGAAAAAAGGTTATATTGGTCATGACAGGACTCGGCATGGTAGATTTCTCAGTCCGCTTTCTGTTTTCCAAAATTAAACGAATACCGAAAATAATACGGTTTCTCGACACTCATGAGACCTGACTCGTATTTTCTCTGATGACATTCATACCTTCGATATTCGGCCATCAATTCCTACAGATAAATGCCGCTACAACCACCCAATTGCTCCTGGGACTATTCAATGTAGAAGGGGTCGTGCACTATGGTATCGCCGGAAACGCGAGCCCATCACTCATCATCGGCGACGTGACGATTCCAAGATTTTGGGCGCATTCGGCTCTATGGAACTGGCAGGTAATGTTTCAAGTTGTTTCCGCTTCCATTCTTCCGAAGAAAAACTCAATTATTAGGCTTTCCTCTTCTACTTCTCCTTCCTGCTTCGTTGTTGCAGAGATATGGAGATGGTCCTCAGAACGAGCTTCCCCTCGAGAGCAGCGGAGACTACACGAGGGAGTATGGTTTCCTGAAGTTCGCGGACTATTCCACAGACGGCAACAATGTTATCCCTGACGCGGATAATCTTCTGAACAACGTGTGGTACCAGCCAGAGGAGATATTCCCAGTGGACGGAACCCCGGAGGAGAGGCAGCACGCCTTCTGGGTTCCCGTTGATCCCTATTACTTTGCCGTCGCCGAGAAAATTCTGGTAAGTCGAATTCGAAATCTCCTTTCCATTTTTCCATATCGATGCCAAACGAATTCTCGAAAATCTGTAATATTTCGGAAATTTTCGAAGCACAAAGTTCAAGTTTCTTAGGTGTTCTTCCCGCAGAGTTCCATTACCATCCGTAGGCTTCCCGCAGAACAGTATTTACTTTGATGGAGAATCTTATGCATCAATTACTGTCTAAAATTTACTAACTATGGAATCCGTCTGAGATTGTTCTGAGCGTATTGCGAAGCCAACCGATAATGACACGTGCATCACAAGACATGCCGTCCTTGACCTTCACTGTCGTTATTCTTAAAGTTTGACTGCAGGTGCGCCTTAACATTGTTCGTTGAATATGGTGCCAATGTCAAGTACGCCTTCTTTGACCGCGTGGCAACGTGGGCTCAAATGTAACATAGCTTGAATATTAGAGGACTGGACTGAACCCTATGTTATCGTCTGCTCTACCAGGGATTGAAGCTCGAGGGTTGTATTAACTCGACCCTCTGCCTACCTCGCACACCAATGGTGACTCGGGTGACCAGGGGGATGAGCGCAAGCATCTTCCTCGACAACGCTGCGTACAGGAACTTCCTCTTCTCCAAGTTCAATCCCGTCCCGGTGGACATGGAGAGCGCTTCGGTGGCCCTCGTCTGTCACCAGCAGAGGGTGCCGTTTATTATCATCCGGGCCCTCTCCGACCTGGCCGGCGGCGGCTCCGCCCAGTCCAATGAAGCCAACATATTTGTCTCTCTGGCGGTCGAGAACTCCATCACAGCGGTTGTAGAGTTCATCAAGCGCCTGTAAGCCTGCGTGATATGGGCGAATGAGTCAGACTCAGATCCCCAGAATGTGGTCACTGATCACGGAATAAATCCAGTATCTTTTGTAGCACAGCTACGTGCTGAAAGGCCATTTGGCGAATTGAACGCATCAAACATGTGAGTGGCCAGACGGCCTCTGAGTCGGTCACGTTGACAGCTGTCAGTCCGTATCCCGTGTTCGATTGTCCGAACACGAATCGAAATTGAGCCCTCATTTGGACGGGAGTGCCTTGAATCCTCAACGCAACGTGAAAAAGAGTCGGGCGGCTCCGACCGAGAGCCGAGCGCAGGGTATCGACGATGATCAGATCGTCCAAGTCGGCCGACCAGCAGGAAACCTCGAATCGAACACAAAATTAATGTAGAATAGATGTGAAGGAAATTTTAGAAAGTGTATGTTACTAAATATTTAATGGGGCTCGGAATGAGGACCTGAACTGTGGAGATGGAATGGAGGAGAGAGATCGGAAGAATCAGAAGGGTGAATTCCAGCCATAAATCCGTGATTCTCTCTCTCCCGCATCTCTCCGTCTCTGTAACAGTGTCTCTGTCACGTACTTCCCGCTTTCTTCCTCTCTCCGTCTCTGAAACGCCGTCCGTCTCTGTGACGGTCCTTCCTCTCTCTCTCTCCCTCTCCCCACCTCTGCCCCTGCATTTTACTTCCACTGTATCTGTTATCTCCTTCCTGTCTCCGTCCGTGTCTCTCCTCTCTTCGTCTCTCTCCCTTCCTCGCTCTCTGCCCGTCTTCCCTCTCTTTCTTTTTGTCTAGTACTGCGTTCATATTTTTCCGGAGTCATCTCTCTCACCTCATTTCTTCTAAGGCAACGCTGAGATCCACAACTTTGACATAATCCTCTTGTAAGCATCAAGAGGCGAAATGACAGGTTAAACATAACATGTTGAAGACAGTCTAGAGGATTCTTGCATCAGATAGACGCAATAATTTACTCGGAGGGACCGACACAATGCATTCCCATCGCGGCCTCATTTTTTACCATTTTTTTCGATAGGATTGTTCGTGATTCTAATATTATTTCCAGAATATTAAACTTCGAAAAGTCTCTTTCCAATACTACCATCTTTAACCTTTCGGATAATATGTATATATCGATAGATAGATAGATAGCCTGGGGAACTCATAAACTACTGTTTCTCTGTGTCTCCGTGGAGGGATAAGTACATTCCCAAGGGATCAGGGAATGGCGGGGAAGATTGAACGCTCTGTATAGTGTTCTTGGACCGACAAAAGTTAGCCGTTTTCTTAGGCATTTGAGATGACTGCCTGTTTATCACAAGTCCGCACGGACTGAATCGATCATGCGATGAATTGTCCTCTCTAAGTGTCTTTTAATCACGTGTCCATTAACTCTCATTGCGTCAAACTGTGTATGGTAGTGCACGAGTACAATGGTGCCTAGAACCTAATGGTTAGGCCGTTCATATAAGAGTTGATTTTTTCAGTGGTGAGAAAAACCTAAAGGTTGGGCCGGTTCAGGCCCAGAGCAGTAAGCAGGTGTGGAGAATTGGATCAGCGGTCCCGATCTTGTCATTATCATATAATCCAAATTGATCGTTTAAAAGATGCCACGATTCATGACAGTCCACTCGCCGACGGCCAAGAAAAAGCGGGAAACAAACATGGCTATTTCTTATACATCTGTGCACTTGTGGCTACGCATAGAAGCACTCATATTGTCTTTGTACTCCAACAGGAATTCAAGGGACAACACCAAATTCCTTAAAATTGTTCAAAACAAATAAATAAAAACAGAGTTATGAAGAATTGGCTCGGGCAGAATGCTTACCCGTATTTTTCAAAGTTTGCACTAAGGTCTAGAACCATTCACTAAACTTTCGTGAGGGTAGCGGTGCAAAATGCTCATGCACCTCTCGTCGATAAATTCAGTAAATCTTCTTCTAGAAAGTGATTTCTCATCCAAATCGTTAGCGAAAATCTAACCCAGTTGACTGGATAGAGATCAACCTGAGGTGGCGGATCAGGCAGGCCACCGTGTATTCTCACACCTTTCAAGCTGCAGATCTTTGCAGGCAATCGTTGGCGCGGTCTGCAGAATGCTTTCTCAATAGTTAATCATGGAGGCCGTATGTTTTTACTAACTTGTTATACTCTTCTTTATGAGAAGCTGTAAATGGGAAGGATAATTCACAGCTGTCATCTGCTAGCATATGCTTCATGACAGGCCCACTCTCCCTTTCCTCTATCTTCAGCTTGTCAACCACTGCAGATGGCTGTCAAGATCTGCACAGCTGTCATCTGCTAGCATATGCTTCATGACAGGCCCACTCTCCCTTTCCTCTATCTTCAGCTTGTCAACCACTGCAGATGGCTCAGAGTACATAGTCGATCTACTTTGGTTGTAAGACTCGACTTACATAAACTTCTTGGTCCAAAGGAAAACCCTTCTAGGATTGGAACTCTTTAAAAGGAAACATTTTTCGCGGCTTCTGGGTCTCAAGAGAGGAAAGTTGATGACGCAACCACCACATGGGCAAGATTATTATTTTTCTATCCCCAAGACGGTGAAATGACATCTTATGATATCGATCGTAGCGTGCAAATGCATTTAACTCAACCACTGAATGACCGGTAAACTATACTGCGCATGTTAAAGAGCTTGAAAATACCATAGCTATAATAGGAAAAATCCTGATCGAGAAGCACTTATTGATTTTCAGAAATCCTGTTTGTGCCCTTGAGCCTTTTTTTAGGTAGATGGAATTCGTTTTCCCATGTAAATCCGATGCAGGTGTCATATTGTAAATGCCACATTCATTTAAACCATGCCAATGATGATCGCAGGGATAACCACGCACGATTGCCGCCTCCCGGCGCACCCTATGGCTCACAGGCGCTATGCGGTATTCACCGACCGCGCCAGGATGTGGCTAGCTAGAAGCGCCCGTCGCCACCAGAGATTTGACATCAGTTGATTGCATTCCATGTACAAAAATATATTTGGGATAGCTTCGTGTTTGCCATCAGTCCGCAGGAAGCGGATAGCCCTTGTTATAAATGGTTTTCTATCGTGTACATTAACTCCCCAATGTGGGCAGGGTCGCATTCCGAGATTGACCTTCTTTACAGCTTCAAACTATCTCAATGCCGGTTATCAGAAAACGGAACAGATTCTAAAGGTTGCCGCGTCTCAGGGAAAAAGCCATGCGAACGGTACCGAGAACTGGGAGACAGGATCAGCCATACCCGATCCGATCTGCTGGGAGGCTCGAAGTCAACTAAAATAATGTCAGAAGTTACGTAGAAATGGGATCCTCTCGGTGACAGCTGTGAAAATCAATTTCTTGATGGTCAACCCATGAGAGAGGGAGTGGGTCTTCCCTTTGAACGTTCGGTCTGTGTCACAATGCCATGACAGCTCGAACCTGTTTTTTGTGTTAAACGTCCGAAATCGCTCTCCCAACATTCTGTGAGCGTCCTACGCGCCAAAAATGGTTGACCAACACGAAAGCGTTCACACGCTTTCGACGAATTGGAGCAGGTCGAGTGGGTTTATTCCTCCACCTTCTCAGCTTCGAGCAAGAGTCCCATCAGACGCATCTCTCCCTCTCTCTCTCTCTCACACACACACACGCACACCCTCTATCCTCCCACCGTAGCCCTTTTTCTCTCTTGCGCACTGGCCACCACATCTACACACACACCCTTTATCCTCCCTCCATAGCCCATTTTCTCTCTTGCGCACTCACCACGATATCTCAACCCGCAATTAGATTAGGATATGGCCGCGCCGCTGATTTCGCTCGTCTCCTTATTCCTAGAGAAGCTTAGCAATCTGAAACACGAGGAAGCGACGCTCAGCGGGTTACGGTCCGCGCTGGAGGAGCTCGAGAAGAAGATCAACGAGATCAGACACTTCGTCCCCAACGCAGAGACCCAGGCCATCAGCGATGAGTACACCCGCCTCTGGCTGAAAGAGCTGAAAGACGCGGTGTACGACGCAGATGACATCCTCGACGACTGCGCGATCGCCGGAGAAATGGTTTCGGTACAGCCGGAAACGTCCTCCTCGACCAACGAGGTACGCCCTCATTTCTTTTCTCCATCATCTTTCACGAGTCAGACTGGATTTCAACATAAAATGGAGATGAGGATAAAGAGTATAAGCTCTAGGCTGGAGAAGATCTCCAAAAAGAAGGCTGAGCTGCACTTGACGCCCACAGATGATGATTTCTCAACGAAAGGCAACAGCTTTCAGACATCATCTCTACTCCATCCAGAAATTACTGGTCCTTCGCTTGAATCACAGTTGAAAAAATTACGGAGACTACTTGTGGGGGATGAGAACGAGGGAAAGCTGATAGCGATCACAGGGATGGGGGGAATCGGAAAGACTACCCTAGCTAAAGCTACATACAACGATCGATTCATCGAAGCCAGTTTTCGCATGAGGATTTGGATCTGCGTTTCCAAGTACTTTAACCATATTAAGATATTGAAAGAGATGATAGCGCAAGCAGGCGGGGACCCCCGGATTGCTGACACTAAAGAACAGCTGGCCATGATCCTAAGCAGTCTCGTCAAAGGCATGAAAATTTTTCTTGTTCTGGATGACGTCTGGATTGCAGACGTCTGGGAAGATCTACTCCGAGGGCCCTTGCGAGGCGCTGCCGTCGGCACCAGGGTGTTGATAACGACTCGTCTCGGGTCTATGGCGAACCAGATGGGGGCTTCGCACTTTCATCCTGCCGAAAGATTGAATGGTTTTGAAGGGTTCCACCTGTTGTACAAGATGGTTTTCAGAAACGGGGAGGAAGAACAGTGGGGAAACCTGCAAGATGTCGGCGTTAAAATTGCCGAGAGATGCAAGGGCGTCCCTTTAGCAATAAAAACGATCGGAGGGGTTCTGAGGTGCAAGGATAAGAACATACGAGAGTGGGAGGATATTCTCGAAGATCCAATATGGTCTACATCCGTCTTCCCAGACGAGGAGGAAAGTGTTATGAAACCTCTTTATCTGTCTTACATGGATCTACCCTCCAGCATCAAACAGTGTTTTCTTTATCTCTCCCTGTTTCCCGAGGACTTCGTGTTTCTGCGTCCCAGTGTCGTGCAGTACTGGGTTGCTGAGGGTTTCCTAAGACCAGAGGGCACTTTAACCATGGAAGACGTAGGAACGAAGCATTTCGATGAGCTGACCGGAAGAGGTCTTCTGCAACCACAGTTGTCACCGATAGAGGGGGCACTGTGCAAGATGCACGACATTGTGCGTTCTCTCTGTCAGTATCTGGCTGAAGGTGAATGCCTCTTCGGCGAGATGCCCAGACCGAAAAGCAGGTCCGGAAACCTCCGCCGGCTGTCAATCGCGGATGGAGACGTTGCCGTAGACATCCATCTCTTGAAAAGGGAACAACGCCTGAGGACTCTCCTTATCTGTAGCAACCCATATGGAGGGGTAGTTCTAAAACAGGATGTTATCGAAGCTCTTGCGTATCTGAGAGTGTTAGATGTCAGTGAGACACCCATTGAGGAGCTGCCACACTACATTACGAAACTTCGACACCTGAGGTACCTCAACGTCTCTACTACTCCCATTGGGTATTTGCCCGATTCGATAGGCGACATGAAGTGCCTGCAGTTCCTGATACTGAAGAACTGCAAGAATATCTCGTCTCTTCCCGATGGCATAACGCAGTTGAGAAATCTGAGGTGCCTTCAGATGAATGAGGGACCTGTCATCGACCAGATGCCAAGGGGAATCGGTGGGTTGCATCAATTGCGAGCTCTGAATGAATTTGTTGTGGACAAGCGGGAGGGTACTCTAAGAGAATTGGGGCCTCTTTCACAACTCAGACTGCTGGTGATCACCAAAATGGAAAGGGTGTCAGAAAGAACGCAAGCCAGAAGTGCTCTCCTCGAAAATAAAACCTCCATGTACTTCATAAGCTTCGAGTGGACCTTCCCTCCCGTAGATACTGCGACTGTTGCCCAAATAATGAACATTCCCGATATCTTTGATGAGCTGTGCCCCTCACCCTCCCTGAAAATGCTCAGCATCGTTGGATACCTTGGGCTCACCCTCCCTCGTTGGATGTGGCGTTCATCGTCCTCTAGCATCTCTCCTATCCATAATCTCACATTGATAGCCATGACTAACTGCATGAATTTCTCTCAGCTTCCTCCACTTGGACTTCTCCCTCATCTGAAGTTACTCTGGATTAGGGGTTGCTCCCAGCTCGTAACTATCGGAACCGAGCTCGCAAATCCTTCTGTTTCCCCGCATCCATCTTCTTCTACATCATCTTCCACTGCAAATGGTGGCTCAACTGCTATTCTGTTCCCCAAGCTAGAATCCTTTACTCTTATAGAAATGTGGAACCTTGAAACATGGTCCTGGAAAACAGACAACCGGACAACCATGATGGTTTTTCCTTCCCTCAAAGTTCTGTACCTTGAGGACTGCCCCAAGTTGAGATGCATCCCCGATATCTGTTGGAGACGACTCGACAGCGTACACATCTTCAGCTGCCCTTCAATCCTGGAGGTGGGGAGTCTTACTGCTCCGGAAATATTGCATGTAAGAGATGACAGTTCGGAACACCTCCCGCCATGGTTGGAGCACGTCGGTGTCGATCCCACGGATGAGGTGTCATTCCTTCTCCTCAAGGTCCAGTTGAGTCTGCTCAGGAGAATGTTACAACAGAGAGAGGGGGGCGGCAACGACCCAGACGATGGCTGGAATGTCGTTAAACGATTTCCTCGTGGTTACGTTGTTGCAACCGACGATGAAACATTGTTTTTCTCCTACAACAACGATCAATCATTCTTCCACACAAACGTGCAGGTAGGTCGTGAGGGCATCTGTTAAGGCAGCAGTAAAGAAAAATGACAAGCCGGTCACATGGATGAGGCATCACAAGTTCAGGTTGAGTGTACTCAGGAGAATTTTTTAAAACAGAAAGATGGAGACGGCAACGATCCGGAAGGTGGCTAGCATATCGCCGGCTACATCGGTGACCGCCAAGATAATCACTGAGCTACGACCCCCGCCCTCCGTAGGGATCCTTCATATCGTCTGTTACATCGGAGTCGCTCTCCCTCCTTTGAGGTGGCCCTCCGCGACCACTGCGGTCTCTCATATTCATCACTTGTCTCACTTATTGTTCACCAAGAGTTCTAATTAGCCTTAGCCTCCACCATGAATGGGACTGCTTATTCGTCGCTGGCCCCCATTGCCATCGTGTCGGAAGCATCACGCCTGAGCAGGTATTTGGCCCATCTCTTTCTACACACCATTCCTCGTCCTTCCGCTCTTCTTGTGATCCTACCTCGTCCGGTGGTTAGATGGCTTCTCTGTTCCACATTCGGAACCATTCCCTCTCATGAATATGCCAAACCTGGAAACGTGTGGCACTGGAACTCAGAAGCCACTGTAGCAACAACGGAGGGTCTCCCCCGGCTCCGATAACTACTCCAGAGAGGAGTCCAGTGACTTGTTGAGACGCCTGGGACAATGGAGACGGCTCAGGAGAACTGCGTCCGAAGCTTCCTTCGTGTCATTTGGCTTCGCCAGGAAACCGTCCGTCAGGCCTGTCCAAGGATGCACGCGGAAGATGGAGGGAGAGACCTTCCACAGCCGACGCGTTCATTTCTTTCGCGGCAACGCGGCTAATGACGGAAGATTCCATTAAGGAGGTCGTCGGGCCCACGAGTAAAATCAGCGGATTCCTTCCCATATGTGAAAATGTATTGGGGATTACTTCGCGTTTGCCATCAGTCCGTAAGAAGTGGATAGACCTTGTCGTAAATGGGTTTCTATCATGTGCATTAAACTCCCCAATGTGGGCAGGGTCACGTCGCGAGGCTCACCTTCTTTACACCCTCAAACTGTCTCAATGCCGGTTATCCAAAAACGGATCAGATTCCAAAGGCTGCCTCGTCTCAGGACTAGAGCCATGTGCAGGGTAGTACCGAGAATTGGGCGACCGGATCAGCCATGCCCGGTCTGATCTGCTGGAAGGCTCGAAGTCAACTAAAAATAATGTCAAAAGCTACGTAGAAATTGGATCCTCTGAGTGACATCTGTGAAAATCAATTTCTTGATTGTCCGACTCTCCGAATTGTCAACAATGAGAGAGGGAGCGGGTCTTCCCTTGAATATTCAATCGTGTCGCAATGTCATCACTGCCCAAACACGGCTTCTCATTTTATACGTCTGAAATCAATCTCCCTAGTTTACGTGGGGGTCCAACGCGCCGAAAAAGCTTTACCAGTACAAAAGCGTTCACATGCCTTCAGGGTAGTACCGAGAATTGGGCGACCGGATCAGCCATGCCCGGTCTGATCTGCTGGAAGGCTCGAAGTCAACTAAAAATAATGTCAAAAGCTACGTAGAAATGGGATCCTCTGAGTGACATCTGTGAAAATCAATTTCTTGATTGTCCGACTCTCCGAATTGTCACCAATGAGAGAGGGAGCGGGTCTTCCCTTGAATATTCAATCGGTGTCGCAGTTTCTCATTTCATACGTCCGAAATCGATCTCCCTAGTTTCTATCCAACGCTCAGAAAAAAGTTGACAAGAACACAAAAGCGTTCACACGCTTTCGACGAATTGAATCAGCTCGAGTAGGTTTATTTATCCTCCACCTTCCCAGCTTAGAGCTGGAATCCAGTTCAACGCGCATCTCTCTCTCTCTCGCGCGCGCGCGATATCCTCCCTCAGTAACCCTTTTCTCTCTTGCGCGCCCGCTACCACATCCCAACCCGCAATTGGATTAAGATATGGCAGCGCCGCTGCTTTCGATCCTCTCCTTATTCTTAGATAAGCTTAAAAATTTTAAACACGAGGAAGTGACGCTCAGCGGGTTACGGTCCGCGCTGGAGGAGCTCGAGAAGAAGATCAACGAGATCAGACACTTCGTCCCCGACGCAGAGACCCAGGCCTTCAACAACGAGTACACCCGCCACTGGCTGAAAGAGCTGAAAAATGCAGTGTACGACGCAGATGACATCCTCGATGACTGCGCGATCGCCGGGGAACCCGTGTCAGGACAGCCGGAATCGCCCTCCTCGACCAACGCGGTATGCCCTCGTTTCTTCTCTCCATTATCTTTCACGAGTCAGATTGGATTTCAACATAAAATGGAGATGAGGATAAAGAGTATAAGCTCTAGGCTGGAGAAGATCTCCAAAAAGAAGGCTGAGCTGCACTTGACGCCCACAGATGATGATTTCTCAACGAAAGGCAACAGCTTTCAGACATCATCTCTACTCCATCCAGAAATTACTGGTCCTTCGCTTGAATCACAGTTGAAAAAATTACGGAGACTACTTGTGGGGGATGAGAACGAGGGAAAGCTGATAGCGATCACAGGGATGGGGGGAATCGGAAAGACTACCCTAGCTAAAGCTACATACAACGATCGATTCATCGAAGCCAGTTTTCGCATGAGGATTTGGATCTGCGTTTCCAAGTACTTTAACCATATTAAGATATTGAAAGAGATGATAGCGCAAGCAGGCGGGGACCCCCGGATTGCTGACACTAAAGAACAGCTGGCCATGATCCTAAGCAGTCTCGTCAAAGGCATGAAAATTTTTCTTGTTCTGGATGACGTCTGGACGACAGAGGTCTGGGAAGAGCTACTCCGAGTGCCCTTGCAGGGCGCCGCCGTTGGCACAAGGGTGTTGATTACGACTCGTCACGAGTCTGTTGCGAGGCAGATGGGGGTGTCCTATCTTCATCCTGCCGAAAGCATGAGTGATTCCGAAGCCTTCTTCTTTTTGTACAATATGGTACCCAGAAACGGGGAGGAAGAACAGTGGGGAACCCTGCAAGATGTCGGCTTTAAAATTGCCGAGAGATGCAAGGGCGTCCCTTTAGCATTAAAGGCAATCGGAGGGATTCTGAGATGCAGGAAAAAGAACGTACGAGAGTGGGAGGAGATTCTCGAAGATCCAATATGGTCTACATCCATTTTCCCAGAGGAGGAGGAAACCGTAATGAAATCATTGTATTTGTCTTACAGGGATCTGCCCCCAAACATCAAGCAGTGTTTTCTATACCTCTCGCTGTTTCCTGAGGACCTTGTGTTTCTGCGTCCCAGTGTCGTGCAGTACTGGGTTGCTGAGGGTTTCCTAAAACCAGAGGGCACTTTAACCATGGAAGACGTAGGAACGAAGCATTTCGATGAGCTGTCCGATAGGGGTCTTCTGCAGCCACAAATAGCTCCGATAGAGGGGGCTCTGTGCAAGATGCACGACATGGTGCGTTCTCTCTGTCAGTATCTGGCTGAAGGTGAATGTCACTTTGGTGAGATGCCGAGACCGGAAATCAGGTCCGGAAACCTCCGCCGGTTGTCAATGATGGATTGTGATTTTCCCGTAGACATCCATCTCTTGAAAAGGGAACAACGCCTGAGGACACTTCTTCTCTGTGGGAACCCATATGGAGGGGTAGTTCTAAAACAGGATGTTATCGAAGCTCTTGCGTATCTGAGAGTGTTAGATGTCAGTGAGACACCCATTGAGGAGCTGCCACACTTCATTACAAAACTTCGACATCTGAGGTTCCTCAACGTCTCTGGGACTCCCATTCGGGCGTTGCCAGATTCGATAGGCGACATGAAAAGCCTAGAGTTCCTGTTACTGAAGTGCTGCAAGAACATCTCGTTTCTTCCAGATGGCATAACGCAGCTTAGAAATCTGAGGTGCCTCGAGATGAACGAGGGAACTGTCATAGACCAAATGCCAAAGGGAATCGGCGAACTGCGTCAGCTGCGAACTCTGAAGGATTTTGTGGTGGGTAAGCGGGAGGGGACTCTGCAAGAATTACGGGCTCTTTCACATTTGAGATCGCTGGTGGTTACCAAACTGGAGGGTGTGTCAGAAAGAACGCAAGCCAGTATTCACCTCGAAAAGAAAACCTCCCTTATTTACACCAGCTTCGAGTGGTCCTTCCCTCCCGTTGACCAAATAAAGAGCATGTCCGAAGTATTTGATGAGCTATGCCCCTCATCCTCCCTGCAGATTCTCAACGTCGATGGATACCTTGGACCCACCCTCCCTCGTTGGATGTGGCCTTCGTCGTCATCTGGCGTCTCTCCCATCCATAATCTCACACATATAACAATGACCAACTGCATAATTTTCTCTCAGCTTCCTCCTCTCGGACTTCTCCCTAATCTGAAGCTTCTCGGACTCAAGAATTGCTCCCAGCTCGTAACCATCGGAACCGAGCTCGCGAACCCTTCTGCTTCCCCACATCCATCTTCTTCCACTGCAAATGGTGGCTCAACTGCTATTCTGTTCCCCAAGCTGGAATCCCTTTCTCTTGTAGAAATGCCGAATCTTGAAACATGGTCCTGGAAAACAGACAACGGAACAAACATGGTGGCTTTTCCTTCACTCAAAGTTCTGTACCTTGACGACTGCCCCAAGTTGAGATGCATACCCGATGGCCCTTGGAGACGACTCAAGAAAATATACGTCTACAACCGCCATTCAATCTTGGAGGTCGTGAGTCTTCCTGCTCCGGAAGCATTGTGTGTAAGAGATGACAGCTCAGAAGACGTCCCGCCGTGGTTAAAGCACGTCTGTGTCGATCCCACGGATAAGGTGTCAATCCTTTTCCTCCATGTCAGCCTTAGTCTGCTCAGGAGAATGTTACAGCAGAGAAAGGCGGACGTCGACGACTCAAATGCTGGCTGGAATGTCGTTAAACGATTTCCTCGTGCTTTCGTTGTCGCAAGGGACGATGAAAAAATGTTTTTCTCCTACGACAAACATGAATCATTATTCAACACCAATGTGCAGATCGCTTAAGGTGAGGACATTTGTTGAGGCAGCGGTAAAGCAGAACGGGTATTCCACTGTGAATGACATGCCGATCCCATGGATGAGGTGTCGTTCCTTCTCCTCAAGGCCAGGTTGAGACTGCTCAGGAAGGTGGCTGGCATATCGTCGGCTACATCGGTTTTCCCTAAGCTGGTGGAGAAGATCCCCTGTTATCACTGAGCTACGCCCCCGTCCTCTGTAGGAATCCTTGGCATCGTCGTCTACATCGGATTCGCTCTCCCTCCTTCGACGTGGCCCTCCACGACCACTGCGGTCTCTCATATTCAACACCTGTCTCACTCATTGTTTACCAAGAGTTTTGATTAGTCTCAGCTTCCCCCATTATTGGGACTGCCTCCTTCGTCTCAGGCCCAACCGCTTCTTCGTGTCGAAAGCATCGCTCCTGAGCAGTCGTTGGGCCCTTTTTTTCTACATCCCCTATTTCTCGTGCTCCTCTTCTTCTAATCCTACCTCGTCGGGTGCTTGGATGACTACTCTGTGTCCTAGATTGTAACCTTTCTCTCTCATAAATATGCCAAACCTGGAGACGTGTGGCAATGAACCTAGACAGTAAGCATATTTCAATAAGAATCTCATAGCAATCAATGAAATAACTTCACAGTCAACAACTTGAGGATATTGGTCTTTAACGCGGTACTGTAGCGGCAACGGTCTCCCACGTCTCCGAGAACCACTCCAGAGAGGCGACCAGTCACTTGTTGAGACGCCTGCGACAATGGAGACATGGCTCAGGAGAACTGCGTCCGAAGCTCCCTTCGCGACATTCGGCTTCGCCAGAACCGTCCGTCAGGCCTGCCCAAGGATCCACGCCAAAGATGAAGGGAGAGATTCCACCAGGCTCTAGCCCAACAGACCCAACCAGCTCAACCAGGCGCGACTGATATGTGGATAAGAGGATAGCCTTCTTATGGACGTAAAGAACCGGGAGGGCTGACAGGGGGAGCAGGTTCTAAATTTGGGCATCTCTGATACGTTCCAGGTTCGTATCTAGCTATCGTATTCCTTCTTCGGAAGGAACGTTCCCAAATCCGACCAGACAAAAGGCTTCCATAAAGGGAGAGGAACCCCAAACGGAAGAGGGAGAGGCAGGGGAAGGAAACAGTCTTCAGGTCTCTCCTGACGAAGGGGGCGTCGGCAGGGATCCTTCTTTCTGTGACAGGATAGTAGAATGAGACAGAGACATTGAGAGAGAGAGAGAGAGAGAGAAAATAGAGAGGACCGGAGATTTCTTACTTCTGATTTCCGGCCACCTGGGGAAGGCTCCACGGTTGGATTTAAGCAGGCTTTAACTGGGCCTGATGGGTCATGATGGGCCATAGCCCTCTCTTCTTTCTAGTTCTAGTAGAGGTCCTCATTGGGCCTGTATCAATCTCCTGTGCTGGAAGCGCTGAGGAAAAGTGTCTGACAGAAAGACAGGATTAAGAAACCAGATATACCCTTGCTGGTCCCCGAATCTGGCAGCAAGGTTTTGACAACCATCCATTTCGAATCTATGGAGAGGCGGGAGCAGCACACTTTCATCATATGGAACGGATAACAGTCGAGAACGGTTTCCCCTGGTTGCGTGATAAGACCCTTTGAGACGAGAGACGAAGAGACTTACTTCTCTAGATGGCCTTGTGTAAAAATTATCGAGAAATGTGAGAGTCTCCCTCTAATGACCATGGTCAAAACAGGGGGGCTTCTAAGGCTTCGGGACACGAGCACGCAGGAACGGGAGGAGATACTCCACGATGGTGGGTGGTCCTCATCCATCTTCCCAGCGTCGGAGTAAGAGAGAGGTTTTGAAAATTACCCCCCCCCCCCATCAAACAGTGACATGAATATTTCAATGAGGTGGTCACCAGGAGCCTCCTGCAGGCGTAAATTTCGATCCTAGAAGGTTCACAATTCCATATGCACAATCTCCCACGGCTGCTTGCTGGGCCGACGAAACTCCGCCCGTTGTCGGTGGCTGGTAGTGAGTCAGCCCGCTTCGTCTGTAGAAACCTCCACGGAGGATCGCTCTGAGACGAGACATCATCGAAGAAGCTCTTGGGGACAAGATTGCGTCAGACTCTTGTGATACAACAGCTGCCCAGACGCGAAGGTGCCTTTGGATCATCCCCCCCAGGGAACTTTTTCTCTTCGCAGAAACGCAACGCCGATGGCCACATGCAATAGAGAACGTGATCGAAAAATAATAAGACAAATCATACCACAGCGGAGAACCCTGACGTGAAAAACCCTCACGCGCGAGTAAAAACAACAGGAGAAGAAAATAGCTCGCCAATAGGATCCCATCCGGATTGCACCAAGACTCTCTCTCCTCTACAAAGAAGAATCCCCACCACGAGCCACCCACTTGCCCGAAAGGCATCTGGTTTCCATTTAATAGGGCGTATCTTAAATGACAAGATTTCGAGGGCATTGACCGAACCCCAGCAAGCGAACCTCGCTCGCAGAATCCACCCACGGCTAAATTCGCTGGGGCTCACATATTCTTACACGCGCCGACATGTACAATGAATGTGCAGAACACTTCTTCTGAGTGTGGCAGAGGCGATATGTACAATGCGCCACTGCGGGGTGGGCCGCCGCCGCCGTTGCTGCTGCTTGTTTCCTTTCTAGAAGTAAAATCTACCAGTTCCCAGATGATCGATCAAGCTCGTAGATCTGTCTCCAGGAACGCTATAATAAAAAAATTAAAATTAGAAAAGAAAATAAATAAAAAAAGATCGAGGTCAATCGCCGCCCGCCATTACTCTTCCCCCACAATAATTGCATGTCATCTTCTAGGTCTTAGAGATGATGGTGGGTGTGGCGACGGATCTTGAGGGGGGGAAAGAGGGGAGTTTGAGACCCCGCCGACACGGATAATTCAGACCCCCGACTGATTGACTTGTTGATTGGTTGTGTTCTTGCTGGGATCAACAGCGTTGAGCGTGGACTTTCTTGTTGGGTCCGATCGGTTCTTGTTCTGAGATCCTGGAACACTCCGTCGGACAGGCCGACATTTGATTATCACGGCTGACTTTGGTGGAATCCCTGATCGCTCCCCATTCCGGCCCGATTGGTGCTCTTCTCTGCATCATCATCGTCGTCGTCGTCGTCGTCGTCAAATCAGGCTCACGATAATTAAATCTGCTGGAGAAAATGAATTGGATCTGGCCTCCTTTTATATAGAGATGGATGCAATTAATTCCTAAGATCGAGAATTATTTATTCTCCGAAATTCTCGTGTTGACTATTTCCGAAATTCTCGGCTCCCTGTTCTTTTTCCGCAGGAGGAGTGAACTGGGTCCCGCGTGTTTTCATTTTCGAACGCGATTTAATCAATCTCTGTGAGAGGATGAATCTAGAATATAATTATATATCTATATATATAATTATTCATAATGTTTTTGATAATATCAGCCTGTTTCTTCTGCCAGAATTGTTTGTTTTCTGCTCAGATGCGCTCAATGTGGAGATATGGATGCCGTATTTAACCACTTCTGGATTATGGTCCTGGTTGACTATTATGAAACGCCGCCTCTCTGATCAGAACATTCCTGACTCTCTTCGCCACCCCCAAAAGGAAAAGAAAGCATTAGATCAGAACCATCGTCCGTTCATTTTCATCCATACGGCACCCCCAGATCCGCCGGGGATGTCGGGATGGAGAACTGATGGCATTAAATGCTCCCCTTGGGTTCCATTAAATGCTGCATTCACTACGTTTCCTGCAGCGGGTGGTTGGCAGTTGACGGATCGCAGTCAATGAACTTCCCCAGAAGGTAAGGCCACAGAGGAGATGAAGAAGATCTCTTTCTTTCTCCTTCTTCTCCTCCTCCTCCTTCTCTGCTATGCTCTGCTCCGCTTTCTTCTCATCTTTTGTTCTCCTCTTTTACTGTGGAGCCGTTGTAGATCTGCAGGGACGCCCTCAGGGCGGCGGAGAGGACGACCCACAGCAGCAGCAGCAGCAGCGCGTCTGCGGAAGGTGCGACCGGTCGAATGAATGGATTCAGACAAAGGAAAAGGAAGGAAGAGAGAGAGAGAGAGAGAAGGAATGAGCTTCTTCATACTGAAGCTGCAGCGCTCCCACCACTCCAGGCCGTAGACCCCCACCGTGATGCTGTACAGATACAGTTTCCTGCTCAACCAGTTCATCTCCCTCCTTACTCACCCACAGCGAGAGAGAGAGAGAGAGAGAGAGAGAGAGAAACTGGTCTGATGCGAGGGGGGTTGGGACGGTTACCCAGGATGAAGAAGAAGAGGAGAAACGTATGAAAACGGTCGCCGGAACGATAAGTTTTGCACCCCCCCTGGAATCATACTCTTTTTTACTCGGGATTATTACTCGATAATTCAGGGACTTCAATTAAAAGTCCATCATCCGAAGCTCGATCCATCGAGACAAAAACTTTTTCTGCGGGGTAACGGAGTAATTCCGTCATTATCTGGAGGTCTGAAGTAAAAATATGCCGCGGTTAAAAGGCTGCTTTATTAATAATATGCGGCGGTCAGAGAAATTCCCTCGTGTAGCTATAATCTATCTCATCAGATTAAAAGGGCATACAACGTCTGAACCTCAAGTCGAGTACCCAAATAAGTAATCCTCAACAGGCGCTGAACTGTCCTAAAAGCCCGGGAGTTTCAATGGTTTCCCGTCGCAGAAGTAATCCTCAATAGGGGTAAGTAACTAAGGTTGAAGAGAGTCCTCAAGGATTCATTTCCTTTCAGGATAGCGGGGTCTATAGAAGCTCCGTTTATCTCCCGCAGCTTACCGACGGAGCTTTGTCGATTTACATCCTCGGTGCTGCGATGCATCACCGAGGAATTTCCTGTCTTCCGATTGCATCTGAGATCCGACAGCAGGAGGTCAAAAATCAGATTCTAAAGGTTACCTCGTCTCTGGGCCAGAGCCATGTACAAGGTAGTACCGAGGACTAGGAGACCACCAGATCAGCCATGCCCGATCCGATCTGCTGGAAGGCTCGAACTCAACTAAAAATAATGTTAAATGCTACGAAGAATTCTGATCCTCTGGATCATATCGGTGAAAATCAATCCTTATTGTCCGATTCCCCGAACTGACCCATGAGCGGGTAATCCATTGAACGTTAGGACGGTGTCACAATCGTAACAGCTCAAGCACGGTATTTCATTTTATACGTCCAAGATCGATCTTCCTAGTTTCTATGGGCGTCCAATGCGCCAAAAGATGTTGACCAATACAAAAGCGTTCACAAGTTTCGACGAAGTAGATCTATTTATTCGTCCAAAATCGATCTTCCTAGTTTCTATGGGCGGCCAATGCGCCGAAAGAGTGTTGACCAATACAAGCGTTCACTAGTAGGCCTTTTTAGCCTCCACCTTCCCAGCTTCCAGCTGGAATCCAGTTCAACGCGCATCTCTCTCTCTCTCTCTCGCTATCCTCCCTCAGTAACCCTTTACTCTCTTGCGCGCCCGCTACCACATCTCAACCCGCAATTGGATTAGGATATGGCAGCGCCGCTGCTTTCGATCATCCCCTTGTTCCTAGAGAAGCTTAACAATTTGAAACTCGAGAAAGTGACGCTCAGGGGGTTACGGTCCGCGCTGGAGGAGCTCGAGAAGAAGATCAAGGAGATCAGACACTTCGTCCCCGACGCAGAGACCCAGGCCTTCAACAACGAGTACACACGCCTGTGGCTGAAAGCGCTGAAAGATGCAGTGTACGACGCAGATGACATCCTCGACGACTGTGCGATTGCCGGAGAAATGGTTTCGGTACAACCGGAAACGTCCTCCTCGACCAACGCGGTACGCCCTCGTTTCTTCTCTCCATTATTTTTCACGAGTCAGATTGGATTTCAACATAAAATGGAGATGAGGATAAAGAATATAAACTCAAGGTTGGAGAAGATCTCCAAAGAGAAGGCTGAGCTGCACATGACGCCCACAGATGATGATTTCTCAACGACAGAAAACAGCTTTCAGACATCATCTCTACTCCATCCAGAAATTACTTGGTCTGCGCTTGAATTACAGTTGAAAAAATTACTGAGACTACTTGTGGGGGATGAGAACGAGGGAAAGCTGATAGCGATCACAGGGATGGGGGGAATCGGAAAGACTACCATAGCTAAAGCTACATACAACGATCGATTCATCGAAGCCAGTTTCCACATGAGGATTTGGATCTGCGTTTCCAAGTACTTTAGCCATATTAAGATATTGAAAGAGATCATAGCGCACGCAGGTGGAGACCCCCGGGATGGTGACAGTAAAGAACAGCTGGCCTTGATCGTAAGCAGTCTCGTCAAAGGCAAGAAAATTTTTCTTGTTCTGGATGACGTCTGGACGGCAGATATCTGGGAAGATCTACTCCGAGGGCCCTTGCAAGGCGCCGCAGTTGGCACCAGGGTGCTAACGACGACTCGTCTCGAGTCTGTGGCGAGGCAGATGGGGGTGTCGCACCTTGTTCCTGCCGAAAGAATGACTGGTGTAGAAGGCTTCTTCTTTTTGTACAAGATGGTATTCAGAAACGGGGAGGAAGAACAGCGGGAAGCCCTGAAAGATGTTGGCGTTAAAATTGCCGAGAGATGCAAGGGCGTTGCTTTGGCAATAAAGACGATTGGAGGAGTTCTGAGATGCAGGAAAAAGAACGTACGAGAGTGGGAGGAGATTCTCGAAGATCCAATATGGTCTACATCCATTTTCCCAGAGGAGGAGGAAACCGTAATGAAATCATTGTATTTGTCTTACAGGGATCTGCCCCCAAACATCAAGCAGTGTTTTCTATACCTCTCTCTATTTCCTGAGGACTTCGTGTTTGTGCGTCCTAGAGTTGTCTCGTACTGGGTTGCAGAGGGTTTCCTAAAACCAGAGGGCACTTTTACCATGGAAGACTTAGGAACGAAGCATTTCGATGAGCTGACCGGCAGAGGTCTTCTGCAACCACAGTTGTCACCGATAGAGGGGGCTCTGTGCAAGATGCACGACATGGTGCGTTCTCTCTGTCAGTATCTGGCTGAAGGTGAATGTCTCTTCGGCGAGATGCCGAGACCGAAAGGCCGGTCCGGAAACCACCGCAGGTTGTCAATGGTGGATTGTGATTTTCCCGTAGACATACATCTTTTGAAAAGAGAACAACACCTGAGAACACTCCTTATTCGTAGCAACCCATACGGGGCGTTGGTTCTGAAACAGGATGTTGTTGAAGCTCTTACCTATCTGAGAGTTTTAGATGTCAGTGATACACCCATTGAGGAACTGCCACACGTCATTACAAAACTTCAACATCTGAGGTACCTGAACGTCTCTGGAACCCCCATTGGGTATTTGCCCGATTCGATAGGCGACATGAAATGCCTTCAATTCCTTTTCCTGAAGAACTGCAAGAACATCACGTCTCTGCCAGACGGCATAACGCAGTTGAGAAATTTGAGGGGGCTCCAGATGAATGAAGGAACTTACATCGACCAGATGCCGAAAGGAATTGGCGGACTGCATCAGCTGCAAAGTTTGAATGAGTTTGTTGTGGACAAGCAGGAGGGAACTCTGAGAGAACTGGGACCTCTTTCACAGCTGAGACTGTTGGTGATCACCAAATTGGAGAGAGTTTTAGAAAGAACGCAGGCCAGAAGTGCTCTCCTCGAGAATAAAACTTCAATTAATTACATAAGCTTCGAGTGGTCCTTCCCTCCCGTGGACACTACGACCGTTGACCAAATAATGAACATGTCCGAAGTATTTGATGAGCTATGCCCCTCATCCTCCCTGCAGATTCTCAACGTCGATGGATACCTTGGACTCACCCTCCCTCGTTGGATGTGGCCTTCGTCGTCATCTGGCGTCTCTCCCATCCATAATCTCACACATATAACAATGACCAACTGCATAATTTTCTCTCAGCTTCCTCCTCTCGGACTTCTCCCTAATCTGAAGCTTCTCGGACTCAAGAATTGCTCCCAGCTCGTAACCATCAGAACCGAGCTCGCGAACCCTTCTGCTTCCCCACATCCATCTTCTTCCACTGCAAATGGTGGCTCAACTGCTATTCTGTTCCCCAAGCTGGAATCCCTTTCTCTTGTAGAAATGCCGAATCTTGAAACATGGTCCTGGAAAACAGACAACGGAACAAGCATGATGGTCTTTCCTTCCCTCAAAGTTCTGTACCTTGACGACTGCCCCAAATTGCGATGCATCCCCGATATCTCTTGGAGACGGCTCGAGCACATTATGATCTTGAACTGCCCTTCAATGTTGGACGTGGGTAGTCTTCCTGCTCCGGAAGCATTGTCTGTAAGAGATGACAACTCGGAAGACGTCCCGCCGTGGTTAAACCACGTCGGTGTCGATCCCACGGATGAGGTGTCAGTCCTTCTCTTCCATGTCAGCCTGAGTCTGCTCAAGAGAATGTTACAGCAGAGAGAGGCAGGCGTCAACGACCCAGATGTTGGCTGGAATGTCGTTAAAAGATTTCCTCGTGCTTACGTCGTCGCAAAGGACGATGAAGCAATGTTTTTCTCCTACACCAAACATAAATCATTATTCCACACCAGCGTGCAGGTCGCCTAAGGTGAGGGGATCCGTCGAGGCTGCGTTAAAGTACAACGGATTAGACCCTGTGAATGATGGGGCCCGTCCCATGGATGATACGTCGTTCCTTCTCCTCAATGCCAGGTTGTGTCTGCTCAGGAAGGTGGCTGGCATATCGTGGGCCACATCGATGTTCGCTAAGCAGGTGGAGAAGATGGCCCTGAAGTCACTGCGCAACGCTCCCCACCCTCCGTAAGGATCCTTGGCATCGTCGGCTACATCGGACACGCTCCTCCTCCTTCGACGTGGCCCTCCGCGGCCCCTGCGGCTTCTCATATTCATCACCTGACTGAACTCATTGTTTACCGAGGGTTTTAATTAGTCTCAGCTTCCCCCATGATTGTGACTGCTTCTTCGTCTCATCGATCTCTCTTTCCACACGCCATTCCTCGTCCTTCCGCTCTTCTTCTGATTCCACCTCGTCCGGTGGTTATATGGTTATTCTGTTTCCTAATTCGGAACCTTTCTCTCTCATAAATATGCCAAACCTGGAGACGTGTGCGGCACTGAAACGCAGAAGATACTGTAGCAACAACGGAGGTTCTCTCCCGTCTCCGCAAACTGTTCTAGCGAGGAGTCCAATCCCTTGTTGAGATGCCTGCGATAATGGGCCATGGCTCACGAGAACTGAGTCCCAAGATCTCTTCTCCGGGGACCTGTCCATCTTCCTCGGTGGCCGGGCTCCATCAGGGGTCCCGGTCAACGATGGACAGAGAGACCTTCAACAACAAGGGAAGTTCTGCCCGGATATGCTATCCTTAGCTGCAACAATGAAGGGTGCATTAGCCCCGCCATGTGTTCGCCCATTACTTACTGCCTACTTCTACACTTTAAGAGAACAAGATGACGGTCATCTTTGACCAAACACCAGCGCAGCCCTGTGGTCGGCCGCCCATTGGAGAGGTGAAACTGCAGGATAGAGGCCCAGGCTCTTGCCCAGCAGATCCAGCCATCTCAACTAGCCGCGACCGATATGTGGATGACAGAGGATAGCCTTCTCACAGGGCGAACCAGGGGCGCTCACAGGGAGAGCAGGTTCTAAATTTGGGCATCTCCTCTGAGCTGGAAGCGTCGGAGGAAGACTGTCTTACAGAAAGACAGGTTTAAGAAACCAGAAATACCCTTTCTGGGCCCCGCATCTGGCAGCAAGGTTTTGACAACCACCCGTCACTAATCTGTGGAGAGGCAGGTGGGAGCAGCGCACCTTCATCGTATGGAACGGATAAAGGTCGAGGGCGGTTTCTCCCTGTTGCCGGTCAAGGCCCTTAAAGATGACAGAGGAAGAGACTTACTACTCTAGACTTATCAAGATATGTGAGAGCCTCCCTCTAGTGATCAAGGTCAAAATAGGAGGGCTTCTAAGACTTTGGAACACGAGAGTGCGTTTGAATCATTGCCCCGCAGGGAATAAAACAAATCATGCCACAGCGAAGAACCCTGACGTGGAAAACCCTCTACCAATCACTTCCTCCGGATTGTACCGACTCTCTCTCCTCTACCACGCATTTAAGATAAGAAAGCTTATCTTAAATGGACCAGATTTCGAGGGCATTGACTAAACCCCACCAAGCGAACCTCGCTCGCAGAATCCACCCACGGCTAAACTCGCTGGGGTTCGCAGATTCTTACATGCGCCCCCATAAGTTCAAGGCATATGTACAATATAGGTGTAGAACACTGGTTCTGAGTGTGGCGGGGGCTGAACAGGCGCTGAACTGTCCTAAATGCCCGGGAGTTTCAGTGGTGTCCCGTCGCAGAAGTAATCCTCTATGTGGGGGGTAACTAAGGTTGAAGAAAGTCCTCAAGGATTCATTCCCTTTCAGGATAGCGGGGTCTACAGCAGTGCCGTTTATCTGCTGCAGATTACCGACCGAGCTTTGTTAATTTCGATCCTCGGTACTGCGATGTATCACCGAGGAGTTTCACGTCTTCCGATTGCATCTGAGAAGCGACCGCAGGTCAAAAAACAGACTCTAAAGGTTGCCCCTTCTCAGGGCCAGAGCCATGTACAAGGTAGTACCCAGGATTGGGAGACCGGAAAAGCAATGCCCGATCCAATCTGCCGAAAGACTCGGAAGTCAACTACATATAATGACAAAACCTACAGAATGAAAAGTCAATCTTGATTGTCCGATTCTCCGAACTGTGACCCGTGATAGAGGGAGCGGGTCCTCCCTAAACGTTCGGACGGTGTGACAATTTCATCGCAGCTCAAACGCGGTTTCTCATTTTATACGTCCGAAATCGATCTCCCCAGTTTCTGTGCGCGTCCAACGCGCCGAAAACGGTTCACCAACACAAAATTGTTCACACGCTTTCGACTAATTGGATCAGCTCGAGTAGGTTTGTCTATCCTCCCCCATCCCAGCTTCGAGCTCGAGTCGCATCCTACGCCTCTCTCTCTCTCTCGCTCCTCCCTTCGTATCCCCTTTTATCTCTTTCGCGCTCGTCTCCAGATTTAACCCCGCAATTGGATGAGGATATGGCGTCGCTGCTTTCGCTCGTCTCCTCATTCCTAGGGAAGCCTAGAAATTTCAAACACGAGGAACTGACGCCATCCGAGGCACAGTCTGTGCTGGAGGAGACCAAGGAGAAGTTCAGGGAGATCAGAGACTTCGTCCTCGACGAAGAGGCCTTCAGCAGCGACTACAACCGCCTCAGGCTCAAAGATCTGAAAGACGCGGTCTACGACTTCGATGACTTCTTCGACACCTCCATGATCATCAAGGAAATGTTGTCGGGACAGACGGAAACGTCCTCCTCGACCGACGTGGTACGCCCTCGTTCGTTCTCTCCAATACCTCTCACGAGTTGGATTTAATTTGAACACAAAATGCAACAGCTTTCTGACAGGCATAGAATCGAGGTTCTCAGACAGTTATCAGACCAGTTAGAAGTCAGCTCCATGCGATTAAAGAGAAAGAATTTTATGCTGAAGAACATTTTCGACGAGAAGGCCGGGCTACACATGACGCCCACTGACGATGATTTCTCAACGGCAGGTAACACCCTTCAGACATCATCTCTAGTCTATCAAGAAATTATTGGTCCTACGCTTGAATTACAGTTGAAAAAATTACTGAGGCTACTTTTGGGGGATGAGAACGAGGGCCAGCTTATAGCGATTACGGGGATGGGGGGAATCGGAAAGACTACTCTAGCTAAAATTACATTCAACGATCGATTCATCGAAGCCAGTTTTCACATAAAGATTTGGATCTGCGTTTCCAAGTACTTCAAAAAAATTAGGATATTGAAAGAGATCATAGCGCAAGCAGGTGGGAACCCCCAGGATGGTGACAGTAAAGAACAGCTGGTCTCGATCCTTAGCAGTCTTATCAAAGACAAGAAAATTTTTCTTGTTCTGGATGCCGTCTGGACCACAGAGGTCTGGGAAGAGCTACTCCGAGAGCCCGTGCAAGGCGCCGCTGTTGGCACCAGGGTGTTGATAACGACTCATCTCGAGTCTGCGGCGAGGCAGTTGGGAGCATCTCACATTCATCCTGCCGAAAGAATGACTGATTTGGAAGGCTTCTCCTTGTTATTCAAGATGGTGTTCAGAAATGGGGAGGAAGAACAGTGGGAAGCCCTGAAAGATGTTGGCGTTAAAATTGCCGAGAGATGCAAGGGCGTCCCTTTAGCTATAAAGACAATCGGAGGAGTCCTCCAATGCAAGGACAAGAACGCACGAGCGTGGGAGGAGATACTCGAAGATCAAGTATGGTCTACATCCATCTTCCTAAAGGAGGACGAAAATGTTACGAAATCTCTGTATTTGTCTTACAGGGATCTGCCCTCCAGCATCAAGCAGTGTCTTCTCTATCTCTCGCTGTTTCCCCAAGACTTCGTCTTTGACCGCCTCAATGTCGTGCAGTACTGGGTTGCTGAGGGTTTCCTGAAATCAGAGGGCACTTTTTCCATGGAAGAGTTCGGAATGTACCATTTCGATGAGTTGGCCGATAGAGGTTTTCTGCAGCCAGAGGAGTCATCGATAGCGATGGCAGCTCTGTGCAAGATGCCCGACATTGTGCGTTCTCTCTGTCAGCATCTGACTGAAGGTGAATGTCTCTTCGGCGACATGCCCAGACCGAAAGGCAGGTCCGGAAACCTCCGCCGGTTGTCAATGGCAGATTGTGACTTTCCCGTAGACCTCCATCTCTTGAAAAGAGAACAACGCCTGAGGACACTCCTTATCTGTAGGAACCCATATGGAGGGGTGGTTCTAAAACAGGATGTTATTGAAGCTCTTGCGTATCTGAGAGTTTTAGATATCAGTGAGACACCCACGGAGGAACTGCCACACTCCATCGCGAAACTTCGACACCTGAGGTACCTCAATGTCTCTGGGACTCCCATTCGGGCGTTGCCCGATTCGATAGGCAACCTGAAGAGCCTGCAGTTCCTGTTACTGAAGAACTGCAAGAACATCTCCTCTCTTCCAGATGGCATAACGCAGCTGAGAAATCTGAGGTCTCTCCAGATTAACGAGGTACCTGGCATCGAGCAGATGCCAAAGGGAATTGGCGAACTACATCAGCTGCAAGATCTGAATGAGTTTATTGTGGACATGGGGGAGGGAAGCCTGCGAGAATTGGGGCCTCTTTTACAACTGAGACAGCTGGTGATAACCAAATTGGAGAGAGTTTCAGAAAGAACCCAAGCCAGAAGTGCCCTCCTCGAAAATAAAACCTCCATGACTTGCATAAGCTTTCAGTGGTCCTTCCCTCCCGTGGATACGACGACTGTTGCCCAAATAATGAACATGTCCGATGTATTTGATGAGCTATGCCCCTCAACCTCACTCCAAATTCTCAGCGTCGTTGGATACCTTGGTCTCACCCTCCCTCGTTGGATGTGGCCATCGTCATCATCTAGCGTCTCTGCCATCCATAATGTCACATTGATAACAATGAGCAGCTGCATAAACTTCTCTCAGCTTCCTCCACTCGGACTTCTCCCTCATCTGAAGACCCTCGTGATCAAGGGTTGCTCCCAGCTCGTAACCATCGGAACCGAGCTCGCAAATCCTTCTGTTTCCCCACATCCATCTTCTTCTACATCTTCTTCCACTGCAGATGGTGGATCAACTGCTGTTTTGTTCCCCAAGCTAGAATTCTTTACTCTTCTAGAAATGCCGAACCTTGAAACATGGTCCTGGAAAACAGACAACGGGACAAGCATGATGGCCTTCCCTTCCCTCAAAGTTCTGTACCTTGGGGGCTGCCCCAAGTTGAGATGCATCCCCGATATCTCTTCGAGACAACTTGAGCAAATATACGTCTTAAACTGCCCTTCAATCTTGGAGGTGGGGAGCTTTCGTGCTACGGAAAAATTGCATGTAAGAGATGACAGCTCGGAACACCTCCCGCCATGGTTGGAGTACGTCTGTGTCGATCCCACCGATGAGGTCTTATCCCTTCTCCTCGAGGTCAAGCTGAGTCCGCTCAGGAGAATGCTACAACAGAGAGAGGCGGGCGGCAACGACCCAGACGGTGGCTGGAATGTCTTTAAACGATTTCCTCAAGCTTACGTTGTCGCAACCGACGATGAAACAATGTTTTTATTTTACAGCAAAGATAAATCATTAGTCCAGACCAACGTGCAGGTCGCCTAAGGTGAGGACATCTGTGGAGGCAGCAGTAAAGCAGAGGGGTTAACACACTGTGAATGGCAGGCCGATCCTATGGATGAGGCGTCGTTCCTTCTCCTCAAGAACAGGATGAGTCCGCTCAGGAAGGTGGTTGGCATATCGTCGGCAACATCGGTGTACTCTAAGCTGGTTGAGAAGATGGCCCTTGTAGTCACTGAGCTATACCCCCACCCTCCGTAGGGATCCTTCGCATCGTCGGCTACATCGGACTCGCTCTCCCTCCTTCGCGGTGGCCGTCCACGACCCCTACGGTCTCTCATATTCATCACCTGGCTGACTCTTTGTATTCCGAGAGGTCTAATTAGTCTCAGCTTCCCCCATGATTGGGATTGATTCTTCGTCTCAGGCCCTCATTGGGCCCATCTCTTTCTACACGCCATTTCTCGTCCTTCCGCTCTTCTTCTGACCCTACCCCGTCCGGTGGGTAGATGGCTACTCTGTTGCCTAATTCGGAACCTTTCCCTCTGATAAATATGCCAAACCTGGAGACGGGAGTGGCACTGGAACGCAGAAGATACTGCAGCAACGACGGAGGTTCTCCCCCGTCTCCGAGAACTACTCCAGAGAGGAGTCCAGTCACTTGTTGAGACGGCTGCGATAATGGAGGCATGGCTCAGGAGAATTGCATCCAAAGCTCTCTTCGCCAGGGAACTGTCCATCTCCCCCGGCGGCTGGGCTCCATCAGGGGAACTGGTCGACGATGGATGGAGGGAACTTCTGCAACCATGGAAGTTCTGACCGCATTTGCTATCCTTAGAGCTGTAACGGATTCACTCTTTCCGACGTGAAGGGTGCGCTAGCCCAGTGTTTACCCATTACTTACAGTCGGCCCACCTCCACAATTTTACAGAAAACAAGAAGACGCTCATCGTTGACCAAATACTGACGCAGTCTTCGGGTCGGCCGACCATTGGAGAGGTGAAACTAAGAAAAGAAACCAAGGTAGATTAGCATGGCCCAGGCCCTGGTCCAGCAGACCCAGCCAGCTCAACTGGGCGTGACCGATATGCGGACGACAGAGGATCGCCTTCTTATGGATGTGAAGAGCCGGGGGTTTATAGGGAGAGAGCAGTTTCTAAATTTGGCATCTCCTCTGCGCTGGAAGCGCCGCAGGAAGACTGTCTTAACAGAAAGACACGTTAAAGAAACCAGATATATCCTGTTTTTTAGGAACTGCGCTTGGCGCTAATCGGTGCGCATTTCTGCTGATAAGACCAGTTTGTCAAGGAACCAGCCATGAAAGGGGTTGGGCCTTTCCGCCGCCTCCATCATCCAGTCTTGTTTCAAATGCTGCAAATATAATCCCGTTTCAAACTTAAAAATTGTATCTTGAATACCGCAACTTTTCCGCCTGTCCTGAATCGCTGCCGCCGTCTGGCAGGCAGCGCTTTCTTTTTCTCGTCTCGGGTCTCTCCATCCCACCTCGGGAAGCTATTCATTTCCCAAATTTCCCGCCTATCTGCTTCAGAGGACAAGGTCGGGGGCTACGGAAAGGCCATGAGATAGGAAGGGCGCCGCCAGCTCGCTGCCCGCCGGCGATTTTCACAGTCCTCGGGACCCGTGCCATTTGGTCGGGGTCGCACCGCGCAACGGATCTATCTAATCTGCTCCCGTTCCCCGAGGGGACGCAGATGAGTTTGAAGTTTGAACTTACCGGCCTCTGTCTCTCTCTCTCTTCTTAAGACGACTTGGGATTAGAAAAATTAGGGGAGGTGTCGGAGGTAGGTGATGACGGTGAACAGGCGAGTGCAGGCTTGTGAAGCCGGGGAGGACACATCGGTGGGCTTGGCCGCTGCCCCGTTCTGCCACCTCTATCTCCTTTCGTCGTCTTCCAGACCTGGCCACACCCGCCGCAGGTTAAATTTCCAAACCTTGCCTTGACCCGCTCTGACCTGGATTTCATGTTTAACCTGCGAAACTCTCTCTCTCTCTCTCTCTCTCTCTCTCTCTCTCTTTCTCTCTCTCTCTCTCTGGGTGTGAAAAAATCAATGCTCCTTCTGGAAATGTAGTTGCATGTGAATCTCTAGTGTACCGTCCTTTCTTCCGGGACTCCTCGGGTAGCTGCGATAACTTTTTGCTCCCCCGACCATACTAGGGAGGAATAGTGACTTCAAAGAAAAGCCTTGCAGCCTGTTTCTGGTGCCTGCTGAGAGGGAGGCGCCGAGGAAACCTTGAATCCTCCGTCTTCCCTTTCTAATCTTCCTCATTTTGAAACATAGCCCTGCCCGACTGGAAAGGGTCGACTCCCATCATACCAGCGCTGAGAAGAGGATCCTCCCAGTCCATCTCCATTGTCCTTGCCCTCGGCGATTTGAGTGTTGAAAAGAAGAGGGATGAGTGCCACCAAGTTTATCAAATGTGTCACCGTTGGGGATGGAGCTGTTGGCAAGACGTGCATGCTCATCTGCTATACCAGCAACAAGTTTCCCACGGTATTTCGCCCTAGTCGCTCTTTGTTCCTCTCCCCTCCCTCCTTCCTCACCCCTTCTCTGCCAACCCCCCTGGGGTCTGTCCACCCTGCACCCTCTATCTGTTCTCTTTCCCCCTTTCTTCACTCTTTGGTCACTCACATGGCTTCTCTACTGTTTTCATCCCACTCCATCCTACGAGACGTTGATGTGCGCATTCCTTCTTCCCATCAGTTAACCCTAATGGGTGGCACCCCCGCCTTTTCCTCTATTAGATCCCTTCCTCCTGCCAGCTCCCAAAGCCCACTTCGTCTGTGAAAGGCACCCAGATGATGACGACTTATACCTCTCCAATCACGTTGCTACCTGTGCGCAGGACTACATTCCGACCGTCTTCGACAATTTCAGTGCAAATGTGTCTGTGGACGGCAGCATCGTTAACTTAGGGCTGTGGGACACCGCAGGTATGAGGTTCATTCACCTTGCGAATCTTATACCAGATGATTTTCTCGGGAGTCTTTTGGGTAGATATTCCACAGCGGATCGAGCCTGACGATTACTACTCCTCCGCAGGCCAGGAAGACTACAGCCGACTCAGGCCGCTGAGCTACCGAGGAGCTGATGTATTTGTCTTGGCCTTCTCCTTGATTAGCAGAGCAAGCTATGAGAATGTTCTCAAGAAGGTAAAATCAAACCTGTGACTCCTCAGGTTACCCTCCTGTTAAACGCCCTGAATCCTTCCTGTCGCTCATCAGTGGATCCCTGAGCTTCGCCGCTTCGCACCCAATGTTCCCATCGTTCTGGTTGGAACGAAGCTAGGTAAATAAGCTATGCACGCCGTATGAAGCCACGACTCTCGCCTAAATCTTTTGCAATGATATGGTGCCCTCTTTGGTAATAATGGAGAACTGTTTTTACCTTGGAAAGATCTCCGGGAGGATCGGGCATATCTGGCTGATCATCCAGATGCTGCCGTGATAACAGCTGCTCAGGTGAGTCTCGTCGATATTTCTCTCGAGCGTCCATTTCTCTCAGTCGCGTCTTGAATGCGGCTTCCCCGATTTTGTTCAGGGCGAGGAGCTCCGGAAACTTGTTGGTGCCACAGCCTACCTCGAATGCAGCTCTAAAACTCAGCAGGTATAGAAGATGAACCTATCTCAGCTTCCTCTGGTTTTTTTTTTTTTGTTCTTTCTTGAGGATGATGGAGATCTCGTTCCTTGGTTCTCGTTTCACCTGTTGTTGGTTCATTGAGTTTCTGCATCTTCTTCCTTGGTTTCGGCAGAACGTCAAGGCTGTTTTTGATACGGCAATCAAGATCGTTCTCCAACCTCCAAGGCGCAAGGAGATGGCAAAGAGGAGGGCAAGAACCTCCTCCGGCTGCTCCCTCAGGTATAGACCCTGCCATCTCTGCTCGTCGGCTGCCCTTTTCTTTGTTAACAAGATTATTTCAACGAATATTCATATGATTGGTGATAATAGCAACGTTTCTTGCAACATGTTGAAAGGGGGTTGTTTTTTCTATATGCTTGGGGTCAACTTTACCTCGTCAAGGCCCCATAACCTTTTGATTCGAGGAAGTCGACGAATAATCTAACGGGCTATAATAATACCTTTGCCGGATAACCTTTTGACCAGTCTCGACTCTGCTCTAATCAGCCTCTTTTGCAGGACCTTCCTGTGCGGGGGGGGCACCTGCGTGGCGTAGTTCCCTCGGCATCGCCCCAAGTCTCAACGCTCGGTCTTGTTCTTGAAGAATTCAAATCCCTCCGTTATTTCCCATTTCGTGGCCGTGGATTGTGACCTAGAACTGGTTTTTGTTCGGCGGGCGTGGGGAACCGTTTGTTCTCGGCTACCGCTGTCCGGGGGAGATGACGTTCCCCTGGTTCGACCCCGTTTGCCGGAAGAAAGAAGCATATTTCGATTCTTACAAAGCCCAAGAACGAAAATTAAATTCTATCTGATTCACGTAGTCCAGCTACAGATGGCGATATACGGATCAAACCAGGGGTTGGTGGGCAGAGTCAAACGATCACAGCAAACACATGGGAACAGAGTTGACGAAGAAGCTGACCGTTGATTCGGGTCATGTTCAGTTCATATACTGACTTTTGGGGGGGGGGGGGGGATCTGTGTACGCAGCCCTTTGTTGCTGTTGAGCGAGGTAATTCTGGTAACCTGAGGACGCCCCCAGAGGACAGGTCGACATTCGAGCTCGAGAGAGCAGGGAGGAACAGGGGGGGAAGGGTCTTACATACCCATGGAGGGGTCGATACCCCTGTTCTTGAGCTCCCTATACTCCTGGCACAGCGCACATGTGGGGCAGAGGAGGTGGATGATTAAGTCATCCGCGGGGGCCTGCACCAGGTTGTATCTCAGTCGCAGGCTCGTTCGGTGGGCGGACCCGAGGAGGAGACACGCACAGAGGCCCGGCATCGTAAGCAGGCACACAACGCTGCCCGCGACGCAACCTGAGAGCAGACGATTGCCAAGCTCATCTACTACCATGTTCTCGGCCGACGGAGAAGAAGATAATGAGATCATGATTTAACTCTCGACGTACTGCTCTGTCCGGCTTCCAAAATCTCCGCCACCTGGCCGTACGTCACGCCGCTGTATACTTGTATAGGCGTTCAAGGAAGCTGTATACATAGTTAGAATCTAAATTCATGTCAGTATTTAACCATTCTCCATTGTGATAGTTAAATTTCTATTCACTGAGTTAAAGTTTAGATATATCGTGAATAAATAAAATATATTAATATCAAATATCATTTTATCCACACTATAATTCGCAAAAATTAGAAATTAGTGTGCACAAGATTAATATCGTAGATATTTAACTGATATATTAATAGGGTCTCTTTCAACTTCCAAAATTTCAATGTTATTTGGGTTTTAATGAAGTTCGCAGCCCAAGATTAATCCCATACTCTAAGAAAATATGAGACATTTTTATTTTCTGTTGAAGTTGTGAGGAGCAGACGAAGTCTTTAAGTATGAAGTGTGAGAGAATACTCATATTGGGCAAGTAAAGATGAGAGTTGGTCAACCAACTTCTATGAGAGGTACTGACCTCAGCGCCACTCTCTACCTTTGTTTAGGATTGATTTCTAGTACGAAACCAACGTATTTCCTTTCATAATACAAATATTAAATGAGAGAAAAATAAAAATAAAAAACATTAATGAGAGATCTAGACTGAGTGCCACTTTCTAGCTTCGTTTAGTATTAATTTCAGGTACGAAATCAGATTACTCCATTTCGTAATACAAATATTAAAAGATGGTTCATGAAGAGAAGAAAGATATAAAAATAAAAATCAAAGACACAGAGAAACCCTTCTCTGTGAAGGTCAACCCACTTTCTTACTTTGTTCAGGATTAGTTTCAGGCAAGAAACCAGCTGAAAGAGAGAGAAGAAAGAGAGAGAAATAAAAATCATAGACATGGGACACCCAACTCTTTGGTGGTTGAAATCAGAATTCAAGCTTCTCCATATCTAATAGTCAATGAAGAATAAAATACATGGAGTTGACAAAGTTCTAACTATACGACTATACGGGGATAGATAGGAGGAGAAGTTGACCTCTTGTGCCCTTGACTTTTGCATCTCTTTTTCAACCCCCAAAGCAGCCCTGTTTTAATATATGTGTTAACAAAGGAGTTGGATTAGTTTCGTACTTGAAATCAGTCCTAAACACAAGGTAGAAAATGGAGATGAGTTTAGAACATACCTCTCATAAACGTTGGTTGACCGAGATAGAGGGTTGACCACATGAAGAACAGGAGAAAATCATGCCCTAAGCCCATTCTGACCCATCCGGCCCAGCGGTCTCGGCCCAGATGAACACAAGGCCTTTGCGATTGGAAATATTACAGGAAATGACAAATAATTCTTCCCAATCCCCCTTACAGCCAAGGAGGGAGGGAGGGAGGAGGGGAGGGAGAGAGGTGGATGAGGTGAAGGGAGAGACCCACAGTTGGCAAGATGGAGGAGCCGCCGCCTCACGCTTCTCGTAGCTGGAGCATCTACGGGCGATCGGAGATCAACCAGCGGTATGAGATTCTAGAGAGAGTTGGATCCGGGGCCTACTCCGACGTCTACCGGGCGCGGCGAATCTCCGACGGTCTGGTCGTCGCGCTCAAGGAGATCCACGATTACCAGAGTGCCTTCCGGGAAATCGAAACCCTGCAGATACTGCGCCAGGCCCACAACGTCGTCGACCTCATCGAATACTTCTGGCAGGAGGACGAGGACGCGGTCCTCGTTCTCGAGTTCCTGCGCACCGACCTTGCATCGGTGATTCGGGACGGCAAGCGGAGCGGCGGCATATCCGTTGGCGAGTTGAAGCAGTGGATGATCCAGACATTGCGTGGGGTTGAAGCATGTCACGGGAGCGGCATCATCCACCGTGATCTCAAGCCGTCGAACCTTCTAATCTCTGCGGAAGGGGTCCTTAAGCTGGCGGATTTTGGGCAGGTATTGAGCATTACAAGTGATCATCTTTCATGATTTATTCTAAAGTAAGATACCATTCGTACTAAAATAGCAGAATTATCTGAGGCATTATCAATTCCTTCGGAACTCACCCGACTGGACATTAATTTGCAAACCGCCCTGCAAACTTGGTTGGCTGAGTTCATCTATTTGGTTTTAACCAATGGGGATTACGCTAAACCAGTCAGATGCTTCCAGCGAAGACACAAGAAGAAGAAGAAAAAGTTTGATTCCAATGTTGTATTTATCATATTATTTCCCACTGAAGCCTATGTTTGTGTCCCTACAACCCGGAAGCTTTAGGGAATTTTCCTTTTTACCCGTTCCATACGTGTTTCAGAACTAATGAGCATGTTTGCTCACTGAAACTCTGTATCTGGAAGCTCGCGAAGACATCCAATCCTGCTATGAGATCCCACTCGCAGGCGCCTCATGATGCACATATTCGCCTTCTTGTAGGCACTTGAGTAAGCTTCGAGGTTCCTTCATCCACCAATGGCTATTAAAGTTGCCTGTGTGCTGGTGATTGTTCTTATAATGTTGTTGGAGACGATGCCAGCAGAGGGTTTTTCTTCAGAACTGAACTTCATGTCCCTTTTGATCCTTAAGCTGTAAATTTTGACTGATTTCTCTGTCTTGTCTTCAGGCGAGGATACTTCAAGAGGCCAGGTACATGTCTCCAGATGATAACGTGCAGGAACAAGATGGAGGGATGTGGGCAATTCAGGAACCCTCTGCTGCTCCAGATGCGAGCAGCTCGTGGCGAGGTATATCCGAAAGCCAGAGGACATACACTGAGACGGGGTCTATTGGTGAGGAAGGCTATTCAGCAGAGGTTGAAGGCCAGAAGGCCAAGTACCCTGCGGAGGAGATGGGCAAGGAGACCAACACATTTGACGTGGATGCATCCTGTGTTGCCACTTGCAGTACAAATGACGTGGATGATGACCCACTTAAGGACGATTATTCATATGAGGCCAGTGAAGTCGGCAATGTGGATGAGTCTGGCGGCGCGCTTACTTCCTGTGTCGGAACCCGATGGTACAAGGCTCCCGAGCTGCTCTACGGAGCCACGAATTATGGGCAAGAAATCGATCTCTGGTCCCTGGGGTGCATTTTCTCCGAGCTCCTCAGCCTCGAGACTCTCTTCCCCGGCACCTCAGATATCGATCAGCTTGGAAAGATATTGAATGTGTTCGGGAATCTGACAGAGGAAGCATGGCCAGGCTGCTCCAGCTTACCTGATTATGGCAAGATATTCTTCAGTGCGGTCGAGAAGCCGGTGGGTTTGGAGGCGTGCCTACCGAATCGAACAAGAGCTGAAGTGAATATCGTAGGAAGACTTCTTTGCTACGATCCCAAGACCAGAGCTACTGCGGCAGAACTGCTTCAGGACAACTATTTCATGGAAGAGCCTTTGCCTTCTCCTCTGAGTGAGCTGAGCGTTCCCAGCACGAGCATTGGGCTGGAAGAGGGCTCTACTGGGGGATGGTTTGATGATAAGAATCTTGGGTCGGATTCAGACAGGGAGGATTTCAGCGGCATGGATGTCTCGGTCAACGACAAGGGCTTCTCTATACGCTTCTAGCAGGAGATTCCTCCGTGAAAAAAAAAAAGAGTTTTCATGGCTCGTTTGATGGACATCACGGTCAATGCCTTCACCTGGCTGAGTAATCCCACCGAATCTCTTCTGTATGCTCTTGCACAGAATTCTACAGCTTCAGATTGCATCCTTCAGCCGCGATCGTCTCCTATATTTCTCACATTATCCTTTGTAATTCCCGGCATCAGATTGCACCGAATCTCTTATGTGCATTGTAAGCTGTTTATCACACTTATGAGCTAATCTTATCCTTAAGAACAGGCTTGATTGGACCATCCACACCAGAATTGGCTTTAATACTCTGGCCTAAGAAAGGTGTATCGATGATCACACCCACATCGTTCTCTCTCTCTCTCTCTCTCTCGCTAATGGCGCAGTCAGTCGCGTAACAAAACGGAAGGAACGATAGGAAAGCAACAAACATTAAGACGCTACATGGTATCGTAGGCTGATTATCACCCATTCAGGGGGTATAAAATCATAGGAAACGGTGACGTTTCTCTAAGTTTCTGCATGAACAGCGCAAGACATTTCGGAAATCTATATGTGACGCAGATTTGGATAGCTTACGTTATACCAGCGGCGACTACAGCAACGATCACTGTAGTCTGATGAACTCGTTTTCTGAACTCGTCATTCGGAAAATAGAGCAAAGAGTGTGGAGCTCCTCACACTGCTAATAGCACCATCTGAATCTGCCAGGGAAAAGCCCTTCAGGCTGATAAGAGCTCCATCCATATCTGCAAGGGAAAGCGTGATGCCTTAAGCTTTTAGGCAGCAGAAACCCAGAGGAATTCAAGAGCGGCGCTCTTTCTCATCATGTGAGGGGCCGTTATCTGTGTTGTCTGGGAATCATAGCGAGTTCATCGGAGCTGTATAAGGAAACTAGCACAAGAATTATTAGATGTAAAACACTTTACAACACTTATTCATGCAACCGCTACCAACTGGCCTTGTCAGGAAACCTCCTTTGAGAAGAAGGTCAACCTCTCAGCTCCCCTTTAAAGTGACAGGCTTTGAAAACTTCTGTCTCCTCGGAGAATCTGGGAAAACCCTAAACTCTTTCTTCCTCTTTGGAGGCATGTCTCTAGGCTTTAGATCTTCATAACCGATCATATACAGGTTGTTCTCATCGATAGTAGAGAAGTCTGCAGGATTTCTATTGACAGCACAGAGCTCGGTTTGGATACCCCTCAACGCAACATTCACTTCCTCTTTATTCTTGTACTCAACCTGAATTAAGCTTTCTCTAGCCTCATTATGTTTAGGGAAGCCAGCAGAATTGAGATAACAGGGAGGAGAATTCAAAGTTGGCTGAAATCTCTCTCGGGAATCCCTACTTGCAGTGAAAGGCACTTGTCCGCCCAGTGATGTGTGACCCAGGTTCATATGAATGGCTGAATTTGGTTTTTTTATTTTCTTCTTCCTTCCAGCTTTTGAGTACAGCAGAGCCGATCTGGAGCCTAATCCTTTGGATCCATACAGAGCAGGAAATTGATCCGAGTCTGACGGCATGCTCCTCTGCGAAGAAGAATTGAGAGTCCCGCTCAGTGGAGTAGCTGACATGAGACTCAAAGAACTTGTTTGGTCATGGATTTGATGCTTTGGGATGCTCAAACAAATAAAAGCATTCTCATCTCTCATGCCTGCATCCACATCAATAAACTCTCTCTGACAATAGTTGTCAGAACGTTTTAACTTGCTGAGTAATCCTGCCTGGCTATTATTCACTGGTAGACGCACAGATGCCCTAGAACTGACTGCTGGATCCACGAGTCTGAGCAAGTGCATGGCAGAAATCGTTTCGTTTGGGTATCCTTCAGATGGGTGCATCAACTTTGAGTCACATTCTTTTACCTTTTCCAGATAACCACTGCCTGCCGAGACTGTCATCTTGTACTTCACGTCAGTTTTCTGCTTTGCTCTGTGGAAAGGTCTACGGTTCATGCCGACCAGTTTGAGGTCGTCACTGTTCTGAGTAGCCTTGCTTGGATTTCTCTCCAGTGGTGTAGTTTGAGGAATTAAATCTGAATTGGAATAGCCTTGAGAAAAGCATCTGCAAGCATACTGTCTAGAGAACTCTTTAGAATTATGATGCTGTTCCAAATTTTGAAGCAAACCCACTTGCAATCTGGTATCCTGTGGACATTGGATGGGATCTGAGCAAAAACGGTAATCGGTGGGCTTCCTAGAGATAGAAGGCCCATCTTTCACCTTAATCTGCCTTTTTCGTCTTCGGGAAGTCTGAGCTCTCCGTCCCAGGTTGGAGGATTCTGTGTTTTGGACAATAGAAACTGACCTGTCTAGACCATTGCCAAATTTAGAAAACACTCCTGATCTATTCTCATGCCGTGAATAAGACACCGTATTTCCATAAGAGTCACTAACGTTCGAAGGCCGGCTGAGACTAAGATCTGCCATTTTCTTATTTATCCCTGATGACCGAGCCACGTCTGTAGAAGAGTAACCAGAATTCAGCTGATGATTCTTATGATAATTACTCTGAAGAAGTTCAAGAATCTCGATTGGAATGTCATCTACAACATCCTGCTTTTTGTAAACAGGAGCATCAGCCTTTTTTTCTCTATTGGTAGTCTCAACCTGTTTTTCTCTATTGAGAGTGCTACCGGCAGCATTTAAATCACACTGTACCAAACTACCGTCTTCAAATTGTTCAGCTGCCCCAGTTTTTCTTTCCATGCTTCCTTTTTCTGATATCTGCTGGGCGCCCATGCAAGAATCGGGAGTTTCATTTTGGGATGTCTGGGAAGAATCCTGAAAAATTATTAGGTCAATGACTGCATCGATGATGATTCGCCACAGTCACTCAATAGAGAGAGAGAGAGAAATCATGGAAAGAAAGAAGGCAGTTTTACCATACAAATTGCAAAACTACACGGTTGTGGTATAGAATCACATATGCTCACAGAAATGACACTGGCTCGGGGACTTCAACCATGGCAAATAGCCATGTTCTATAGATAATCGTAAACACTTTACAAGCATGCACTGTGTCTAACCAAATCAATGTGGATGGAACAACAGTAATCAAGGTTACATTAGAAAATATTTAGGAAATACACAGTGATGCAACAATAAGTTTCCCTCACTTTAAGAGGTTGTAATGAATATAAAATAAGAGTAAGCATATGGCAACGACCAAATAAATCTGAAACTGGGGTAAGAAACTACTTTCAATTAGGTACAGAATCCCGAATGTCGACTAAAAAAGTGATCAATAGATCTTATGCTAAATGGAAGATTTGGCAAATAACTGAGCTATAAAGACGTCATCATACTAATGTGATTTGCACATCAATTTAGATTCGCATACGATAATCGGGCCCCAAAGAAAGCATAGAATTGATCAAGAACAGATGATGGATATACACAAAGATAAGGTTAGCTCATAAACACAACAGTTCTCCTTCAGGACATGGAAAAGAAATGATGCACAAATAACGTACGTTCGTAAATAACCATTTAAAAGTCAATGAGCTCCAACATTCACATACAAATTTCATACCTTCGGCCCATCCATAGGGAAATGAGCTCCATAATCGACGTCACATTTCACAATTTGCTTTTTACTCACGACAAGGTGCTGCCGGGGTATATCGTGACGTTCCTGACCTATATATAGAGTATCACTATTAATGGCTAGCGAAGGGAGAGATTCTCCCCCATCAATATATTTGGCACTTTCATATTCAGGAACCACATGACAGTCGAAGATCTGAACCTGCTGTAGCTTGACAGGAGTGCGATCAACATCACCCTGTATTTTATCCATGGCTATCTTATCCTCAAAAATCTTCGTACTAATTTCTTTCAGGTCATCAAGTTTTTTAGTCCTAGAATACAAGCATTTCTCAGATGAACCATTGGCGACCGATTGGGAAATAACTACTCCATTCTTGGCATGCTTATTCTCTCTATCAAAGTTTTGAGCCTTGGGTTTCTTACTCCTCTTCAGCAATTGTATCAGAGAAGGCCCTTCATCCTCTCCCTCTGACAAATACCTTCTTTTCTTTGTTGGAAAATATTTTTTCCCTTTTACTTTGGTATTCTTGTACTGTGTAACTGACTTTTCACCTTTAAGCGGACCATCCTCTAGGTTATTACTACCTTCCTTGGTTTGGGTACATTCATCGTTGTATGGCAAATGCGTCTGTCTTGATTGCCCAGGTGCTTCACTCTTCATTATATCATTCAATGTACGTAACTTCCTTGGTTTCCTGGGAAAAGAACAATTTGATAACCGGCCTGAATAACTTTGGTAATCATCTTCGTTTGCAACGGGATCTCCATTACGTTTCAAATCATTATAGTTCCCAGCTTCTAACCCCTCAATGTCGAGCATCTTTATTCTTTCAACTGAAGAATTCACTCGCAAAGGCTCTTCCTTTGCAACCACGTCTCTACTACTAGAGCCCTGATCATTTCTGGATCTATATGCATATTCTCCACTTAATGAGGATATGATTCTAGTATTTAATTCAGCTTCAGAAGGTTCATAACCAAACTTTGTTCCCTGTACCATTGTGGTTATGGTATCCAGTAAATTGTCATCCCGATGCACGTTATTTTCTCTCTGAAGGACTGCTGATCTGGCACGTGTGATTTTACGGCCTTCACAGAAAGCTCTAGTCTTTCTCGTTTCTGTCTCATTGGTCTCGTCTTTCCCAAGGCTTCTTTCATCGGTGGCACCACAAAATGTGTCAGATAATGGATTTTGGTTTCCTCCTACCTGACATAATTCCCCTTCGAACTGATGAATATCTGACCAAGAAAAGGAAAGGAGTTGTAATGATTGTAAAATAATGTAAAATAACCAAATAAAAAATTATTTTTACCTTTTTTTGATGAATTTGTGAGTATGGAATCTTTATCTTTATCTTCACACACTAACAATGGTTGAAAATGGCCATCTTTCGAATTGATGAAACTTGCTGCCTCAATTGAGCCCTCTCCAAGAGTCGTGTCCCCAGATACTACTCGAAAACCAGACAGAGAGGTTGACGCATGAGCATGTGGATCAGCTACATCGTTCCCTTTGAAAGATTCCACATCAGTTTTCAGTCTTCTGGATTCTAAATCGTGAAAATTAGTGACCGAACCATTTTCTCCCGCAGATTCTATCTTATTGGCATTGCGTAAACAGCTTTTACAAGCCCACCACCTGAACTGAGACACAACAATAGGAGGCAGCAATTTTGCCAGGTCGTCCAACTGATTGTGGTCATCAATTTTGCCAAATGGCCAGCATTTGTCTCTGTTGATCTTTCGAACTTCAGAAACGTAACCACTACGCAGAAGGACAGGATAGATTGAGTCTATGAGTTTGGATTTTTACTTAATTGAAAGATAAATTTATTTTCTCCAGAGAAACAGAATAACAAATGTAAAGTAAAACGAAGCAAATGTCATAGAAGAGAGAGAGGACTGTTAAGAACAATGCAACTTGACATTAGTTTCTTCTCAGTGTTTCTCCTTGATAAAATACCATCAAAATGCCAAAAAGCGACAGCCTTTTAAACGCAATGTCTAGTCTCCCAGTCCATTCTAATAAATCAGGAGCATGCCCCTGGAGAAAATATATTCACTTATGGGAGAAACATACTACGAGTGTTTTGATGAAATTACATTAGAGAAATAAAATTTATTGATAAAAATGGGGAAATCAAATTAACATCATAGCACTGATTCATTCAAATAAGAAACTTACCGAATGGAAAAATGTTGGCATGTCCCAGACTCTTGCCTGTCTTCAGTATCACCCGCAACAATAAAACTCATATCACGCAGAGATTTGGACGACTGAGAAGGAGGATTTTCTTCATTTATTCCATTCTTATAGTAGTCCACAAAGTTGGTATCCATCCCCGAGAGCCAGCATAACATTAACCAGTAAAAAAATTCTACATGGAGAAAAAATTAAAATCCTCTGTTTAATTAAACTTAAAAATAAAATTAAATGCTAAAATTCAGACCCTACATCATTCCGGAATACATTAAGATATCAGAAGATGATGGATTCCTCACATGGAACCCAATTTTGTACGTATTATTCGTTTTTTTGGAGTTTTCGTAATTTTATGGATATTTGGCAGTTACAGTGACCAAATCAAACAATAAAAGCAATGATAAAAAAGAGAATCTCTTTATGTTTCCTTTCGCATTGACTGAAAATCTTGCATTCCCTTCGCAGGTTCTCACCAGGCGCGAACACAACTATGAGGGTTCAAGTACTTAGCGTGCACACAAATATGTCTTGAATAGAGCTTATGTAGAGGTAGGAAGAAATTTGATCTCCATGTTTGGGAGGTTTCCTGAATAACTATAAATTTTAGGAATAAAACATAGATTGCACACAAACAAATAGAAAACAAAGAGCGTTGAAGTGTAGTTTCCAATGATGCTGCTAATAACATGCAAACTTTGGAAAACCAGATATCATGATCAAGTCAATTAAAAAATGACTAATAGCATGAGACTTCTTTGAATGATCTGGCCATCGACCTCAGTCCAAGATTTCGATTGTTTAAGGATAAAAGAAGCTAAATTAGGCGATAAGTGCGCACAGACACATAACTACAGTCCTAACTTTGATCAACAAGAAACAAAATTTCAATCTGCCATAGTTCCGACAAGAAGAAAGCAAAAATACATCACAAGTTGCAAGTCGAACATAAAATAACGAGTACTACAATCTAAAAGAGATGAGAAACGAAAGCTATAAAATTAGGCTATGCTTGCATTTGTTGAAGTAAAAACTATAGACAAGGGTCCCCAACTCGGATAACAACGGATTGTATAACGTCTGCATGAATTCGAAAGGCCATTGATATCCAGCCTAAAGCACGACTGCATGAGAGACAAGCTTTGGAACTGAGGACCATGATTATAAGTTGACGCACGATATGAACAAACCAAAACCCAAATGCTTGTTTCAACAAGTTAAGACGCAATCCAGAAAACAGCGCACATCTGCTGGTCGAAATCAATCCCTGAAATCACGTGTATGAAGCAGAAATATAAATCGAAAGACTGTTATACTTGATGCATGAAAGCAAGAACCACTCTTGGGTGAAACACGAAATGTTGGCACATAAAATCACGCACAAGATGAGGAAATTGGAACATATATTTCGTTTCTACTCCGAATCAAAGATTTCGTTTCAACTATAGACAAGAGAAACCAATGATCTTATCTTTACAGATCAAATATAACATACAATGGTGCGCCACACTCAATGAGAAGAAAAGACGCAAGCTGTAGAAAACAAAGACCATCCCCATCTAAAGGTGCCTAAAATTTGTATACTCGCATCCCTAATATCAAAAGCAAAACACAGTTAAATCAACGAGCTTATCTTTACAGATCAAATATAGCATACGATGGTGTGCGATTTTCAGTAAGAAGAAAAGCCGCAGAAAACAAAGACCTTCCCCATTCAAAGGTGACTAAAATTCGTGTTCTCGCATCCCTAATATCGAAAGTAATGTACATGAACAGAAGTTCTCAGGTAAACATACCTCAATCAAATAGGCACGCTTTGATAACGCGAACAAACGGAGAGAAAAGAACGAAGGGAGTACTGGGACCGACCATGAACATAGAAAGGATGAGGTGAAATGAAAGACAATAGAACAAGGAAATATTACGTGTACCTTACATAACTAGGGAAAGCAGGCAAGGCGAGGGCGAGAGAGAGAGTCATATTAACACAAGGACGGAGACGAGAGGGAGAATAAAGGAGGAGTTACCTCTATTGTTGCAAATAAGACGGTCGAAGGTGAGAGGAGCTCTCTTTCCTACACCAAGTTCGCAAACTTTGCTTCACCTCAACGGCTGAAGGAAAACAGACGGACTTTCGGGAGAGCTTCCCCAGATGCCGCAGCATCAACGAGATGAAGAACTGGATTCACGGTGGATCCGCCACGAATTAGGAAGCGAGAGACAACCTCACCCTTTTTTCTTTGGGTTTCAGTGGCGGGATGGGCCGATCGGAAGAGAGGAATGAGGGGAGAGGGAAGCGAGGAGAGAGAATCTAGGTGCGAAATGTGGATAGTCGATATCCGGTTTTAAAACCCTGCCTTGTGACATGTCATAGAACCGGATATCTCAGCTGAAAGGCGAGAAGATCGATAATCGACGAATGGGATCCCTCCAGCTTGGGCTTCCTCCTGCTTCCCCTCACCCTCCGTACGCGTCCCCGAAGCCCTAACCCTAATCGGGGACCCCCGAATGGAAACCCTAACCCTCCCAACCTCCCCAAATCCAGAGGCGCCCTAAGCGTGAGGACATTCCGTGGCCTGTCCCTCGCGGAAAACGACAAGATCTGGTGTCGTGAGGCGGTTTAACAATACAGCCTGATGCACCCTTTCATCTTTTTAATTAATCCATCCTTCAGAGAAGTATCCATCCAGGCGGCGACACTCGTTCGGCCAGTATTGCTACATCCGTCGGGACCAACGTAGTAGGAATGTTCCGCAATGACATTTGACTGCCGTCTAACTTGTCTCTGCATTACATGCAGAGGCGCACGTAGACGGATGGATGGCCAGGAAGGACGCTGGTACGTGCCGCCAGCACGTGAAACCATTGAACGCGGTCCCCTTCTTGATGGGTTGTACAGCGGCCGGACTGAGCTTCTTCTTCTTCTTCTTCTTCTTCTTCTTCTTCTTCTTCTTCTTCTTCTTCTTCTTCTTCTTCTTCTTCTTCTTCTTCTTCTTCTTCTTCTTCCTCTTCTTCCTCTTCTTCCTCTTCTTCTTCTTCTTCTTCTTCTTCTTCTTCTTCTTCTTCTTCTTCTTCTTCTTCTTCTTCTTCTTCTTCTTCTTCTTCTTCTTCTCCTTCTTCTGCTTCTTCTTCTGCTTCTTCCTGTTCTTCTTCTTCTTCTTCCTGTTCTTCTTCTTCTGCTTCTTCTTCCTGTTCTTCTTCTTCTGCTTCTTCTTCTGCTTCTTCCTCTTCTTCTTCTTCTTCTTCTTCCTCTTCTTCTTCCTCCTCCTCCTCCTCATGCCGGGAGAGCTACTTCTCGTCGTTCCTCCCGTAAACCCTATTCTTCACCGGGATTAGGGAGTGACTCCAACTGAGCTTCGTAATCCACCCAGAGAGAACTCACTCTCTTGCCTTACATCCCGCCGAGCCTTGTTTTCATGGAGCTTTATCCGAGGGCTGTGAACAGGAGAAGTCCCACACAGAGAGATGGTTCGCTGGTTTTCCATCCAGCTGACCGGTACCTCTGCTAGTTTGCTCGAGGATTAAAGAACAGAATAGGTTCAGAGACCCCTCACTTGAGAAGCTCCCACCGAGGGAGATGGGTCACTGGTTTTCCATCCGGTTGACCGGGTATCTCTCCGAGTTTGCTCCAGGATTATAGAACAGAATAGGTTCAGAGACCCCACTGGAGGTGAACAGGGGGGGCTATGGACGGGACCGCGAAGGCAGAGGCTTTGGCTCTGGAGGCTGTCGAACAGCTCTTTAATCGACGCAGAAGAAACCCATTAGACGTGAAAGCACGAAATCACCGTGAATCACATCGAGGCAGTGATAGCCATGGTACTTCAACGGAGCCACAGGAAACGTAGGAAGTCTTGATATGAATTGGAAGGAAAGGGGCCCATCAGCTCTCTCTCTCTCTCTCTCTCTCTCTCTCTCTCCTGTTATTCCGTCCATTTTCGCCTTCACCATTAGTCGAGGAAAAATACTCTCGGAGGTATGTTTATGTGTATGCAGATGTAGGGCATGAGAGAACAGTGCATGGGAAAGGGCTTAAAGTTCCGATGAAGTGGAACGCACATCTTTGCCAGCCTATTGAATGCTCTATCCCTCAACCACAAGTTCCTCCACCGGGGCTCGTCTGTGAAGAAGACGAGTCGATGTTGAAACGAAGGAATTCTGCGAATAAAGGGCACTCGTCCCCTCTAAGGTGAGGACCTAACGACCCATCTCACCATTTTTTTTTGTTTAGGGTTCACTGTTTCGGGAATAAAGGAGACCAGAAAGAGGGAAGTGGCTAGTCTCAAGCTTCTTTCTCTTTCACCCTTTCCTTTATTTCTCTCTTGCTTCTGCTGAAAGGACGAAGCGTGCTCATTTCTTGGCCTCGCCGTCGGAAATTGAAGTTTCCCAGCCGGAGGGCTGCTGAAAGGCCAGGTGCTCCGCCTCCCTTGCAGACAGGAGCTGGTGGTGAATCTAGTGTGGAATCCGAGACGTAGCAAGGAAGAACTGAAGAGAAATCACACACAAGGAAGGGGGGTTTGCTAGAGAGAGAGAGAGATAGGGGGCGATCTATCTCTTAACGAATGATTGCTTCCTTGAGAGGAGGCTTACTGCCCCCAATAACAGGGATTAATGAAAAAACTGATTTTTTTTGCGTTTAATGGGTCGCCAGTACGCTTTCCTCCACAGAGCGAAGATAATGATGGACAGCTAGCTGTGCTTTTCGGAGACACCTTGCTGTCAGGCTCGCTCTTGCACATATCCTTCTTCAGCGCCCAGCCCCAATAAAGAAACAGACAAACGTAGATAAATAAGGATTTGTGTATGTGCATACACATGGGAGAGAGGAGAGAGAGAGAGAGAGAGAGAGAGAGAGAGAGAGAGAGAGAGAGAGAGAGAGAGAGAGAGAGAGAGAGAGAGAGAGAGAGAGAGAGAGGGGGAGGGAGGGAAGGAGGGAGAGAGGGAGAGGTTGTGTATAGGAGTGTTAGAGACGAAGTCTAACTGAGAGATGATGACATGCTCTAAGATAGAGGGGGGCAGGGGGGTTATACAACGCCCCCTCCCCACCCCGAGGTCTTTTAGAAGAACAACTAAACATCAGGAAATAGGTTATGTGCGAATATAATAATACATATATACTCAGAGAAAGCGATTGAGAGATAGAGAGAGAGAGAGAGAGAGAGAGGGAGGTTTCGCATGATAACAAAAAAATTGTGAGGACTAATGTTTTGTTGGTAGACAGTGCAAGAGGAGTACGCACCCTCTCGAGGTTAAAATAAAGAAATAAAAGCATTGAAGCTCAGTATATAATATAATGACCTACACTCAGAGGGGAGAGAAAAGGGACAGACCGACAGTAATGAGAAGAGGTAAAATTTACTAGAGAGATGAAGGGATAAGGGGAGAGAGGGAGAGGAGTTAGTACGCCCTCGAGATTATGTACGAGAGCAAGTAATATAAGCTCAGGCAGAGGTGGTGAAGCAGCCCCTCGAGGTTATGTAGAAGAACAAATAAGTAAAAGAAAGGAAGCTTAGTCGATCTTCACTTGACTGGGGTGCCGGGAGAGAGAGAGAGAGAGAGAGAGAGAGAGAGGTGAGAGCCCCCTCTAGAAGCTCAGACGAGAACACATGTACTATTTACTCCCATCTTGTACACACCAACCTTCTCTGTGGGGTTTTTGGAGTGTTGCCTGAAGGGGAGGGGGTCCAATTGGCTACAGGAACTCACAGGGCAGTGTACCACATAGGACAGACCTAAATCCTTGTGTCCTCCAGTTAGGAGAGAGGAAGAGGCTGGAGACAGACACTAAGATCGGCAGAAATATCCAGGAATCGGAAGAATGGGGTTGGCTGAAAGAGCAGTAAGATGTTGTTCGCGTGGATGAGAGAGAGAGAGAGAGAGAGAGAGAGAGAGAGAGAGAGAGAGAGAGAGAGAGAGGGAGACGGGGAGAGAGAAAGAGAGAGAGAGAGATAGGAAGAGGGAGGGAGAGGGAGAGAGAAAGAGAGAGAGAGATAGGAAGAGGGAGGGATGGAGAGAGAGGGAAAGAGAGAGAGAGGGAAAGAGAGAGAGGGAGAGAGAGGGAAAGAGAGAGAGAGGGAAAGAGAGAGAGAGGGAAAGAGAGGGAGAGAGAGAGAGGGAGAGAGAGGGAAAGAGAGAGAGAGGGAGAGAGAGGGAAAGAGAGAGAGACGGAAAGAGAGAGAGAGAGAGAGAGGGAAAGAGAGAGAGAGAGGAAAGAGAGAGAGAGGGAAAGAGAGAGAGGGAGAGAGAGGGAGAGAGAGAGAAAGAGAGAGAGAGAGGGAAAGAGAGAGAGAGAGGGAAAGAGAGAGAGGGAAAGAGAGGGAGAGGGAAAGAGGGGGGAGAGAGGGAAAGAGAGAGAGGGGGGAGAGAGGGAGAGAGAGGGAGAGAGAGAGAAAGAGAGAGAGAGAGGGAAAGAGAGAGAGAGAGGGAAAGAGAGAGAGGGAAAGAGAGGGAGAGGGAAAGAGGGGGGAGAGAGGGAAAGAGAGAGAGGGGGGAGAGAGGGAGAGAGAGAGAGAGAGGGCGGGAGAGGGAGAGGGGGGGGAGAGAGAGAGAGAGAGGGGGAGGGAGGGAGGGGAGAGAGAGAGAGAGAGAGAGAGAGCATTAATAACACAAATGGGTCAGGTCCTCTCTGCACATGATTACTACTTCCAAACCAAATTACCAGTACCAAACCAAAAAGAACGCATCTTGGCACAACCGCAGCGGCGATCCATACACTGGATCAAAGACCCGTTGATGCAAAAGCCTCGGTCACCTTGTCCTGGTTTCTAGTAGCAGAGCAACCATAGAGCCACGGGGATAGCCGTTAAAATAGAAAAAAGAAGAAAGGAACTGAAGACCAATACCCTTCAACCAGGATGATGCTCTGGTCGGCAAATTCATATGACCGTTTTTCACAAGGTTGCCTCCCCCGGCATCTCATGCGATGCAACGATGGAAAACCCATTCCTTTTGCTAAATCTGGGAATGTGATACGGTGAGCGAGTTGGAGAAAGATGGCCAGGGCACGCGATATGCTGTATACCTACTGCAAACTCTTACATGCAGCTCAGATTCGGCAGTAAATGCGGACGCGAACTGTTGCGTAATCCCTCCCTCTCTATCTCTCTCTGTCTCTCCCCTCCCTCCCTCTCTCTCTCTCTCTCTCTCTCTCTCTCTCAGATTCACTATTTGATACATATGATACAAACACATCCCCATGGTACACCAGCGGAGACCATAGAGAGTAGTAGATGGATACACGCACATATATATCTTGTAAGTATACACGTAAAGAGAGATAGAGAGAGAGAGGGGGCGTGTAATTATCGTACTAATTACTATTCTATACGCCGCGAAGTAGAGACGCATCAATGCTCAGACCCACCTCGGAATAAGAAACTTAATCTCCGGGAGCACATTCGAAGTTCAGAAGAACCCAAACACAAAACGTTCAACGACCAGAGCGACTAGATAATCACTTCGATTACGCCCGACCTCAGTCCGATTGCCTCCTCGACAGTGAGGACAGCTAACCAGTAACCGAACTCATCTCTCTCTCTCTCTCTCTCTCTCTCTCTCTCTCTCTCTCTCTCTCTCTCTCTCTAGATGGAATGACGGAGAGAGTATTCATATTCATATCTATGTAGATGGAGAGAGATAGCAGCATAAAAATGTTCATATATAAATACACAGAGAGAGAGAGAGTTCCAGGTTCCTGACCGAGGAGATGCCTCACAGCCCGCTGCGGTTCACGCGAGCCTGAGCCACTTGGTCATATTTCCTTCCTATCTTCTCCCCCATGACAGTAAGCTCTGCTAATGCTTCTTCCTTTACACCGGTCAAGTCTTACGAACCACCCCACTGATGATACCTACCCTTCAAGTCTTGTCCCCCCACCTCCAAAAAGATTTCAACTGCTTTCTCAGACCCCTGCGAACGGATGCCCAACTTTTCGACCTACCACCCTCAGATCTTACCTTTAGCTTGGATCCGCGTAAGAACACGCACAAAATATTTAAAAATAAAAAATAAAAAAATCTACCCGTGACTGCGTATAGCTCGTGATCTCTCTCGGGGTTGGGTAGAGCACTGCGGGGTCCACGGATGGCGCTGGAGTGATGGACTACCCTGAAGCTAGAGATAGAAAGAGAGAGGGTGGAGCCTCGTCAGCCAGTCACGGAGCAGGTAAACGCATTTCACATTTTGGTATCTCACTTTCCTCTCCCATGCGTCAGTAATTAATTACGTGGGCGGCCGCCATCTATGCAGGCGTCATTTACTGCGACGAGATATAAACTCTCGAGCCGTCTACTTCATACCCAAATAAATTATAAACTAATAAAAATAAATAATCTAAAACTGAGATACGAAGGTCAAATTCTCCTATCACCTGCTTAAATATGATCCGGTAAGGAACTACGGGGCCATTCGTAAGCAACAAAGTTATAGTTACCGCAGAGCCTGATTTGACTGCGTGCGTATATATTCTGGGCTCCTGCGGGTTCCCCTCGTACGCCCGCTGCCTGCTTCTCCCTGCTCGACGGGTCTGAGCAAGCCGTTGACGGAGTCGAGCGTTCCTGCGTCGTCAACGGATGGATCGACGAGGAACAGCAAGAGAAAGAGAAAAACTCGAATGAGTCAATATCGCGATCAACCGACCTTGACCGGATGATCCACCTCCGTGGCGTGCGTGAGGGCGGAGGGATTCATGCCCCAGATTTTTTTTTATTCTACCCCTGCGAGGAAATGAGGTCAGACACTCACCGTAAAGCCTCACTGGGCTGTAGATGGTTCGAGTATTGCGCATATGCTACAGATCTTAGTCAGAAATCTTGACCGCGAATAAATATGATGTGATATGATATTATCTTCTCGTATGAAATTCAGAAACCAAAGGATTATATCTAAGAATGCGATGGCACAACGGCCGACCAAGAAGTCATCATGAGATCTGTATTATAAGCCAACACTTACGGAATATATATATCAGAAGGGGAAAGGAAGAAGAAAAAAAGGTGGGGCTACCTTATTACGGTGAAAGTAGTAAAGATATTTCGATTTCCTGGAGAGACTTTCCCTTCGTTTCCACCACGTTTTTCTTCACAAAGACTGCAGCAATCAAGCAAGCGGATGCAAACATCGAGTACAGAGCTTGTGGGCCGAGTTTTTCCAGCAACCTTAAGAAGAGCAGGCCAACGAGGAAATTAACCACCTGCAAAATATGAACATCTGGTTTAGTACAACCAGCGTCGTACGTACTCGTATGATCCTCCGTTTCTGGCGCAATGAGCACATGAGAAGTCTAGAAATGGCCCGGCTTTTTAGCGCCAAACCTTTAGGTCATATTTATCATGAAATCCCAGCATAGCTCAAGATTTATGGTGGTAAGTTCCAGAGAGTTGCGATCCCTAGCATGAATTGCATTCATCTATGCCTAATAATGTTAAAGGTGAAGTGGAGAATAAATGATGTAACGGGAAATTATTACCCAGTGCACGCACATACAGATGGCCATGGCCTTCGCTCGAATTCTGTTTGGGAAAATCTCAGGCAACAGAAGACCAGGGACAGGACCAGCTCCCAGAGAAAATGCCAGCACAAACCTGGGCAAAAAGCAAACATTTTCTTTCAAATCCATAGTTTCCCAAGAAAACATTATTAAATGAGGACATGGAGATGATAATCAGCCTAACAAATTCACTGTACCGGGGACATGGCTAGCTCAATTATAATCTAAAAATTTATCTATTCCAATAAACATCCTGCGTGGAATAATCCAACTTATTTTCTAGGACGTGACGTTTTCGAAGAGGAAATCGAGCGAAGTGGACATTGTCGTGCGGTTAAGCTCGGATTTCAACAAGTCAAAGCTACATAGTACTTACATAAACATCCCAAAGACAGATAAATATAGCGTCCAAGAGACGGAACCACGAAAACTTGATGCAGCGAAAACTTGAAGAGCCATTGCCACACCCTGAGACAGTAGTTTCGACTGATTGTTAGACTTTTTTATCCTGGCAGATGATGCTCAAATTGACGGTAACGTTAATAGTAGACATGTCAAAAGGAATGTTTACCATCCCAAGGAAACTTCCTAGAAGTAGCACTTTCCTCCCCAGTTTATCCATCATTAGCATAGCAACAATGGATCCTAAGAACAAATAGATTTACCATCGTGATGTTTCCCAAGATACATTTAGTAAGCATTCATCAGGTGAACAGTACCTGCCAAATTTGCAAAGCCTATGCATATATTTGCAGGTGCTGAGGGAACGCCAGCATTTTTGAAGACAGACGAAGAGAAGAAGAAAACAGCATTTATTCCCGACAATTGTTGTAGAGCAAACAGTGCCGCGCCAATAAAAACGACTACAAAACAGAGAAAATTTTAAGATTAATTGAACCTGTTCGAGTGTAGTCATTCAAAGAACGTTTCTTAATATGTGAATGTAAAAATGATCAGAGCAATTTTTACAGACAGAGGACAATACCCCTGCAGTAGCGACCATAAATCAGTTCCGAGAGCATTACACCTTCAGCATCGTCTACTTTATCAGAACGTGAAAGTTCTGCGATTGCTACGGACGCATGGGTTTCCCCCAGAAGTCTTTCAAATTCAATTTCGGCTTCCGTAACTCGTCCACGCTGTCATAAACAACCAAAAGTGACCACAGAGATAAAGAAACTTTCTTTGGAGATTCTTGTTTCGATCAGTGTCAGTTAACCAACAAAAGAATGTACATTATTCTTCTTCTCATTTTGGTGAACCTCTAACGAAAGTTAATTCTTTTTTTCTTTTTTTATTCAGGATCAAAAACAGAAACAAAGGGTTTAATGTTTCAAGACATCTAGCAGCTGAGGCAGCCCTCGTTACGAACGAAAATGATGATTCAAAATAGCTTAAATATTTGCTACTTTAAAAAAGTCAACCTTGAAAAGTTCTACATGCATGATTATCAGACAAATAATATTGTTTCGACAAGCTGTATGAATCCTGTAACATGAAATAGGTTTGAATTGAAAATTACTACTATTTTAGTTTGAACCGACTCTCTTCTGGACCTCGGAGCAGATCATAACTGACTTTCAATTAAAAAATCAGGCCGCTCATAGGCAAAAACTTCTTCCCTCAGAATGCATGAGGAAATATAACATGGAATGTAGTGCAACAATAAAGGCCCACTCAATCTCCATCAGAGTGGATCCCATTTCCGTTGACGTGTTATCTCATCCAGCCCAAATTCTTCTCGTTGGTAAACCCCAAACGAGTCAATGTTCAAGTCACTGGGAGGAATAATGGCTCAACATTAGGACCAGAACTACACCTTCAACAGTGGCATCATGACGAATGCCTTCATAAAACAGAACTTGATAGAATGAACGCCATTCCAATAAAATAATACCGAAGGGACGAAATTCAAAGCGAAAATAAAGAGACATTATTTTTTCATCAATTTGTCTTTTTTGAATAAAATGGCACTGGCGTAGAGACTGACATCACCTTGTAAAGCCAATGGGGACTCTCAGCACAAAATTCCATGAATAGTACAAGTAATGCAGCAGGAATTACAGAAACCCAAAAACATAACCTCCACCTGTTAGAATGAAGTGATAGAAAGACTTAGACAAACAGGAAATATATTACACAGAGAGTTGCTGAGAATAGGGCACAGACACAAGCACAATCAACAATGAGGGAAAGTTCCTACCAACCCACAATTCTCTTTACTGGAATTCCAAGGAAATGGGCTCCAAGGAGTCCAAGGCATGTCGCAATTTGAATAAAGCTTCCATAAGTGCCACGTAGATAAGATGGTGAAACCTGCTTATCAGAAATAATGCAGCAGGCGAAAAAACTCCATTAGCAACAATAGATGAAGACGCAAAAAAAAGATGAAGAAATAGAAAGTGGTAAGGAGATTGAGGGGAGATTGAAGTAAGATAGAGGGAGTCAAAAGAGCCATATTTATTACCTCGGTGAGGTAAAGAGACGCAGTTGGTGGTCCTAGACCCATCCCAGTTCCAACCAAAAACCTACCCAGAAGCATTCCTCGTAGATTTGTTGTTGAAGCACTGGAAATGAATGTTTTCAGAAAGTAATAACAGAAAGAGTAAAGTGAAAAAAATAATAATTCAAAGACGCATCTGTCAACACTTCCGAGAATGAACACGAGGGTTCCATATCATAATTCGACGCAGGTGACGTTTGAATTTCTGTGGATTAATTTAATTTATTAAATTTAATATTGTGATGTATATTCAAAGTTGTTTCAGGGAGGGAAATGGCATAAAAGGACGGAGAAATGTCAAATTATGGCCGCTGTTGGGAAAAAGGCCCTTTTACTAAGTAGAAGAACTAAAAATTCTGATGAAGTCAAGTCCATGTACGTCTTGACCATCTTCAATAAAGTCTAATCAGGCAGAAGTATCACGTTATCACATTATCCCAAGCTTTCATAGTGCATAATTTTCATAGTCAGGTGACCCTGATCTGAAAGTAATGATGATATTTTTTTCCGAAAAGTTGGAATTGACCAATTACATATGATCCAGGTAAGAACGATTTATGACTTCTTATGAGTCAGGCAAACTTTTACACTTCAATGTCATATTTAGAACCGAACTTAAGAGAACAAGAAAATGTTTGGTCTGACAAATATCTCAAGAATTATGTGTCTCTTTAACAACTAGCTTTTGCAGCCACATATTTCAAAGATGCCTCGCTTACCACATCTTTGAAAGTAAAATCAACAGAGTAAAATTGATATTAAGAATAAAAAGCATATCACCAAAACACCCATATGCATAATTCCAGAATCAAAAGTTTCTCCATCGAGAATTTCTAGATAGGATTTCATTCATTCTAGGGAATCTAATAGACTTTTGCACTAAGATAAAGTCCTTCTTACTCGAATAACTTTTTCGTCCTTTGTTTTTCATATCAATATCAAGGTTTAATAAATTATCCATTCACAACTTTGATCGCCCTCATTTTTTTCAAACCTAGCTTCATTTCTACAACGACTAGAACAGCAAATTATATTTTCCTTCCCCGTCTGTTTTATCTACTATTTCAGCAGTCATTTTCCTTGTCCCCGAATTTTGAATCAAGACACCATTTTTGTCTGCGGATCACAGAACCAGAGGCCTGATCTTGAATTGTGTTCACACATAAATTTTCAACTTTGCAGAGTGGAAATGAGCTGAAAAGGCTGCTTTTCAATGTCTGAAAGTTCTGAACCACCCCAACATTACAACCCGACTTAAAGATAATTCAGCGACTAGAAAAGGAAAATAATCGGAAGAAAAAAGAGTGAAGAATTACTCATGAAGTATAATATCCAATGCTAAGAATATTATTGCAGTATCCTGAACGAAGCATGAGCTTGTAGCATACAGTGTGAGGTAAACCAGCAGATGTGCCCAGCGCTGAAGTGTTAAACAGAACTCAACAAAGAACGGAAAGCCGTACTCTTGCAATGGAGATTATATGGGAAATAAATATAGTTACAAAAATATCACCTCATAGAGGCTCCAACGATCATGGGTAAAGAACTCAATTGGAATGCTCTGCGGCGGCCAACTCCATCTGCAATCCAACCACTGAACATGCAGCCCACAAAAGCACCACCAAGGCAAGTACTCACTACAAGGCCTGCATTGAATCATTCAAAATCAAATTAAATGAACATAATATTCCACAAATAAAAACGGAGGGATGTAGCTGGTACCTTCTGCCATAGTGTCTCCTCCAAAGCCCAGATCCAAGGAAATGCTTTCCAGTGGTTCATTAACAACTCTGGATACGCAATGACATTTAATATAAAATAGAAAGGGTGGAAGCGAATAGGAAATGGGCACCCGAAGCAAAAGTTTTTAATTGGAGCGATGAGCGACTCACCCAATATGGTAACCAAATAAGAAGGAAGAGATGACAGCCACACAAACATGCGGCAAAGAAAGCCTCCATGAAGGGGTGGTACTTTCTTTCCCCGAGCCATTTAGAAGACGAGCTACAAAATCCGACCAGGCCACGAGTTTAGGCTATAAAGAGTCATGAAATCACATTGACATCATCTAAATTGAAAACAAAGAGACATGTGCAGCAATCGCTCAATGGAATCGGCAAAATCCTAACACAAATTAATGAAAAGGGTTGCCAAGCGAATCAACACGTGGAAAGGAAGATTTTTTGTTGAGGTCTAAGTCCAAACCCAGCCAGAATGGCCCAAGCCTTATTCGGCTGCGGGTTTAGCTCGTCAGTCTTACAGTCGGGAAAAATATTCAAAGCCAGAACCTGTGGTAATGGAGTCAATAGTCGAGGCCTTGAATCAACAGAGGTGCATTGAATAAAAGAGAAATTCCTTGACCTCTGGGAGAATCAACAGAGGTGTGCATTGACATTAATTCCGTTCTCCCGAATCTTTCCTCCCTGAGTTTCCGCTTTCCCTATCCCCATTATATGAGATATTTTGTATCATAGCTATCATATCCCCTGTTCTAAGACTTTCCCTGTAATGTAATTGAATTTGAGGTATTTTTCTTCAATCACCAAAGTTCTTGTTTGAGACCGCATCCGATTCAACGAGGAGTGAATTTGGATTGCACCATTTCTCCGTCCCAAACAGGTTCAAGGGGAGAACAATCATTCGCGAGTGAACACCAGAATAGAAAGAAAATTTCAAGAAGACCACGGACCATCCTCTGAAAAAAAAGAAGCAATATTCAGTGATTTATTATGGACGAGGCCCAAGGAAACTCACCAGAGACGTCACCATCGCCGCAGTGTCCTCCGCCGACACTCATCAACTCCTTAGATGACATGCGCTTGTGGATGGAGGAACTAAATTTCCAACGCATCTTTCAAATCCCTTTCCCCGCTACCGACGGCCTCCGGCGAAATGTCCTCCGAGCTCCACTGCAGTCTGCCCCCTCCTGCGTAACCTGCCGTTCGTTCGTTCACTTATCTCTTTATAACCATCGCGGCCAACACCAGTACGAGTAAAACTGAGCATTAAATTCACAAAAATCATCGCCGATCTAACTTAAGAAGAACTGAGCATTCCGATCTCATCACATTTCCTGAAACCTCAACAACCGACGACGACAGAGTATGATCGGTAAAGGCAGCAACATCAAACACCACCTACTCCCCGTCGAAGCCCCCGAGAAAGAGAGCTCCGACGACGTGTCCGGCAAAACCTGAACGTGCCGCAGCTGCTTCCTGGTGGGAGCAGCAGAGCCACTGGGAACCGCCTGCCGTCGATCTCTCTCCCGCGCCGCGAGGTATCGACGTAGTGAAGAGTATGTTGGGTTTGGCAGGCGTAGCACTACTTGTCCCCACCCCCGGCAGAGCCGTCGTCTTATTCGCTAACATGAGCCTCAGCGGAAGCCCAGGAGTACGGCATTAGCCGTCTCTTATCGTGCGCCGTGAAACATGCACCGCCCCCCGCCACGTGGGTTCCCGCGTTCGAATTCACGTAGCAGCGGCCACGGGCATTCCACGAACGCCGCAAGAAAGTCGGTTTGACGGTAAATTCGTGCCCTTTGATCGGTGGCCTCTAACGTTAGACTCACGGCATTGACGGCGTGATGGCAATGATAGCCGGCAGATCATCGATCGGGGCCGTTGAACTCCAGTTGACGTCATGCTGACTTGAAACGTGTCTTCCATGCGGCGTAGTGGGGGAGGAGATTAACTCGTGGCTACTTGGAAAAGCACGACTATTTGTATTCCGTTCGTAGACTGAGGAATAATATCTTTTGACCACAGTCAACAAGAAGGAGTCAGCGTTGTCGAGCCTGTAAGACACACTACGAGCGAGGCAATGTCTTTCGGTCTAATTAATCCAGCTAATTTTAGTCTAGTCTGTCCTATTAATAATTATTTTTTAATACACGTGTTATTTAGTTATTGTATCTCAGTTCAATCATGCCAATGTGGCATTTGTAGCTCAAACGTGATTATTTTTCTAATAATAATAATGTTGATATTTTCTGGTAGGTGGAGAGGAAAAATGATGCTTATTTTTGTCATCAAATCAATATAAAAAAATTAATTATCTTAAAATTATAATGCCAAACATGGGCATGTAATATTGACAAAAAATAAATGCAGGTATCTCGCATTCGACTTTGCAGTAATTATCATTCATAAAGAATTATATCTTTCAGTCACCCTCGTATTATTTTAAGAATATTTTTTCAGCGCTGAACGTCAGCGTTAACCTGAATTGGTTTATTATGTTAACCATTTTGATATCCAAATAAAGAAAATACCGGAAGTAGGATTTAAAATAATTTTAAATTTTTTAAAATTATTCTGCAGAACTTTTATCGCTGGAAGGGGAGTCAATAGTTTATGTTGACTTTTCTGGATGATCGTGGCCGTCTTTTGTTAGGATGATGAACGTGATGTGGAAAATCTTCCATAGCCGCTGGAATCGAGGTCCATCTGATCGGTGGTCCCCACGATCAGACGGGACGCGGTGGCCGACGAGATTTATGAGGAGAGGGAGGGTCCCACATTCTCATTTATTTAATTTTTTAAATAATAGGTGCTGGGGAGTTCTCCCCCCAACCCGGCCCCGGGTCTTTCCATCCTACGGGCTGAAAGTCGGAGTTTCGATATCTATGAATTTGAGCCGTCGGATCTGGTCACGAGATCTCAGCCTCTCGTATTGGACCCGTCGACTCTATCGGGCCGTCCAAGAAAGAGATTCAATTTTGAAAGTCGGAGAGGGAGAGAGAGAGAGGTTGCCTGTGTTTCTCCCTCGCTCCCTCCATCCCGTCGTCTGTTTCCTCTTCTTCTCGCAAATTCGCTGCGGCCAAAGGGGGGTTAGATCTCGTTCTCTCTCGCTCTCTCTCTCTCTGTGTACTTCTCCGCTTCTGTTCTTCTGCTCTCGTTTCTGGGTCTCCCTGTCCGTGGTTCCCATTCAGCGGATTCCCTGGGGCCGCTTTTCTGGGCAGATTCAAGCTGGCCTTTCGGTGATCTGTGAGCTGCTCTCCCGAGTGACAGGAGGGTTCTTCAAGTTTCGTGAATTTTTTTCCTGGGGGACTCCGACGGGCTTGTGGGTACCCTGAAGGTCACGGTCAATTTCGCGACATCGGGTTCCTTTGTGTTTCTGTTCCAATTCTATTTTTTCCCTTCCTCGGAGTATGGCGGCTCCGGTGGAGCAAGGTGTTCAGTCAGATTCGCTGCCTGCGGGGGATTTCCCCCCGAAGAAGCTGGCTAGGCAGTTGGATTTCACTTTGTACGGTCCTGTGTCGGCAACGGTGGCCGCTTCGGAGCAACCGCAGCGGAGGCCGGCGCAACCGCAGCAGGCGTTGACACAGGCAAAACAGCATCTTCCATCGTCGCCTGTGACAACGAAAACATCCGAAACATCAACAGGAGCTGCAGCTCCCTCTTCTGTTCCCGTGCTTCCTCTCCCGCGAACATCAGTCCTTTTGTCCGCGTGAGTTTTCTTCTCTATACCTACTTTAACGACTCAATTTTAAAGTTTGCATTTTTTCTTCTCGTTAGATCTTTTCTGTCTTTGTAGATTAAGATCTATACTTTCGCCTCATGTGGCTGCGTCCATAACTATTGCCCAGCTCATTTCTTTTAACCTTTATGTGTTGTGGATGGTGGAGACCATTGGCATCACCGGGCATCGTTTTTAACATGTTCTTCATGGATCTTTAGTGTGATAAACATCACACAGTATTTTCATTCAAACGATAGTTGATAATTCACGACTACAATATATCGCTTATCTAATAGTTAACTAAATATCTATATTACATAGTTAACGATTCCAAAGATGTAATATTTTTATATCCTAGTATCTATGGAGTTGCAAAAAATGAATGTTCTCTGGATCCGGTACCATTATGATATTATATTATTTGTACTATTTTTTGTTACATTAATTTTTATTTTTTTTTTGTAGCATTACCACGGTTTTTTTGGTGGTTAAAGAATGAAATTTATCTCCAGGAAAAGAATCACAGAGAAAGTATCTTGATCTTTTGTTTGAATTCGGTAATAATGTTATCAGCGTAGAATATGTTGGTTTAGAAACAGAAATTTGGCTCTACATTCTGAAAGTGGGTTATTGTATTGCACTACTGAAAAATGGTTCTGTCTCCAGGTCTGGAAGTGAGCATGCTATGAATTTGTATCTTTGGTTTCAGCAGGTTTCATGTCTGAGGGAAAAGAAGGGGGAGGAAAGAGTGAATAAAAAAAGAAGTAGAAAAGGCAAAATGACAAAAACAAACAAGTGTAGCAATGACAGTCAACAGAACACAGTGAGTTGTTGATGGTCTCTGCGACGAGTGATGGGCATCAATTAATGCCGGTACCAGAGATCTTGGCTAGTATTGAAGGTAATAATGGAGCTTAGAGCTGGTGGTGCCCAAAAACAGATATGAGCCCTAAAAGATAGTATTCATATATTAAGGAGTTATACTCGTGAAGCAGGCTACTAACATAAAAGTGGTCAGAAATTCGTCCACATTTTGGGATAAAATAGACAGTTTGCTTCAAGCCGAGTTCCACATATTTAAAAAATAGTCCTGATACATATTTTTTTCTCAGTATTACGCTTTAGTCAACTTTTAACTATGGACATATCAGGGGAACTGGTTCTGATTCCCATTTTAAATGTTCTATTTTTGTTTGATTCGTTCTGTTCTTGTAAACTCAGGCTTTGCATCTGTCATTGCGAGAAACATATCAATTTGTAGGTTTAAGTGCTTTTGACTTGTGTGTAGGTTCTCTTTGCCACATCACTAATGGATAAGACAAATATTTTTCTCCTTTTTATGTTTGAAAGCATCCGGATGGTTTCTCTTATTCTAATTTTGGCAAAGCCAGTGAACCATACCAATAGAAGGAGACTGTAGGGGGGCTTATTTGCTTTTCTGGTCTCTTTGTGGTAGGACTATACCGGCTATTTGCACGTCAATGGATCACATAGAGGCTGAATAAAAATAAAAATAAAAATTAGTGGATTTTCTTTTAAAAAAGGGTCCTTGTCGTCTTTGACATCTTTGGATCATTCCTGGAAGACTACATAGCATGGTCTCGCTATTATTGGTGCAAGACCGCCAGGTAGTACATAATGTCGATGATCAAGTTTCTGAAGCCTACTAGACTACTTGTAAGAAGCGGGTTGGTGTATTTAGGCTTCACCAGTTGGGAACATCAGGAATTTGGGGGCAGGTAGACCCCAAGGAATCTCTAAGCATTTTATAAAATCTCTCTCTTCCTTTTTCACATCAGCCATTGTATATTTGTTGTATATTATAGGATGCTCTCAAATAGGGCTATGGTTTACGTTCCCACCTTCCTGAACTCTAATTTTGCTCCCAAATATTTGTTGTATATTAAATTTTGCTTTCTGTTTAATTTTTCTCTCAAAAGTGTGAGTTGTTGAAGACAATTGAGAAAGTGATAAACTTAAGTTTCTAGTATTCTGAAATTCGCTAGACGATTTCCCTGGGGATTCAACTGTCAGAAGTCAAGCCAGTTCCCGAAATGATTGATATGGCATATTTTTTTATCATTTTGGAAAAATTGAAGTCGCACATAATTTGTGATTTTCTGCACACGCGAGAAGAACCCAATTTTTTTTATTTGATCTTTTCTTAACTGATATGATCATAGGCTAATTTATTGTGTATCAATGCTTGAAGAATCTTGGATTCAAGACTTTTTATGGAAATAAACCTCTGCCCTTTTTTTCGGCTTTCTGTCTGCAATAGCATGGCCTCCTGATCTGTCTAACTATCAATATTCATTTCCATTTCTTCAGGAAGCCTGACTCTCCAAAGCCACACCCACGGCCTGGGTTTGAAGTGAAAGATGGCACCCCAAAGAAAAAAAGGCAATGCAACTGTAAAAATTCGAAATGTTTGAAGTTGTAAGTGAGCTGTCTCCTAATAATTTTTTTGTCGTTTTCACTCTCTATCTCTAAATGGGCCCTTTGATGGAATTTCTTGATCAACTGTGCTGTAATGACCTCTGCACGGTTGACGCAATTGTTCACCAGCATTAGCAATGTATAAAAAAGATTGTTCAGCCTCACTTTGAAATGTAGCAAGTATGATTTTGCTTGCCAATACCATCAGAAATCTGTCATCGCCCAGTGTCTAATTCCTGGCTATTTGACGCATCTCATTCACATAAAACGTCGAGTTGTCTCCTGATTATTTTTTGTGCAATTTTATGGATTGAATTTACGTTTTCCCCTAAAGGAAGTCTTTTGTATCATTTTCATTCAATTGCTGACAACGTCTGGCGTTCATGATGTCTCTCCATATTCTTTTCTCTTGTTTGATGGCACAGCTAGCTGCCTTGCATTATCTAGTTCAAGTATTTTTGCTGATAATTTTTAGTTGCGATTGATTCTTGTGATTCATGTGCAGGTATTGTGAATGTTTTGCATCCGGATCTTATTGTGGTGATGGATGTAATTGCGTGAATTGCCATAATAACATTGAGAATGAAGCTGCAAGGCAAGAGGCTGTTGAAGCAACCCTAGAGCGTAATCCTAATGCCTTTAGGCCAAAAATTGCGAGCAGTCCGCCTGCAATTAGAGATAGTAGGGTATGTTTTGGTCAGTATATTTGCTACTGCATAATAATTTGACACAAATGCACTTAAACACATCCATACAGCCAGCCATAAGAGAAGCAGTATTTCCTTGGGAATTTTCATTTAAACTCTTTCTAAGAGGGATTTTTCTTTTGTTTCCCACCTGGTGAGGGTGTCCATGTTTAGGTGACAGATTGAGGGTGAGTGCAATCTTTTTTCTTCTAGTGTGTATGATCTTCTCTGGGTGAAGCTCCAATGGAATGCCTTTGTCGTATGTTTTCGGTTAAAGAGACTGCCTTATGACCATTTTTTTTTTTAGAGAAAATCAGCATCATTAGGATGTTCTCCTCACTGGCATTTCCATGCTACTATGAACTGCATTCTTGAAGTCGTAATGTAGACACCCTCATGTAACAAAGCTTTATATTCTCGAGTTATTGATGTTCTATATCAGTGAGGAAAACCACTTTCATAAATGCAAAGTGAAAGAAATAAAATAAAATGGACATTATCCAGTTTTTTTTGTTTCCTCTCCGTTAGTTTCTAGCTTTCTGGGTAAAACGTGCTTTATTTTGTCACATTAACCGGTTTTTTGCATTTTCTTGCACTGACCTAGCTTCTTCAACTAATCTTGTCAATAATATATTTTTTGTATTCCTGTTTTCCTAACATGAGATGGCCTTTTTGAAATGATAGGAGGCCGAACTCCCTTTACTGGGAAAGCACAACAAAGGATGCAATTGCAAGAAGTCAGGGTGTCTAAAGAAATATTGTGAGTGCTTCCAGGCGAACATTCTCTGCTCTGAAAATTGTAAATGTTGTGACTGCAAGAACTTTGAGGGAAGTGATGAGAGGCGGGCTCTTTTCCATGGAGATCACGGTAGAAACATTGCTTACGCCCAACAGGCAGCTAATGCTGCCATCACTGGCGCTATAGGATCTTCTGGGTATGGTTCTTCTCCAGCATCGAAAAAGAGAAAAAACCAAGAAACCCTGTTTGGCCCAGGGCTCAAGGATCCATCCGTTCAAAAGCTTGCACAGTTTCCACAGGTACTTTATTTTTTCTCATTGGACGTCCGTGCTGCATGTGAATTATGCCAGTTATATAAAAAAGTGTGATATTTAAGTGTGAGAAAGTTACAGACCGTTTTCATCTATCCATTACCAATTTCTTTTGTTCACAAGTGTAACATTTTAGTTGATATTTTATGCATGCCCTCATCTGAGACATCTAGACCATGAAAAGGATGTGCTGAGCTAGATTCCTAAATTTATTAGGTGAACACGTTGAAGAACCCATCCCCTTCTTCCCTGGGTTTCATGCCTGGACGTGCTGTTAATCCTGCAGGAACAGGTTCTACGAAGGTAACATACAGGTAGTCATCCTATCCTACATTCGGCGCATATTATTTTGTTGCTGATAATTTTCTTGTGGAAGTGCGTATAGTCATTTGAAATCTTTTAATTTGACCTTTAATTTGTCTTTCCCAATATGAAGGCCTCTTCTAGCGGATATAATACAACCAGAGGATGTTAAGGAGCTTTGCAAACTTCTGGTGGTTGTCTCAGGAGAAGCTGCCAGAGCTTTAGCAGGTAAAATTGACATTATTAGGGATCCTTGAAAATTTATTACTTAATGGGTTTACGCGAATTAATTTGATTTGAGTTGGGATTGTTGTAACTGTGTCAGAGCTCGTGGACAATCTAATTGTCTAAACTTAGACAGACATGTAATCGGTGTTAGAGATATGGGACAATCTAATTTGAAATCAATTGGCGATGAGTGGTGTGGGATCATTTTTATTATCACATTTTATTTTCTATGAACCAGAACGAGACTATTCTAACGCTGCTTGAGTAGAAGCCATCTATATCGATGTTTCCTTTTGTTCTAGTGGTTTTTTTTGACTTTTGACAAATAATAAAGCTAGTGCAAGTGGCTTGCAGTCGATAGAATTGAAATGGGCTGATGGGGGTTAGTTGGACATGTAATGATATTTCACAAAAATGACGAAAATTCTCATTCCGCTATGGGTTTCATACAGTTACCTTGTTAACTCTGAGATTTCACTATCTGATATGAGTTAGTCTCTATTTATGTCGGTATTTTTGTTGGCCGGACATCTTTATTTAAACATTCCTATGGCTTTCGATTTGCTCTCCTGAATTGACTTTCTTTTGTTATATATTCATCATACCGTACTTAATTATACATCTTTTAGCCTTTAGGTTAAGAATCCTAAGGGACGGATGCTAATTTATCTTACTTTCTTGTCATTTAATATTTCTCCTCTTCCTCTGCGTAGACTTCTCCCATTTTAAGCTCTTAATGATTTGGTTCAATTTTCTCTTATCAAAGAGTATAATTCTTTCTGATATCCGGAGAATCTTGCAACTAAGATTTCTAAATTGGAATGGATGCATTAAAAATATAATTCTTACTCAAGACATCTTTTGATTCCCTCATCTGAAAATTTCCCCATTAACCATCGTATCATCATTGTAATATACCGAATGATTCTAGTTAAGCTTCTCTACCGAACAACTTCGCCATGAAACGTAGCCACATACTTAGTAAACTGTCAGGAATGTGCCGTTTGTCTTTTTCTGTACAGTATTAACGGTCCTAAAACTTGCAGTGAAGAAGGACGAAGAGGAGAAAGCTGCAGAAAGTGAGGATCGCACATCAACCACTAGTGCTTCCCTAGCCCAAAACAGGGATGAGCACCAGAAGGAACCCTATGGTCAGATAAGGTCAGGTAATGAGCATCTGAATGGCGGAAGGGCAGACATCATGGCCACAGAATCTGAACAAGATGGTCCTGAGGTTCAGGGTGGAGGAAGGCCTATGTCCCCTGGGACACTGGCACTGATGTGTGATGAACAGGATTCAATGTTCATGGCTTCGTCTTCTCATAATGCGGGCGCATCTTCAAGGTTTCCATCTGGTCAATCTATGCCAGAGATCTATATTGAGCAGGAAAGATGTATCTTGACAGAGTTCCGGGACTGTCTCCGAAATCTTATCACATATGGAAAGATAAAAGGTAACAATTCCAATAAACTCCATATGCCGAAATTATATAGAACTTGAAGGTTTTTAGGGAACTAATCTGTCGTAAGTCCATTTGAATTTCCTTTGAGAAGGCTGGTGGGCTGAAAACCATGTTAATTTATAGAAATCTTTCATTGAACTATAAATATGATTGCTCTATTGTTTTCATACTATTCTTTAAACGTTAACTGATTTCTTTTTGCAAATCTCACCTAAAATCTTCTTGATAAAAGAGGAACAGTATCCTTTTGAGATACATTCTTATGGCAGATCAATGGCTCACCTTGATCGAGTGTGAAAAGTTATTTTATGATATATAATGATCATCAATCTTTCCAGATGCCGGGAATTTGAGCACTGTCAAGTGCGCTTTCATCAGGATCTGTAAATACCTCTGTAAACTGAAGTAATCCGGTTTTTGTTTTTCAGAAGCTAAGTACTCTTCCATGGCCACAAAATCAGATTCATCAAACCTTCAGGAAGCCGTTACCAGTGGGATTCCAAGATCTTCGATTCCCAGCTCGTCAGGTGTGATTCAGAATGCAATTTTCGGTGCCGTCCCTTTCAGTAGCTGCAAGCCACCAAAGGCCGGGCCACCAGGTGTAGACAATGGTGAACTCCAGCTGAAGATTGAAAAGGTAGAACTGTAGAGATAAAAGTATGTGGACGCTTCTACAGCAGGCTTCTGCGATCCACACAGAGGTCGATGCTTTAGATGCTCAATGAGCTGCTGAGAGTAATTGCTGGTCCCAAGGTGGGCCAACCCGGTTGTCTTCAATGCTACTCATCTAATTGTTATAACATAATTTAATGATGTATTTATTTATACTCCTACAGCAGGAGTCTTGCTGTCGATATTTCCATGCACATGCCTTCAATTCCAGGAAGTACATGTTTCTGTCTACCCTGCATCACTGGCCCAGGCCTGCCACACATGTAACAGCCAAATAATAGTACAAATAATCTCTCCCTTGCAGTAAAACACCGGTGAACGCTCGATTGATGATGATTGCTAAACAGGTTTTTCGCTAGGGGTTTTTATTTCTCAATGCTTACTTTTGGGTTCACTTGGTCTTCAATCCCCTGTGGCAAAGGCTCAAGTGATTTAGTTCATTGTCAAGGTTAGGGTTTCCTTGTTATCCACACTCGACCAGGGATTCTAGGTCTTCGAACCGGCAAGGGTGCTCTTTTACAGAGCTTGCACAGCCTCGTGGAATAATAATGATAATAATAAATCTCTGGCATGCATCACAAGCTATTAGTGACAGAATAAGCTCATCTGGGAGCGGCTCAGATGTGTTGAAACACCACTACGTTGTTTCACATAAACAGTTTATGGCTTGCCACTTATTAGCCTTCCCCATGTGCTGCAAGGCCTTGAGTAAATAACTAAGACGCCACGTAGGATCACGGCGTTGGCTCGTTTAGGGGGGGTGGGGGGGATCACATTGGATCAAGGCATAAATCTGTATAAGACAATAAGAATGTGTCTCGATATGAAGTCCACGGCCAAACAACTCTTCTCGCGCCCTTCCCATCTAGGGAAGGCTGTACAAGGACGGAATCAACAGATAAACCGCGTCAATATCTTCGGTAGAGAAGAACGCGATGCAAGGCGAAGAAGACAGCAGAACCCCCCCGCCCCCTTCCAAGGAAAAAAGAAAAGAAAAAAAGAAACCTAAATGAAATCATGAAGGCCCGGGGAAAGCGGCGGTGAGCCGAGGTGGCTTTACGCGCTCCCTACTTCACTTGCAGCGGGCTTGTTCTGCTTCGACTTGGCCATGCTGACAAGGTCACCGAAGAGCTTGTCCTCTGGCCTGGCCGGCCTGCTCGGCTGCTGGAGTGAGAGTGACGGCGAGGGCGTCTGATAGGCGGCGCCCGGGTTCATCTGGCCGCCGGGGTCGTGCATGGAGAGCCCGTACATCCTGCCGGCCATCTCGCTGGGGTTCCCGTAGGCGGCGTAGGCCATCCTCGGATCATAGTACTGCATTTCGGGCGGCGGGGCGTACCCATAGCCGCCTGGGTGGTGGGCGGCGGCCTGCATGGCCACCTGGAATTGCTGCATGGGCGAGGGCTGCACTGCCGGCATCGGGCCGGCATAGAAGCTCGGCTGCTGCTGCCCACTCTGCATCGGCATCGGCATTGGCATCTGCATCGGCATCGGCATCGGCATCGGCATCGGCATCTGCATCTGCATCGGCATCTGCGGGGGGCTCATGGTGGGCTGCATTGCCTGAGGGTGACCCGTCTGGAAGCCCGGGGCCGGCGGCTGGGGTTGTGAAGGCAGGGGTTGGCCGTTTTGTGCTGGCTGAGCTTCCCAGGGCGGGGGAGGAAGAGCTCCATGTTGATCATTTGATCCTGCATCATTTAAAGACTGCATCACTCAGTGGGATTCACAACATTCGACAAGATCCAGAAACGAAATAATGAAGGAAAGAAATTATGGCAGAAATTTAGTAATAATTTCCACTATTGAACATGGATTGAAATTGCAGATCATTGCACAAGTAGGGGTATCTCAGTTCACAGAAAAGCTGTTCTCGAGGGGACAACGATCAGCGGTACGATGGGCAACTTACATGGCCCCCGCCAGAGATGGAAAACGCTCTAGAATGTTGCACTCACATGGATTCTATTTTATGAAAAGTCAAGAGAAACGTGAACTAAAAAGAAAATATTATAGCTTCACTCGTGGCAAACTGATTCAAAGACAAGAACCAGCAATTGACTGGTTTCCTGCATGAAAGAGGATGGAGGTGGGTGGCCCAGAACGCTGGGCCAGCCAACGTCCTTCCTCATCATAGATCCATGTAATCTCTCATGGCTGAAACTTGTGAAACAAATATTGTGGATGGATGTTGAAGTTATGTGCAATGAGGGGAACATAAAGAAAGTTAATTTCTGGATACGTTGAAAGGAGATCATCTCTAAAACAAATCAAAGAACAAGACCGCAATTCTATATAAGGGAAAACATTTTAAAGATTAGAAAGAAGAGTCTACCATCTACCCATCCAGGAAATACAGAACGAGAACACATTTAAGGGCACTGACATGATAAACTAGTAGAGTAGAGCAGAACAGTTATCGTAATGTTACCGTAAGCAAGCTCCTGCTGATTGGGATTGAAGTTCTGCGCGGACTGGACATTCCATGAAGCGTTCAAATTGTTCAGCTGAGCTCCAGGGATATGGGGCTTCTGTTCGTACCGAGGAAAATTCATGTTTGCCGGATCTCCATTGGAATAATAGGGGGGCTGTTGGGGTGGAGATGGAGATGGCACTAGTGTCAGCTGCTGCTGTGGCTGGAACTCGGGTGCAGGGGCGTAAGTCTGTTGTAATTGCTGTAACGAGTGAGAATCTAGAGAACCATTTTGGTTGCTACTCGAGTTAGTACTTGCGGCAAACATATCTGAAAGAGCCAGAATGTTCTGATCAGAGATGGAGCTAGCTGGAGTCGTGCTGACTGGAACAAGGGCCAGTGGATTCTCAGCTGCCGGTGTGTTGTAACTGTCACCACTTAGAAGGTCCATGTGAGGATCAACTCGAGCAGCTGGAGTAGCTGTGCCGTTGGATGATGGTGGAGCGGGAAGTGATAACTGCTGAAGCAGAGGTTCGTTACTGGTGCTAGCACCTCCAGTAGATCTGCATGAGAAAAAAATATACAGAGATTTATTTCATTCAATATAGCCACCAACACAACATCTTCAATCCTTGAAACTAAAAAAAAGGAACCCCGGGTTTTCTTCTTCTCAGAGATAAAATCCAACGAAGAAATCATTTTTTGGCATGATAATTCAGTAGTGAATTCAACATTTGATGCCAGGACTGAAATGTATGTTGAATACAGGGTGACAGTGCTCTCTTCTTGTTTAATCCACGGAATATTTTCTTTTTTTCCAAACTATAACTGACAGGAGATGTTATGAGATGAATTACCTCTGGCCTGGCTGAGTAGTAGTTTGATTATCTCCAACTTCAACGAGGGCCTGGCTAGGTTTTGGTTTATCCACCCGAACAGCAATTCCCGCAGCAATCGCATCGTGCTTGGCAAGTACACGCTGCAAATCATCGTTGAGTGAAAGTCCTAGATTGAGGAGTTCCTCATCCCTGGCAATTGCAACCATAACCGATCAAGTTAAAACGAAACATCAACACCCATAGGAAAATCGCCTCCGATTCAACAGCATTTACAAACAAAATGAGGTTATACTGTGCATGTAATGCAACACTGGATTTTGGGGAATAAAGAATGCATGAATCGCCAAATGATAGTGGGTAAGTTTGTGGCGTTGGCAGCAAAGAGTGAGAATAATGATATGGAACTATGGAACGATGGCCAATGAATTCTCAGCTAATGGTGTGCTGTAATCTTCAACACTATGGGTGTTGAAGAACGGGGGACAAAACCATTCAAGATTTATTTTCAAATTCAACAAAAGGCTACGGTCAAAACCATTCAAGAAGGGGGGCAATGCCTACACAGAAAGGCATTCGAAGCAGTGAATTACCAAGTTTTTAAACCCAAGCATTAGAATATAAGCATAATAACCATTGATGTCATTACGGCATGCAAGTCAAGAATGCTAAAGTTTGAGCTTGTCAAAAAAAGAAAAGTGCAGGGAATCAGAATCGGTACAAAGAGAGAATGAAGCGGATAATATTTGAAGAGCAAATATATAGGGATGAAAGTAAGGCCATTATAAAAAACGAGCCGAGTAAGCTTAAAGGGGTCGCTTAGGCTTTCTCGCAAAGCATGTTCAGCCCCTTCGAAAGAAAGGTTCCTACTATGCCATAAAAAGGACTCAAGGATTCCTTGTCATAAAGAGTAATCCCAATAAGCCTTACGAAGTTGTGTTCACAAGATGGACCACTCGCTGCTTGTATGAACGGCACTGCCCGACAAGATCAACAATGACCTCCTGTTTGAGTCCCTGCAAATCAGAATATCCAAGTGTCAGGAATTACAGCAAAACCATACAAAAAAGCACGTCAGTAACAAGTACCAATTGGGTATAGCCAGAAAGACAGTGACAAAGGTCGTCTAACTAAACAAAATAGAGGGCGATTCAAAAAATAAATAAATGTACGTAACAGGATTAAAATTCTTTGACGGAGTTGTGCAGAGTAACGTATCAAAAGCAGATCCCGAATCCGAGATCCTTATCACCACGTTATCTAGAGAAAAACCCCACAAGGGAAGATGTGCTTGTTTCAAAAAGAAAAGAAAAGAGATCTGATAAAGATACCTCCTTGTTCCCAGGATCCAATGCACTAAGCATTTCTGAAAAAACTTCCATGAGATCACGTGCATTCTGTATTTCTGTCATGCTGAAGAAAGAAAATATGATTAAATTCCGAATGACAAGCAAATAAACATATGAGACGGTATTTATATCCCGGAGCATACAGATTCTAGAACGTATATAGACCCGAATTGGCTTTTACTAATCCCTAAGAAGCCCCACGTCTCCTGATGTGATAAAAAATATCATTTTCTGCTGTTGAAATCGTAAGAAGAGTACAATAATAAATTGAGAAAATGGGATCAAGCTGTTTGGATACATGAGTATCTACAGAATGCTAATAAATTTTCGCCATTTCCATGGATTAGAATGTGATCAATCACTTTACTATTGAAGAGTATCATTTCCCTTAGTGCTCTCACATGCTTTTCAAGGTAAAGGCAGTTGATTCTTAATTGGCAGAAAAATCTACTGGTACACTCGCGAGTTCCTTCCTTAATTTTCAGGTTCATAAAGCACAATGCCCACAAATTAGGAGGAAAAACTAATGGCTGGTCTAGACATTGAGAAGGTGTTTGATAACACTGAAATCTTAAGTTTCAAATCTGATATTAACATATAAAACCAGAGCACATTAAAAAGAAAAAATAATCAATCAACGGAAGCAGATAATTTGGCGAATATGAATCATTTATATACTAATGGCATATTCTATGCTTTCACTTTCAGCGAAACTTGGTAAATCATCATCACATGAGCAGTGGTAAACGAACAAAAAAGATGAAAAAATTAGTGCCTATAATTCTGACATGAAATATATCTAATAGGAATACCGACTTCATTCCTTAGAATTTTTTTTTTTGAAGATGCATAATATACCTCAGCATAGGAAGATCTGGAGGAGCAGAAATATCAGTCTCTTGTTGATAATCAGGACCACGTAAAGATGCAGGATAAGATGTCAAGGGCTGTGTCTGGGGAGGAGTAAATATGGGTGCAGACCTCTCAGGTCTCTGAGGAAAAACTGCTCCAATACGCTGACAACAAAAGAAGAACGATTAAGACAAAGGTAATTAAGTATTTGCTTTCCAACTATAATCATTTGTGAAAAAATAACATCAGAACAAAGGACAACAAAGGATCTGCTGATTCATACATGTCATGAAAAAACACTAAATTCATAAATTAGCAGGTTTATAGCTGGATCTCAGATATGACAGAAGGCCCGTCCACACAGTAAAAGATAATCAAAACATTAAACTTATCGAAATATTCATCCATGAGACCAAACGTTAATAACCGGAGGTATATTAATCAATATGGTCAGCACAGGGGATTATAAATAAAATTCCAGGGATTTAAGCAATAATTTCTGGTCAGCTATGACCTCACAGACAAACTCCTACACAGTGTGCCATTAAGCTCTATAGACACCGAATGGAAAATAGAACATGAATGATTAAATGACAGTCTAGAGCGAGGAATTGCACAGGGACAGATGACTAACAGAGGACAGTGGAGAGACGAACAGAGACAAACGATAAGAAATGATTGATATGGATTGTGGAAAGGACAACAGGGAATAAAAGTGCCAGGCATCACGTCGTATATCAAACTAGTACATGATGCAAAACAAAGGACTGAAATTGGCAGATTTTAGACTGGCCTCATATTCATTCATAGAGAGCTCTTGGCAGCAGATTTGTAAAAGAGAAAACATATAGTGGACAATTGCCAACCTATAGGGTCGCATCATCACAGGTGGGCCTCATAAACATCACACAGCGCACTTGATGGCAGATTTGTAAAAGATGCAACATATCAATAAGAGAACCAACTAAGCTGTCAGAAGCACGATCATAAAAGCTCTAAAAAATAAAAATAGATGGTAGAATGCCAGGAGTTAAGATATTTTTACCAAAGGAAACATTTGCGTAAATATTATTCAGAAAAGATAATCTTACGATGGGCATGAAATCAGAGGAAAAGCTCAATTTGAAAGAAATGTAATAGATAGTAGGGTTGATATCAATTCTGAATTATAAAGACTTATGAGATGAATATGAAAATATAAGCCTCATAAGTGGGGACAGCAAAAATGTTAACGTCCTTGCATCCATTCCAAGATTCTTCAAATATTCCAGAAAAATAATTACGGTACCCAAAAGTTAGTAAAGCAAAGTACACTACACAGCATTGGAGAGTTGAATTTACTCATACACATCAATGGAACTCTGTCCATAGATCATTAAATATAGAATATCTTTATAGCAGAATCCTGATGCCTACCAATAATTCTTGGTATGCAGCATAATACTGGGGATATCTTGCCCTAGGCCCACCAAACGCTTCTTGCCACGTGTCGATTAGAACAAGTATTTTCTCTTTGACACGAAAATCGGGCTGCAAACACAACAATAAGAGCGAGATGATGGAAAACATCTTTAGGAGATTGAAGAGAGGTTTGATGGTTTCGACATCTGAGAAGGACATGAGAAGGACATGAGAACCTTCTTTTTCACAATCTTCACCATCTCATGCAAGATATCTTTCTCCGCAACATGCATATGGACTATGTCTCCACAGTTCTTTATCACTGTCTCAAGCAGCTGAAGAATGGAAATAGAATAACAAATAAATAAGCAGCATCAATCATCAATTCTTCTTTTAAATGCTCGTATTAAGAAAACGATGGAAAACAACAACATGATTGCTTAGACACAAATAAGCTAGTGTTTTATAGCACCTAAACAGGCAAGGTAATTCAGAAATTGGTTTAGATCACTGCAGACATCAAGGCCATTGGTAGCACCTCACACATGATAAAAGTCGGACATTGTAACTTCCATAAATTTTAGAATGGCATGCCTCATCAGGGAACGATCCAGAATAAGGTGCCCCGAGGAACAGAATAAGGGACACGAGGCCCAGACTAAGAGAGACAGGGGATCCTCTCAGAGCCCATCCCCACATTATTTCTCTTTTCTCTCTTCCCTTTCTGGTAATCCGGTAGAAACCGTCATTCTGACAGCCCTACCTCTACTACTCTATTACGAGTTAGCTTGATAAATACAATTTGGTTTCCACCCAATTCACCCTGATACGATATGTAATTCACTAATAGAATATAAATATTTCATTAATCATGACCAATTCCGTATCAGAAACAAGGCTTTGGATTCCTTTTCCTGGTGGTATGAGACAGGAGACTCTTCAAATCTAAGAGGAAAACAGTGATGACAATATAAAGATGAATAAGCGCATAAAGGTTGGTTAAATTCTCATACAGCAATTTGTGGCACTTACAGTTAAAGCAAGAAGCTGAACCTTCGGATTCTTACTGCCAATGCGTTTTTTAATGCCTTTCACAACGTCCTTCGCTTGCCTGAAAAATTTAAATTAAACATCAGCAAGCAAAAGCCGAAGACAAAGGACTTGCAAGAGGGTAAATAGACTTATAAGAAGTTTATGGCATGTAACTGTGATCTGTTTGTTACTTTCAAAATAACCAAATAATGAAGTATCGCTACAGGATTAAACAATCTATGGAATACATTGGAAGTTCGCTTGTATTCCATAATTGGCTTTTAAACGATAATTCCATGGAAAATTTCATCCCCATTGTTTAGCCAATCCTACTCCAGATAGGAACATCCTACAGTGGTGATGCCAAGGTCCCATACAAGGTTGACAAGCAAGTATACTTGCGTATCTGAGTGGTCGAAACTACCAGTCACAGAAAACACTTGATAATTAAAAGCAATTTATAAGCAGCTAGATGCGAGCAAAAAAATCCATCATACAACACGTTGCTGTCTTAACATGGATTTTACAGAAGACGAACCTAAAACCATAGGAAATGACTGTGTATCATGATTCTTAACCTTTTCTCAACATGTTTTCAAATTTACATTAAGAGAGTAAATTATGATGGTTAATAATTAATACAGCATATTCAACTATTCTGCAAGATTTAGATGCATACAAAATCACCATAGCGCAAGCAAAATATTTTCTTCTTGTTGTTGTAATAATTGGACGCATTGAAGATGAGCTTCTGAAGTATAAATATTTTTTTAAATCAACCATTTTTCTTAGTCTCAAAAGATATTCGTATAATAAAGGCCTGAAGTCAAACATTAAATTGATCCGCTTTCAATAATCCAGAGCATTTCCCTGGTGTCATTGCTACCTTGAGAATAGTAAGAAATAGAACAGTTATCGATACTGAGGACTCAGAAGGATGAAGATTTGAATGAACCAAAAATGCACAGCGGGAATATTTTTCCCATGTATTTCTCAATTTATTTCCATTTGTGTCTTTCCCAACTTCCATTAAAATTTTCGCCAAAAGGAATCATATTTCTGTTCTATGCCTGGCCATTAGGCATGTGTAACATTTTTTCTAATATATAAATAGGATAAATTTGTGAAACCTATCATTTTCCTACCTCAAGTGTAACTCTATGAAGAGATGGACCATTCTGATACTTCGAAAAAATATGACTACAACCTCTTAACAGTCAGTATAAAGAAAAGGGTGCAATTTTTTTTAAAAATAACCTTATTAAAATATTTATACTCCTTTATCACCACAAATGCCAGTGGCACTTCCCTACACTTAGAAAATTCCTCAGCGTACTGTTTGTGGTATTAAAAAAGATGGTAGTAAATATCGTTTCCAAAATGAGATTCATTTAGATCGAGATCAAATAATGAAACGCAAAAGAAAAAAGATCAGTTAAAGTGGCAGAGATCTCAATCAAAATGTCCCAGGAAGATTTTCTCTACAAAAATTATTCGAAATCGCAAACACGACGAAATCTAGAAACGAGCAGAGAACAAAACCAAAAGGGAAATTGCAATTTAATGGAAATTAAGAGCGTGACCAAACCCGGGGTCGCGATTGAGGATGTCGCAGATCTCCATGTTCATCGCCCAATCCGGGCCAATCAGAGCATCGCTTGTCGCCCGATCCACGAAGGAACCCGTCATCGCGGTATATGCTGCGAGGGAGCTTCCAAATTGTAGCAAATTTAGAGGATCTCGTCGAGATCCCGACCAAAATAATCGAATCCCGCTGCCGCCAAGAAATCCCTTCTAAAACTGGATCAGAGACGAGACGCCGGAAGAAAAGCCACAACCGACACCACGGCGGACCGGAAATCCAAACCCTAGACCTCGCGCCTTGGAATAGCACTGGATTGCTCCTTCCCTCCCGCTGCCGCTCCCCACGCAGGCGAACCAAACCGACCAGCGCAGACGAACTTCCGGCAATCAAAACTCTCACCGGCTTCGAGCTTCGGTGACCTGCCCTGCCCACTGAGGCTCCGGCCAGCACGCCCCCATTACTCTATTTTCCTCGAGGAAACGATCACGCCGCTCGCACGCTCACACGTCACTCTCCACGATAATCCCCCGAATCTGGTTTCTCCCTTTCTCCCCACGAAAACTTACCCAGATTATCTATCACGACCATCCCCCTGACGTCTGCCATCCTCTCCAGAAGTCCACCATATAACGCTCTTCTCTGCCCATCACAGACCGCCCATCTAATGGGCTCAAAGACAGCGAGATCCCCTCCCTCCCTCTTCTGGTTTCAAGGTAATTCGTGGTCCCTACCCTTACCCTTCCATAATAAATTATTTAAATATATTTCTTATTAATTGTATATAGAAAATGATTAATGGGGTTGAGAGAATAATTTCTTATTAATTAGCGTTTTAGAAAAGTATTAATTATGCGCTGACCGTTGCCAAGTTGGGGCGGTAATTCCTGTGACGTCACCTGGGGTCTTCGCGTCTGCATATTAGCCCTGTCACGGGACTGCGGCGCCCTGGCGTTGGATTCTTTGTCTGATCTTCCCTCCAGGATCTCCTCCGAGTGAGCGCTCAGAGAGAAAGGGGAAGGAAAGGGAGGAGATCGCCGCGATGGAAGTTCGGAGACCAGCTCCGAGGGAGGGCTCGGAACCCGCCGCCGACGCCGGCGGCGGCGCTGCCTGCTTCGGCACCTCTCTTCGGGTTCGTAGTCGTCGTCTTCGTCCTCTTTGCTCCTCCGGTTTTCTTCTGCTCATTGTACCTTGATCCTCACCGCCGGGGACTTCCTTCTGATCGCAGGAGCTGAGAGACCTGCATTCGCATCTCCACCACGCGGCCGACCACTGCGAGGCGGCGTACGGGAGAGCCGCCGCGCGCAAGGGGATGTGAGTGGCGTCCGATTTCATCTGCCCTAGCTGCTCATCTGAGAAGACGGTGACGCTTTAATTGCTCTCCAGGGTGGTGGAGAACACGAGAAAGTACGTCTGCGACGCCGTGGTGAGGGTGGTGGACCATCTGGGCAGCGCCGCTGCGAGCCTCGAGAGCCGGTTGCTTTGGAACCCCGAAATGGCGGAGATGGAGCAGCGCATCGCCTGCTTAAACCAGGTATACCGGCGGAGCTTGGCTACATATCCTGATTGTTTTCATGGCGAAAAGGAGCTTATGGAGATGGCGGATTGCAGAGGATCCTCACCTGCCAACACTACGCATTCATTATCGACCTCGAAGGCCTGAGGATCAACCCCGAGCTTCCGAGACATCTCCCACGCTACGTCTTCCCACCTTGTAACGTCAACCGTGCTTTCGATCTTGATTTCCATTGCTTCCCGAATCTGATAATCTTTGGCAGTAATCTTTCGCTCTTTCGTTTTCTCAACTTTCTTCTTTACTGGCAGCATCCCACCAACGGGCCTCCTGCCGCCGAGACGTCTCTCTACCCTGCGCCGCAGAATCTCTTCCGATGGATGATGGTGATGAAATGGCGAATCCAACCACAATTCAGAGCGCAGAAGCCGGCGCCATGCATCAGGATGCCAATCCTGTTCAATGCATGGATGACCAGTTCTTGACGAATCGTCTGGAGGACGCAGATGGACTCGGGTCCGACGAGCAGGAGGAGAAGAAGAAGAACAAGTACAAGAACAAGAAGAGAACGGGCGGCAGTTACCTACCCTTCCTCCGGAGGAACAGGAGAATAATGTGAAGAGGTTTCAAAGATCACGGCGGCTGCGGGCGGCGCTCCGGTGGTTTCTCTTCCTCCAATGTTCACTCTCTCAACCTTGATTTCGACGCGGTCAAACCCGCCGCCGCCGGGCGGCGGACTCCCGCTGTGCTATTAACGGTTCAAAGATCTCACCTTTCCACCTCCATTCATCAAGAGGCCCCACCTCCTCTCTTGCCGTGCTCTGGGAGTCTTAAAAATCAACGGGGCGGCCCGGGCGGCGTAATCTGTCTTAGTGCGGTCAAATCGGGCTTGGCCCGATATCATTCCGGGGCTCCTTTTTTAAGCCCAAACGACCAGGCCCGTTGATATTGAGATGGTACGACCTGCCGTTCGCCAACCACCCTTCTCCTCGAGGAATGAAGACGAAATCAGGAGTCAACCACCACGATGGCATCTTTAGAGGAACACAATTAAAGGATTATTTTGACAGTTAATCACTGTTGAAGGTGCCATGCATAATGGAGGCGCTGACAAGAGGGACGATCGCGAGCTCACTTACTTTCGTCGCCCATGATACGAAAGCTCTCGCGTTGACCATTAGTAACATACAACAAGGTCTTAGTATGTGTGATAGTGAAGTCAAACCAGTCACCTAATGTTTGATCGATCTAAGGGCACGCTACAGTATAGAAGCTGGGTCTTTTAAGACGTGCCTAATTCTTCCCCAATTCGTCATTCATGTTGGAGAATCCCCAGCTTATCTCATACTAATTTGTTGACTTTATGTGTCCTATTAGATATGGGTCCCCTGGGTTGGAGCTTTAAGCTTTACTTATGGGGGAATAGAGATCCAACTTTGATGGTTTGGGCTTTTTAATTGATTAAGCGTGGGCTTTGCTAGTCCAAGAAAATTTATTTGGAAAATTTATATGTGACAAGCCAAATGAATAGGTCGCCGCTGAATGGTGGGCAGGTGAGGTAGGCAGAACCTGCGTGGGTGGGGCAGGGGACACGTGTCATGCGGGCAGCAAAATTAACTCCCGAGTCTTCCGCATTCTTGAGGGGAGCACAGGAGCCGCATCTCAGATGACGTGGCGCAGGGTTCAGTCAACTCCCCTGGCACTCCTAGAGCCAAGTGGACGGGTTACGCTGTCATGCCGGCGAAGCCGTTGGGTTGGTCTCTCCCTCCGGAGATGGCTCACCCCAAAGGCTTAGGTGCCAGCATGATACACGCCTTCCTTACATCTAACGTTCAAGACCTAACGGCCCTCCCTCCCCGCCACATCTCTCCCTCTCTCTCTTTCTCTCTTTCTCTCTCTCTCTCTCTCTGGTTCCTTCACTCCCTTCCGTCTGTCTGCCCCGCCTTATATATCTTATCCTACAGAGTTCCTCTCCTTGTTTTTATCTTCTTTATTTCACAGTTCATTGCCTTCTCCCCTTCCCTTCTCTCTCATAAATACTATAACTTATTTCTATGTTACAAAAGGACCAAGCGCATCACCTCCATTCTCGTCAATTCCGCATCATCTCCCGAGGCTCCTTCTTAATAGAGAGAGAGAGCGAAGGGGGAGAGGGAGGGAGGAGAGAGAGAGAGAGATGTCCATCCCCAGAGACTACGCGTCTCCTGCGCTCTCTCTCTCGCTGGTAAGTCCTCCCGTCCGGCGATCCTTTTACACTTTGATAGTTCATCACGTAGCTCTGCTGCCCTCTTAGGCTGGAGTCTACCGGAACGCGGTGAGGGTGGAGGAGGAAGTGGAGGAAGGAGACGAGGAGAGCGGCGGTGGCGGCGGCGTGTACAGAGGCGACACCGTCGAAGTCAGCAGCGAGAACACAGGCACCGGCCGATCGGAGGAGGACGGAGACGAGGAGGGTCCCCTTGAAGATGACGGAGATATCAGCAGGTCCAAGAACAAGAAGCGGAAGAAGTACCATCGACACACCACAGATCAGATCAAGGAAATGGAAGCGTAAGTGATTCCCGCTTCCTCTCTCCAGAAGCGCAAGCAAACCCTAATCTCCATGGAACCCTGGATGAAGAAGCAGATATTCCCCCGAACCGCATCAGCGGGCTTTACCCATTGACCGGGCTCCGCCGATGAGAAGCTTCTCGTGCAGCGGGTTGTGGGTAATTACTCATCCGAGGGCTTACAGGCCTCCTGCGGGTCAGGCGATGTGACCCATGAAGACCTCGGGCTAGGAGATACGGCCCATGACGTCCTCGGGCAGGACACAGCCCGGCCCGGAGGACACCCAACCTCTTCGTCTTCCTTTGCGCTTAAGACATCAGAGTGTCTGCGTCGAGGAGTCACGCAGTAAACGTGCAGGTGTCTTAAGCGCAAAGCAAATCCTAGCCCCACGGCCACGCCCACAGCATGAACTGTCATTGTCCCTGTCGATGAAAGGGATTATCTTCTAGGTCCTTAGATTTTTCGTATCTGAAACCACGTGAATCATTAATCCCATGCGCGGTTTCTAACAACGAACGATGAGCAACTGCTCATGTTCCTTTCAACGATGCGACCTGCAGGTAGGAAAATGGGTTGCTTCTGTATAGAAGCAACTAGGGTTTCCTTGCCGACGAAACTGGGCAGAGAAACAGACCGCTTCATTGAGATGGATTCGGATGAAAATAGGCTAGTTTTTTATTTACCCATGCTTAATTCTTTACTATCTTTACTATGGTTGCTCAGATTATTCAAAGAATCGCCCCATCCGGACGAGAAGCAGAGGCAGCAGCTTAGTGATAGACTAGGACTCGCTCCTCGGCAAGTCAAGTTCTGGTTTCAGAATCGCCGGACGCAGATCAAGGTGCGGTTCAGGAAACCCACACGCGTAGCTGTTTCTGCATCAATCTTATCAAAAAACCCTAGAATCGTGCAGTCTTCCCATCCTTTTAAGAGGAGGGTTTCCCATGCGTCTGCAGGCGATGCAGGAGAGGCATGAGAACTCCTTGATGAAGTCGGAGATGGAGAAGCTTCGGGAAGAGAACCGGAGCATGAGGGATACAATCAATAAATCATGCTGTCCCAATTGTGGGTCTCTGACCTCTTACAGTGACCCGACGAGGACGACGGAGGACCAGCAACTGCGGATCGAGAACGCAAAGCTCAGAGCTGAGGTGAGATAAACTCTCACCTGCTCCCGTTAATGGCGATCTTCTTACAGCTTGTGGAAGTTTATTTGATTCCATTTTCTGTATACTCAGATCGAGAAACTACGAGAAGTTATAGGGAAGGTCCCGGGGGGAGCGACTGCATCGTCATGCTCTCCTGGTCAAGAACAAGATAATTCCTCCTCGGTGGATTATTACAGCGGGTTCCTCGGCGTTGACAAATCCAAAATCTTGGAGCTAGTTGAGCAGGCCATGGAGGAGCTGACAAGAATGGCCTCCGCGCGCGAACCATTGTGGGTCAGAAGCTTAGAGAGCGGAAGAGAGATACTGAACTACGACGAGTATCTCAGAGAATTCTCGCGGGGGGTCTCGAGCTGTCGCCAAGACAGGAGATCCATTGAGGCGTCCAGGGAAACAGGAGTCGTCATCCTCGACGTCGGGAGGCTGGTGCAGTCGTTCATCGACGTGGTATGAGTTTCTGATCCATTTTTCTTCCAACTATAATATATCTCTCATTAAACATTGTATATTATCTTCAAATCATACCAGCTTTCATCGAAGTCTTTATATTCTTGTTTTAGACAATTCAATTAGTAGAATTTAATCTCGCTGGTCGACGTAACCAGCTTTCAAATTGCAGGAGATTGTTTATTAAGTAATAAACAATCACACCGTGATTGAAATTCCCAATGCCAACCCTTTGCGATAAGCGGTAATGTGGGCTCTTGAATACACCCTGAAAAATCCCACGCTAAATCGATCAAAGTTAACCCATCTTAATCTTGGTTACATTGACAAAACGCATATTTCTAAGGCAATGATATTGTGTGAGGCGTACTGTTTTGGCTAACAAGATACAAGTCGACTAAGGGGGGCACCCAAAAATGAAAATTTTCCGTTTGATAGGTATGTACCTTCTAGCAATTACTTAGTGTTAGACCACTTCACCCCCCAACCCCTCTCTCTCTCTCTCTCCACTTTCCTTCTCTCATCAACTCGGCCTCCTCTGCAGAACCAATGGAAGGAGATGTTTCCTTGCATGATTTCCAAGGCCGCCACCGTAGACATCATTTCCAGCGGCGAGGGGGAGAACGGGAATGGCCTCGTGCAACTGGTAATCTGTTCCCGTCTTCGGAAGAAGAAAAAACATTCTTCGATGTGTTCGTCCGATGATCTTGACCCACCGAAGGCGTCGTGCAGATGTTTGCAGAGCTCCAAATGATGACGCCCATGATACCGACGAGAGAAATCTATTTCGTCAGATACTGCAGACAGCACAACCCCGAGACATGGGCTGTGGTGGACGTCTCCCTCGGCGCAGGAGAGGATAGAATCGGGTCTTCCCTCCTCAAGTGCAGAAGGCTCCCCTCCGGCTGCATCATAGAGGACAAGGCCAGCGGCCACTGCAAGGTGATGACGCTTCTCTCCTCTTCTTTTCCTTAGATTACCACATCCACAGGTGGTACTTACGGTGGGTTTGGGGTTGTCCCTTTCCCAGGTGACCTGGGTGGAGCATACAGAGTGCCAGAGAGGCCCCGTCCACAGCATCTACCGGCCGGTCGTCAATTCCGGCGTGGCCTTCGGTGCGTGGCACTGGATGGCGACGCTGCAGCTGCATTGCGAGCGGCTGGTCTTCTCCATGGCCACCAACGTTCCTACGAAGGACTCTTCCGGTAACCCATTGAGCCGACCAGATAGTTTCTTCCACGACTGAAGCGCCCCCCGCCCCCGGATGGCTGACCTGGTCTTGTCTCGGTTTCCGCAGGGGTGTCTACGCTTGCCGGTAGGAAGAGTACTTTGAAGCTGGCGCAGCGTATGGCCTTCTCCTTTTGCAAGGCCGTCGGCGCGTCCAGCCTCCACACCTGGACAAGGATGCCGACGAAGAACGGCGACGACATGAGGATCACGTCCAGGAAGAACTTGAGCGATCCTGGGGAGCCTGGGGGTTTGATCCTGTGTGCGGTTTCCTCTGTCTGGCTTCCGGTCCCCGCCAGCGCCCTGTTCGACTTCCTGCGGGACGACGCCCGGAGAAGTGAGGTGGGCATTCGACAGGCGTCTGGTCTTACTCTTCATCCCTATTGAGCTCCGAGATTAACTTTCAGTTTGATGACCTAATTCTGCGAACCAGTGGGACATGCTACCCACGGGAGGCAGCATCCACACCGTCGCGAGCATAGCGAAGGGCCAAGATCGCGGCAACTCGGTGGTTCTCCAAGTAAGCTTCAAGCACCCCTCTTTCTCCACTAACCTGTCCCTCGTCGTTAACAAGCTACGTTAAGCGTAGTCTCTGACCCCGGAGAGGTGCTGCAAGCTCAGGCGGTGAAAGCGGGGGACAGCCGCGACATCTGGTTCCTCCAGGACAGCTCCACAAACTCCTACGAGTCCATGGTGGTCTACGCGCCGGTGGACGTCCCCACCATGCAGTCAGTGATGAGCGGGTGCGACTCCGGCGACGTCGCGGTACTCCCTTCGGGGTTCTCGATTCTCCCCGATGGGCTCGACGCTAGCACACCGGTGATATCGAACACGCCGGAGGCGAAGCCCGCGGAGAGCGGCGGCTCGCTGGTGACTGTGGCTTTCCAGCTCCTCGCCGACACTTCGCCTGCGGCGAAACTGACGATGGAGTCGGTGGAGGCCGTGAGCTCCCTCATCTCCTCCACCATACACAATATCAAGAAGGCTATGCGATGCGAAGACGGCTGATCTGTTGAATGCTTTCAACAGTTTTAATATACACTCCCTGTGATTTCAACGGTCAAAGATGGCCGACTTTTTTTTGTTTAATAACTCATTACCTGTTAAATTAATGTATGATAGTTATTTGTTTTTTATGAGATAGAATTTTATGCTTAAACTTTTGAATAAGTAAGTTTTAATTATTACTCAATTTAGTACTATTCACGGCACTTGAAGACATAGGAAAATCTCTACTGAGATGGATGCGATATAGTCCGGGGGTCATGGGCAGCATCCTCCCATACGGCCAGATCTCCGGCCGGTGCCGCTGCAGCCGGGTTCGATCCGTGCCGGAAGCGGTGAAGACACTCATGGCGCTCCACTTATGGAGAGATCTGCGAAGGGAACGTCTGAGAGGTCCACCTGAAGTATAAGGAAAACCTCCCACGGTTGTGCGACCGTATGTTTCGGAGGAAAACCATGCCCGTCGGTTGAGGAAGGCGTTTCCTATACGGGCAATGATGTCTTCCGCTGCCTGTTGTGCAGTGAGATGTGGCTTCGGCACCCCTTCGCGCGATTCTGAAGCCGACGGGGAAGCGGCGGCTCGATTCGTGAGACAAATCTGCAGCCTCATCAATCTCGTTCTCAACGGCGTTGCGTCTGTATCTGCCAGCCAAATGGCCGTGGAATGTGGTTGACGAGTTCGTCTATCAGTTCCAGCCGCCCGCCGGAGGACTAGACTGAGGAGCTACAGCCGTTTGGACAACACGAGGATGTATGTGTTATAATGATCCATTCGAACGGTTTGTATTAGCATCGGGCAAACGTTTCAGCTGAGTACGTACTGATAACCCTTTCCGTTGATATTGAAATTCTTGAATCGTTAACGCCTACGCAGCTTCTTGAAAGCGTATACCGTCCCCGTTGGCAAGCTTGCAATGGGCATTGAAGTGAATGAACCCACTTCAAGATTGGTCTGTGCTCAACCAATCATAACAGTAGGGATATCTTTTTCTGCCCAATTTGTCGGGTAAACCTGGCGACGTATGAATACGAGACACAGCAAATCTTCAATAGAGATCGTCTCCAATCATGAGATTGATTTTTATGGATAATCCAGGTGTCCTCCTTCTGGGCATCTTCTGAATTCATATTCATCTAATTGGACATCAGTGCCACCGTTCTTAGGGTAATTTATTATTCAGCGAGCAGGAGATCATGTGCGTTGCTCGGCCAGAATCAACCAACATATCGTTTGATTAGGTTTGATGGCCATCGGTGTATCTAATGCTGTGTAGTTCTTTATGCAGTTTGAAGAGATCATCGGTGAACTGGTTTGAGTCCGATTCGGTTGAGGATTCTAATAGGTGAGTGCAATACAACTACTATGTGAATTTCCTAGTGTACATATCATGAAAAGACGGTGTGGGATATGGGATTTGTACACCGGCGTGGGAGGTACACACTGCGGTCTTCCTCTTCAGTGCCGCGCCGTCGGGCTCCTCAATCCCCCAAGGTTCTCAAGCTTCTCTATGTAGGAAAACCTCTTGGTGGTCACAATGTCGGCGGGTTTGGCCAGGGGTGCCTTGTCAAGGGAGTTGGTCGTCTCCTGCTTCCCATCGGGATGCTTCTTCTCTCCCTCCGTCTCTTGTTCCAGGTGCCAGCCCATGAAGTCGGACAGCGTCATCGACGTCGGGGGCTCTGCCCAACTTGTCCTCTTCGCCTCCTCTTCGGCGGCGGTGAGGAGCTTCACGGGTTCCGCCGCCAACGACGACGTCCGCCCCTTGGCATCCCCCGGGGACGGGTCCTGGGTGAGTGAGTCCGCGTAGAGAACGTCTTCGATCCGCGACATGACGGTGAAGGCTAAGCTTTCTAAGATCCTCGAGTAGCTCTCCAGGACGGCCTGCCCAACGTCCTGCATAGAAAGAGAGAGATCTCTGGTTAAGTTCCAGAGGAGCTAAGCGGGGAGAGTTTTTCAACTGGACGCTTCAAGATGCTTACCATATTGTACTGGATCTTGCTGATGTCCAGGGCAGATTGAGGTATCCCGGGGAATCTATGCTTGAGCATGAGGAGTATCGTCTGCGCCCTTTCCTCGAACAGTTCCCTTCTCTCCAGGCTGACGGCCGAGCCCCATGAGGACCTGCCGTCCTTGTTGGTCATCTTCCTCTTCCAGATCACGATGGAGGCCTCGATGCGGTTCTTGAGATCCAGTACAAGGTGCTCCGTTGACATGTCCACCGTCGAGAAGAACTGCTCAGGGTCGAAGGAGTCCAACGTGATACCGCGATAGATGGAGTCTCCGAGGCTCGCCCTCCCGTTCTGTTGACACCAGAGCAGGTCAGGGCTGGGTTTAACTCGTTAGAGATCAGATAAATCTTAGGGTTTCCGGCAACCTTGGGCAAGGACTCTACGTAAGCTTCAGGGATCTCCATCTCGGATAGGATCTGAGCATTGATGGCCATGGCTGCCTTCAGCACCTGGTTGACGGACTCCTTCTGGAACTGCAGCCATTTCCGGGAGACCTCCGAGAGTCCATTCGCGGGGACCTTGACTCTGGGAAGCCACCACTTGTCGTCCTTCCGCCGAGGGCCTTCCTCACCGTCTTCTTCGTCCTTGGTCACATACCAGAACTCATTCTGGTCTTTGAAATTGTCAAGGTAATCCTGCGGCATTATCCATGTTAATTATTCTAGCATACATCCATCCATCCATTCATCCATCTCCAATAAGATTACGAGACTGTAACAGATCTTACAATGAGCATCGCATCAAGCTTTCGTAATGCGGGGATGTTCATGTGCAGGTCTGTTCTCTGACGGGTCACCATAATCTGCAGAGAATAAGAAGAAGAAGACATTACAAGACACCGAAAAACAGGCCTCGGTTGTGCATAGAGAGGAGATTATCTGGTCTACCTCCATGTTTATGCCGTCTTTGGATTTCTGCTGAGAAGGGACAAACTCCACGATGTGATCTGTGACGGACAGGAGCCAATCGATTTCTTTCCTCCAACGAGCTTTTCTCTCAGAGGACATGGGCTCCAGTCGCCATTGCTCTCCAAAAATGGAAGCTGGAGCAAAGGGAATCAATGGACTGGAGGCCACCGAAAGGTATATATATATGCACGATTAGATGAGAAGGAACTGTATAAAATATGGATGCCGAACTCGACGAACCAGCAAGATTGGTGATGGCGTTTGACAGCGCCAGAGCGGACGAGACCCCCTTTCCGCCCCCGGACATGTCCTCGCCAAGGAGAAGCTTTGCGAATCTCTCCTTCATCATCTCAACGTCTGGATCTCCCGGTCAGTCAGAGACAAAAGCTCTGGAGGTAAGCGGGAGATGGGTATTTACCTGACGACGGCCGGTCTTTAGGAGAGGCGCCGCTGCCGTCCTTGCCGAGGGGAGACTTGGGAACCCTTTCCGACCGGTCGAGCACGTAGCCAGCCTGGTGGGCCTCCGTTGGTCGTCTCGCTGGCCCCCCAGCCCCTTGGCTCCTGGCCATCGCCGTCCTCTCTCCACCCTCCGCCACCCTCTCCACGCCGCCGGTGACCTCCATGGCCGGCGACTGTGCCTGGCGCGCCGGGACGTTGAGCATGCTCCGCCCCTGCACCAGTCTCTCGAGGCTGTTTCCCCGCTTGAGGAATCGCACCATCACCCCGTCGCCGTCGCGGAACTGCCGAGGATCATGCTATGCACAAGATTAGACTGGTTGAGACCTCTCTCCTCGCTACGTATCCTCCGCCATGAACACCACCAATGGGGGATAGGGGATGGATTACCCTCTTCATTGTGGCCTCCCCGTTTCTTACCCCTCTCTCTCTCTAACTCCCTCCCGTCGTCCTTGCCCGAATTAACAAATGGACGAGCGGCTGTGAACGAGAGAGAGAGAGAGAGAAGTTGTTGTGGGGCTGCAACGGGAGAGACTTGTAGAACAAAAAGGGGGTTCTTTTTTGGGGAGGGAGGAGACGACGTTGGCGGACGTGCCCGTCCGCGGAGGTGGCGGTGCCGCCAACTGGTTTTGGTTTCCGTTCGGAGGCAGCCGTCAACATCGAAGAGGGCGACGTCGCTGCCCATCATCTGATGCCTTTTGCCCTCGAAGGAATCAAGTCAGCGCGAAGTTGACCATAAATTTATGACTAAATTGGGGATCAACTATATATTTTTAAAGAATAATAAGACGTAATTTGGATAAAATGATTTTTTTCTATTTTTAAAATTTATTCTCTAGGCGGCCATTATTTGAATATTGCTTGCTATATGTGGGCCGAGGAAGAATCGTGCGATTGTCTCCCATGTTGCTGGAGCTGTGTCGGGTGTTGACCTGGAGGAGAGGGAAGTTGGCGGTTGATGCTGGGTTTCAACGGGTTAGACGGTCTGGACCGTTCGATGGACGAAATAGATCACACACCACGTGGCGAAATCAGAGGAGCAGGTTCAAGGCGGGCTCGCAACAGAGGCTCAGATGAGGTTCCCATACTTCCGAGGCTTCTGCTCCCTCTTCCACCCGCCGCAGGAATGGGGACACTTGGGGTCCTTCTCACCTACCCCATGGACTCGTACCTCGAGGAGGAGCTCGACAAGCGCTTCAAGCTCTTCCGTCTATGGGAGTCGCCGCCGGAGAAGCGGATGGAGTTCCTGCGGTCCCACTCCCAGGCAATCCGCGCCGTCGTGGGGAATGCCACCGTGGGAGCCGACGCCGAGACCATCGAGGCGCTCCCGAGGCTGGAGATCGTGTCGACCTTCAGTGTGGGGCTGGACAAGGTGGACCTCGAGAAGTGTAGGGAGAGGGGGATTCGGGTCACCAACACCCCCGATGTGCTCACGGAGGACGTGGCGGACCTCGCGATCGGCCTCGCCATCGCCGTCCTGCGGAAGATTTGCGTCTCAGACCGCTACGTCCGCAGCGGCGGGTGGAAGACGAATGGGGATTTCGAGTTGACGTCCAAGGTAACGCCTATCTGGATCTGGCGTTCCTTTCTCCTATCCTCTAGTTTCCCGATCGCTAATCTCCGTCTCCTGTTTTTGTGCCCTTTTTAATCAAACGCCAATTATTTGCATTTATTGTTCTATTTATCTCTTCGAAGAGGTGATCGCGATCATGAAACAAGAGACTTTTTCTCATATATGGTTTTTTCTATGAGGATTCATGAATCTTCGAATAGTCGTTTCTATAGTTGGGGCTGTGAGATTCTTACAGTTCCCGATCGGGGATCGATACAGTTCCGCGTTAGAAATCCCTTTGTAAAAAACATCAGCTATAATATGCAGACGTTGTCACAGGCCAAGATTCTGTTCATGATTTATCTTCTCAAAATCTGGGGCTGCATTGTTTTGGGGTTTCTCCATCAAACATCTTTGGAAAGATCAGGATCAGTATGAAGCCAGGCCGGAGGAGAGGTGGGGATGCTTTTGTTTCATGCCCACCGACTATCAATGAGTGAAAGCAGAGAGGCGCATCAACCTTCAGATAAAATGATCTGGAGTCTCCCTCTGTATGTCAACTCCTCTGGATGCATGGGGGAGGTTCCTGGATGGAGATCGTTCTAAGCAAGGTTTTTACTGGGGATTTGCTTGTGAATAGATTAGATGTACGTGGGATGTAATTTGAGGAACTAATTATAGTATTTTTCTAAATTTTAATGGGTGAAAAATAGTAGAGGTCACTCGGAGATCCTTCATCTTCACCAGTGTGCTTTGATGTACATAACTATATTTCTATTGCAAAAAAGTCCCAGCTTTCATTTATCCACGGTATGATTCTTTCATTCTTTCATTTCCCATCTCCCCAAATCCCCCAGGAACAATCTCTCTTCGCAAATTTGTCATTGCAATGAAAACGATCTCTTTTTGTTAATATTTCTTTATGAACAATAGAAGACTGCTCAGCTATGCCATAAGCAGGAAGGCAGGAGACTGTGGCAGCAGCTACTGAGCTGCTGAAGGTTGACAGGGCCCTTGACGTTGACAATTGCTGACAAGGAGTTGATAATCAGTTCATTGGGTGGGAAACTCAGTCAAGAACACGAAGATGAACAGCTTTACGATGAATCCTCCGTGATTAATAACTAGTTTCATTGAGACTGTTGATAGCATGATGAAATAGCTGTTTAATGGTCGGGTGGGGCGCGAGAATAATTGTTGAGGATGATCTCTGTGTTCTTTGGTTGCATGCAGTTCAGCGGCAAGTCGGTGGGTATCGTGGGCCTTGGCAGAATCGGGCTGGCCATCGCAAAGCGGGCGGAAGCTTTCGGGTGCCCCATCAGTTACTTCGCGAGATCGGAGAAGCCCGGCGTGGGCTACAAGTTCTTCCCAAGTGCGGTTGATCTTGCCGCCAGCTGCCAGGTTCTCGTCGTCGCCTGTGCACTGACGGCGGAGACCCGGCACATTATCGGCCGCGAGGTCATCGACGCGCTTGGCCCCCAGGGTGTCCTTATCAACATCGCCCGCGGCGGGCACGTAGATGAAGCCCAGCTTGTGCTGGCGCTGTGGGAGGGACGGCTGGGCGGTGCGGGCCTGGATGTGTTCGAGAGGGAGCCCTCAGTACCGGAGGAGCTCTTCACCTTGGACAATGTGGTGCTGTTGCCCCATGTGGGCGCTGGGACACGGGGGACCAGCAAGGATATGGCAAACCTAGTACTCAGTAACCTCGAGGCCCATGCCCTCAACAAGCCGCTCTTGACCCCTGTGCTTTGACAGTTGGTCTCCTTGATTGGGCTGCACCGTTATGTCCACGCCCCCCCCCCCCAGCTATAAGTTAACCCGCTTGTCTACTTTCACGCATTGATAATGGGCTCAGTAGCCACAAGACCCAGTACCAACAGTCTGAATAGGAGATTGGAAGCAAACAACTAATAACCAACAGGTGGACGGAAGCAAACGACTAATAATCAATTGAAGGGTGACCTCAGAGGATAAAGACTCAAGAGAAGCTTATAAGGAGAGTTGGCAAGAAGGAAGGTGGAGGAAAGATTTGAAGCAGATTAGCCATCTCGAAACGGTGAACCCACCCTTTTTCTGTTTCCCTTTTTCTCTTGTTATCCTTGTTATGAATCCCCTTTCTCAGAAAGTTCTTTGTTCGGGAAATTCTTGTGTTCATGAAGATAGTGAATAAAAGTGGAGAGTTGTTCTCCTTCTCTATTTCAATCCACAAAGAAGGGATCTCCGTCAATTGTGGTATTAGAGTGGGACGATGCCTTTGAAAATAGGTGATGGCCACATGGAGTCTTTCAAGTACGAATTGACGGAAATCTGGCAAGACTCGGAGCAGCATGTTACAGCTCTCACATAAATACTCAAGAAGTGCTAGAGATCAAGCAACAACTAACTTTGATTGCGCAGTCTCTCAAGGAACTGAGACGTAATTACTCCAGTTCACTGCATCAGTGGTTAGAGAATGATATTCTTATGAGTCCCAACTTCACGGCAAATAGAAAGTTTCAACAGAAATCAATGAATAAGACGGCTCAAAATGGCTTCGCCAACATCATAACTTCACATCAAATCAGTAAGCGCTAAACCGAGAGTCCAAGTATGGAGGAAGAAAATTAGGCATGTCTCATTTCGGGGGAGATGAGCCAGAGGGATGAATTTATCATGTAGAACTGTATTTTTAGATGTTCTCCATGACATATGACGATAAATTATGGACGGCAAAGTTAAGCTTGGATAAAAGGCCCTCAAATGGTTAAAGTGGGAGGATATGAGAGATCTTTTTAGAAGCTAGAATCATCTCAAGAACACAATTCAAGAGCATTTTGGTAACTCACATATTCGGAATAATCTATCAGTAGTTTCTAAAAATTTGGCAAATTGACACGGTGATTGAGTATCGTGATAAATTTGAAACAATGGTGTCAGCAGTAGGTAATATTGTATAAATTATACTCAAAACAATATTTTTGAAAGGATTACGAGAAGATATTCAAGTTGAGGTGTTTTATCAAACCATCGGGATTGACAGATATCATGAAAACGATGTAGAGCATCGAGTTAAAGGACAAAGGAATCCATAAATTTGACCACACTCACATTACTCAAGATTTAAATCAAGACGTACACAACAACCCAAATATTAGAGCACATTAACCCAAATTTTGGGAATCCACACCACGTAACACTGTAGGGTACAAAATGGTTAGAGATTAGTCAAGGAAAGGAGAGGCTGATAGATCAATTATCAAAAAAAAAGAGGCTCAATTTATCTACAGTGAAAATTCAGAATCGCATAGCTCAAGGTCTTTGCTATGTTTGCAATGATAAATACAGATCGGGACATAAATGCTGAAAAGAGGTCCAAATACTAATTGTAGATGATGTTGACCTTCCTAAGATTGGAGAAGAAGGCCACCTGGGAACCAGCTTGGAGCATTCATAAACGTTCCCCAAAGTTTCTCCTTGAGGACAAGGTGAAAATCACGAGGGGAGTATTAATAGACTACTAGTTATATCAAGACACCTGATCGAAAAGCAAAGCCGCAAGACTCAATAACATCAGTCGAACATGGGACTTTAGTAGCATACGGGCTTGGGAAGATATTGGCCCTCACCAATAAGTGAATCATAAGTAGATGACCAATAACCAAATAAATGGTGACCCTAGAGGGAGCAACCGTAATAACGATAAATAATTTGAGAGACGAAAACTTAGAGAAGCTTATAAATAAGGAGGGTTGGCGAGAAGGAAGGTACAGAAAATATCTGAAGGCGAAAAGAATCGACGAACCCATCATTTTTTTGTTTGTGTTTTTCTCTTGTTATCCTTGTTACGAATCCCCTTTCTGGGGAAGTTCTCTATTCCGAAAATTCTTTTGTATTCACGAAGATAGTGAATAAAAGTTGAAACTTGCTCTCCTTCTTTGTTTTAGTTTGCTAAGAAGGGGTCTCCATCAAAGCCCTTCATGTCGGAGGAGCTCTTTGCCTTGGACAACATGGTGTTGTTGCCCCATGTGGGCACCGAAACGTGGGAGACAAGCAAGAATATGGCAGACCTGGTACTTTGCAACCTTTACACTCTCAACAGGCCACTCTTGACCCATGTTCTCTGATGATTTGTCTCCTAGATTGGGCTAAACCATTATGTCTACGGGACCTCCCTAACTATAAGCTAACTCGCGAGACCAATGTTGTTTTGCTCACCCCAAACCACCCGACTAGCCTAAAACACATGGGTTCACACCAAAATCTCAAATATCACAATATGATAAAATGACTATATCACATATGTGAAGAACCATCCTATTCACCCATGGTAGGGTTCGTCATCTTTTACATTGAATGCATGTGGACCTGCATAGCACATGTAGAGTCTACTGGTCTAGGGTGAAGACTTCAAATAGTGGAAAAGTATGGTGGGTGCATGGTGGGAAGACATGGTGGCACTAGTGAGTATACACAACATGCACATGATTGACATGTGTGTGTTTGACATGGGCGTAACTGCACTTGATATCCTAACTATGTGAGCACTTATTTGACATATCCTAACTATCCTCTAACAAAATAGAGCAACATCTAGATGAAGAAGACAAGATGTGGTCACATATCATTAATGAAGCTAAGTCTAATTGAGGAAGGGAGCAACTCATCTAATTATAAATAGGGCCATCTAGTATAATTAAGAAATGTATCTCTTGCTTATAAAGAGGTAGAGCAAACAAGACAAACCCTCTCATATCCTTCCTCCCTTTTCTTTCTTTGTATTATAAGATTAGAATGGAAGTTACATTATTATGATCTCTCTTGTTCATACTTCAGTAAGATCTTTTGAATACTGAAGTGAGAAAATGTTGTTTAAGTGTGTTGTTGGATGTCTAAGACTGCACACAAGTAGTCACCTGTAAAAGTCGATCGGCTGCCCATATGACATTGATCAAATACAAATTTTGTTCAGAAAAAATATTCATTGTAATATACTTAGATAATATTTTAATATATAACCCAACCTTACATATGATGTTGAAAAAATTGAAGAAACACTAATTTTACTTCAACTTGGCCAAATGTACCTTCACATGAGAGGAGGTGACATTTTGATGAAGTCAACATGAAAGTTCATCCTCTTAGGTGAACCCACTAGGAGGAAGAAGAGGGAAAAGATGAGGCCTGGTCATCCATATGTCCTGTCTCTAAGGAAGGTGCCTCTCTCTCCAAGAGACACCACTAGGCATCCTTTGGGAGGGGGCGCCTCTAACTACTTTTCCCTCTTTTCTATAAATCTTCAAATTAATGAATATTTGAAAAGTTGAAGTTGAATTTGAAATGAAGAAAGTTCTTGTTATCTCTCACCTCTTGGATTAAGGGTTCCTCTTTCTCTCACTCACCTCTTGGATTAAGGGTTCTTCATGTCTTTCACTTGTCTCTTTGATTAGGGGTATCTCTTTCTCGTGTTCTTAGATTACATGGACCTTTCTCTCTCTTTTTTAAAATACAACCTATTAGAGGGCTTAGTGCATGTCTCTTTCTCTCTCTCTCCATAATTAGATGACTTTACCATTCACATGGTATCATAGCCTATTTATTTTTTTAACCCTAAAAACTAGGGTTCTTTGTGCCGCTGCTACTGCACAACTGTTGTTGTTGCTCCACTACCTTCGTACAACTGCTTCTTCTGATCATTGCTGCTGCCCCATTGGGCCACCACCACTGCCCGTTCAGGCCAGCACTATTGCCCCTTTTGGCCACTGTCGCCTTTTCGTGCCACTACCGCTTCGCTACCTTGGTATCCTCCCCCCTTTTTTTTTCTTCTTCAGGCTGCTGCCGCTGTCATCCATTCGGGTTGTCACTGCCACACCTTCTAGCTGCTGCTGCCACCCCTTTGGGCTGCCGTCGCCCTGCTCTCAAGGCCGTTGCCTTAATCAGGCTCTTGTGACCATTTCTATCAGCCCGGTTCAGACCGGCCTGAACTAGGCAAGTTGGTCCAAGATGACCTTGAGCCACTTGGATGAGCAATTGATCAATTTTTCTGCCCCACTTGACGCCTCTAAGTCTGATGGAGTCGTATGGGTTTGATGATTCACCATCTGCTCCATTGTTAGCTCCTATCTTCTTCTAATATAAACACCATCCACAGTGTGTCATTCTATCATGGCTCAACTTACTCATCCGTCATATATTTTCGACAGTCATAATTATGTTTTCTGGGCCACATATTTTAAGTATTTTCTTAGCCCATTGCATGGTGCATCATTTAATGGAGCCTTTGTCTATATTGATTACCTCGACTTATGATACCAATTTGATTTTACTATTCACTCTTGGATGTATTGGAATATTCTTCTAGCTATTGCTCAACCTCTCTCTTGTATTAAGCTTGCAAGCACACTATGGTGTACCTTAAAGGCTGTATGCGAACAAGACTAATATTAATTGTACAATGGAAATTTTTAAGTCTATATTTACTTGCAAATAAGGTGATTAGTCCCTTTAGGATCACTTTGGTCGTCTCCAAGCTCTTTTGTAAGAGTGGTCTCTCTATCAATCACCCATAACTGACTTGCGCACCTTGGAATGATATCGCAAGGAACTTATTGGTAGAGTAACCTTTGACCTTCTATTATTTTTCAAATTCGTGGTCAAGTACTTTCTACTACTCAAGTTCTAAATATGACATTATATTCTCCTCAGATCTTCAAGTGAGCATCAGAGCCCCTTCATCTCTCGTGCTAGATTCATCTGCCATAGTAGCCTCTAATATT